TCCGCCATGTCGACGCTTCCCATGCGCTGGACAAGCGGAGGCCCGGCCTCTAGAAGGTCGGGGTCAATAAGGCTATCGTCTATGGTGTCCATGGCGACGCAACTGGAAATGCAGAGGAGGAATAGAATCAAGAGAGCGTTCGTTGTACGCTTCAGAGGCGTTGTTGTTGGCTGGTGGTCACAGCTCAGGCAGCCTCCAGTTCCACTGCCTATTACGTAAACTGTTATTGACGGTCCACCGGCCGCCGATCCCATCTTGAAAATTCACCACGACCTGTCCCTTTTCGATCGAACACAAGCGCAGATACACTAAAAATGCATTGTCCTTTTCGCAAGAAAAGTAGAAAAGAGTAGAAAGTAGGAAGAATCATCTTTCGTTCCCACAAAAAAACAGGTAACAGATAGCGTATATCGTCCAAACTTCTCGAGATTGATGGATTGTAAACGGTGTCGCTCAGCCAAGGAAGAAGGAAAGCTTTGGGTGGTGCTACAACGGGAAAAGGGAACTTTAAGAAAGATATGGGGTATCAAGGTCATTAAAAAAAAAAGGTGTCCAGGCCAAAGAAGACGAAAAGTGGGGATATAAGTCTGTCGTGAATAATCTTCTTCTCTATACTAAACGATATGCTGCTCTTCTCTGCCTCAAATCATAAAAAAAAAACAATGTCCACAAAACGACAACCAACGCTTAGGCTCGCCCCGCCATCTCCTCCCTCTCATCCCAATTCCCAAAGTTCAATCCAAGCGTATCAAACTTGAGACTCCCAATCTTTCTTTCTTCCGTAATCTGTCCCGGAGCAGGTGGGAGCGGTCTGTTGGGAGGGGGGCCGGACGATGTGAATTGGGCTATTGACGGCGACTCGGGCGGGGCAAAGCGCGAGCCGGGAGGGGGTGAAGGCCTCAACTTTCTCGAGCTCTGAAACTTGCGTACACCCATACCTCGCGCCGTATCCTCCGCTTCCTCATCCCGCATCATCCCAAACTCGCCGCTTTCCCCACTCTCTCCACTGCCACTGCCACTTTCCTTCCTCTCCCTCACCCCCGCTCCAAAAGTCTCGACACTATGACAAATAGGCGTAACCAACCCCTCATCTTCCTGGCTGTCTTCACTCTCCGCCGATCCCCGGCGCGTATGGTCCGCCTGGATCGTCCTCGCGAGCGAAGAGTTGCTCGAGGCACAAGAAGCGAACGAGCTTATACTCGCCTCGCTATCACTCGCGCTCAGCCTATTGTTCAACGAACTAGGCGAGACGTTCGGTCGGACAGAGCCGGGACCGAGTACGACGAGCGCTTCGAGCGAGCGCCTGCCTTCTTGCACGACGACGACTTCGCTTCTGCGCCCGGGGGCGTTCGCGAGGATCTTTTGAATGTCTTGAGATGCGTCTCGCTCCTTGGGACTGGGGAGCTGCATGAACTGCGCGTCGAGAATGTCTTCTTCGACATCAACATCGCTGATGGAAGAGATTGATTTGGAGGATGGGTCGAGGGTGGAGATTGAGTCTGTTGGCGACTGCACGACGGCAGACTCGTCTGTAGCGGGCTCGATGCTGGAAGAAGGCGTCTGGTACACCGAGATGGCGGAGATGGGAGACATGACTCGAGGCGGAGTGATGGTGCCAGGGGAAGACACCTCGGTAGGAGCTGCAGGAGCGACAGCCGCAGGAGCAACAGCCGCAGGAGCGACAGAGGGCGCAGGCGGGACATTCACAAACTGGTCTCTCGCGGTGAATATTTCCGATTTCGACCTCTTTGCCTCCTTCTCCTTCTTGTACACTTCCGGCAGCGCAGGTACCGACGGCACCACTTCTCCTTCCCCATCACCCACCAACGTATCCCTCGACGCGCCGGCAAGACTGTGGCTATCGGAAGCAGGGGCAGAGTTGGACCTCTTTTTAAACACCGACATGTTGGACAAGGAGAATTTCTTGGTCAACTTTGGTTTCTTGCCTTCGACAGGCGAGGGCACGACGGTCGTCGCAGAGCTGGGGGTACCGGGGATAGAATAGAAGCTCTCGCTCCTACCCGTCGACAGCGCAGGAGTCGTAGGCGTCGCACTCGACAATCTGTTACCAGAAAGCACCGGCGCAGAGTTGAGCGATGGTACCGGCCTGGCGGCGTTTGTATCGATTCGAAGATCAGGCTTGGATCGCTGCTCGTTCAAGGTCTTCTTCTCCTTGACTTCTGCCTTGGGCTCGGCAGTGACAGTTCCAGGGGGGGTGGAAGAGCTAAAGAAGAAGTTTTTGAGACTCTTTTGTTTCCTCGGCACCTTTCTTGGCTGGTCTGTTGGAACAGGAGGCATGGGAGGGAGGGGCGGGGCGGTGGTAGAGATGGGCGACTCGGTCTTGCTGGACGACGCCCAAAGCGGCGCAGAGAATGCGCCACTCAGCGACATTGTACGCGAACGTCTCGCGGACGAGCTTGACGACCGAGGTTTCTCTTCCACAGGCGTCGGCATCGGCGTCGAATTCGACCTCTGCGGCTCGGGGGCTGACACGGGGAAGAGCACAGGCGGGCCAGGGGCAGTCGGCGACGAAGGCGTCGTCTTAGCCTTTGACACTGGCTCAAACATGTCTGGCTCTTCACTCAACGTCTCGACATTCTCCGCGCTTTCCTTGATCACATCTTTCGAGTCTTTCCTCACCGGCCTTGAGCTGCCTTCCCGATGCATGACGGGTCGTCCAACACCGCCATGCGCACCGCCAGCCATATCCCACTCCATCACCTGGCTCATCCGCTTCTTTCGCTCTTCCACGACCTGCGTCTTGGTCTTGGGCATGATGACGCTCTGCCTGCCTCGCGAGTTGGTAGGCCCGGCGCCCACGCGGGAGAACTTTGCGGTGGGGAGGTTGAAGCCTTCTGCCATGCCGTTCCAGGCGGGGTTGTTGCTAAAAGTACTGCTCGGCCTGGGTTTAGCCACAGACTGGGGACGGGGGCGAGGTGAGAGGGGTGAAGAGGTGGTGGGCGCGTGGGGGTTGTAGTTGCGTTCGGGCGTCTCGGGTGGCGATTGGTTATCGAGCGCCAGTGTGGGGGGAGGGTAGTTTGGGAACGGGTATAGTACCACTGCATCACCTTCATCTGACAGTCAAGGTCAGCGCGGCTCGGACTAGCACAAAAAGGTAAACAAACCTTCAGGCGGTATCAGCTGCACCTGTGGCAAATGCGAGTCGTCCTCATCATCCTCCTCCAGCTCTCCCAACGCATGGGCCTCTTGCGCCTTTTGCAGCTTCTCCCTCTCCATGATATCAAATACAGACTGACGGCGGGGAGGCGGGGTGGTCTCTTCGACTACCGAGGTGCGGCGGAGAATGTTGAACAAGGTGGATTTGCGTTTCTGACCCACGTTGATGGGAGAAGAGGTGGAAGCACGAGGGGAAGGAGAGTCTGGGAGAGGTGCAGTCACCTGTGCGGATGCGACGGCGTCAGCCATAGCGCGGGGTGGTTGTTTGGGGTAAGGGTTGGTGTCGGCGAATACACAGCGACAGTGTTTGTTGTTTGTGCGCAGGTGGGGAGATGGGTGATGGTGCTGCGGCCGGGCGGGGCTGGGCGGGGGTAGGGGAGGGGGAGAGAGGGTGGCAGGGAGGGATGTGATGGAGATGCAGTTGACGGAAAATGGGCTGCCCCTTGAAGCAATTCGCGTCAAACTAAGGCTCTCTTGGACAGGCTAGTGCGGGTACGCAGTGGAGCGGGAGATGCGTTCTTGTCAAACAGGCAGTCACCTATCCAGAGTTCCCTTTATATATCTCGATTTCTTCTATTCCAGCAAAACCTGCGCAAAAGTCAGAATCGCGCTCGCTCGCAGACGACAGGGCAAGACTCACAGAAGGCGCAGGCAGGCGCAGGGCGGTGTGGAAAAGAGGGTGGGTGGGTCCAATGCTCGTCGGACGTTGCTCGACAATGCTTGCTGTCGGGTTCTTCTGTGAAAGATATATACGCTGTAATGGATGGAAGAGAAGAAGACGAAACGAAGAGGAAGCAACGTAGACAGTATTATTATTGCGGGCCTCGGAATATCTCCCTGACTGTCTCCTTGCGAGTATCTTGCTGTTTCCTGATCTCTCGCAGGCTCTGGTGGGAGTGGCTGGGGGTGACTTGTCCCTGTTGTTTGGTTCCCTCCTCTTGCTGCTATGCCCTCTGTCTCGTAGGCAGCTGTACCAGATGCACAAGACGCACAGATCGCACAGATCGCCCGAGCACAGACCGCAAAAGCATTCGCCCTTTCAAAACAACAAGCGCGGGACGTTCCTGGCCGCTAGTCCGTTCTAAATACCCGGAATTCCCCGCCACACCCATGCAATCTCCACGTGCGGGGATCAATATCTTGTCCACTTGTGTCCACTGCAGAGCTGGTTCTCGCAGAAATCATGGTCAAGGGAAAGCGCGCAGCATCATCCGAGGGGGAAGCAGAGGTGGGCTCAAGGCTTGCTGTCCTTGTCGTGTCGGTGCTCATGAACATTGGTCGTAGGACAAGAAGCCCGACATCACCTCTGAACCACAAAAGAAGGTGAGCACACCTCAAACGTCCGCTATACGGCCCACTCACTCGTGCATCCTAGAAACCCAGGCCTTCTACCGATAACGCAGAATCAGGCGGGGAAGCAGCCGAGATCGAAGAGACCGCTGAAGGGGATCCCTTCTTCAAGGTATGAGCTGACATGCAGCCCTGCGGCATCATCTGACTCTGTGTATAGCTCTCCGACTACCGTCGAGTCACTGTCCGCACATTCAAAGGCAAGACCCTGATCGACATCCGTGAGACGTACAAGGACAAGGCATCGGGAGAGATGAAGCCTGGCTCCAAGGGGATCAGCTTGACGCCAGAGCAGGCAAGTGATTGTGTCGCATTCAAGGTAATTTTGACTGACAGCTCATAGTATCAAGTTCTGAAGAGCAACATTGGAAGTATCGACCAAATGATCAGCAAAGTGGAGAATAAATGATTGTCCACTCTCTTGAGCAACACTGTATAATGACATTTCTTGCGTCTCATTGTTCTATCATAAACTACCTCCTGCTGCCACTGCTGTCGGGATTGGTATACTCACGTCTACCTGACCGGGCAAACCCAGATTGCCAGTTCTCGTCCTTCGTCCTTCTGCTAAAGATCGCTGAGTTTTCCAGGGCATCATCCCCGCTATACTCTGGCTCTTCTTCCCCCTCCTCCGCCTGAAAAGGCGCATGATAGTCACCAGCGTCTTGCCCTTCGTTACTCAGTAGCGTCCAATCTTCCCCTGCACGCCTCGCCACCACCTTCTTCGCCTTTTTGCGCCCTCCCTCGCCCTGCTCTTCCGTAGCCACGAAGAACGCCCGCCCTTCTTCCCCACTCGTGTAGCCTCCAGAGAAAGACGACAGACTTCGCACACTAGCCCCATCCACATCATGCTCATCCATCGCCGAGGACATGGCCGCCTGTTGCCTCCGGTCCCACGGGACATCCTCTGGTGCCGGTGGGCTGAATATCGCACTTTGGTCGGCAAATGTGCTGCCAGGCGTGAGGCTGCCGGGGAGATGACTGGCGATGCCAGTCAGAAAACGGGAGGATCTGCCGGATGATGCCTTGGGGGTTTTACTACCGGGGGTGGTAGTGGCGGAGGCAACAGGAGTTTTGCGGGACTTGGCGAAAGAGCGATTGTCTGGGGCAGTGTTATATTGTTCCTGCCCCCTCTCGCCCGAATACCTGGATTTTGAGGATTGCTTGTCCGAACGAGGCATGTTGTATTGTGATAATGCAAGATAGAAAGAGTGTATGGGTCTCAAAGACGAGTCTGTATATTTTGTCAGACTCGGTGTGTCTGGCGTGATACTTCCCTGCACCTTATCTCCGCCGGGGTCGCCGGTCCAACATTCATAAAGGAATTGGACAGCAGCTATGCGCCGACTCACGCCCCGCTTTCGAAAGGGACTCTGAAACGCGCGATACCTGTCGTCCTTGGTAGTTTGGCCCTCCGCATTGATCAAGACAACCAAGCTTTGTACGGCGCGATCTGACGCGACGCGTCGTTCGGATGAAGCCGACGGTCTTATCACGCAATGTTGAGATGGACTCTTTCATCTTTCGCTTTTTTTGCCCCTAGTCATTTCAATTTGGCTCCGGTATAGCTCCTAATGCCCATCTCGACCATAGCAATCCTCTACCCAGGCGCCATGGGCGCCTCCCTCGCCCACGTTCTCTCCCTGCGCCTGCCCCATCTCAGGCTCCTCACCTCCCTCTCACACCGCTCTCCCTCTACCATCGCCCGTGCGGCCGCATCGGGTCTTGTGGATATACCAATGGAGCAAGCTGTCCAAGAGGCGGATGTGATTCTGTCCGTGCTGCCCCCGAGCGAGGCTGTCAAGCTTGCCAAGGAAGTAGCGGGGCATCTCGGGGAGAAGAAGCCGGTCTACATCGAAGCCAATGCCGTTTCCCCCGAAACGGTGGCTCACATATCGTCCATCTTTCAGCCCCACAATATTCCCTTCTTGGACGGATCCATCATTGGTTTCCCTGCCACCAACAACCTCAGCTCCATTCCCAAACTCTACCTCTCTTCCAAACCAGAATGGGGCGACAAGCTCCGGGAGGTGGCTGATGTATTGAGCGGAGGAGGCGTAGGGAAGGGGCTGAGGGTGAAGGTGATGGAAGACGCAGGCGAAGGAGGCGCGAGTGCGTTGAAGATGTGCTATGGTGGTATCAATAAGGGTGCTACAGGTCTAGCGGCGCTTCTCGTGCTCTGTGAGTGTCGATGTCAAAAGTTTACGGAAAGGTAGCTGACTCTTGCATCAGCAGCACGAGCTCACTCTCCTGGAACGGCCAAGGCGCTACTCGACGAAATGGTTGAATCACAACCTGCTTTTACGCAAAAGCTGGTCAAGGGACTGCCGGATATGGTGCCCAAGGCTTATCGAGTGAGTTTGCCTGTGCTGTTACTCGTAGGTTGTTACTGATGCAAGAGTAGTGGGTCGGAGAGATGGAAGAGATCTCTGCCTTTATCACAGCGTCAATCATAGACACTCCCTCGGCATCGCAACATACTAATCCGGCGGATACGTTCCAGGGACTCGCGCAAGCTTTCCAGCGTATAGCGGACGATCTGAAGGAGAAAGAAGCTGTGGAAAAGAAGGATGAGGAGCTGAAAGGGCTTCTGGACTGGGCTGAAGAAGGAAAGTCGGAGCTGGAGAGGCGACATCCAAAGTGAGAGCTGTCCAGGATCAGCCAAGCGCGAAAATCGATCAATGATTGGGATGCCGAGGAGGATCCAGAGACAAGCTGCAAACACATCGGTGCTGATAGCGCATGTATAGCCAGTCCGCTTTCAGCCGCAGCCCAACATTCGTAGCGTTTCATATACACACGACAAGATCTCTTATCAGCTGTCGCCCGTCTTGCCTTGTCACAGAATCCGCAGTCGTTTCAGGACTGAGCAGCATGGCCGGCGCTTGTGCCAATTTTTCAGCGTTTCTTCAAGACACAGGGTGATGCACGTCGTGGAAGCGATGCGGCTGTACCACATCGCGATGGCAAGCAATCCATGCATCCATGCATATCCCGGGACAGAATAGAGGCCGGGAGGGTGGCCAGGCACCAGCCACGGAAAAGATGAAACAGCCATGTGCGGTGCCTGGCAATGTTCTTATTGTTCTCCCTCCTCGCGAAAACTCTGCCCTGTGCTCTTCCCTCTCTCCACCCCGCCTCTTCCTGTCTCGGTCCTCGACTTTTACGTATGTAACCTTGTCTCACTCTAACTGTCATCGAGGGTCCCAGTTGAGACCTTTCATTTGTGGCTCGAGGGAAAGCTCATTTCCCACATCCTTGACTACCCCTCTTTCATTCTTCCCTTTGCTATATTGGACGGAAGCCCCTAGCTATACAGTCACCTACTTGTATCCCTTCACAGCGCCACTGTGCTGCGCTCTCGCCTGTTCTCGCATCGACTGCCGGCAGTCGTGACACGGCTGTGATACCTCGGTCGAACCCGGTCGGCAAATTGCTTCACTACCAGAGCGCCAATTGGCCGAGCCAGGTCGTCAAGGAAAAGATTGTCTAAGAGAGGGTCAGTAGCAGTATCCAGCGGGACCCAGGGCTTTTGCTGACCAGCAGAGCAGCACACATCCACTCCCTAACGTTGCCCTCCCGCTACCCGAAACAACCTCGAAGGTAGAGAAGCGATCGGGGGAACAAGACAAAAGGCAAGTTGTGTGTTTCACGATCTCATGCTGTCCCTCTGCCGGGGCCTCCTTCCCACCCTCTCCAAAAGCTGACTTGTTTCTCTTTTATCTCTCCATCATCTCCTCCATCTACAGCCCCCTGCCCTGCCCTCTCCCGAAGCCCCGACGCTGGCGTACATTGCCACCCCACCTCCTCGTCTCCTGCTCCGCTGTTCTCGCATCAAGCCCCCATCCCACCCACACTCAGGGAAGGCCCCGCACACACCAGCTCCATCACTCCATCATCTTTTCGCATTCCCATATCGCGCCTCCTTGCTCTTCCCATCTCTTCTCCCTCTCGACCAGCTCTACAGCTTCAACGCTTCCTACATACAGGTGTTTCGTAACTTGAATTCACCCCCACACTTCATCGAGCCTACCCCTCTACAATAGGGAGTTTTGAAACCGCATCACCCATCCGCTTGCCACCCGTCGTCTCCAATCACCGCCCAATCACCGACATGTCCAGCACCAACTCTCATCTTATGAAGACCACCCGACGGGGCAGGCCATTTGTCAAGGTAAGGGTGCACTACCATGACGAGACAACACGAGGCTGACACATTCCAGGATACCCATGACCTTTTCTGTACACTCGTCGTCAGTCTCACCTTTGGCACACACCGAAACTTTTTCAAAGTCTATCCCAACAGTTTCACTACGTATGTTGACCCAGCTTGACTCCGCCTATGGACTGACCCCCCCTAGCGACGATGCCTGTTCAAACCTCTCATCGCTCAAATTTTCCCAATCTACCCGTGCGGCTGATCCGAATGACCCCACCCGCATCATCACTACCACAACAACCACTACCTTTTCCATGTCTCGTGATATGGCCAAGGGTATCTGCCAGCACTTTCTGGACTGCCGTCTGATAGAAAACGCCACCGACCTCATGTCGGGAACATTCAAGGACAGAGGTATCTACATGTTGACTCCCAAGGGACTTCACATCCTCGAGCGTTTCGTCAGCAAAAACGGCATCACCGCCGACCACTTGCTAAACGTCTTTGCTACCCAGCCTATCACCATGAGACTCCTACACCTCGAGCGACGTTCGGGCGACGACGAGATCATCATCACCCGCGGTGTCATTGAAGTACTCTTCAGGCGTTTCATCGGTCGTGAACCAAACTTGACCAAGCTGAGCGACGACGAGGTGATCACCCACTACTACTCGAGGTTCTACACCAAGACCCCGCCCCTCCCTGCAGGCGAAACTCTCGACAGGTCTGAGGGTATCATCATCAGGAAGAGCCAGGACAAGGATGACTATCACTTCTCTTCTCGAAGTGCCATCGAGTGGATGTTGGATTTCACTTCTGCGACTGGTGTGGACGAGGCTGCCGACGTGATGGGTCAATTCGTGCGATACGGATTGATCACCCTTGTCAGTGACAAGGGCAAACCCAAGGACGGAAACTTAGTCGTGACTGTCAGGGGTGGTGGTGCTGGAGGTGGTGCCGGGGCCATTATGGTGAGAACTCTCCTCGATCGTCTCCGACTCTACTGACACTTACCATAGCAAGAAGCCGAGTTCCGAGCGACCGAGCGCGCCATCTACAAGGTGACCAGGGAGGGCATGATTGCCGCCAAATGGCACGAACCCACTTCCAACGCCTCTGCTGGCGTGTCCAAGCCCAACCTTCATGCGGAGAACCCCTCTGCCGCTTCCAAGGGCCGCTCCTCCCATGAGGTTCAGCCCTCCGTCTCCTTCAAACGCCGAAACTCCGCGTCGGACCGCTTCAGGAGCGACTTTGACCTTTCGGGTGTGCCGGGTGGTGATAACCACGTAAAAGACAGCCACACTGCGAGGTTGAAGCAGATCCTCGAGGAACCTGCTCTGAGGAGCTTGTTCCGAGAGTTCTTGAGAGCCAACTTTTGTGAAGAGAATCTGAGTTTCTGGTTGGATGTCCAAGATTTCAAGAGGCGCTTCCAGACGACGAGTTCTGCTGTGGCTGCCCCTGGGTCCAAGAGCAAGGTGTCGGGGCACCAGGCTATGGAAAAGCATCAGCAGGATCTGATCGCCATGGCCTTTGTCATCTACAACAGTACGTCCCATCTGACTTACAACATTACTAACTTTTGCTCAGCCTACCTCGCTCCCGCTTCTCCCTGTGAGCTCAACATTGACCACAATCTCCGAGCCGACCTCGTCTCCTACATGAACCAAATCACCGCCGACAAGGAGGCTGGTGTCAAAGGTCATATCGAGCCCGGAATCGGAAACACACTGCATGCTAGCCAGCTGCAGACTATGGTCAAGCTTTACGAGCGGATCCAGGTGTACATCTTTAGGCTCATGGCGACCGACTCTGTACCCAAGTTTTGTAAGACTGAGCGAGTGAGTCATCTTCTCGTCAAGACAAGGTCCAAGCTGACAGAGTACCAGTTCCTCGCTCTTATGCAGCAGTTCTCAGATTACGACAAGGATGACACGAAGGGCCTCGAAGGCAAGGCTGCCAACCTGTCCATCAACCCTCGTAAAGCTCCTGTGGAAGAAGATGACCCTGGAAGTCCTACTCGAGCCTACCTCACCATCTCTCAGGCAAGTTTACCCAAATTTCTGATGGGACTCGGCTGACTGAACATAGGCCGCCAACGAGAAACAAGCAGCCATGGGCAAGGCCCACAACTAGACCTTTCGGCCCCTTGTTTCTCTTGCATGCTAGCCTTCTTCCCATCTTGTCTTTATGTTCCACCACCCAGCACATGTGTATATAGTAGTCATCTCATATCAGCTCTTGTTCCATCTGTTTAAGACACGGTCTCCTTTCTCCTGTTACATAGCCAGACACGAAGCCTATACATTAACCAATGCACACACGTGGTCTCTTTTCTGTCAATGGATCTTGTTATAGCATCTGCTTTGAAGTTTCCGCAGACCTGTATGCTTTGGTCGATCCCTTTTCCTGCTGTACAATCGAGGCATTACTCGAATCCACTGACACCTCGATCCTGAAGATCCGCCGTAACAAGTGCTGTGAGTAAAGTTGCATCCTAACATACTCATACATCACTCGACTAAGCACCGACCTCCACCCCCGTCACTTCTCCCAGCATCTGGTTGATAGCCTCCTGATCCAAGAGTGTCCCAGCCGGCACGTTCTTCTCCACCCAAGCGTACGCTTCACCGATAAGGGTTTCGGTCAGCGGGATCCCTTCATCGCCAAAGATCTTGATGATGTTGGCGACGAGCGTGATGGCTTGTCTTGCCTCCGGGGCGATCGCCTGCAGTACGATCAGCTGGATAACGAAAGATTAATAGTGTACACTCACGTCGTTCTCGTCGCTGTAGACAGCATTCAGGTCAAACCCTTCACCACCCTCTCTCTTCTCCACAGACGTTCCGTTGCTAACCCAGACGAAACCGTTCAAGCCGAGGATGACATCCACACCGGAAGGACCGCAAGGAGGAGGGATATGGTAAAAGTGGGATTTGAGACGGCGGATGAGTTGAGGAGGGACGGTGAGGAGGAAGCCGTTTCGCAGCTGGAGAGAGTCAGTAGATGCAAAGACGGAGCAGACCGAGGCATACCTTGCCGTATCTCAGAGATCTCGTATGTAATGACATGGCGCCGTCTCCAAAGAAAGCTTGTACTTCAGCAACCAAAAGCTGTAAGCTGTTAGCGATTTGTCAGACCCACAAGTAGGAGAGAAACTTACATCACCTTCCGCCAAGAAATCTCTCATCCTCAAAGCATCCGACTCGATCTTTCTGCGCTGTACGCCTCCGGGAAGATTGACACTCGACAACATGAGGACCGCGTCTTGCCGTCCGTTGGCGTCCACTCGCCATCTTTGAGCGCCAACTTCAACGATACGACCGATCACCAGATCACCAACTTCTGGTGTATATCTGCAATACATGTCAGCTATGTGGTCGCTCGCTTAAGGGAAAGGGGAATCACCTTGAACGGAGTGGTCGCACAGATATGAGTTTGTTGACCCGATCGATGGTACCAGCTACGGACGATACAACATTTGAATCTTCAACATACGTTCCATGGCCCCTTGGCACTTTATCAGCACACCGCCACTACACACAGACACGGTCGAAGCTCACCTCATATACTCTTTGGAGCTGGTGATGACGGTCCCAGGCGTGACGATATTCCTCGAGCTCGGTCCAGCTCCTCCAAACTCGTCTCCATCGAGATCCATGGCGTCGAGTTCCGCTTGATGCTTGCGATGTACGGCAGGGACATCATCGGCGTAGGTGTGGGAGTCTGTGGCGGTCATTGTTGATACGCTGAACATTTTGGGGATCGATTTGAGAGTCGAGGACGAAGGGTGGTCGTGAAATTGTGACGGGATGAAGTTCGAAGAAAGAGTTGATGTGGAAGCGGCGATGACCGACCTCCACTCTTCCCATCCATCCTGCGTGGTGGCAAACGGGCTGTTGTTTGTTTACCTGTTCACCTGGTTGCAAGTCGATTCACCTTTGGGATCTTGTACCATTGCGGACATAGAGATAGAAGCGACTATACCCGGCAAGAACGCAAGATCATGACAACAGAGCCCAAAGACCTGCTCCTCCTTGTCTGGGTCCACGGGTATGTGAATGGTCTGCGATAACAAGTCGAGCGGGAATCTTACACCTTCCTCACAGTTTCAAGGGTAATGACGTGACTTTTGAGTCTTTCCCAGACAGTGAGCTACCTCACCTCAGACGCGCGCAAGGGAAGCTCATAAACGTTTAGGGATATGCCACCTCTTGCGGACTACCCACGAGTCATTGAGGGTGGAATCTCGAGTGTTTCCCATGTATCAGACGCGGGGAGAGCTGGTGAGATGCTTTAGTGATTATATTGACTCTGTGTCACTGACATATTCGAAAGCACGCAGCTACATTGGCTTTTGTTGACTGGTTGACGGAGCTTGTAGTCAATTTGGAGAACGACCATGGCCAAGGTGGAGGGGCCGGGAAGGCCAAGATAGTACTCATGGGTCATTCGTATGTGTCTTGCTACTTCTGGTACATTCGCTGATCTACGCCAAGCATGGGAGGTCTGTTATGTGCCGACACGTTACGGGATATTGCGCGGAATACCAGAGAGGAGGATCCTATGTGGCCGAAAGTGGTCGGCATTCTAGGTGAGTATCTTGCGACCTGATAACATGTGACAATAAACTGACAAAACCCGTTTAGCGTTCGACACGCCAGTGAGCGAAATTGATATTACTGGAGGAGTGCGTGCTAATCATTTTGCAGTATTTAGGGTTGCACCCTGTAAGTTTTGACAGCCAGAATGATCACATAAACGCTAACAAATGTCCCCTATAACAGCACACATTTGTGAGTATCCGCGTATACGTCGACACTCTTCTGATTGGCGACACAGAAACATCATATTTCCCAGGCAGCCACATACTTTGACCACGCCCGAAGCATAGCTTCTGCCGCGACCATGCTATCTCCCGTGGCTTCTAGCCTCGGCTGGAACATGTTTGGCAAAAAGTCTGATGCCTCAGCCAACTCTTCGAATGCGCAAGCTTCTTCCAGCAAGGGCAAAAGTCGATCCACAACAGTCACTGAAACCTCCGAGCAGTCTGCTGAAAAGTCTGCCGCCTCCAACACGTTTTGGTCCGGTCTATCTCAAGTGTCTTCTGGCAAAAAAATGTACGGTCTTGGAGCAGCTGCTCTGGGTGCGGCGGCAATGGGAGCAGCGTACTATCGCCGTGAAGACTTTGTGACGGGGTGGAAATGGGGGTACGAGCATATGACTTTTGTCAAAAACCTTTGGGATTCAGAGGGGATGACGACGAGGCTGGAAGCAGTTGATGGATTGATCAAGGAGAGGGGGCTGTTGTTTAGCAAGTGAGTCGTCCCTGTGTATCAACTTGATGGAAACCGATACGGAGCAGCTACTACTCGCATCTGCCGCCAAATCCCCCCGACCATCTCGTCGCGCGCACTTTCTCAATACTCCCCCCAACAAACCACCCTCTTTACCCTTACTTTCGCCCAGCTTCAAATACACTCGCAAAAGATGAAGTCTCGGCGCACATGGGCATGTTTAATCCCAAGACAAATGATGGGTTCTATGACCTCGGGCTGGCGGTAGTGAAAGAGATTGGGGAGCGGATAGAAAGAGAAGGCGTTGGGAGAAAGGAAGGTATAGTCGAAGAAGAGCTGGGGGCGGGTGAAGAAAGAGAGGCGACAGGAGAGAAAGATAACCAGAAGGATGAAGGGATTTGGAGAGTGGAGAAGGACGAGAATGGCAAGGAAGTCTGGGTAGAAACCTGACCTGATGGAAAACGGCTATATGTAGAAGGGTTGTTTTGACCAACTTCTTGTGGCTCCTTTTTGTTTTACACACGTCACTTTGCCAGGGAATTGACCGCATCGAATCAAGAGCGGATATTCCCTGGGCGAGTACAACCTCGAGATTGTCTAGGTCCTGTCCGACATGATTTCATTCGACTTCCTTGTTTTCCTGGGAAGGTTACTTTGCAGCCCCACGGCTCCATACAAGCTCCCCATCCCACCTCGCCTACATACATACACTTTTGATAGATGCACGAAGATGCGGCTCGGCAAGTGGCCGCCGGTGCCTGGTGAGTAACTCGTCATGGTGGAGGTCGGCCACTTGACGTCAGCCCGTCTCAGCACCTCATCTCGTGGCATCGCATCTGTACGTCACCGGCAAGACGTCATGTGCGAGGCCTGCTGCTCTATATATACCCCTCCCCCAATCTCTCCTCTTCTCCACCTTCTCAACAAGACTCTTATACTGTATCTCTACTCGAACGATTAACAACCATAATGTCCAACACCATCAACAACGTCGAACGCAAGATCGAAAACACCTTCTCCAGGTCAGCCCATCCATCTCCACGTCCCACATCTGCTGACCCTTTCTAGTGGCCAGCCTGGCACCACCGGTAGGGAACCCTTCGAGGACTCTTCCACTTCTATCGGCGGCAACACCGGCACCGGGCAGTACGGCTCTGGGACAAATACCCACGGTTTGGGCAACACCTCAAGCCTTGGCCAGGGTCAGACTGGAGGTGCCTACGGATCTTCAGGCCAATCAGGTCTCGGTCAGACTACCTCTTCAAACTATGGAGGTGACAATTTGGGCAACACCTCAAGCCTTGGCCAGGGTCAGACTGGAGGTGCCTATGGGTCATCAGGCCAGTCAGGTCTCGGTCAGACTACCTCTTCAGGCTATGGAGGTGACAACGTGACCGGTATCGACTCTCAACACAACCAAGGAGTCGGCGCTGGAGTGAGTCTCTGTCCTCCTTTTATTGTCTCGCGCTGACCATCATCTAGTCGACCGGTCTTCACTCTGGATCAGGCGTCGGCCCCAACACTACTAGCGGTTCGGGCCTCGGCCACACTTCGTCTACAGGTCAGGCCGGCTCAACCACTTCTGGTTCTCACCACGGCACCGGAACAGGCCTCGGAGCGGGCGCTGCTGCTGGCGGAGCCGCGTACGAAGCCGAGAAGCACCTCGGCAAGGGCGGCCACAACTCCTCTTCGACAGGGGCCTCCCATGGCAACACTCTTCCAGAACAGCAACAGTTTAGAAATGAGTCCTCGAATCCTTCTGGTACGGGTTTGACTGGATCCCAAGGCGTATCGGGCCTCGACTCTAGGCAGCAGGGCTCTCTCAACCAAGGCGTGAGTAACTTGCAATGTTGAATGTCCATATCTAATTTTGCTACAGACTACCGGCACAAACTATGGTTCAGACTCTACCAACAAGCATCATGGAGCAGGACTCGCTTCGGGGGCTGCTGCTAGCGGCGCTGCCTACGAGGCCCAGAAGCACGGCAAGCACAACACGTCCGACACTGCCGCTGGCACTCGCGATGTCTCTGGAACATCTGGGGCTCACGGATACAACGCTCAGTCTTCCAACGTCGCGGGTCACGGTTTGACTGGCGACAACAAGACTCACTCCTCTACCCATGGGTCACACACTCACGGGTCTGGCAACCACAGCTCTGCAGGCAATGTTGCCCGAGAAGCTGAGCGAGAGGGCTCTCATGCTCACCACTCGGGAGCCGGCAAGAACGCTGCTGCCGGTACCGCCGCAGGGGCAGCCAGTGTACGTCCTTCTTTCTCATACTTTTCTCCGATCGATGCTAACGTTTCGTTTAGGGCGCTGCTGTCGGTCATCATGCGTCGAACACCCACGACCGATCCACTACCTCTTCCGACCCTACCTCCACCCAGGCTCCCGAGCAGTCTCACGAAGGTGGTGGTTCTAACGGCTTGGGTACCCACGCTGCCGACTGCTCTGGCGGCCCTCATGACTCGACCCACCACAAAGTTTTGCCCGGAAACCAACCCGGATCGGGGCACACGGGACAAGGTGTGTCTGGAGGCACGCGTACTGCAGGCGAAGGAGCTTCCACCGACAAGGTCGGCAAGCAAGGTCAGAACGCGGCCGCCTACGAGAGGTCGACTACCGAGGGCCCCGTCACTGGCGGCGCTGCGGGTACCGACCGCTTCGACACTGACAAGTCGTCTTCTTCTCACGGGGGTGTGAAGGGAGCTGCTGCCGGAGCGGCAGCAGGCGCAGCGGGAGGGGCCGCCACTGGGTAAGTACTCTTCCACATCAATCGCGACTGTATATTGACCGTTTTGTCAGCCACCACTCTGGATCGCACAACCAAACTGGCTTGACCGGATCGGGTACAGGCAAGACCCACAACTACGATGGGACTACCGGGTCTCACTCGGGTTTGAGCGGTTCTGAGGACCCCAGCAAGCAGCAGTCTGGCGGCGCCAAGGGTATTGTAAGTTGAACTGTATCTGGAGTCGAATTTTTGCTCAACTCTATCAGTTTACCACGAGTGACAAGGACTTTACCAACAACGAACGTCTCGGCAAGGGCGCCTACGAAGACAGCAACGCCGCCGTTCAGAACAACACGTCTGGGCCCGGTGGCAACCCTGCTTTGACTGGACGCGAGGGCAATTCGCGAACCAACCCCGTCTCTGGCGAGACCGGCCTTTCCCACACATCTTCTTCCCACACTTCTGGTCACCATGGAACGGCTACTGGAGCGGGTGTCGGAGGAGTTACTGGAGGTGCGGCCTACGAAGCCAACAAGCACTCTGGAAACCATGGTACTTCCACGGGTTCTTCTGTCCCCGGCCAATACCCCTCTTCTACCACAGCTTCGTCCACTGGTGGCGTTCATGACTCTGCTGGTCACCGAGCCGGTGTGGTTGGCGGAGATGGCACAACCGCCACGAACGCCTCGTCTGGGTACGGACAGGGTGCGCAAACCGGCCAGTACACTGGGACTCAGTCCACAGGCACTACTACCCCCTCTACCGGGGCGACCGGTACTTCTGGCCACTCCACCACTGCTCAGAACGTCGAGGCTGCTGAGGAAGACAGCACCCAGAAGAAGGGGTTGATCGAGAAGGTCAAGGAAGCCATTCTTTAAGTATGATCATTTTGTAAATCTATGACTTTGTAGTGGACTCGTCCTCGTTGAATCGCAAACAATTAGCCAAACATGTAGCTAGTAATAACAGAAAAAGAATGTATCAGCTGCCGAATATGTCTCAGATTGATTTTTGACGTTGATTGTTGCAGTTTGTCACTTGCTCGGATTTTCGGCAGAAGACCGTCCTCGACATGGCGTCCACGAGCTCGATTTCTCCCTGAGACGGGCTTTCCGAAAAGGCCAGAGGAAGAGAGTAGGGCGAGCTAGGGATGGGGCGAAGGCGCAGAGGGCTGTGATGTCTCTGGTGGTTGTAGTGTCCGTAGGGCTGTAGTCTTTATGGCCTGTGGTATCTTCGAGGTGCCTTTGCATATGGATGGCGACTTCGGGCGTACATTGACAGGTCGTCAAAAAGGAAGAGAATAGAAGAGCAGCCCTCCATGTACACAGATCGGTGTCCTGCAGCTGGGACCTCGTGCTTGTATCCTTAATACTCTATGTGAGTGAATGCATCCCCCGGGGCGTCGCCATTTCCCGCTGATATACCGTGAGGGAAAAGAGGTTGTGTAGACGGATGCATTGTATGAGACAAGCCCCAACTTTCGATTCTTCTTCTTCAACTGGTACTGAGTCTACAGCTACATACATTCCCGTATATTCTCAATCTTCAACCCAAAAGCCTACCCAAAAGCACACCCAAAAGACGCTACACTCTACTCCGGCCCATCAATGATACACTTGATAACTCCCTTCCCATCCCTGGCCTTGCCCAACTTTGTTATTTCAAACGCCTCCTTGGCCTCTTCAAATGCAAACCTCTGTGTCACAAGCGGCTGCAACTTGACCAACCCCCTCTCGACGAGCGAGATGGCGAGGGGATAGTCGCCAGAGCCGTAGCGGAAGGAGCCGATGACGCGGATCTGTTTTGAGATGATGTAGAAGAGAGGGACCGGGACTGTCATCTTGGCGCCCATACCAACTTGCACGTACGTTCCGCTGTATACTAGGTTAGTGTGGAGCATAGAGCGTAAGAAGAGACTCACGCAGGTTTCAGGACGGCGAGTCCGAGCTGAACGCAAGGAGGAGCGCCAGAGGCTTCGATAGCGAGATCAATAGCACCCTTGCCTCGCTCGGGAATGTTGAGCGTCTGCTGGAGCTCCGCAGCTACCCTGGCAGTGTACGCTTCCCCATCCTCGCCCTCAGTCTTTGGGCCGGGGATGAAAATGTCGGTAGCAGCATAGCTCTTGGCAAACTCCAACCTCTCCTGGTTGATGTCTACCGCCACCACCCTCCTCGCACCGAGGGCCTTGGCGACAGCCATACAAAGCAAACCAACGGGGCCGCATCCAAAGACGACGATGGTCTGGTCAGACTTGAACCCGCCAAGGTTGGCAACCGAGTGGACACCGACGGCGAGAGGTTCGATCATGGCGCCCTCTTCAAAGGAGACGGACTCGGGGATGGGGTGGGCAAGATCGGCTGGCAGGACGTAGTAGCGACAGAGAGTACCGTAGATGGAAGGCGGAGTGGCAGCAAACTTCATGTATTGGCATAGCTATGCGAGTCGTCAGTAACTGGCAGAATGAGGAGATGATAAGCGCACCTCGTACTGTCCAGCTTTGCAGTCGGCACAAGACCTGCAGCATGCTCCGGGCTCAAGCGCCACCCTACTTCCTTCCTGGAGCCCATGGATAGGCTTGACATCGGGTCCGAGCTTGACGACAACACCAGAAGACTCGTGGCCAAGACACATGGGGCATTCGACGACAAAGGGACCGATACCGCCGTGCTGGAGATAGTGCACGTCCGAGCCGCAGATACCAGTCTTTTTGATCTGAATAAGGACCTGGTCACCAGAGATGTCTGGGACGGGGCGCTACGAGGGGTGTGAGTGGGCGTTGGGACGAGGTGCGAGAGGACATACGTTCTCGTACTTGACATCTTCGACGCCGTGCAGGACGAAGCTGGGGTTGTCGGTCTTGAGTTGTCCGCTCATTGCTGGGGTGTTGCAGTTGGATACGAGTGAGAGTTGTGCAAGTGGATGCAAAGTCAAAGAGTGCAGCTTCTAAGCGATAGATAGCAAACATAATTCGGCCCGACATTGTTCGGCCCGCTCGGCATGACTGCCTGCTAATCGTCCTGCAATACTGCCCTGCACAACCCTCCTGTGCCATGCGCCATGTCCACAGCGTGTACCGGTGTATCACCGCATGCATCCCGCTAGACTACATACTCTCGCCCAAGCTGCCCAGAGGGGCCAGCGACATTCAGGGTTGTTTACCAGACATTGTGGCGCCACTCTCCCACGGCTCGCGCGGGTAAAAGTGGTGACATGGAAGGATCGGGCCTCTACGTAGCCGGGGTAGTTGTTGCATGACGCGGCAGTGAAAAGGAATATCAGACATGTCAGAGGACTGGGGACACGTCGAGAGCTCGAGGCCCCCGTAGACGTCACTGGGAGGATCAGAAATGACTCACACTCCCGGTCACACTCGATTGCGGGAATCATTCAACTTCGCGTCGCCGTCTGACGTCAGCTCTTCCCCATCGGCGGCGGGTATATATAATGGCATGTCATATCAATTCTAGGAGCACATCTACCAGAGTATCAGAGAGACACCATGGCCTTCAACAAATGTGTGTGGTGCTTGATGTCGCTGGGGATGCAGTGCTGACAAACCCGGCTTTCAGACATCGTCAAGCTTAACGACGCTACCAAGGCGGACCAACCTACCCTTCTCAAAGCGCTTGATGAGCTCCTCAACAACGGTTTGACATCTTGATGTCTGCTATCATCCGTGCTGACCCTCCATACAGGTATCCAGATCGTGCAAGAGAAGAACACCTCTACCCTCGGTCTAGTGCGCGTCCAGGTTCCCGAGGAGATTGACGTCAAGGAGGCTATCAGGAATAGCACTCTGCTGACCCAGGCTGTCGAGAAAATTGGTGAGTGGATCTAGTTTGTCGATCACATGATCGTTGACCTTGAAATAGACCCCATTGCCGAGTAATCAACAAGGGCGACGAACCCATGTAGAGATTCTGACATAGGACGTACTGTATCCATAGCAACTTTTCAATATGTAATTCCCATCAGCCTTTATCGATCGTGCGGAATCGTCCGTAGAGTGATAGTAGCAGGTCACTTGTGGTCAAATAATTGCTGCACCACACTCTAACTGGGTTTCATGTTCTCTGTACAAAAAGGGGTATTATACACATGCTTGGTATCGATACAATCACAAAAGTCTAATGCACCCAAATCCTCACTTTTCATCAATGATCTTTTGCGCCGCTTGCCTCCCCCTCATTTCGCCCTCGCTCTCATTCCCTTCCCCCTTCCGCGCCCTCGACCCCTTATCGCTCTCCCCCGGATCGCTCTTTCTCTGTGCCGCGCTCGACCTGCTCTTTTGGTTTTCGGTCTGTGACGCAAGCTCATCCGCTTCGTCGATCGTCTTGTCGATATCAATCTTTTCCGTCTTGTCCCCTTCACCCTCCGTATCTTTGACGACTGTCTGGGGCTCGGGCTGGGTAGAAGACGACGGGTCGACATGCTCTTGCACATCCTTCTTTCGCTTACCCACCCCCACCTCCACCCCGCCCTCTGCCTGCTTCTTGCCATTCTCCTCTCTCTCCAAACCTTCGAGCTCGCCCCGCCACTCCATATCATAGTCTGCCGCGATTCGCTCAATCTCGCGTCTCAGCGTTTTGGCTTCAGAGACCATCTCGGTCCAGCGATCGAGGTCGAGGCCAGCTTCGCCATACAGCCTGCGTTGACGCGCAGTGATGGAGAGGTCGAGGAGGGAAGAGTAGGACACTTCGCGGTTGTGGTAGATGAGAAAGGCGGCAGAACCGAGGAGTGCTGAGTATGGATTAGCTTGTATCAGGTTGAGTAGGCAGAACGTACCGGCGAATCCGGTGGCCCATGTGACGGGCTCCATCTGGTCCCATCCCGCTTCGGTAAAGAAGGCTACAAAAGTGTCAGCGGGGGTCCGCACGGGTAAGAGCGAGGTGCATACTGAAATGAATCACGGTGCCCCAGTAAAAGACGCCACCCGAGAGCGCAGCTACAGCGAGCTTTTGCGCACCTTTGTGAGCCTTGAGATCAATCCTGAGATGAATCAGCTCGATCCTCAACAAGATGACGGGACGCACTCCTTCTTTTGCTTTGTCAACTTATCCAGCTCCTTGGTCAGACTCAGAAGTCTCTTGCGAATGTAGATTGTGCGACTGGCAAAGCTCGGTATCGTGACCTGCAGCACGACATCTGGCAGCCCCCTTTGCCCTTCTTCCAGCTCTGACCCGTCCCAGTACCTGGTGGGAGTAATGACAATCTTGAATTTCTCATTCAGACACGCCTGCTTGATAAAGTCGGACAAGTCTGTAGACTGGGACCACGAGACTTCCTGCCACCGCCCGGCATCGCTCTTGCGCTCACGCAAGAATGGCCCGCCGTCATCGCGCGCCTGGGGTGAAGACGGGTCGTAGACAGCCTGGTCGTTTTGCGTCGGGGGCTCGGCATCCGACTCTTCTGCTTTGCGCAGGTGCGAGTCGACATCGTCCTTCTCGCCGGTCAGCGCGAGATAGGCAATGTCCGAGTGCGAGTAAGGCGGGGTGAGAGACCCAGATATGAGCCTGCTCAGGTGGGACAGTGGCTGCGACGGGTGAAGCAAGAATGCTGTTGGCCTCACATCGGGCTCGCCCTCCTTGACGCCGCGCTTGTACTCGGGCAGGGGAATGATGAGCTTGAAGAGGTGGCTGGTGGTGGGCGAGACATGGCCCTTCCACTCGTGGGTGAGGGACTCTGCGAGGTCCTGGCCTGCGTGGGGTGTCTGAGTGGGGTTGAAGTCTGAGGCAGAGGAGGCGTTTGAGATGAAGTGGGCGTGGGAGAGGTCTGTGGCGTTGGAGACGGGGACGGGGCCCTTGTTAGGCGCGCGGGAGGTGGTGTGGAGGGGGCGGAGGAATGCGCGAGGGGCGCGGGCGAGGAGAGGGAGACGCATCGCGGATGTATAGCTGGCAAGAAGAGAAATCACAGATGCATGAGAGGATAGGGGGGTGCCTGGTGACGCGCGGCAAATGACGTAGGGGGTATGTGATCGAGGCACAGCTGATGCGCCCATCTCCTCTATCTTGGAAGCGTTGGATATCCTGATTCCCCTGTCCCTGTGCGCTCCCTCCTCCCTCCTCTTTGTGGCGGATCCCCGGCGCAGGGCGGCAGTCGCCGCAGTCAGCCACTTATTATTAGCGTGCGCTGCGCTGGAATCAGGACCTGAGAAGGCCTAGACGTGCCTGTTATTTTCCATGGAGTATTTAGCTTATTTACGCTTCCATTGTTTTGAGCCAACCGCTCCAGGGTGGTGCAGATCTGCTCTCCTCTCTCTGCCCCCCCCACGCCATGCCCCGCCGCCCGTGATCCCCCTCCCCAGCCCCCACCGAGCCATCTTCCGCCGACAGCGCAGCCATTCGCAAACAGTAAACACCCTTTCTCGCCCTGAATTAGGCCAATCTCCCTCGGCTTCCCCCTCTCCGTACCGCCCATCCTGTCCCCTGTGCTTCCCAGAAACACTCAGAAACGCCAAACCGCGCCTTGTACTGTTTTTAAAATTGGGTGCTGTCATCCTTCACGGCATTGTACGAGAGGTGACACCTTCTGCTGAACGTAGGCGCGATAATCTTTTATTTTCGGCGTCTATATCGCTGATGCTGTTGCTGTTGCTCGCAGCTCGCCACCCACTCATTCGCGATGGCCGGCTCCTCCTCTGCTGCCCTGCGCGCAGATGATGACACCGACCACACCTACCGCTCGCCTCCTATGCCCCTTGTATCGGCCATGCACAACAACGGCGGTCAAGATCCAAATATTCGCCATGAGCAAAAACGCGGCAAAGCGCGATTCGCCCCCTCAAACCTCTCCTCTGTCTGGCGGTCTATCAAGACCCGTCTCACACCTCCTTCCCACCCGTCAACGACCTCGGAATCGGCTCTGGGGTCCGGGTTGAACAACACCGACAACATGTACTATGAGGATGATTCGGCGGTTCGGCATCTTCCCCTCGAGCTCTTGAATCCCAAAGCAGGGACAGACGGTCGTCACAAGCGCAAGTCCAAGAACAGTGGCTCTAGGAACGGTCTTCGAAACCGGGCGCGAGGGAGCCAGGGGGCGACCAGCACGTCGCGTTATGGCGACGACGATGACATGTCGGCCAAGCCCGCCGAACCCGTTTCCAGGATCGTCGTAGACAACAACTTTGAGCACTTTACACCGATGGTGCCCAAGAGCGACTCTGGGTATGGGTCAGGCAGGACGCCGGGGACAAATGCCACACCAGGTATGGATCTCGAGGAGGAGGAGGACGGGACGCCCTTGGACCGGAGCGATGCTGCGAGCACGCAGAGGAGGAACAGCAGGACGCTCTGGATACGGAGAAACAGTGTGGTAGAGATGATGGTCGATAGAGTATGGCCCAACTTCAAACATTTCTTGGATTCAAGCTATCCCGAGCCCAGCAAAGAACGCTCTTTCCAGAAAGAGGTATGTGCCATTAGCTATACGCGTAACGAGCTGACGTTTGTCTAGCTTTGGTTTACACAGAAACAAGGCGCCCTTGCCTCTAGCGTTTTTTTGCTCATCAACTGGGTCCTTACTGTCGGCCTCCTCCCCAGACCATTCACAACCTTTAATTGGATAGCCTACTTTGCCGTCGCCGGCGTCGTCACTGTCCCGATTCTCCCCCTCGTGGCTCTCGACTATCCACGCCGACACCCCAAGCTATGTCAGCCTATAATCTTCTCCGCCTGCTGGGTATTCGCCTATATCCTGCTCGTTGAGATCCATATATGTGGATACTTTAACGACGTCAATGAGTGTGGGAATAGGAATTTCATGAACCTCTTGGGATTCGCCTTTGGGCAGCCCACGCTCGGGTTGTTGACTTTGAAGGAAGATCGAGGGTTTGCGGTCTTTGGAGCAGCGTCGTGGCTGATATTGACTGGCGCCTTGGTCATGTCGGAGCAGAATTCGCCAACACTGTTTTATCGAAACATGGTCTTTTGTGAGTAGTTTTCTGTTGCGTTACATGGCTGAGCTAACTCTTGGTCTAGTCGCCCTGTACCACGCGTTCCTCATCGGCGCGAGCTTTCTCAAGGAACGCAGCGACCGTCAAATGTTCGCCCTTCGTCAACAACTCAAAATCCAATATCGCGCCACCCAGTCTGCCCAGGTCATGGAGCGTCGAGCTGCCGATTCCAAGAAACGATTCGTTTCTTACAGTGCGTTCTTCTATCTTTGCGAAACTTCATGCTTATCGGTTCACAGTTTTTCACGAAGTTCGTGTACCACTCAACACGGCTCTCCTTGCGGTCCAAAATTTGCAAGGCGAGAAAGTGTTTGACGATGTGCAGCATGAGCAAGGAGAGATGGTCGATGGATTGATCAGCAGTCTGACAATGATGGAAAAGGTCTTGAACGATGTTTTGAGTTTCAACAGAATGGAGAGTGGCAAGGTAAGCCCCCCAGTCTTTTCGAGGGGTGGTCTGACGAGAAACAGTTTGCCCAAGCGCGTAAACCATTTGATTTTCACAAATCTATTCAGCTCGTCGCCCTCTCTCATCGCACCCAAGCCCAGATGGCAGGTATCGACCTCGACGTCGAGCTGGACACGGACATTGACAAGATCGGCGGCATCTTCGTCGGGGACGAGATGCGCTTGCGGCAGGTGGCGAGCAACTTGGTATCAAACAGTATCAAATTCACAGATCAGGGAAGCGTCAGGATCGTGACCAAGTTGCTCTACCCGAGGCTTGAAGAGACGCCGGCTATGGAGGAGGATGATCCTCTGAGGCAGGCGGCTATCAACCTGCAAAGACAACAGCAGTTGGAAGAGACGGACAAGCAAGTGCAAGGACGTACATCTACTTCGGTCCAGCCTGCTCCCGTCCAAGCAACACACAGTACCCTCCACGGCTTCCTACATCGCTCCCACTCTCTCTCCCACACCAACTCTCAGTCCCGCCCTCACTCCACAAAAGGCTCAAGCCCTGTCGCCGTGGATCTTGAAAAGGGGTCGATCAGTATGGAGGTGCGGAGGGATCGAGATTCCATGCTTGCCAGGGAAAAGGAGAGGGAGGAGGAACGGAAAAGGGTGCAAAAAATCGTTGTCAGGGTCGAAGTGCATGATACAGGCGTGGGCCTGAAGAAGACTGATCTCCTGGAGTGAGTCTGCCTCATCCTGCTAGATGGCAAGCTGACTCGAGTGTAGTGGCGATCTCTTCTCTCCTTATGTACAAACCGAGATCGGGCGAAGGCAAGGTGGTAAAGGAAGCGGTCTAGGCCTCGCTCTCGTCAGGCAGATCGTCAAGCTTTCCAACGGCCGTCTCGGTGTCGAAAGTGAGCTGGGCAGGGGTAGCATGTTCTGGTTTGAACTTCCGTATTCTTTGCCGCCCCCACCCAAAGCTCCCCGAGCGCGCGAGACCTCGGGCCTCAGTACACTGGGCCCAAAGTCATCGGGAGGCGTCGCCCTCGAAAGGGGTGGGTCAAACGATAAAGCCTCTCAAGGGGGCTCTGGAGACCAGGTACCGGGTGTCGAGCGTAGCGGAGGCGGAGGCGGCGGAGGGCCACAAAGACCAGGGACAATGGTGAGGATCCAGTCGACCGCAGAGGTGATCAATTCTACCAGCCACGATGGGTCCGAACGGCCGGCCATGGGGACCACCGATAGTACCATGCCGCTCCTGCCCTCCGAAACATTACCTGGTCAGTGCAACTCTACGAATATTGAGGTGTGCTTACTTATAGATGAGCAGTTTCCGCGGAAGAAGCTGTGATTCATACCTATCCACCAGCATCACCTTCAGCCACCTCTTCAACTCCTAGCACCTCGAATTCTGCATGGCTTGATCCCTTTGCTGTACCCATTGCCTACAACACATTGACCGAACGGCGTTCTTCGGAATGGAGCGAAGAGATGGGTCGTGCTGCGGCGGCTGTGCAGAGGTTGGAGAGTGAGCGTGCTGAGGAAGGCAGGGGTTTGGGCATGGACGTCGGCCAGGTAGCGGAGGCAAGGCTGAGCGCGGAGGGCAGGGAGACCAACCACACAGAAAAGGCACAGCCGATCAAGGATGAGGTGGCAAGAAAAGGCGATGGAAGTGCTCCCCTCTCAACATTGGTCGTAGACGACGACAAGTGAGTGGCTTTAGTGCTAATGGGTGTCAACCACTGATGTCTGTACAGACTCACACGTATGCTCATGTCGCGCATGCTTACCCGTCTGGGGCATCAAGTCACAACAGCCGAGAACGGTAAAATGGCACTGGAAATCATCACAAATATGCTTGAAGGCAAACCAGGCGCTCCGACATTCGACGTGGTCTTCTTGGACAAGTAGGTGATATCGAGACACATGATCGGATTTGGCTGATACCGTGCCAGTCAAATGCCACTCATGTCTGGTGTCGAAGTCGCCACAGCGGTCCGCGAGATGGGCTGCCCCATCTATATCGTCGGCTGTACCGGTAATGCTCTCCGTGAAGACCAAGACGAGTACATTACTGCCGGCGCAGACACCATTCTCACCAAACCTATCCATCAAAAGAACCTTGTCGACATGATCAGGGACGCCAGGAAGAGGGTGGCCGGCGAGACGTCGCCGAGGGATATGGACATTGGGCCGGATGACGGGCCGATGGGCTCGATGCGGCATATGCCCTAGTCGTGTCCTCTTGTAGCTTTGGCTGACTCTCGCGATCGGACTCTGGACTCTTGTTTCAACAATAATCTTTCTCAACCCTGTTTCTCATTAGTCTTCTCACCGTATCCGTGTTTCAATATAACCTAGTTCTGCTTACTCTATATATATCATACCTCAGGATTGTGTGCGTCTTTCTTGTTTCTATTTACATAGCTTGAAGTTTCGTTTCGATATACATTATGGGTTTTCGGGCGCTTATTTCTTCATAACATCTCCCAGCATGGATATCAGATTGCATATCATCATATCTGCAAACGTGAATCGGCCAGTATGCATGAAAAGTGGTCAGTATGCGATCACGTTTGTCAACATGAGAAGAGGACGATTTGTCAGTGTCGAAGCGGCCAGTATTCGCAGCGCCACCAGTGATGGGACCCTCGGTAGTCGACCTCTCATAGTTGCTTGCCGACCTTCTTGGTGGAGACTCCTTCGCCTGCAGTACGCGTACCTCCAGATACACCTTGACCCGTGTGCCTTGATCCGGGTTGATTTCCGGGCACAGCGCGATGATGAGTCGAGTCATGCGGGCGCCAGAGCATTCGGCAGCGTGCGTACCCAAGCCGTTAGAACCACCACCTTCGTGAGACTGCTCGGGAGCCTGGGTGGAGGTAGGGTCGGAGGAGGTAGTCGATCGGTTGTGGGTGTTCAAATCGTGGGTGTTCGACGCATGATGACCGACAGCAGCGCCCTAAACGGAACGTCAGCATCGAACGGTAGAGGGTATGAGCAAGAAGGACGTACACTGGCTGCCCCTGCGGCGGTACCGACAGCAGGATTTTTGCCGGCTCCCGAGTGATGAGCGTTGGAGCCCTCTCGCTCAGCCTCTCGGGCAACATTGCTTGCAGAGCTTCAATCGCCAGACTTGTAAGCGTCAGAACCGTGGGTAGAGGAGTTCTTGTTGTCGCCAGTCGAACCGTGACCCGCGACGTTGGAAGACTGAGCGTTGCATCGGTGTCACTGCCTCCTTCCGTTCATCACCAATATTATTCTTCCTTTGCTCCCACTCACCACGTCATCACAAACCTTCTCGTGTCAACTCCAACCGCCATTTCCATTGTTCCCTTCTCAACCCTTGTCGCTTTCCATCTCGCTATCGTCTGACATTGTTCTGGCTTTCGCTGGAGCTTCCGGCATCTGGTCAACCCTGACGCCCGCCGTTCCTTAAAAGATGGCCATTGTTCTTGACCCGTCTGAACCCTATCATCCTTTGAACAATAACACCTTTCGACTATCGGGCCAGGAACAAGTTCGCCGATAAATTGAGCTCGATCTTTCATCCAACGCTGCTCCAAGCTCCGCGGCCGCTTTCACTGCCACTCTAAATCGACGACGTTGAGAATGCTGACCATTTACCGGCGCAGCGCGCAGGACTGTCAGTATGTGTTCCACGATCCCTTCATGCCGGCCCCAATCTTTGCACGCAGGCAGTCAGATCGTAAAGGAGCGATAACGCCGAAAGCCGGTACGAAGAGGGTCGATGAAGACGTATTGACAGTCTTGCACGCTGCTCTGAATTTGGCGGGCATTGGACGTCGTGCCAGAGTAGTAAACATTCTTGGAGCTTGGCTTCGGTATATAAGTTATCGTCTTTGTCAGATACGGATAAGACATTGGGCGTGGTAATTAGATCCGGCAATCGCTGCGCGATCATGCAGTTCCACGCGGAGACGAGTCCTCGGTCAAAGAGAAGCACTTGAAGCGACGATTACCCGAGAGTGCTGTGGCCAAGGACCGGCTGCGGGCAAAGGCAAATCTCAACATCGCATATGCTGCTATCAAGAAGCCAGAACGAGCTGTAAGAGGCGACCCAGGGCTATATACAGAGAGGTGCATCAGATGCAGGCAGCTGGCCGAGGCGAAAGACAAACGCGTGGTGGCATTTACGTAAGGGTATGCGGCCTCCGGGGATCCGCAGCCAAGTGTTGCGGACGGGTTTTGCAGCGCGCAGGCCAAGCATCTCGAATTCTGAACCCGTCTGGGCACCCAAACGCACTGCAAAATCCGCCCTCAAGCTGTCTTCCCATCCACACCGCCCCCCCTCGATCCTCGACTGGTTAAAGAGCAGGCTGCCCACTGTCAGCGCGAGCGAACACACAGGCCCGACATATCTGCCCATGTCCGTCTTCGGCTCTTCCTCCTGGGGAGGCAATGAGAGGGAGTATGTGCCCATGACTACGCGCGACACCAAAAGGTCATCTGTAGGCTACCACCATCAATCACGAAAGTGCATCCTGCTAACACTATGCTGTAGACCAGCTTGAGGATCCTTCTAATACGCCTGCTTCCACCAGCAATCATACTAGCCATCGGCGTCCTGATAGGCTCCAATTTCCCCTTTTACTTGTCGGTGTATAACCGGCGGTCGTCTACAGCCTCTTCCCTTCTTCCCCGCGCCCTGCCCCCCCTCACCTCTTCTTCCACCACCGACCAGCTCCTGTCTCTCGGCCTGCCCCCGCCCGAGGAGCCCATACCCAACATCGTCCACTATGTCTATGGCCTCGCGGACGACCAACCAGACTTCCCTTATTTCGCATATCTGGCGATGAGGAGCGCGCTGGTCAGTCTGAAGCCGGACAGGGTCTACTTTCACTGCATACATGAGCCGAGGGGGTACTGGTGGGAGAGGGTAAAGGACTGGGAGGGGTGGGAGGACGAGGAAGGGATCACGAGAGGCTTGGTGGAGGTCAAAAAGGCGAGAGATGTGCAATGGATAGGCAAGAGTCGGCGGCCTGTCGTTCATGTACGTGAGACAAGCGCTGTCTCAGGAAAGCTTGCTGACAACACGATAGTTTGCCCATAAAGCAGACATCATTCGTCTAGAAGTGTAAGTCTCTGACGCGACTATTGCAATCTGTGCTAACGCGTCCCGAAGCCTGCTAGAATATGGCGGTATCTATATCGACATTGACACGTTCATCCTGAAATCCTTTGCGGCCGCTTCTCTACTCCAGTACGACACTGTCCTGGGGCTCGAAGCTCACGGGCTCACCTTTCTCCGCGGCCCGGGGTCGGACGACGAGATGCGGCCAAAGGGGCTGTGTAATGCCATCATTGTAGGCCGGAAAGGCGCGTCGTTTTTGACGCGATGGCTGGAGAGCTATGAAGGGTTCAGGGAGGACAAGTGGACGGAGCATTCGGTGGTACGTCTGCATTCAAACATCGTCGAGGGGCATCGCTGACTTGCCCAGGAAATGCCATGGACATTGGCGCAGGTCTATCCGACCTCCGTGACCGTGCTGTCCGAGCGGGCATTCTTTTGGCCAATATGGACGGACGACCACATCCATGCAGTCTATGCGACTACGCAATACGACTTTGAAGCCTCCGGCCAGCTCGCGTACGTGTACACTCTCCCTCCACACATGCCTCGACTGACATTTGGGCCAGCTATCACGCATGGGAGTCCAAAGCCCGGCCTTACCTATCAAGACTCGACCCGTCCACTATTGGGCACATTGACACGTCCTTTACCCGCATGGCCCGCAAGTTCCGAGAGCCGGACGAGGAAGCCCGCTGGCGCGCAGCAGGCAAGGAGGACGGGGCGGGGAGCGGTACGGGTGTGGACGAAGGGGTGGAGGAAGGGGAAGAGGAGGAAGTCATTGGTGGGCAGGTGACGAGGGGCAGGGGCCTGTGGCGGAAGGCGGGCGCCATGCGGTGGGACAGTTTGGACGTGCGGAGAAGAATAGGAAGGACGGATTAGGACATGGTTTCATGGTTGTCTCGTGTACATATTAGCAGCATTTATACATATGTAGATTGTTATCGCTCCAAGCATTGTTTACGCTTTCCAGAGCTGAGCGAGTTCTCGTCATATCTGCTCACGAAGTGACGTGCCCATAAAAACAAGCCAGAAAGGAAAAGGGATCGGAGAGCAAAACTCCTTGCCCTTTTGGCCGTGACGTCAGGTCGGAGATTTGCGTTTCCAAAAGGGCCAGAATACCCAGCTGAAATTGAATTTGCGCGGGCCAATGGCGGCCCCGAGTCGCCTCAAGGGGGATGTGCCTTTTGCAGCGCAATTTACGGCGCCACTGGCCCATTTTGCCAGGTCCTGGGCGGCTGGGCCGGGATCAAACTGTGGGTCGATCTCCAGGCGTGGAGATCCACAGCAGCAGTCCTTCTTCGTCATCCACAGCAGGCCGCGCCTTACAAATACCACCATCCATTTCCATCTCCCTCCTCCTTCCTCATCTCTCCCCGCTACACCCCCAGTGCCCTCAACGGAAGGTCCTGTACTTTTGTCGTTCTAGAAACACCGATACGCTTTAGGTGAGTTGCCCGCCTGTCATGGTGACGTCAACACAACGATTTTGCTGACGCTCCATTCCCCATTACCTCTCTCTTGCTCCTCACCTCATCCACTCGTCTTGCCGCCACTCGCCGCCCGCTCTCACAGCTCATTAACACGCCCCGCTGCGACGTCCACAGTTCGACAGCCCATCCCGCGCATCTACTTTCACACTGTCTGTCAAGACAGCCTCACTCGTAACGTCTCGACTGGCACGCAAATTTCTATCAGACAGCGACTCCTCTCCGACGAGCCCCCCGTCACCTGCCTCGCCGTCTGTTCTGGTACCCCTTTCAGACACGGCACTCCCGACACTTGAGCGACTGCAGCTTGCTCCCAGCATCGCCTCTACCCTTTTCTCCAAGCAATCGCCCTCCAACCACTCTTCTGCCTCGTCGCGCCAGTCGACAAACACTTCAGGCTCTCACTCTGGGTCCCACCGGTCGCCCAGTATTCCCTATCTGCCTCTTTCTCGACAGCGAAAGGTAGTGGCAAACGTCAAAAGCATTTCTGGCGCCACTCTCGAAGACGACTACGAGACCGCGCTGCACAAACTGGAAAAGGCCGATATACAAGGCGACATGTTGTCTAGCTTCAAACGTGAGTGCTTTCTCCGGCTGGCTGTCCCCTGTTTGCGAGTGCCTGCGCCGTCGTTTTCGCCCGCGCCATGTCCTCTGCGTTTGGCGCGGCGGGACCAAATGCGGGACCAACTGGGGTTGATCGATGTTGAGCAATCGCGATGACGAGGGGGGTCTGTGCGCGAAAGGACCCGCTCCACACTTGACAAGCACTTTTTGTTTCTCTTATCCATTCCATCTCTGCCATGTCCCCGCGACCGCGCTCCTCATGTCTTTCTTTGCTCCCTCGCGCGCTCAGCCCTCTTCCTCTTCCACCTCCCCCTTCCTCCCCTCCCCCTCCCGCGCACTCTCCCCTGTTCTCATCCCGTCCACCTCTACCACAGACAGAGCGCTGACTTCCCCTCCCCTGCCCATCTCCTTCCGCCATCCTCTCCACGCATCCTCGCCACCCAAACCCATCCCCATCCCCGGCTCGAACGACACCTCGCCCGTCCGCTCTCGCCCGACTCGCATACCCTCCATTTTTCGTCGCCGCTCGTCGTCCACCACAATCGACTTTCTCGCTCGCTTCCCTCTCACCCGCCATCGCCAATCATCAGAAATCCTCCGCCACGGCAAGCACGCCCAAACGGCGTCTCCTGGTGCCCAGCCCAACGAGGGTAAATCCAGCCGGTCATCCAGATCTTCCCAGGTTCCCACGCAACAACCCATATCACCGCAAAAATCTCGCCACCACGATGACGCACAGCGATTAGCCGCCCACCAGGGTAAGTTTGGGAGTTTGGGCATAGGACAACAGGCTGAAAGTCCGTGTAGCGCAAATCGCTCAGCAACAACAACAACAACAGCAGCAGCAGCAGCAGCAGCAGAGGGTTCCCGTCGCCTCTCCCAACTACCGAGAAGAAGCCGAAAAGATTGTTGCCGACGAGCGTGCTCAGAATGACAAGATGCCTCAGTATCCCGTACGTGCCCCCTGTTCTTGGAGAGCGCGGCTGACGTTGGCTGTAGGGACTCGAAGAGTATCGTTTGGTAGAAAAGATGGGCGACGGTGCCTTTTCCAACGTCTACAAGGCCGTCGACCGCAAGTCTGGTATCAAGGTCGCTGTCAAGGTCGTTCGCAAGTACGAACTAAATCAGTCTCAGGTGAGGATTTTCTCTCATCATCTTTACGTATATTGCCCATAGTTGTTCTTCTTGCTTGAGCTGCCTCCCGGCCCTGGCCAGGTCGGGATCAAGGCAGCAAGAGCTTTTTAAACCTTCATTTTGTCTATTCTTTCAACCCTAGTCCTCTGACCCCTCAATCGGATGCGGCGCTTCCAACGGTATTCGACACCTCGGCACCGCCCCCCGATAGATGGGTCCGCTCCACATACCCCCAAACGACTACTCCGACAGAATTGAAAGCACAGGTCCACTGACTCGCGCGGTGCGTCCATTTAGCACGGCAACAAGCATTTGAACGCCAAATTTCAGAAACGACCAAGAGTCACCGAGGTTGGTCTTTTTCTTCAACACACTTGTAATATATTTCCAAACAACCGTTGCGTTTCTGTCGTCGTGCTGTACGCTTCCACGCGCTTCGACAGAGAGCACGGATCTCTTCCCACATTTACCATACTTGGACTTGCGATCGCTGGCCCTTGAGCGTCGAGAGTACCTTTGTACATACCACAAGCATTCCCGTCAGCAGCACTGCGCGGGGTGTATTGACAGAGTATGCCAGATGAACAAGGGCTGATAAGATCTTCAGCGTGCCAACATCTTGAAAGAAGTTCAGATCATGCGCGGTATCGACCACCCTGGCGTCGTCAGGCTACTCAAATTCTTCGAGAGTGATGAGCACTACTTTTTGGTACTCGAGCGTGAGTGTCTGCAAACGATCTCGGGATTTCCGCTGATGAAGTTTCCAGTCATGGAGGGCGGTGAACTGTTCCACCAGATTGTCAAACTCACATATTTCTCCGAAGCTCTGTCGCGACACGTCATTGTCCAAGTCGCCGAGGCTATTCGTTACCTGCATGAGGAACGTGGTGTTGTACACCGGTGAGTCGATCCTTCAACACTGTTTCGCCTACTGACATTGCCTAGTGATATCAAGCCCGAAAATCTTCTGTTTGAACGTATCCCAATTATCCCCTCCAAGAACCCGATACATCGCCCCTATGATGAGGAGAAGGAGGACGAGGGCGAGTTCCAACTCGGCATTGGCGGTGGTGAAATCGGCCGAGTCAAGATTGCCGACTTTGGACTGTCCAAGATTGTGTGGGATGAGCAGACAATGACGCCGTGCGGTACCGTGGGATACACTGCTCCGGAGATCGTCAAGGACGAGAGATACAGCAAGAGTGTCGATATGTGGGCTTTGGGATGTGTCCTCTATACGCTATTATGTGGTTTCCCTCGTGAGTTGTGTTAGCGCACTCGTCTAGATCGCTGCTGACCTGTCTTGCTAGCGTTCTACGATGAGAGCATCAATGTCCTTACCGAAAAGGTTGCTCGAGGTTACTACACCTTCCTGAGTCCTTGGTGGGATGACATTTCACATTCTGCCAAGGATCTCATCAGCCACCTGCTTTGCGTCGACCCCGCTCAGCGATACACCATTGATGAGTTCCTTGCCCATCCCTGGATCAAGGAAGCTCAACCTCCCCCTCCCCCCTCTACCCGTCTCAACGTACCGTCCAATGCGCCCATGGACTCCCCCCTTCTCGCTTCTATGCGTGCTGGCAACCGCGAGGGCCGATCTCCAGGAGTTGGCGCTCTCAAAGAAGCCTTCGATATCACCTACGCTGTCCATCGTATGGAGGAAGAAGGTGCCCGACGCCGTGCGTACAATGGCCCTGGCGGCGCTGGTACGCGTGGATTCTTGCATGGGCTGAATGAGGAAGAGGAAGAAAGTGATGAAGCTGTGCAGGTTGAGGAGGCACGTAGAAAGCATGGCGAGGTCGTCGCGCGACAGATCCAAGAACATCGAGGTCGGGCTGCTGCCAATGCCGCTAGCGGCGTCAAGGAGCAGCCTGCTCCTCAGCAGTACGTCGGCCGAGGTGGGGCCAACAGGCGAGAGGCTGAGGCTGCGCTCTACGATGGCCGAGCGGGGCAGAGAGATAGGGCTGGGGGCAAGTCGCAAGGTGGCGGCGGGTTCGAGCTTGATCTCGGGAACGCGACGCTACTCGGTCGAAGGGGCAAGAAAGTTGCACCCAGTCCTCTGGCGCAAATGAACCAATAATGGCAATCAAAAATGGAAGAAGAGCACCAGGGGGACAGATGGTGTCATGATGTGAACTTTGTACTTTAGTGTTATGTGTTTGTTCTTTCTTTCCTCTTCGTATATTTGACTATCGTCCGCCCATAGAATTATTATTAGTCTTTGATATCGCTCCTCTTTATCCTTCGATTCGACATAGCATGGTCTCTACCATTTCATGAATACCATTGAACCTCAGCTGCCAGCGGTGTCCACCGGCTAACGGCTACCTGGCCACTCGCCGAGCCGCGCTGTCCACGCACCATTCCGTCTCCTCTGCCATCTTGTATCACCAGTTCATGTCTTTCGCAGCGACATGAAAGCATTTCAAGTCTCCAAGCTCGCCCATCCCAGCAACATATCACCGTACGATTCTCCCACCCGAGTCTCCGCCGTGGGCAATGGGCTTACGCTGATGGCCATCAGGTCTGACATCCCTATCCCCAAAGCTGATGGAAGCAAGGGCCAGGTCCTGCTTGACGTGCATGCTGCTGCTCTGAATTTCTTCGAGTAAGTCTAGCCCTGGATCTGTGCGGCTAATGGATGAGCTGATTAAAGTACGTGGTCAGCATCCTTCAGTCTCAAGGCCTTTACCAGAGTAGGTCTGCATCAGATCGCTATGCGAAGAGGCTGACGGGAGGGGTACAGCAAAGCCACCGTTGCCGTTCGTGCTGGGAGCCGAAGTGGCTGGAACCATCTCCAAGACTTCGCCCATTCCCGAAGGGTGTCCGTTCAAACCTGGTGGTAAGCACGACTCCGCAATGATATCTTGTCTATGCTGAGGGCCGAGTAGACAGAGTCTTTGGTATCACCCAAGGGGCCTACGCAGAACACGTCGTTGCCGAATGGAAACGCCTCATGCCCATCCCCCCGAACCTGTCCATGGCGCAAGCTTCGACAGTGCCGCTCACCGCTACGACCAGCTATCTAGGTATCGTGATCAAGGGACAGGCCAAGCCGGGAGAGTGGGTGCTGGTACATGGCGCTGCCGGCGGCGTGGGTTTAGCTGCTTGCCAAATTGCAAAGGGTAAGCTTTGGCTGTGCAGCCTTGAGAGCCGAACGCTCATGCTCGGTTCAGCTGTGGGATGCAAGGTCATCGCAGCTGCTTCGACAGATGCCAAAAGGCAGTTCTGCGTGGACAAGGGTGGTGTTGATGAAGTCGTCGACTATACCAAAGACGGATGGCAGGTGAGTACTCTCCCTTCATCTCTGAGGTGCTACTATGCTGATAATTTGGACTAGAACGAAGTGAAGAGGATCACCGGCGGTAGAGGTGTGGACATTGTGTACGACCCTGTGGGACTAGTCATCCCGAGCTTGAAATGTGTAGCTGCCAACGCGAGGATATTGGTCATCGGCTTTGCTGGAGGCACAATCGAAAAGGTGCGTCTCACTACAGCTGTGCTTTGTATACCCACCCTGACGACGATGCAGATACCCGCGAATCTCCTCTTGTTGAAGCAGGCCAGTGCAGTGGGTGTATTCTGGGGCGCAACTACAGGTGAGTACACGACAATGACCTTGCAGAACTTTGATTGACTCTATGGCGCGCAGAGAAGGACCCAGAGACTGCCACTCAAGTCACCAAAGGCGTCTTCAAACTCCTCTCCACCAACGAGATTCGCCCCGTCGTGCATTCTACCATTTACCGCGGACCTGGCGAGGTCTTGAAGGGGCTGAAGGATATTGAGAATAGGAAGATCTGGGGAAAGGGAGTTGTAGTGATACGTGAAGAAGATGGGGCGTTGAAAGCCAAATTATAGGTCGGGGGGTGAAGGACGAGCGAATATTGTAGCGTTATCAAGGACCCGAGCCATACACGTTGTAGCCTGGATGACTATTGCGTTGATACTTTGAGCAATAATCAGAGGAAGATGCTAGCCCTGCTATCTGGTACTTTGGTGTTGACATACCAGCGTGGCTAGACATGAGCGGGATGATGGTCTATAAATGATATACATGAGAAATGAACAACAAGATGAGCCCTCAGTTTTACTGTCAAACAGGCCGACACTCGACAATGACCAGCACGATCCGAAGAAAGCGACTAGGGTCTCCGAGCTTGACTCTATGTGTTGGCAACTCTCATCATAGGGCGTCATCTTGCTGGTTGGAAAAACCCCAGTACGGATACAAGACACTGCAGACCGAACACCAATGTCGAGAGCTGTGCAATCTGGCGTGTCCAATAGCCGTGCCGAGGTCAATCTCGTTGAATGAAGATATTGTGATGAGAAGAATGAAGAAGGAAAGCAGAACGAGTTGAGATTTTTTGGAGATGCCAGAGTGATAAGGGGGCTAGCAAGTCCACGTCACGCCTACTCCCCGCCGGCTTGTGCCGCCGCCGCATCGGAGCAACGGTCCGGACGCGCTCGGCAGCCCGGATTCCGTCCATATATATCTCGAATCAACACTTTCCGTTTCGCTTTCTCCACCAACCTTCTCCCAATGTCCTACTTGCAATCCCTCTTTGGCCTCCAAGGAAAGACTGCCTTGTGAGTAGTCACGACTGCCTCTGATCCACCTTAACGCCTCTCAGGATCACTGGTGCTACCAGGGGCATCGGCGCCCGCATGGCTCTCGCACTCGCCCAGGCAGGCGCAGACGTCATCCTCATTCAGCGGGATACATCTAATACCACCACCCGAGACGCTATCCGAGCCACAGGCGTCAAGGCCGACATTGTCGTCTGCGACCTCGCCGACTCTGCTGCCGTCTCGAAGCTTATTCCTCACGTCACCAAAGAGCTTGGTCGTACGCTCGACATTGTCGTCAACTGCGGTGGTATTCAGAGAAGACATCCTGTGGAAAATTTCCCTGATGATGATTTCAACGAGGTGTTGCAGGTGAACATGAACACCGTGTTCACCATCACCCGAGATGCCGGAAGACACATGCTCGAGTCTAGGGGAGGGGTGGCTGGAGAACCAGTCCCTGAAGGAGGCGTCGCTGCGAACCCAAGAGGGATGGGCAAGATCATCAACATCTCCAGTCTGGTAGCGTACCAAGGAGGACTGAATGTTGTTGCCTACTCTGCGGCCAAGCACGGTGTCGCTGGTATGGTACGTCGCACCATCATCTACTTCATGTTCGGTGAACCTCGCTGACGATGTTTCACAGGTCAAGTCCTTCTCCAACGGCTGGGCGTCCAAGGGTATCTCTGTGAATGCCATTGCCCCGGGATACATCTCCACGGACGTACGTCACATTTTCCATGACACGAATGAGCATCTTTTAAACTGTTTTATCATAGATGAACGAAGCTCTTATCGCCGACCCGGTTCGATCCCGGCAGATCCTCGAACGCATACCCGCTGGACGATGGGGTACACCTCAAGACTTTGAGGGTGCTATCGTCTTCCTTGCCAGTAAGGCCAGTGATTACGTCTCTGGCGAATGCATCGTAGTCGATGGAGGATGGATGGGCCGTGAGTCATTTCCCGGGCTTGAAGACTGATGACTAACTTTGCTGTAGGCTAAACGGTGTAAGCGGAAGTTGTATATATACCGTTGGGGAAAGATAGATTCATATAAATGTTGTCCGTATTACCGTCACAGCCCAACGGAGATATTGCATACAACTCCAGAGTTCCAACAAAAACAAGTGGACATGGATGACAGAAGACAGGACGCCAGATTGGCACTTTCAACACTTCAACAAAGCTCCCCGGATCATAGACACAGAACAGTCATCTCCTGGCCTATTGAAGACCAGTCACCATTTCTCTGCGCTTTGGTCTACGACCAAGTCAGCCCTTTTCCGCGCACCAACGCAGTATGCTCACCTTTATCACAATGACCCTCTGATCATCAATCATGACCCCATTCGCCAGCCCCCCGTACTCTCTCCAGACTTCTCTATAAGGCAACCCACTCACAACATCCCCTTCCCACACATTCTTCTTTCTCAAAACCGTAGGCTTGGTCACCACCCTTGACTTCCACCCTTCCCCCTGTGTGAATGGGGGCACAAACGTCTCCCCAGCCCATTGCCTTCTCCTCGGCGGCTCGACATCGTCCGATTCCGGATAGGGCACTGTCTGAGACAGTTCCTTCTGAACGTTGTAGGGAGAAAAGTCGAGTAGCATGATATGTGAGGGTTGAGGATCGTAGGGGATATTAGGGTCACGCTGGGGAGGATCGTCGTCTGGAGCTTCCTCGTCGAGATCATATTCAAAGAACGGTGATTTATCATGCGGGAGTATCGAGATGTATCGGTAGCCAGAGCATGAACACACCTGTGTACTCGGTGAGTCCCACTTCTTGTCAGAAAGAATACAACATACCCAGCTCCGTTTTGGCATGATCTTATCCACCAGCCTTGCACCCTTCTCTCCCCATTCTTCCCATTCCAGATCCCGTTGAGCACCCCTGACACCAAGTCCGTCCCGCCCGCCGGCCGACCAAGCATCTCGCAGCCTCTCCTCCCCTTCCTCGCCCAGCTTGACCAGAGTCTCTCGCGGCAAGAAGAGTTCAAAGGGCCACGTCTCGATGCGGTCGTTCGCATCTTCACCCAAGACGACCCTTTCAGTCAACACAAACTCTAGCACCATGATGCCCTTTGAAGGATCTTGTGTGAATGGCTTGTGTCTTGTGAGGGTCGGGGCAGGCTCTTGTCCAGGTTTATCCTTGGGCCGGGCAGGGAAAGGAGGATCAGGCCGAACGTCAAAGCCGGCTACCTGGACATCTGAATCCAGCTTTGGCATTTCCAAAACAGCCAACAGGACTGGTCGAGGGGTCGTGTCGTCCATGACTTCATTCTGCAATGGCTGAGAAGGGATAACCATGTGCAGAGGATCGGTGGCGATGGAGTAGACTTGGATGGTAGGTCTTCGGTCTCGCGCCGAGATGCCTGGTGTCGGAGGGCCAGCATAGGGGACCGTGAGGGACGTGTTGGTCACCATGAACGTGGTCGGAGATAACAGCGCAAAAGAGGAGAACCATCTCTTTTCAGTGAGAGGAAAACGAGACAGCACCCTTCCCGTCTTCCAGTTCCAGAATACTAGCTCCTCCTCGTGCGTTCTCTGCCAGATGTTTCCAATGTTGAAAGCATTGAGAATCCAGAATGGGATATATTTGGCCACCAGGACGGCGAGCGTGTCACCCATGACTTGAAGGAGCTGTCTGGTGCGCGGTAAAGTATCTGTTCGAGGGGGGAAATCGAGAGTGGGAAAGGTGGCTAGGGGATGGGGCTTGAAAGTAGACATGGATAGGAGATGGTAACGGTGAGTTGGGGCTGGGTGCATGGCATCTAGAGGTGCAGGGCTGGGCAGAGAGATCAGACAAGTCCACAGAGCGGCAGAGTAGCTCACTTGTATTCGCTGATCACGATAAGATCTTGAGAAGGGTCCATAGTCAGATCAGATATAGACATGTCGAGCTCGTTTGCCTTTGTCTGGATTGGGGGATCTTCCAGGTTGGGGTCGTCTGTCGACGGTAGAGGGATCAGACGGATGGAAGAGGGCTGCGAGAGCGTCAAGTTGTATCCAGTCATGCGCCAGAATATGACCGACCTTATCTTCTTCCTCATCACTGACATCGTTGCACAACAAGAATATACCCTCTTGTAGCTCGTAAACGCCTTCCCGTCCTCGCACTTTCAACAGCCTCTGTTCCCTAACGTCGACCGTCTCCCACCTTTTCTCCCTATCTCTCAGCTTCGAGGCCTTTTCAGCAGCACTGGTGGCATACGAGAATGGCTGTGACTGAGGAGGCTCATTGGGCCAGGGAGGAAGGGTGACGGAAGAGACGGTGGCGCGAAGCTTGCCGGTGTGCGGGGAACGCCATGCCAGTGGTTTATTTGACCGTCTCGTAATGGGCGTCCCGGGAGGTGATGATGTGGGGGATAGCGGCTCTTGGTCATGATGGTCGAGGGGTGTGCTGCTCTGGGCGACGCAATCGACATAGGCGGAGGTCTGGAGAACGGCGAGATACTGAAGCTGGGCGGAGGCTTTGTAAACGTCTCTGAGCAGAGAGCAGGTCTGGGCAGGATGTGTTGTCAGTGGCGGCGGCTGGTAGATGTGTGACTCACGCGCATGAAACGGAGGGCGTCAGGGAGGGCGAGGGCGAGGAAGACCTGTTCGAGGATCTCCTGCGGCAGCCCGAGCAGGGGCGGCTGGGGGCTGGAGGGGTGGCGGGGTCCGACGGGAGTCTCTGTGGTGGCAATCATGGCAAGCGCACGGACAGGGAGACAGAATGAATGAACAATTACAATGGCATCTCACCCACATCGCATACAATAGTCCCCTGGTGGTCTTACGTAACTCGCATCTAAGAGACGATCCGGCCGCCGGACGAGCACAATCAGAGCACATTGAGAGCACATCTGAACACGACTGTTTGCATAGACCCATCACATCTAACACTAGACTCAGAGCGCCGATATCGGTCTCACCATCAAGGGCAGCTGAGGGCCTGCCTCTTCTTCTCCAACGACCTTTGGCCTCATCACAACACTTTCGCGTGATCAGCCTCGTTCCCATTCACCAATACAGACGACTCACCTTGCCTTCTTTTCAATCTCCGGCTTACTGTGCAGCTCCTGAAACTCAAAGTTTCTCAAAAGGACAAACAGCAACACTTTTATCTCGGCCAGCGAGAAGCGATAGCCGATACAATTGTGTGGCCCGCCCAAAAAGGTCATGACGTTTCCCCAGACCCCTGGGATTTGGCCCCATCCCCCAGTGCTGCCAGTGCTTAGATCTTGGGAGAAGCGCTCCGGTCGAAACTCTGTAGCGTCGGGACCCCAGAGAAGTGGCGAAGTGTTGATGCTTCCCGTAGCTATCCATGCACATGAGCAATAAGACTTGACTGGCAATATGAAACACTTACGGATGAAGATGGCCGTGCCCTTGCTGACCTCTACACTTGTGATGATCTGCTGGTCTCGACCGATTACCGGCGTCCCGAGGGGAATCACGATGTCTTGTCCAGCTTTGCGGATGCCGGTGGGCACGGGCGCATAGAGACGGAGGACCTCGCGAACGACAATATCCATATACTTTAGTGAGTGAAGAGTATCGCTGCAGCTTCGAATCAGTGTACTAAACGACCGTATCGAACAAGTGCTTACAGGGATGGACGCTCATCGGCAACGGCCAGGACCTCCTCTCTGAGCCGCTCCTGCACTTCAGGCTTCTTTGCGAATTGATACAGGCACCAGGTGACCGCTGTTGAAGTAGTCTCGTTGCCAGCAAACATCTACGCCATCTCGATCAGTACACACATCATAGCCCGGGAAGTGTACTAACAAAAGTCGTTATTTGGTCAAGCACTTCTTGGTCGGTCAAACGATCTTCCGGCTTGAGATCAGCGGCCATGTTGGCTTTGACTGGGAACGCGTCAGCACTCCTCTATGACGAGTGTACCCTTGATCGACTCACTCAGAATCGAAAGCAGATCCTTGCCCAAATCGACATTCTTCTCCAGGTCCTTTTCGTGAGTAGCCATAATCTCGCCCTTTTTGTCTTGGATGATACGCTGAGCAACGGATCTGACGTCAGCAGGTACTCGTTCGCATTATGCGGCAGACTTACCAGGCCGATACGCTGGGTCACTTCTTTGGCTCTGGCGATTGCCTTCGATCTTGCAGTTGGCTGCGCGACATCAGATGATTACACCTTTGATCATGACCGACTCACAATCCACTTGAGGACGGGAAACACAATTTGCAAAAAACCCACAAATCCGATCTCGGCACCAGCAGCAAACATGCTGCCGAAAGCGTCCGCAAGCTCGTTACGAGATTCGGAGAGCGAGTTGAAATCGTAGCTGAACCCTGCTAGCCCAATAACATCCAGCGTTGTCTTTGCCAGATACCTCATCACATCAATCTGTTTGCCGCCCTCGACCTCGTCCGCTGCTTTGGTAGGGGTCGGAGCGCAGATCTCTGGGTCAACTCCTTCGATCATGTTGGCCAGTTTGTCCTTGAGCTCGTACGCCTTGTCGTAGAATATAGATGTCATTCCCTTGAGCGCGTTTGGCGTGAAACACGCACTCAACGCCCTCCTCTGTTTCCTGTGCTCTTCTCCCTCTACCACCAACAGACCTTTCCCAACCATATCGACCAGCATGCGCTTGGTGGCGTTACACTTGGGAAACAGGTCAGGGTGATAGAGGACGTAGGAGAGGACGGTGGGGTCGATTGTGAGGAGGCGCGGGATGCCAAAGAAGATACGATAGCGGAGGGTGAGGCCGTAGGTGTTGGTCCAGCGAGTATGAGGGGCGTTCACAGGCTCGGTAAGAAGAGAGGGGAGGACGCCAGCAATCCATGAATCGTCACGCGGTCCTATAGTCGGAACAGGGTCAGCATTGTGTGTACATGCCGAAGCCATACGCACCTGGTAGATTTCGGAAGCTGGCCGGTAGCCTCCATTCTGCGATTGGCCACAAGAGAAGGTAGGTCCCGAGGAGGACAAAGAAGATGCTCGTGAGCACGATAGCGAACGACTGGGTATAGGACATCCCCGACGTGCTAGGTTGAAGCCATTGGATAGAGGCGCCCGCAGAGAAGGCCATGGTCTTGATGATAGAGAGTGTTGCAGGTTCCGAGTTGCGAGGGGAGAGTCGATGTCTTTATATGTGTCGCAAGCTAGACACGTTCGGATGCGATTCGCATACACAAGTCATCGTGACTGTGCCCGATGCCGGCGTATGGCAATAAGCGCAATGATTAGATTAACGTGGCGTTGAACCATGCCATGCGATTGGCGAGCCCACGTCTCGATCTGAGGGAAGGCCTGAAGCCTGAGGTAACAATAATCTGAATTCACAGTGTTGTCCGTAATCCGGGCGCTGCCGGGCAATGCGCAATGCTAATAAGAGTTGCGCTATACCGCAGGGGTGAGCGACCATCCCCCTGACGCTACGTGAACCCAGATTACGATAAGCTATTAGAGTTAAGGTAAAGGCTGGAATCGCGCGTACCTGGCAACATACCTGGTGCGATACCACGCGACAGAATGGCACGCCGCGTCGTGCGTACGAATGGACAGCACGGACAGACTGTCGTTCTGTTTCTCGGAAGCATGAGACATCAACAAAGAGGACAAAAGCCACCGAGAAGGACGCGGTCGAGAACGAAGTGTTCAACCTTCTTGCCATAGTGCAGGGTAGGACAAATAAGCCTAATGACAGCATGCAAAGTATACCTAGCGTGTAGCGTTCGTACAGCGCGGAGCCGCAGCGCGCCGCATAGGCCGCATGGAAGTCGAGATGGAGGCAGATTCCTGCAAGCAACGCCCCCGTATCATCCGGCGATCAGCCATCAATCTCACCAGGTGTGATGGTGCCAGGCTAAAGGATCTTCGTTCCATATCTGCTTGAGACCCGAATCGCGGCGACTGTAAGCATGATCACTCTGATGTATCATCAAAGTGGGAAAGATCAACAGAACATCAGCGTGCAGAAGTGTAACGTTCCAGCTGTCGTTGGCGCCCCCAGCTATGTCATCAGTGTTTCTCGGATTCTGCGAGAGTCAAAGACATACATGTGATTTCATGCAATCATAGGTCACCCGATCCCCTTCCCTTACCCACATGTTCGGCAGGACACAATCGTCGCCTCATGCACGAGGCATCGCAGCTTCGCGGATGCACACAAACGCGCCTTCGTAGCCTGCTTGATTCACCGGTATGACCGTATCCCGCCATCGACCAGCAAGATAGCCTCCTGGCACGACATATCCGCTCCACAGCCAGCGCGCTCCGGGATCTTGCTGCAGCCGGGGTCAGGCTGTGCCAAACATGTAACGTTGAGATACTCACAGCATACGACAGTGACAGGAGGACGAGTCCGTCCCATGATCTGACGCGTCCCCTGATACTTGCAACACCCCAAGCTGTCCTTCCCTGGGCATCTTCATCAGCGGCCTTACTTGAAGCAGATGCTTCTTCACTTACATGGCCGGTAATGATAATTTCCTTTGTCCACCCCTCTTCGTCGATGGTATCCTCAGAGACAAACTCGTGCCCGCAGCCATTCGCCACCCATTCGAGCTCTCGCTCCAAGCTGTCCCCATTGATCATTCCAGCATGGAATACGTGACCATACCCACCGACCATCCCTTTTCTGACCTTGATAAGACCTTCTCTCAAGACAAACTCGACTGCTTGGGATTGGTACGGCCCAGCAAAGGCAAGCCGTATATCACCACCCAGGATGCGGCGGTAGGTGTCAAAGTCCATGTACAGAGACTTTCCCCGCCATGTGCCTTCGATACAGCCTTTGAAAGTGAGAGGAGGAAGCCCGGGGCCGTTCATGGGATCTTGACAGGACGCTTGACGTTTCCATTCTCTGTCGTATGCTTCCGACGTCAATGTCGAAGCATCGGGCGTGGTCAAGATGCCAGGGAATCCCTTTTCAAACGAGTATGAATCCTCTTTGGTGAAGCTTTTTCCAGTGCTGGTTTGCCAGCTACGGCGTTCAAGAAGACGAAAGAAGCCTATCTCGGAGGCGAGGATGCACTGGGGGGGTTGACGAGACCAGGAGGTGTTGAAACGATGATAGGTGGAGGTGTAGTCCTTGTGGGGAACCACAGCGAAAGCCTGGGCCTCGGATGGATAGTCTTGAAGCGGCAGCTTCTTGACAGTGTATGGAGCATACGAAGAGTAGTACTGGGAAAGCGTCAGAAGATAAAAGAGTATGGTATTGCATCGACTCACAATTCCAGCGGCGACAGCGTACGGCCGTAGAATAAACATTTTTTGATCGACCTCTTCCTGATCATCTTCCTTGAAGCTGTCTGTGTGACACGGAAAATGTTAGCGCTTACGATCACCTGGCTTATCGGGAGGAAATCACCAAAATGTGACAAGACGAGCAACCAGGCCATGATGCCCTTGGCGCCCGTCTCGGCGGGGAATCCGGGGCGCGCCGTTTCTGGGAGCACAATGTCGCGGTACATCAGCTCGAGCGCACCCTTGAGGTGACAATGGTGGACGAGAAAGAGCATATTTTTGCCGTCTGAGGGCTGATTAGCGCGCGCTCTACTGAGGTGGAAATCTATAGGACTTGCCGTTTTCGCTCCAGAGGTTCCAGATATTCCAAAGGTCTTGGTTGTGCATAGAGATGTCACATACACCAGGGATTTCAAGAGTGTCAGCCCTGGTAGCCATGCGGAGCCGTCGAGACATCTCCCAGCGGTCTTTGTAATCGGCGGCCCACAGGCGGGAGTCTTGAAATATATCATGTGCTCGACCAGCCTCTTTGCGCAAGGCGTTACCTCTGTGCCAGGCATACCTTCTTAGCAGGGCCTGATAGTCAAAGGTCGCCTTGTACAGCTCGCCGTAGAGAGACACGTTATGTTTGATATACAGGGCTTGGTACACCCTTTTGCACGAGAAGAGGAGAGGCAGCAGACCCGCGGGGTGACCTGCGTCGCCTGCGTCGTCCACCAGGACGTAGAAGGCTACCTGGGAGACGATATGCAGCGGGAGCCTATCGAGCGATAGGTTGTGCTTCCGAGATTGGTTGGGGAGGGACGAGTGTGGGTAGAGTTGGGATGCGGAGGATGTGTAGTCTCCCGTCATAGTGGTGGATTGATGCGCCGAGTTTGATAGATTATTGAGGGCGGAGGCAGTGCAGCCTGGTGGGTGGGTAGAGAGCAGGATGGGGATGGAGACGGACGAGCAAGAGGACGGCCGGAAGAAACCTCGGCGAGCACAAGGAAAACAGACGAAACCGTACGGGACCGACCAATTGCCGAGAGATGTATGCGGACAGTAAAAGGCACGCCCGAAGAGCTCTAATCAAGTATATGCACCCTCTGTAGCTGGTGCAGCTGTAAATCTACGCTCAGCGCATGCATGGGAGACAATGTATCCAGTGCTGTGACTGTGAGACGCAACGCATACCAGACGCAGCATACCCCAGTGCCATCGCCTCATCCAGTGGCACCGAGGAGAGATCGGTGTCTCGTATCGATCAAATCTCGGAAGCTGATCCAACAACAAAGTCCCCGAGCAGGAGGTGTTCTCTACTGTCTATGCATGTATCCTGCGGGGTGCGAGGAAGAGGGGGTGGGAGTGCGCTTGTCCGTGATGCTGCTGCTCCGCTTGACCTATCCCGGCATCGCCGCCCACTCTCGTTCTGTGGGAATCGGCCTCTTGCAGCTTGTCAACAGATCTCCCCAAATAAAGTATGCGATCGATCATTTAATCATTCCTCCGCTCTCGGCCGCAGTACCTTATCGGCACGCCGCGGCGACCCCCGCCAGCGCCTCCACCTCCACCCCGTGATTTTTGAACGAAGCTCACAACAAATCGAGCATCCATACCGAGTGAGCAGCAGCAGCCATGGCCGACCCGCGATTCGCCTCCCTCAAGACAGACCCCCGCTTCAGGAGGTCCAAGCAGAAGAACCTCAAGGTCGAGATCGACGAGCGCTTCAAAGATGTACTCGAGAGCGAAGAGTTTGGAGGCAAGGGGCCTGGACGGGGTATGCCATCAATCGCGCTCGTGAGATCCAAGCTGATCATCGTGTAGCCAAAGTGGACAAGCGAGGACGCGCTGTAGCGCCTTCTAACCATGCCGACCAGATCAAGCGCTTCTACCGCTTGAAGTCGCCAGAAGCCGACGAAGAGAAGGAGGGCTTTGTGGATTACGCTCGAGGCGGAGGAGCTCTCGAGTCTTCCGGCTCTGAAGACGAGGGCGGAGAAGACAGCGAGGTGGAAGAGGATGAGCTCGTGCTTGGTGTCAAACGCCCAAACAGATTGCCCAGCTACAGCCCGTCAGACTCTGAGGACGAGTCTGACGATGACCATCTCCACATTGACCTCTCAGAAGACGAGGCCCACTCTGCGTTCCCTCCCGAGGCGGACGATATCCCCGACGACGAGTCTGAGGCCGAGCCCGTCGACCCTTCCAAGCGCATTGCTGCTGTCAACCTCGACTGGGACAATATGCAGGCCTCCGACCTCTTTGCCGTCTTCAACTCTTTTCTATCTCGCCCCGCCAACAAGGGTGAAGCCAAAGCCCCTTCTGCGTTGGGCAAGCTCTTGAATGTCAAGATATACCCTAGCGAGTTTGGCAAAGAGAGGATGGCGAAGGAAGAGACCGAAGGCCCGGGTGGCGGTATCTTCAAGAGCGACAAGAGAAAAAAGGATGTCAAGAAGGCGCGAGCTGTGACCACTAGGGAAGAAAGCGGCGACGAAGATGAAAAGGAGCAAGGGGAGGGTGAAGATGGGAGTGATGACGCCGAAAGTGACGAGGAGTTTGATTCCGATCAAGGCGAAAGCGATGGCGACGACTATGATGGCCCAGATCCCGTCTCGAACGCCCACAAGCGCGAAGAGATCGATGGGCTAGAAATCATTTCGGACGTCGAATCTGACGCCGCCTCGAACGCGGGCTCTGAGGACATCAATATGGACCAGCTGCGCCAATATCAGCTGGAGAGACTACGGTAAGTGTCTCCTTCGTTCGTTGTAGGGGCAGGGACTGATACTTGCCCAGATACTATTACGCCATCGCTACCTTCAGCACCGTCGCTGCCTCTGAATACATTATGAACGAGTGCAACGGCACAGAATTTGAACAAACTGCAAACTTGCTGGACCTGAGCTATGTGCCCGAGGATATGACCTTTGACGAGGACTCTGTTCAGTACGTACCATTCCTAAAAGAAGATCCAGTGCTAACAGCAAGTGCAGTGACGAGGCCGACAAGGAGCCCAAGGGATACAAAGGCAACGACTTTGTCACTGACGTGCGTATACCATCCATCACCTGTACACCCAATTGACCCACCCCACAGGCTCTGCGACATTCCAACGTCAAGCTCACTTGGGACCAAGACGACCCCAACCGAGTTAAAATGACCCGCCGAACTCTTACTCGCGAGGAGATTGAGGAACAAGACTTCAAAAACCTGGTCGCCTTTTCAGGGAGCGAGGCCGAAGAGTCTGATTTAGAGGATGAGAACGACGCTGCGGGAAAGAAGAGGGTGGACAAGAAGAAGGCGATGAAGGAGAGGAAGGAAAAGCTGAGAAACTTGTTGCTGATTGGTGGGGACGACGACGATGGGGCGGTCGATGTCTGGGGCAAGGCCGGTACGGCGCTCGAGAAAGAGTTTGAGGATATCAGGACCTCCTCCTCCAAGGATACCGTCGGTGGTGCCAAGAAGCCCAAGTCCAAGGCATCTGACGACCTCGAAATCACCTTCCGTCCCGGTCTCTCCACTGCCCCCGGCGTTGAAGAAGACAACTTGACATCGTTGGAAAGATACAAGTTGAGGATGAAGGAGAAGAAGCAGAGGAAGAAGGAAAAGATGGAGCTCAAGGCTGCGGCCAGGGATGGCAGCGGCGATGAGGGCAAAAATGGCGGCAAGGACGCGTTCTTTGGGAGTGATTCAGAGGGTGACGATTCTGAAGAAGAGCGGCCACGTACCGCAGCCGACTCCAAGCTCAAGCCCAAACCCAAATCAAAGGATCTCGAGCCGACCGTTCATGAGGAGGACGACCTGTCCGGCCTTGTGGGCTCTAATGAGCCCGATACCAATTTCTCAATGAAGGATATCGTCAAATCCGAGAAGGAGTCTGGCTCAAAGAGAAAAAGGAGAAGGACAAAGAAGGGAGAGGAGAGGGAGAAGGAGTTGGGGCAAGAGGGCTGGAAGATTGACGTCAAGGACGACCGTTTCAAAGCCCTTCACGAGGAGCCCGAGTTTGCCATCGACCCTAGTAACCCTCAGTAAGTCGTGGGTCTGCCTTGATGTGTATCCCAAGCTGATGGTCATGTAGCTTTGTCAAAACCAAGGCCATGCAGGACCTCTTGGACGAGCGCACACGTCGACGCAATATGCAGAAGCACTCTGAGCCCGAGGGACGCAAATCTGCCTCTGGCGTCAAAAATGTTGAGGACAAGGAGAGGAATCTGGATAGTCTGGTCGAGAGTGTGAAGAGGAAGATGGACCAGGGTCAGCAAAAGGCCAAAAGAAAGAGGTCCAGAAAGTGATTTGTACCTCGTATGATTGAACACCCCATGTATATTCTTCATGCCACGATCTTGATCCACATAGCTCTACCATGTCTGCACACAGGCTTCTATGGTTTAAATAATCAAGAAACAGACCATAAGAAGACTTTCACTCCGAGCAGTAAACACTGAAATTTGCCAGATCTAGACGGCACGCGAGCAGCCTCCTCTGTCGATGGTGAGTCTCGCCCGCCAATAGGCCACCGCCCGTAAGGGATATGAGGTCGCTCTTGACATGGTCGGGCTTGGGAAATATCTCGGGATGGGAGAGAACATAGCGACGGTGCTGGGGTCGATGGTTACAAGGCGAGGCACGCCTAGAACAAACTGATAACTGAAAGTGGTGCTGTAGGGGGACCTCGGCTTCGGATTTGAGCATGGTAGGAAGAACGCCCCACAGCCAATGTCCGTCTGGGAGACCTACAAACAAGCATGGGTACGTATCGGCCATTGCACATAGATTGGCGCTTACCTGGAACATTGTTGAATGATGACCATCGGTAGCGCTGATATCGGTACAGGCAGTATACCACAGAAGATATGACGATGATTGAAAGGGCAAGCGTGTCTAGAGAGGAATTTTGGCAGGACCACTGGAAGCCTGCGGTGCCCCCAGTCTCCATGTTGGTGACTGGGGGCTCTGGACTCTGGGAAGATTGGAGCTGGAGAGATGGACTGATTGGGAAGGCCAGTATTGTACGAGCGAAGCCAGAAGACATGGAGAGCCGCGTGCTATAGCTGAGATACGTCACGTACATATGCATGCATGTCTGATTCATATCGCATGACCTTTCTCTCATGCTCGTCAATGTTTCTTAGCAAGCACATGGATCGAGTATTGGACCTGTTCCCGTACCCCTTCTCAACAGCACCGCCAGCCACTCTCCGCACGCAAATGATTGTGTCATCGTGTATTGTGCGGGAGAAGATGCCTCGCCTTACCCTGCTGGTACAAGGTAACGTTCTCAGCCATGTGCTCCCGCCTCGGAACCCCGGAGGCGAGCGCGATCCAAAGGCATCCGACTTCTCTTCTGAGGATCATGGAGGATAATCATCAGCTGCTCAACAGAGCCTGTTGCCCGCTGCCCGCTGACCACTGAGGCCGTTGATCCTTCTGACCACCAAGTCACGGAACATGCTTTGCCGGCAGCGCCACTCCGAGCAGACGGTCCCGAGCCTCTTCTGTGCATTCCGTGCGCCCTTTGATGGAAAATCACGAACCCCAGGAAGGTCAGTCGATTGCGATCGCGAGCGGACGGATCACGGCCACATCCTCCTCGTTGACTGAGAAATTCTCACGTCAGCAAAATTCACTTGCCTCATGTTACTGACATGGCAGGGCACGACGATGTCACAATAGATCCAAAGGAGAACCAAGAGAGAGGCTGGAAGAGCGCCTTCCTTTGCATTGATTTAACTGCTTGAAAGTATCTGGCTCGAGTTGGTCTGGTCGGGAGGGGGTCGGTCGAACCAACAGGAGTATGGTGGGGATGTATGATGTGGAGAACGATCGTTTCGACATCTACGGCGCAATCCTATATAGTGCATGACATCGAAGTTAAACCTGGTATATAATAGAATACAAACAAGACTATTTTGCAGTCCACGATGGGTCGTGACGCTCTTATTTCCTTTACCCTCATCACCCTCACTCAAGATCACCTCAATTTTCCAAACTCTCAAACTACTCCAAACTATTCTCCACATCCGCAGCATCATCACCCTCCATGGCCGCAAAATTGAGGAAAGCATTCTAGAGAGATATGTCAGCTGACTCGCCAGCAGAATCACGGGCATAACTCACAGGTCTGTGGCACGGAGCCCAGAAAGGCTCAGGCTTGTCCAACGTCACAGTGTAAGGGAGCTTGTCCGACCAACTCTGGGTCAATCCCACACCATAGTTCCAGATACCACCCTCCGGCACCATGGTCATACCCAGAATTCTGTCAGACAACAAGAGCTGAACCCTGTTCGCCATAGACGGATTGTAGCCCGGGTTTTGGCCCGTAACGTCCTCGTTCTTTCTTCCCCACTCGAAACCGCCGACAGTAAGCTCCCAAGCGTTCAGCGAGACGGAACCAGGAGTAAAAGCACAGGTGACACAGATAGACTGAGGTCCCCATTCAGGGTGTGCAGACATGATTTTGGCTTGCGTCGTGATATCTTGAGGCGCGAGGTGGTTGAGTTCTTGGCTCTGAGTCTTGATCCAACCGAGAGGCTCGAGACCCTTGAGAAGGAACTCGTGATGGGGCAAGGTGGCAGGGAGATCAACGCCGTTATTGGTACCTCTTTGAGGGATCCAGGCGACGGCCTTGATTTCCTTGACCTGCTTGTTATCGGCCGGCGAAGAACCATAGAGGTAGGCGACGACCTGGGTACGGAGATCGGCGTTGACAATGAAGGTCTTGAGGACGTTCTTTGGGATGACGTATGTAAAGCTGCCAGCGTCGTCCTTGACATCATCATTACCAACGAAAATGTGGTTGACACGAAGAGGCAAGTTGGTGGCACTGATAGCTCGCACACGCCAGTCGGATTTGCTAGCGAATGTCGCCTGCTCGTACTGAGTAGTGGTCGAGACCACGATTTCGTCACCGTGGATATTGGTGGTCTTGGTTTGCAAAGCAGTGACCTGAGCCTGAGCCTCCGTGTTCTTCTCGATCTCAGCCATCTGCTGTCGCTGGACAGAGGGAGCGGCAATCTCCATACCCAAGATGACATCACGGATTTCACTTGCGGTAAGAGAAGCGACATTAACGCTGTTTCTCTTACCGAAATCGGCCAAAATGAGGTCTTTGAGAGCCACTTCGACCTTCATCCACTCATCATCGCTGAGGGTAGGCCAGATGTCTACAAAACGTGAGCTTCAGTACACGCTGTCTATAAATTTCACTCACGGTATGACTCGGTGATTGTGTTCTTGTCGGGCCTCAAAATGATCTTTGACTTCTCGTTGTTGACGTGCAAAGCACGAAGGATGAGGATCAAACGGGAGAAGGCCGTGTAACTGGAGATGGATTTGAGCCAGTCATCGTAGAGGTTGAATAACACCATTTGGGGTTGAGTTGCACGCTGGAAGGCCTGTCAGCAAATATCACAGAGCGACGGACGCATGACATACCAAGATGAGGTCACCAAACTTCTCCATCTTGAGTGTTGCCTGGAAGGGCAATTGGAGCTCGGAGCCCTTGATGACAATGTTGGGGAAATCAAGCAAGTGAACCTCCAAGGGATCCAGCATACCCTTTCGGGTGACAATGATCTGCTTGGGCTGCTCTTCGACCGGCAGAGATCGCACCAATGCGGCAACTTCTTCTGCAGTCTTCCACTTCGCCAACTGACCAAGACGCTTCTGACCGGCCCAGACGGAGGTGTGAATGATCTTCAAGAAGAGCTGACCCGTACGAGGATTGAAGATGAAGATAGCACCGTTGATAGGCTTGGTCGTCAAATTACCCTCAAATGTCTTGTGTACAGTGACTCGGTAGACGTTTGTATCGTCAACGAACCAAATGATCTGGTTGGAGAACAACTCAGAGTAGTTGGAGGAGTTGAGATAAGGCTCGGTAGGCTCGGAAGAGTAGAGCTGAAGACCCTTCCTGATTCGCTCACGGAGAACGTACAAAGCAGGGTTCGCCTTCATGACCTTCGCCATAGCCTGCTGGAGAAGAGGCTTGAGACCAGGGAAGTAACAACCGTAGGCGGAATACAGGTTGTAAGCCAGATCGATAGCGATGAGATTACCAGTGGGAGATGGGTAGATAGACTGGCTGTCTGAGGAGTAATCGAGGTACTTGGCACGGGAATAACGCTCAATGTCGTGAGAGTCAAAGTCACCCCATCGGAGCTGTACATCGAGCCAGAACTTGTTGGAGGTCGTACCTTCCATTACATCGCGGTTGTCGGTCAAGAGCGACGGTCGAGAGATTTGCCACTTGTAGGAAGAGAAGAGCAGGATATCCGAAGCCGAAGAGTTCATCTTGTAGGACTTTCGGGGGTGGATAGTCTCCTTCTGGACCGTCTCAATCTGGAGAGCCTCCATCTCTTGATCAAAGACCTGACATAAGTCCATGACGACGGACTCGTGGATCTTCTGCCACAAATGGGCTCGGAAGATCTGGATCAAGGAGATCTTCAGCGTCGGGATCTTACCGTGCATGAAGACACCAGTAAGATCGAGTTGCACTTGGAAACCAACATACACGTTGGCTCGGTTGATGGTGGGTGACCACCACATGGTGAAGCGTCGATTAGGAATCTGAGAGAGACCGGATCGCTGGGCGTTGGTCAATCGCTTGTTCTTCATCCTGGAATGATGTCAGCCTCTGTGAGATATGATCAAAGGAACGCTCACGATTCTTCAAATCCACTGGCTTTCTCCCAGAACAAACCCTCCCAAGTGGGGAAAGCGGTACCCTTGAACAAAGAGTGCTCGAGGATGCCTTCTACACCACCTAAAGCAGAGATGACATCGACTCGGTAGTTGTTGAGCTGCCAGAGTTTACCGTCGTGCCTCTGGTTGGTCCAGATGAACGGCTGGTTTCGGCTGACAAAGGCTTAGTCGTATACCCGGGTGAAAGAGAGATGCAAACTCACAGACGGAAGTACTGAGAGAAGAATTGTCGAACACGCCATCCCTTGTCATACGCGAGCGTGTGTCGATCTTTCTGGAACAAGGTGTTGATTCGGGGAATACCTCGATCCCAACTGTCCTCCAGATCTTCAAGTGTCAATCGTCGGTTTGAAGCCTACATCACTGTATTAGCTCGTCCGACAATAGCACATGCCGTGACTCACAGTAGCTTCCTTCCTCTTCATCGCGTACTCTGACCAGACACGGGCAGAATCCAAGAACTCGGCCTCCCATGGTTGCAAGTACCGGTACAAGTTGGGAATCAATTGATCCTCCTCATGCGTCATACCAGATCGGAAGTGGGTGATCCCGCCGCTGTCAGTCTGCTTAGACCACCTCAAGTCGGATTGAGGGATGAGGACGAAACCCATGGACAGCATACCAAGACCACCCAGCTCCTTGGGCGAGTAGAAAACACAAGGAGGGAAACGGGAAGGCATCTTGGAATTGAGACCGATCTTGACTCGAGTCTGCACTTTGTTCTCAGCCTTGACGAGAGAATCAAGCAACTCGTTCGTGTGAACCACAGCCTCTCGGTAGTAGGTCATAAGACCGATCAGACAAGTGTTCCACTTGTTGATGATCTTGGCAAACGTGGCACTGCCAGAGCTCATGAGGATCTGTCGGATACGGTTGTTGAAGTCCTGGATGCCCTGGTCGGATACACGCAGATAAGCCTGAGCGGTACGCTCTTTGGTAGCCTCTTGGGTCAAGTTCCAGACACCGTCCTTCAACGAGTACTGCTCGCCACTCTGAGTACGGCATCGAGGAAGGATTCGGGTTTCAAACCCGCACATAGAGAACAAGAGCTGAGGGTTGTCTTTGGAGTAGACAGACACGAATGAGTCTTCCCACTCGATGGTGGTGATAGATCGAGGCAAGGAGTTCTTGACGTTCCAGAAGACTGCACGACCCAGGTTGACATCGTGTTTGATGAGCCTCATTCGGCAGTCTCTCGGCCAGCATCGCTTGTTGTTGTAACCAATTACGTTCTCGTTGTTGGGATCGGGCTGCACACTGAGGTATCTCTGGATGAGATCTCGCGACTCCTCGGCAGTAAAGCGGAACAGAATGTGAATGCGGTCGACGTATCGAGAGTAGAATCGGATGGGATGCTTGCCCTCCTGCTCCTGGCTCTTGAACTGCAAGAAGCCGTTGGGGGCGTTGGGGGGACCAGCGATAGCGCTCGCACGCTCGAGACCAAGAATAAGGAGGTCAAGAACAAGACCATAGTATTGGAACACGAACGAGGAGAACTGAAGACCTCGAATCATACCGTAAGTGTTGATATGAGTCATGTCCTTGAAGGTGAGAGCACTGGCGGGACATTATCAGCATATGCAACAAATGACAAGGGGTGACTCACATATTGTTCTTTGACGTGATGTAGTCGGCCAAGTTATGGTCCATAATCAACCTCAAGAGTCGACTCAACAATGTCAGGTCAACCTTCTCATACACCCTGGACAAGACCGTCTCCATCATCACCACAGACTCGCCCTCGCTCGTCTCCCAGATATCAGTCAGGTTGTTGATACCCTGACACCACTTGTAGACAAGCAGGGGTGGGGGTTCAGAGTCGGAAGGCTTGATCCAGTTGGGGAAGAGGTGTCGCTTATCGGCCTCGTACCAGAGGAATTGATCAAGGTATGCGTCGGTCAACTTTTCGATGGGGGAGATATCTAGCAAGAGAAGTCAGTCGTGACACAGAACGGAGAAAGAATACACACCATAGCAAGGAATGAGTTTGTCGTAAGTGTCAAAGAACTCGATACCAGCTTCCTTGAACGCTCGCTGGGTCAACAACAACCTCTTGATACGAGACAGAGTCTCGTGTGGATTGTCATAAGCCTGCTCGACCAGCGCCAATTCTTCTCTTTGAGACTGGTTCAATCGCCCATGAACACTATACGCCTCCTTCAATTTCTCCAAAGCGAGCACCAAAAGTTTGGTGTCATGCTTGTACGAAAGAGGAGGGAAGGGAATAGGAGCGAACTTGCGAGACTCGAACCAATGCGCAGTGGAGATGAGGATAGCGGTACCCTCTTCGGAGGTAATGTAAGGACCATCCTTGAGGTAACCGTTCTGTCTCTCCTGCTCCGCCTTGAGGTACAACCTCGTCAAACGACCCAAGTTCTTCCTGACCACAGCTTTGTCGACAGTAGCGCCTCGCCTGATTCGCTCTCTGTTGTAGTGACAGACACTAGAGTACCAATCGGCCTTGGACTTGACGTATCGGAGGATGATGTTTTCGATTGGCGCGGGCATACCGGGCACCTTCCAAGGAATGTTGGCCTTCCAGCATCGCCATGCCTCGGAAAGATGTTGAAGGATAGTCTTGGCCTTGTTCTGCTTGATGTTCTCGGGCATCATGCTGTAGATAATCAGCTCTGGTCATGTATGGAAAGAAGTGCACTCACTCCAAGATGTCGTGCATGACCGCAGCACGCAGCTCCAAGTCAAAGTGAGACTCCACTCGCTGCTTGGTGACAGTCTTGGCCGTTCCCTTGGAGTTTCGTCCTTCAAACTGTCTCGCCAACAAATTACCCAACCACCTCTCCAGAAGCGGCACCATGCCTCTCATGAAGAACAACCACACTCTCCACCCAGGCGCCCAGAAACCAACACCAGGACCCTTGCCAACAGGACCAGTGTTGAACCTCGAGTAAATCAAGTGTTTCAAGTCCTTGCACATACGGATCTGCTTCATGAGCTTGTACTTGTATCTGTACATACCGGTCAGTTGACCGACATGCGCAAACATGTACTGAAGACCATCGGCGAGTTGGAAAGCGTCGACGTTTCCGAGTCGGAACTGGACATGGGCGTCGACAATGAGCTTGGTGAGACGGAGAATTTCTCGACACAAGTGGAAAGCGTTACCGAATCGAGACTTCTTTCGCTCTTTAGTCGTAAGAGTCTTGATAGGCTTCAAGTTGAGATTATAATCGAGATGAAGGTAGTTGAGGTTCTTTCGATGGATGAGGAGATTGAGCATGTTGTAACCCTGTCGGCAGACCTGAAGACCTGCTTCTACCCAGTCAAGGGTGGTTGTTTGAAAGAACTTTGTGTTTTTCAAACTCCTGAAAAGGTTGCGCTTCACCATCGCCTTAGGGGGCTTGTGGTGCAGAGAGTTGAGCACGTAGACCTTTAAGAGTTTCTGGTACGACACTCTGATCTTGACGGGCTGGTCTCCTGGGCAGTGCTCCAGATAGAGGTTTTTCACCAAGGGCACATCCTGCGCCCTCCTCATTCGCCCACTTCGCAAGTTGTAAGGGTAAGGCGCCCAGTACAGTGCGATGGCGTCCGCCGTGTTCTCATTCTCCAAATCATTGTTTTCCAAAAAGGGCTCCAGCTCCTCCGGCAGCTCAAAGTCATCCTCATCGTTGCCAAATCCAAAGACCTGGTCCTCGTGAGAGACAAGCGGCGTGTGCGCTTCTTGCACAACACGCTGAGAGATGGGGTTGATCAGGGGATCAAAGTAGAAAGCGGGGAGATCGGGGTCGTCGGTTTTAATGTAGACATTTTTGGGTTCGTGGTAGACACCGATGTGAACGGAGCGGGGGAGGGAGTTGTAGAGGTGGGGGAAGGCGACTTTGTACTCGGATCGGATAACGTTTCGGATGATGATCTTGTTGATATCATTAAACTCGTTCCAGTCCTCATCGAAAGCCTCCATATCGCGGAAAAGAGGTTCGAATTTGGGACCACCGGGCAAGGCAATGTTCAACGCCTTGGCCGTGAAGAAACTCTTCTGGTCAAAGAGATAAAACGCATTGTCGTCCGAGTAGTCACTAAGCAATTGTCGACCTATTCGATACAAGTTGGCCATTTGTGGGAGTGTGAGCTGGAAGTACTTGTAACTCGACCCATTGACTTGGGGCGAGTCGACAAGCGGCTTGGGGTCGTAGAACCACTCCATGATTGCCTCATCGTCTTCCTCGTCCAGCTCCAACTGGATGGCCTCCAACGGCTCCACGTCAAGCACATTGTCTCCGTAATCCATCGGTGGCTCTTCATCGTCAAAGGGCGGGAATCGCATTCGCTTGAAATGCCGTCGATCTCGCTTTTCTCGACGCATGGCGAGCCACATGGAAGCCCATTGTGCGTGATAGACGGGTTCGATAACGCGAGGGATTTCATTGACGAATGTGATGGCACCGGAGATGTGGTAGAGGACGGGGACTTCGCGTACTTGCTGGGAGGCAATTAGATGGAGTCTCGATCGAGCATCGTCGCACTTACCTCCCACGGCATGGGGATATTCTCCAAGAGCTTCATGACAGCATGGGGCACATACTTGAGTGCTCCCAGATGCACTCGCTTGTCGTTCCTAAACTTTCTATTTGACATGTCTCCATGATCTTTGATGATCTTTCGGATGTGCTCAGGTGGAAGATCCTACGGGCGAAATGAGCTCCACCTTGACGCGTAAAGCCAAACAACAAACCGCTTTCCCGAAATCTATGCCACCACCACCACCCTGCCTCCTCTTGACATCAAACTTCCTCTTCTGGCTCTGCCTCCACTTTCTCGCCTTCTTTGCGATCTCATCCTGGCTGAGGTTGCCGAAGAAGTCGCCTTCGCTGCCGTTTGGAGCTGCCGGGAAGCCAGGAGGGGCGAATCCTGGCGGGGCGGCGGACATGGTGCGGGCTGTGGGGTGGGTTGAGGGTTGACGGTGTTTTGGCAGGAGATGGCCAGAGGTGGCGAAATGAACGCGAAGACAGCCCGGAGATAGGCCCGCGGTGATTCCTAGGTGTGGCGGGTGTCCCGATCCCTCCGGCGGCCGGGTGAGCCTTGTTGCGATCCATCAATTGCGCGATGCAGCTGTGAATGGTGAATGACCCAGCAATTAGCCACTCTCTGCAACCGCCATGGCTCCCCTCCGCACCTACACAGACCGCCCCGTCGTCCTACTCACAGTACGCACACAGCCCACCACCCCTGCCGCCGCTCATCTCTTGCTTCTAGAACGACGACGGCCCTCCCTGCGCCTCGTCCCCGAATATCTTCTCCTTCTGCAAACTCCTGCAGTCCAAGCTGGGCTGGGATGTGCGCGTTGTCATCCCTGACTGTCAAAAATCATGGTTCGTGCTGAAGAGTGCTCGTGGCCGGTCGCTCATTGTTGATGCAGGGTTGGCAAGGCGTATGCCATCAGCGATGTCATCGCAGCGAGTTACTTCTATCCACTAGGTGTGTGCTGCAATAGCATCCCTCGCGCTAGACTTGCTCACAAAGTGATTATTAGAGCCCGATGGTCTCCATGGAGACATTACCACCGAACGTCGCCCATTAAAGGAAGGGGAGACGATGGAATGGGTGCTGCTTTCTGGAGTAAGCTGAGCACTTTCATGATTGAGGTTTCAGCGTGCTGATTGCAACAGACCCCGGCAACGTGCGCCAATGCTGCGTTGCACAACATCTACCCTGGAGAGATCGACCTCGTGGTTTCTGGGCCTAATCGTGAGTCTACGCTCCTCCACTTGTTATGATGTCTGACCCGTGTAGACGGACGAAACTCTTCAACTGCTTTTGCCTTATCTTCCGGTACACTTGGTGCCGCCCTCGCTGCTTCCCTATCCATCCCAATCCCGGGCCCCTCCTCCGGCCCTTCCCTTCACGAGACGCACATTCCATCCATCGCCGTCTCATACGGCGTCGTCACCCGCCCCGTCTCTCCACGCCTCCTTGAATTAGCCACCGAGACTGCCGTGGACGTCTGTCAAAGGCTCTTCAACAGCTGGGGAGAGGACGATGGACCAGGGGGAAAGGGGCTGGTACCAATCTACAGCGTAAACGTGCCGTTGGTAGAGGCCAACCTGGAAGAAGGAGCCAGAAAAGTGTGTTTCACGGATATGTGGAGGAATGCCTATGGCGGACTGTTCAAAGCCACCCAACTGTGAGTCATCTCTGTTGGATTATTCTCGTCGTCGTCCACGATATCGGTGGTTTGACGGTCATCAGCGACCCTTCTCTCAGGTGGTGGTCCGATGAGTCCAAGCCCAAGCCTGGACCGCAGACCAAGCTCGTGTCTGCTGCAGCTTCTACAGCTTCTCTTCAGACCGTACAGGGCGATCGCAAATGTCGAGGACAATCACAAGCATCAGGTTCTGACAATCATCACAGATCAAAGGTCTCCTTTGACCCTGGAGACCACGCTGCTTCTTGGGATCAGAGGAGCACAACCAATCAGCCACAGAATGTCGAGGCTCCTCTGCATTCCAAATCGTCAGCCGCCGGGCCGAACGCTTTACCCACATCAACAGACTCTCCGAAAACCTCAGCAGCAGACGACAAGCAGCTCAAATTCCACTTTGCGCCAAACATGAAGCCGCTATTGTTCCCAGACGAGAAGGATGTACCGGAAGGCACGGATGCATGGGCGTTCGCAAAGGGCTGGACCAGTGTGACTCCCATGCGAGCAGAATATGCTTGCGTGGCGCATGGCGATTTTCAATATGGCAAGTTGTGGGAGTAGGGTTGTGTTATCTGAGGATCATGAGCCTCTCGTGTGTTCGTATGGTATGCACTGCACTGCAATGCTCATCTATCGACATGGGTATATGATTCATTATGTCATTAAAAAGCCGGGACAGATATAGCACAATCAGAACGCCTTTTTGTGGATGATATCCGGATCTTCCTTATACTCGTCCGCCGACACCCACATCTTTTTGAACGTGCTAAGACCAGCAAGGATACTTCCTCCAATCCATGTAGAGTACTGTACGTAAAGTCAGCCAGAAACGGGGCGCGAGTGAGTCTGGAAACAGACCTTTCGTTCAGGAGGAGCATAGATCTTGAGCTTGACATCCTTTAGAGCCAGCTTCTTGACTTCATTGAGTAATCTGTCACCAAAGCCTGTGCAGAGGGTGGATCCTCCAGAAAGGACGATATTACTGAAAAGAGATTTACGGAGGTCCAAGTCGGTACGGTTAATAGAATCGACAATCACCTGCAAACCGAGTCAAAAGCGACTACGCGAAATGACGAAAGAACGCACCTGATGCACACCTGGGTACTCTTGCCCCACAATCTCTGGGTTAAATAGAATCTCTGGCGCCAGAAACCTTTCCGTCCCAAGCTGTATGACCTTTCCGTCTGGCAGCCTAAACTCTTCCCATGCGCCTCCTTGGTCCTTTTCCTCCTTGGCCGGATTCATCGCCAGATAACACGTCTTTTCCTTGATTGTGCGAACAACTTCTTTCTCTGCGGAGGTATGCAGGTTGTGCCCTGACTTGCGGAGGAGAAGCTGAAGGTGGTCGGTGATGTCGCGACCGGCGAGGTCGATACGGCGAACGGCATGGGGCATAGAGAAGCCCTCGAATACAGGAACGGCATGTGTCACGCCGTCGCCAGAGTCGAGGACAATACCTGTTGTTCTACCAGAAGAGTAGCTGGAAGGAATTAAGCTAAGAACACGTGAGTCGGCGAAAGGCTTACAGGGAAAGCACGGCCTGTACCGAGGTAAAGAAGGCTGGAACGTTAAAGGTCTCGAAGAATATCTGAGCAGCAATATCACGATTCTGACGGGGATTCAAAGGTGCTTCTGTTAAAAGTACAGGGTGCTAATGTCGCTCAGCTTGTTGCCTCAACCATCCAGACTTGAACTCACCTCTTCACTCAAAGCCTTCAACCCCTCTCCATAGACCCATCCCCATATCCGTTCCATATCGTCCCAATCCTGCACGACACCATGTTCCATGGGATATCTAATCTTGAGTAATCCTCTGAATTCTTGAGCTCGCCTACCAATGAAGAGGTTGTCCTGAATAGCACCTGCCATGACGCGAGGGTGCTTTGGACGGCCGACGCTGTATGATGGTCAGCTGTAGAAATTAGAGACATATGATCGACTTGCAATGATGGGATATAGCATGATGGCTGCTCCTCGCCCGCGAAACCTGCTTTGATATTGCCAGAACCCTGCATGATATGAGCGACGTCGCACATGGCCAGGCGAGATACGAGATACGTACGTTGTCGATGACGACTGGCTGATTTGTCAGGCTGTATTTGGTGAGCATATGCTACATCGCCAGGTGGCACTCACACATCGTCGAATTCTGTGGCCATGGTGGGATATTTGTGATTTGAGCAACCAACTGGTGCAACAACAGATCCCAGCGCGTCGCGTTGCAGCTAAGTGGGCGGCCATCTGCGCTCCCTAAGTGGGCCACCTAGCTGCATTCTGCCCTCGCTCCTCCGACTCATCCTCTCAGACAAAATCACAATTCCACTCGAGAGCTATACTCATCGTACCCACAGACCAGCCATGTCTGCCCAGCCTGACACCATCAAGCTCTCTCCAGAGGCTGAAGCCCAGTACGAAAGAATCACCAGGAATCTCCAGGAGGTCACCAGTGCCGACGTTATCCGAAAAGTCTTGAGCGAGGATAGGGTGGTTAAAGCATACTGGGGTACCGCGCCCACCGGCAGACGTAAGTCTTCATGGTGAATTGAGGGAGCCTGCTGATCAAGTTTCTCTGATAGCGCACATTGCCTACTGTGTCCCATTGCTCAAGATCGCCGACTTCTTGACTGCTGGTGTCAACGTCAAGGTTCTGCTTGCCGGTAAGTCATTGTACTTTGTATAAGAAACCGTAGCTAATGCATACATAGACGTAAGTCTTTTTTACTTGTTGATGGTCGCCAGAGGTGCGCGCACGATCGGAGAACCCGGCGTAGTCACATTCTGGTCCAACGATAATATATTGCAACATCTTGCTGATCCCTGTACAGCTCCACGCTTTCCTTGATGCCTCAAAATCCACGCTCGAGACTGTGCAGTACCGAGTCAAGTACTACGCCACCCTTCTCAAAACCGTATTCACTGCTTTGGGCGTCCCCACCGACAAGCTCGAATTCGTTACCGGCTCTAGCTACCAGCTCAAAGCCGACTACACTCTTGACGTCTACAAGTGCGTTGCAGACCGAATCATTGGACGTCTGCTGACTGTGAGCTAGGTTCCATGCTCTGACTTCAACAAGAGAGGCCGAACACGCCGGTGCCGATGTCGTCAAGGAGTCCGAATCTCCTCTCATGAGCTCCTTGCTCTACCCCGGTCTCCAGGCCCTTGACGAGGAGTACCTCGGCGTCGACTTCCAGTTCGGTGGGGTTGACCAGCGCAAAATCTTCATGTACGCTTCCCACTTCCTCCCTCGACTCGGCTACGCCAAGCGTGCCCATTTGATGAACGGCATGGTCCCCGGCTTATCCGGTGGAAAAATGTCCGCCTCGGACCCCAAGTCCAAGATCGACTTCCTCGATACTGCTGCGGACGTCAAGTCAAAGATCAAGAACGCTCTTTGTCCTCCGGGGGAGATCGAGAACAACGGTGTCATTGCTTTCATCAAGACTGTCCTCCTCCCTATTCAGGCGCTCAAGATTGAAAACGCTGCCAACAAGGGCGAGAAGCCTCCCGTAGGAGGGAACAGCTTTGTATTCCCCGGAGCTCCCGAAGGCACCATCTTTTCCATCTCTCGACCCGAGAAATTCGGTGGCGACATCCACTTCAAGAGTTACGAAGAGCTTGAAAAGTCTTACATTGCCGGTGACGTTCATCCCGGAGACTTGAAGACTGGTGTACAGGACGCTCTCATCAAATTCCTCGGTCCTATTCGAGAAGCATTTGATGCGGACAAGGAGTGGCAGGAGATCGAGAGGCAGGCATACCCCAGCTCTTCTGCGGCCCCCAAGGTTGAAGAGAAGAAGACCAAGAAGAAGGATGTGAGGTCCAAGCCTCCTACTGAGGAGGAGCGGGCTGCCTTGAGAGCCGCCAAGGAGAAGGAGAAGGCGGCCAAGGAGGCTGCCAAGGCTGTCAACGAGGGCACTGCGCTCCCTGTTCCCCCTGTGGACAAGACCACCCCTTCTCAATTAGTCCAGAGTTCCAAGGCTGCTGTTGCCGCTTCTGGTGTTGGCGCTTCTACCAGCTGCGTCATCAGCACCCATCTGCCCAAGCTGAAACTCCTCGCTAAAGGAAAAGTCAGGGACATCTACGCTTTGCCCGGAAAGGAGGACGAAGACAAGTTACTGTTTGTTGCCACTGACCGAATGAGTGCTTTCGACGTCATCATGGACAATGTGAGCACCAGAATATCCTTATTGGTCAACGCTGACGGCTTTTTAGGGCATCCCCTCCAAAGGCATTACCCTAACTACCCTCTCTCTCTTCTGGTTCGAGAAACTCAAGGATGTCATTCCCAACCACGTCATCCATCCTTCGCCATCCTCCTGCTTCTCTACTCCGGCCCAGTCTTGGGAAGAGTTCCCTAGAAGTTTGGACGAGTACAGAGACCAGCTCGAGGGCAGAAGTATGATTGTCAAGAAGTGCGAGGTCGTCAAGATCGAGGCTATTGTCAGGGGCTACATCACCGGCTCTGCCTGGTCAGAGTACAAGAAGTCTCAGACTGTGCATGGTATTCAAATGCCTGCTGGCCTTGTAGAATCTGAACAGCTTCCCAAGCCATTGCTCACCCCTTCCACGAAGGCTGATCAGGGCGAGCACGATGAAAACATTCATCCTGACAAGGGTTGGTTGCTTTCTCAGCGGCATTGGAAGGCATGCTGACGAATTACGTAGTCAAGGATATCTGTGGTCCCGAGCTCGCTGTCGCTATCGAAGAGGTTGCTATCAAGCTCTATTCTACCGCTGCCGCCTACGCCAAGGAGCGCGGTCTTATCCTGGCCGACACCAAGTTTGAATTCGGTCTACTCCCCAACCCTGCTTCCCCCAACAACCCTACTCTTATCCTCATCGACGAAGTCCTCACGCCCGACTCTTCAAGGTACTGGTCTGCTGCCGAGTACACTGCTGGTAAGCCCCAGGCTTCCTTCGACAAGCAGTACTTGCGTGACTGGTTAATCAGAGAAGGTTTGAAGGGCAAGGACGGGGTGACGTTACCGAATGATGTTGTCGGGGAGACGAGAAAGAAGTACGAGGAGGCTAGGGACAGGGTGATGGGCCTTGGAGAGTTTGGCAAGCATGGTCGGGTGGGACAGGTTGCTGGAGATGAAGTGGCGTTGCAGACTGATCAGGCGACCGATGCCATCGAGGGCGAGGCTAGGAAGGCTTTTTGAGTTTAACAACAGTAAATTCGAGGATATCACGATAGAGATGTAATGGCATTTTGATGACCTGGTGGGACCCACGCGGCGATTCGTATTGCCATCTGTACATCATATAGCAGACATGACTCGCTTTTAGGCCTGCAGCAAACGCTCTTTTACGGACAAATCGGACAAATCGGTGCAAAGCGCTGATCTATAGTCTTAACATCTTGAGGAGACTCGGAATCACGCATCAACTGTTGCCCCACAACATTAGGGGTGGACGGGGGTCATAGGGGTTATACATGATTTGGTCGCCCCTCAGCCCTCTTGAACTCATTTAGAAGCAAAGAACCAAGTGTCCACTATTATGATCCTAGTCAATGGGTCAAGCTCAGCAGGAGACGTATGCCACTCACCGTCGCCTCCATGTTCGGTACCCACACTCATGTCAACACTTGCTGCCAGTTCAAACCCTTGGACGTCCATGGCAGACAAGATTGCGAGAGATACAATCCTTGCGTGATTCACATCAAGGCCATTCGAGCTCCACCATGGGTTACCTCGAAGCTTGATCTGGTAACAGCCATGCTCTTTTTCCTTTTCGGTCTGTACCCCTCTATACCAGGTTTGCTGACGTGTAGCAATCAGCCAATTCAATCTACATCACATCTTGGTCGACCTACCCTCACAGCTTGGATGAAGGCATCCCTTACATCATTATTGGGAGGGTCGATGATGCGCACCTTGTCCCCTTCATTGAAAGACACACAAAAGAAGTACTTTTCTCTCGGAGGTGTTGTCTTGCGGAATATGACAGAGTCCTTGTCATACTGCTTTTTAGTGAGGTCCACAGACATGTGCAGATCCCATCCCACCGCACTCAGGGCATGGAAAATGTGTATGAGTAGGCGTCGCGCTTGTATAGCTTCGGTCATGATACCAGACCCTACAGATTTGTCGCCACGCCCAAGTCAGCATCATTCATAGATCAACTAACAGGGGCTTGCTTACAAGGATTTCCTCTCAATTTCCACTCCGTACCCACGGTACCGGCCACGGAAGACTTGCCTTGAATTCCCGGCACCCATACGCGCTCAATAGCTGTCTCGATCGCCCTAACATCGGAGGCCGCAGGCATATTGATCAGCCTTATACCATCCGTCCGAGCCAGGTGTATGCAAGAAAATGCATTGTACATGGGTTGGCTTGGCTGATGGCTACATTCGCAGATGAGTTCGTCTGAATACGTTCATGGTGGAAACATCATTACTGAGAGGTGCCGGAAGCTTGCCCGTATGATGGTGGCGGAGCGGCCGATTGCTTGGCACTGCTATCATGCTGAGATTTGAATTCTTCGAATTTGCCCATATTTTGTCTTGATGTAATCGATTTGCTGGGGAAGATCAAGCTTTCGAAAGAAGGCAAATCGCAGCAGGCGACATCAGAAAGAAGAAGATAAAGATGAATGTGAATTCAGAGAGAAACTACTGTATGTCATCGCCGCATGTCCGAGCTCGCACACATTTATAGCCGGTCTACTCGTTGTCGGTTCGACGACAGGACACCCATTGCAGAAACATTTTGTGCATATCATAGATGGTACATTAGTGGACTGTGGTCATTGTAATATGCCACTGCTTTCTACTTGGTTCGTATCTCGTCGTCACAGACCTTCCTCTTCATTGAGCACCTTGGAACACATCTACGTAACGATTTCTTGCACCCTTCTTCAGCGCCGATCCCGGTCTTTTGCTCGCAGGCCTGGGCCCACCACTCAGTAGATCATCCAGCGAAGAGCTGGCTGTAGAAGGTCTACTAGGAGGGACAGAAGAAGGTGGCCCTGATGGAGGGCGGGAGGGTAAACCAGATGGCGGTCCGCTTGATGGCGGGGCCATAGGCAAGGAGGACTTCATCCGCTTGATGCCCCCATCCGGAGCTTCGGCAAAGGCAGACGAGCCTGATGAGGGAGGGGCTTGGGCGCCGCGGGGAAGTGTGGCATAGGGGTTTGTCGGCATAGGAGGCGTTGCCGACATAGCCCTTGAGGCATCTGGACGAGTAGCAGCTCGGGATGGCGAGGCAGTTTGAGCTCTGGGAGGGGGAGGAGTCGCAGAAGGAGCGGAAGCTGGGGCCTGGGTCTGGCGTGAATAGTCAGTAAGAGAAAACTCTTATGGGATACGCAACTTACGCCTTTGACAACCCATCTCCCAGAGGCTTTATCAAACTCCATGGTGCTCTCTTCCCCCAGCTTGGCCCTGATAGGCCCCCCCTCTTTCTTCCCCCACAACTTCCCCAGCCATGATGTCGTTTGAGGGTGCTCGGCTGTAAAATCACTCATCAGCAATTGCCCTCTTAGTACAATGAAGGCTTACGTTTTTTCTCCTGTTTTGGCTCCTCCTGTTGGGTAGCAGCTCCTGCCTTCTTGGAGTCCGCCTCTGGCTTTACAGCGCGCCCCTTGGACAATGACGAGTTGCCGAAGCCAAGGTCTTCATCATCATCGTTGAGATCAGAAAAAGCTTGCTGCTTAGAAGGCCCAGAGGTCGGAGGTGTATAAGAATCTGTGCCGGAAGAGTGTTGCGCCATGGGATTGTACAGATCATCCTCTTCGTACTTCTGTGGCACTTCGTAGGCACGAGGAGTCTCGGACTCAAGCTCCAAATTCTCCGGAGACGCATCCCAAGCGGTAGAACTTTTATCATGGGGAGGCTGCGACTGTCGACTATAGGGACCCCCATACGAGGGGTTGTTCGCACTGGAGTAGGTATTGGCATTGGGAGTGGCTAAAGGAGAGCTTGTTCTCGACAATGTCTGCGGCACCCCGTAAGGCGACTGCGAAGGGTACGATTGCGATTGAGGATTGTCAACGGCATGGCTCGCAGGCGAAGTAGCTCTAGATGCCGGCTGAACACCCAAATACCCATTAGTGGCATTGTGACTGGGCACGTCTGCCATAGAAGTATTGCGAGTGACTGACCCAGAAAGATCGGGAGAGACAGCGCTGAAGTGAGCAAAAGGACCAGAGCTCTTTCCACCAGCAGTAGGGGGTTTGGGAGCGGTCTCTTCCCCCTCTTCTCCGGCGATGAACTTGCTGAGACGACCTTCAATCCAAGAACCAATCTTGTCAATGCCAGGCTGTTTACCTCGTTTACCACCGGCAAGGACCTTGGCGGGGTTGACAGATGGTGTGCCTGTCAAACGCTCAAGCAAATCCTCCAGGCTGGCTCGGAAAGCAGGAGACAGCAGACTCTGAGCGGGAGCTCCCTTGATAAGAGGCTTGGTACCAGCTTCGATAGCAGTGCAGTATCTGATGTTATTAGCTGGCGAACCGAAGATCGAAAGTGAAAACACTGACCTTTTCGCCGATTCCGTTTCACCTAGCTCGGCCAATCGCCAGGCGCGTGCAAGTTTGTAGGGAAGCAACTGAGGTAACCCAGTGCAGATCTGCTCTTGGCCTCTGGGCAGAGACACCAAGCTTCGCGCATATTCGGCGATCTCGGCAAAGATGATGGTGTCTTCGTCGCGTTCGTTGGCGAACATGAGGCCCCGATCCAAAGCGACAGGACTGGTGTCCAGGAAGGGAGATAATGGCGAAAGAAGGAAGCTACGATGTGGTCAGAACAGACATGACTCGAGATAGTTTGTATTGCTTACCATGCGTTAGCAGCGTTGGTCAGGCCCAAACCGAGGAACTTTGAACCAAGCTCATCGAGACATGCCAACTCATTGGGTTTGGCGTTGAACAAGACAGCCGAGATGACCTCTCGCCATTGATCCTTGGTAGGATCCTCGCCGATGGATGCAGCATTGATAAGATCTTCCACTGTAACTCTATGTCAGCAGCCGACTCTACAACTTGATAGTGGGTACTCACAGGAGGCAGCATCCATCCCACCAATCAATGAGTAAGACGCCTTGATAGCTCCAGTTCCATCACTCCTCCCATCCAGCTCGGCCGTAGTGAACTTCTTCACCATATCCTTCCACAGCTCCACACTCACGGCGCTACTGATGACAAGAGCATGAGACCACAGACCTTGCTCGGCAGCGTATTCAGCAGCCTCTCGTTTTGTGCCCTGGGCTATCAGACTTGAGATATAGCTCAATTGAGAGGCATCGGCAGCAGCTGGGGCGGAAGCGGCCGTACCCACATATTGGAAGGTGGGCATGGCTGCGGTAGAAGAAGCTAGTCTCGCTGAAGACAAATTCGAGTTGTTGGGGTTGGCAAGAGCAACTCTGATGGCGTCCTCGACATCCGGTCTATACCAAGGTCAGTACCTGATGGGAAATCGCGTTAAATGACACTCACTTGCCACCCAACTTGCCTTCTCCCACGATCATAGCCTCCAACAATCTCAACAAGACCAGTTTTCCCTCTTCTTCTCGCCGTGTCTTACTGGCGGCGGTCTTGAGATACGGCAGCCCCTTTTCAATTTCCTCTGCACGCGTCTTGACGTACTCCATCACGCCCTCTTTCTTCTTCGCGGCACCGCCCTTGACAGGCGTAGGCTCATTCACCAGAGGCCCCGGGAAAACAGATAAATCGACCTTCAGGGCGCTAGGGGCGACGACTTCGCTCAGGTTTCTGATCCAGAGCTGACCCCTGTGAGAGGCATAACCATAAGACGGGAGACGCTCGTGCCCTTTGACAAAGTTGTCAGACTGAGAAGCACCAGGGAAGGCAGTGACCAACACTCCGCCGAAGCCAAAGATGGCGATAGGGGCATTTCTAGCAGCTAACGTCGTGCGTCCGAGGGGGTCCTCGCTGATGGGCCTCTGTTCAAGTACCTGCTGAGGAATGTACGAGGTATCGACCGACTCGCTTCGCTGGGGAGCAGGCATGCTCTGGAAGTAGTTGGCAGATGGGGGAGAGGCTCCATAGACTGAGCTATGAGCAGGGGAAGCAGCGCGGTTGAAGGTTGCTGGGGGGGCGGGGTCGTATGGCGAAATTTTCTGCGCAGTCGAGGGTGGGGGTGCAGCATAGGGGTCACTATCATAAGCTCCATAGGGAGCAGTGTAGTGCCTAGCAGGAGCAGGAGCAGGCGCTGAAGAAGGTGGCGGTGCGTATCGAGAAGACGGAGCCGTGGCCTGGTGAGGTGGTAAAGTTGCGGGCGCATAGGGCGAGTCATATGGAGAGGGTTCAGGCGAAGACGCTTGTCCCAGCCGCTCGATCTTTACAGGCTCCTGATGTGACACATAGGGCTCGTACGCAGAATACTGTTTGTCAGGTCTCTTTCCAGTAGGCTCTTGCTGCTCCTCCCGTCGCCCGCCGTACTGCTGGCCCTGACTGCCGTACTGTTCATAAAGCTCGTCGATATGATGCTGAGGTGCATAAGGATCATCGAAAGACCCTCTCTGCTGATGCTGGGCTAGTGTGGGTTGGTCAAACTGGGTAGAGCGAGGAAGAGACTGCTGCAAAGCTTGAGTAGCTGACGTCCCACGAGCATACACATCTAGCTGTTGTGTCGGGGAGTAGGGCGAAGGCTCATGGCTCGACACCGCCGGCGGCTGGGCATAGGCAGGCCCGCGACTAGAAGGGCCGCTATTCTCTGCTGGAGTCCACCCAGGCAGCCCCGAGGGAATATGGCTCTGCGGTGGTGATGCCAGCCCTGTGTCATAAGGCGGGAAAGTCATAGCTTGGTCGTTTTGAGGGGGCGAGCTGATACCTGTAGTTTTCCTTGGCGGTGCAGGAGCCTGATGAGCCCGAGGAGGCGACATCAGACCTGTCATCTGGATAGGCGGCGACCTCAACCCCTCAGCGTGGGGAAGCGAGGTATACTCATCTCGCTGACTCTCTACCGACGTCCGCTTCAATGAAGACGGAATCTCGGGCACAGGCGGCGCCTGGAAACTCGGCGGTGGTGCAAAGGCGGGCCCGCGACTGGGCGGCCTGCTCGTACTCGCTGGCCTCCTCGGTTGTCCAGTCGGTGGAGCTGACGTAGCTTGGTGCTGTGACGGCGGCAGCGCAAATGCGGGTCCCCGACTTGAGGGCCGGCTCACGCCTCTAGGAGGTCCAGCAGGAGGCATCGGTGGCATCTGTGAAGCTTCCTGTGGAGCTGCCATGGGGGCGAATCCATATGGCGACGCGCCAGCATTGACGGCAGAAGTTGGCCTGGGGATAGCTTTAGACACAGGCTTCAGAGGAGGGTCAAAAGCGTTCGATGCTGTCCGTGGGAGTGGTTGTGGCCTCGGCTGAGGAGGCTCTGATTTGGCAGGGGGAGGTGGGGCAGGGGCGTATGTCTGAACCGGCGACGGCGCATATGAAGACGGGGCAGTGAAGCTGGGTCGAGCTTGTACCGGAGGGGGCTTGAACGCCATCGGAGGGTCGTAGGCGTTGTATGTTGAATTGCGACTGGGAGCAGAAGGCGGGGCAGCGATAGGAGCTTTCGTAGGAGCTGGCAAAGGGTCCTTGCTAGGTGCGTACGGGTTGTATGTGTTAGTGGCCGCTGGGCTGCCGAGCGCAGGCACATAGGACAACGAGTCCGTGTATGAAGGTGTATATGTCGATTGAGCTGTGTTGCTCGGAGCATATGAGGAAGCTGTAGCTGGTGGCGCATACATGCTGCTGTCGAACTCGGATACCGCCTGTGGTTGTGGTGTACGCCGCAGAGCATTTTCGGACAAGAAGGATTCGGTCTGGACAGCCGGGCTTCGAGGCAAAGCCGGAGACATGGCTACAGATCCGTCAGCCACTATGGGCGAGGTAGGATGGTGTCACTTACAAGAACCAAAGCCTGCGTTAAGAATATCCTGACTGGCCTGCTTACGCGCTTCTACGGTCTGAGCCGGCCCATACATCGACAGCCTCACCTGCTCCCTCTCTTCTTCTGTATACCACTGGAATTCTCCGTAGTCATCGTACCAACCCAAAGGGACTTCTTGGTCATCGTTGGTAGACTGCGTTTGGGTGCTTTCAGTCCCTTGATCTTGAGTAAGCTCCGGCAGGTCTTGGGAAGGTGGAAACCGGTCACTTTGATCATCTCCAAACAAAGCACCACTTTCCCCAACTCCGGTAAACTCGACAGTAGATCCTGGCTCTTCTTGAGTGATAAGATCGTCAAAAGGTGAAGCCCCAGCCTCATCCCCAAAGAGACTGGACGCCCCTTTCTCCTCCTTTTCGGCATGCAGGCCAGAATCATTTTGATGTTCTTCGGGCATGATCTGGTCGAACAATGAAGATTCTTCCTGATCCTCAAGCAGGCCCGAGGCCGCAGGTTCTTTGACTTTGCCGGTCATGCTGGGGGAAGTGTCTTCTTGGGGTGATATCTGGTCGAATAAAGAAGTCTCAGGCTCATCTTCAAACAATTCAGCAGCTGGGGCAGGCTGAGCATTGAATACTCCATCAGCCTCGGGGGTACCCGTCTTCAGTGCAACGTGGGTGGCCCCAGGCTCAGCTGACGGCTGTGATTTGAGATGATTTGATGGAGAGCTTCCTGTGCCCTGGTCGAGAAGGGTTGGGGTAGGCACATTCTCTTTGGGGTTCGCAGGACTTGTGTCTTCTTGCACAGGGGGAGCAGACCACACTTCAGACGCAATTGTGTCGAACACCGAGGGCTCAGACTCTTGTTCAAAGAGCTCCGGAGCGCTGTGGTCACTGTTCAGCACCTGCTCCTCCTCCCTCGATTGACCGGCTTCATGCCTCGGTTGGGGCTCAGAAGTCTCGATGTCGTTTTGGAGGGAGATGGAATCGAAAGGCGAAGGAGAAGCATCTTCAGTGAAGAGGGAGGAAGATACCGGTTCTTGGAGGGATTCGTGAGGCTGGGTCTCGCCTTCGCTGGCAGCCGGAATCTTAGGCTCGAGAGAGACAATGGAGGATGATCCGTTTGCTTCAACGTTTTCTTGCGACCCTTGAGTGGGTACTATTTGCCCAGTATGATATCAACCATGTGTTTCCTCCCAACAGTAGCCCACTCACCAGAAGCCGCCTCTTGCTTTTCCAGCATCTTGATCACATCTGCGTGTGGCGAAATATTGGTACCATGCTCCTTGCCATCTGCTTCTAAGATCGGATGAGTTTCTTGTTGCTCGTTCGCGAGATCTGAAGGCGAAGCCGAGGAGTCTTCGACAGATGTATTCAAAGTCGTTTGAGGTTGGGCAACCGCGGGTTCAGACTGAGGGACAGCACTGGATTCCGAATCGTGTCCTAAGTCCTTGGACTTGGAATCGATTTCCTCGGTCTCTGCGAGAGGCATTTCTTGGGGAAGAACCGCAGGTTGCGCTGCCACTGGCTCTTTCTGAATTGAATATTCAGGTTCGATGGGGGTATGTTCTTCCCCTGATTCTTGAGCCACAGGTGGCTCCGAGGGATCGTCGGACACCAGAGGTACCTCTGCCGTCTTTACAGGTAGTTCTTCTCGATCTTGTTTTTGCTCTTCCGTCGTCTCTGCCTGATCAATGTCGCGTGCAAGTTGCGCAAACGCGTCGTTGCTGTCGCCTGTCGCTTCGTGCGCTCCGAAAACGTCGGCGGGGGATAGAGGCGGAGGGTCGCGGGAGGCGCTTTCCTCCATGTTGAGTGATAGCGCGAGTAGGAAAGCAGTTGAGGGCTGAGGAGGACAATTACTCGAAACCGATACGTCAATGACGGCGTGCTGGAGGCGCGGAACCAATCTTCCACAAGCCACGTGGCCACGTGGCAGCGGTGGTGTCCACCAGCGACGGCCCCAGCGGCAAACACCGCCGGAAGACGGAAGCAGACGGCCGAGTAACTCCGAGCTGACGAGATGCCTCAGACATTTTCTGAAAACCAATAAGCTGTTTGTTTCTCTCTCTGCCCCACCAAATCACCCCTACCACCTTCACTCGCCACAACTATCCACAATGCCCATGGTGAGTAGCCTTCTCGGGTCGCTTCGTATCAGATAAGACCCTCCTTGCGATCTCGCACGAGGGATCTACAAATTTCACCTTCTCCGACCTGCCCCTCGCGACTTCACCCGGCCTTCCCTTTCAGATCTCCAACTACCTCCACTCTGTGGCGGTCCACCCGCCATGGGCACATGGGAAACATGTACTGCATGCTGACTCTCTACAGAACCGCGCTCTCCTCAAGAAATGGGTCCCTGTTGAAGTGCTTCCCATCTTCGGGTACGTGTCCAATTATATACGGCCGACTTTGTCGTCGCCACTCCCGCTCGTGTCTTCTAACTGACATTGCTCTGTAGCATTGTCGGTATCGCCGTTGTCGGTGCTTCTGCCTACCTCTACAAGCTCTCCCAGGGCCCTGAGGTTGTTTGGGACCGAAGCTCTGACTGGAGGCCTTGGGACAAGGTCAAGCACGACCAGAACGTATGTCACTGATGTATCAGCACCACTCTGATCCGTGCTGACCTCGACGCAGCTCAAGCTCCTCAGCTACAACCCCGACTTCTGGCAGAAGAGGAAGGAGCAGGCCAAGGAGACCCTCGGTCTTAAGTCTGAGTAAACTACCCCATTCATCGCTTTTTGGGGAGTTGTTGTAGATAGTCTTATCATAGACAATAGACGGGGTGCTATGTTCACCCTGCTAGACGTGTAGCTTTTTGGTTATTGGCATGTCATGGGCATTTTTTTTTATATCGTCGTCGCCATTGTGCCCTCAGTTTTCATCTGCGCGCCAGAAAAAAGACGGCAAGAAAGCCGCCTGCAGGGATGTCGACGCGTCTCGCCCTGGCTGTTGTGGCTTTGCATCTGCTCCATATGGCCATGCGGGCCAATTGACCTCATGGTGGGGTTGCCCCACCGAGCGCCTTCTGTCGTATCTATGGTCCATGGTCGTCAAGTGGAACTTTGTGCATGCGTGACTCGTGCAACACGGCGGAACCTGTTGCAAGGGCAGCGGGACGTGCGAGCCGTGCGGGTGTACCTGAACTTTGTGGCGGGGGCACTGCGCGCAGAAATGAACGGTCAAGCTGCCGAGAACAGGGCAACAAGCCACCCAGTCATACCTCGGCAGACGCAACCCAGAATTGTAAGGGAAGCGTGCGACGTTTGTTTATGCTTTTTGAGCATTCTTAACCCTTCTTCCTTCCATACCCCTGACACACATCCATCCATATACTGTATACCCCCAGTGCTCACGCACCCCCACGCTCATTCACCCCCCAATCCCCTAGTCTCGCATCATGGTTGCCTTCCGCGCGCCTGCTGCCCTCCTCTCCTTCGCTCTCTTCGCATGGAGTCTCGTCGGCGCGGCCACCCTCGAGGAGCTCAAGGCAGATGCTGGCTCTCGCAGCCATAGGTAAGTCACAATCATTCTTCCACAAGTACCGAATATGACTGACAGAGGAATGACAGGACTGTGGTGCCAAACAGGTACATCGTTGAGTTCGACAGCAGTGCCCACTATTCGTCCGCGGGCTTGAAAAGGGCAGCTACTGTAAGCCCCTCGAGCCAGGACAGGCAATCAAGCTCACGCCATTGTAGCCTCACGAGTACATCTACAGCCAACTCGACGCTCGTTCTACTTCCTACACAGTCCACGCAGAGTACTCATGTCAGCTCTTCTTTGGCGCTTCTCTCTCTCTTACTTCCGAAGCCGTACGTCCACGGTAGTCTCAGCCACTCATCAGCTCACACCGCGGCAGGATCTTCAAGTGCTACTCAACATCACCGGTGTCATCGACTTCCGTTCCGTCCACTCTCTCTCTCTCCCTGCCGACGCCATCCACGCCGAAAACATTGGCTGGACCGCCCAAGCTACCTTTAGCTCTTCCGAACTCATTTCCGAGGGCGACGAGTCCACCAGCACCTCCTCTATTTCCAATGCATCTACCCCCACCGCCTCCGTCAATTCTACCGCCGCTACCTCAGCCCCCTTCTCCAATCTGCCTCAGATCGGTGCCGATAAGGTGCATGCTACCGGCAACAAGGGCAAGGGAATCAAGATCGGTGTGGTAGACGGCGGTGTTGATTACACTCGGGAACCACTTGGTGGATGCTTCGGGTCCGGGTGCAAAATCGCTGGTGGTTACGACTTTGTCGGGGACAACTACAATGGCTCCAACACCCCTGTCGAGGACAGCGACCCTTACGACAACTGCTACTCACATGGTACAGTCGTCTCTGGTATCATTGGGGCCAACGAAAACGAGTATGGCGTGGGTGTTGCCCCCGAGGCAGAGATCTATGTGTACAGGACCTTTGGCTGTGATGGAAGTACCTCCGATGACATTGTCATGTCTGGCCTGCAGAGGGCTTATGACGAGAACATGGATATCATCAATCTCTCCATTGGTAAGTCAAATCTCTATTCTAGTGTGTGATCCAGTATTGACATATCTACAGGTGAGGCCTCTTCATGGACTGAGAGTATGCTCAGCGTCTTCGTCTCCCGTCTCGTCAACAACGGCACCATCGTCACCTCTTCCGCGGGAAACCAAGGCCAGATCGGCGCCTTTTACTCTTACACTCCTGCTGCCGGACAAGGAGTCATCAACGTCGGTTCTAGCGACAGCTCCATCTACCCTGCCCATTATGCCACAGTATCCACTGGCTATGGTCCCATCCCCTATTACAATTACAAGGCCTACACCGACGGGACCTTGCAGCTGTATACCATTGACTCTGATGAGTACGGGTGCACCCTGCCTGATGATGTGCCCGACTTGTCGCCTTATCTCGTCATCGTCCGACGCGGAGACTGCTCGCTTTCCGCTAAAGCACAGGCCATCTACAATGCTGGTGGAACCGCTCTATTCGTCGTAAATGACGGTACCAGTCTTCCCATCTACCAGAATTTCCCTCTTATTAACTTTGCCATCATCAGCCTCGAGGATGGCAATTATCTCCTTGACCAGATCAACGCTTCCACCAACGCTACTGTTAGCTTCTCTTTCAACCCCGTTGCTCTTCCCAACGTCTGGACAAACAACACCGCCTCGTACTTTTCCGAGATAGGTCCTACCAATGACCTTTACCTTGCTCCCGATGTGCTTGCACCGGGATCCAACATCATCTGCGTTACGCCTACGGCCCTGTACAACTGGACCATTGGTGATGGCACATCTTGGTCGTCTGCCTTCGCTGCTGGTGCTGCTGCCCTGTATCTTGCGGACAAGGGTACGAATAACATCACCCCAGCGGACGTCAAGGGTGCTTTCGAAATCTCTGCCGACCCGCTCTCTTACTCTATGACCGACTCTTCCCTTGCGAGCGTGGCTTGGCAGGGCGCCGGTCGATTGAGGGTTGACGCCGCCATCGACGCTACTGCAGTCATCACTCCTTCGGAGATCTTGCTGAATGACACTGCCAACTTCCAGAGGCAGCACGTGTTGACTGTCAAAAATCCTAGCAGTAGCTGGGTCACCTTCACTTTTGATCACGAGGCTGCGGGAACGATGCTGGCTTTCCAAAGCGTAGGTGATCTTAATTATGTATGGAGCCGCAACTAACGCCTTGAAGGGCCTGAATCAATCCGCCGACGAGCCCGTCCCCCAAGTCAACACCTCTGCCTCGGTCAGTATATTCCCCTCCACTCTCACCCTCTGGCCCGGCCAGTCCCTTGTCACCACCCTCACATTCACTGCCCCGTCTGGCCTCGACGCTGCCCAATTCCCCGTCTACTCTGGCTTTATCAAAGTGACGGGTGGAGCTACCACCGTTCGTGTCCCCTACCTCGGTGTTGCGGCCAACATGAAGGATATGCCGGTCCTTGACCCTACAAGCTGGTACCTCGGTATCAACACGCCGGTCATCATAGATCCCAGCTTCAGTGTACAAGACGGCACCAAAGCCTACTCTTTCAACAGCACCGATTATCCCTCGGTGTTGTATCGACTTGCTGGAGGTACTCCTTACATCTCCATTGACTTAATTGACTCCAACTCGACCCTCTCTTTCACCCCCGACTACACCACCAAGAAGAGGTCTGGCCAGTTCAGGCATTCTGCTGAACCCCGCCGACTCCAGTCGTCCGGGGGCGCTTACTCCCTCACCAAGACTTCGTCGCTTCTTTCCCTCTGGTGCAAACTTACAAATTTCCAAGGGTCCGGCTGTAGCTCTACGGACAATACCTTTGGTTCAGTGGATATTTTGGGCAACTTGTACTCAGATGAATGGGTACCTAGAAGTACGGATAATGTAGACCTTGAAGGTGGAGACTACTCTACTTTTGAGTTGAGCTCTGCGGCATTTGCAAATGGGACAGCTATTCCAGGTGGGACCTATCGATGTGAGTACTGCAAAGATCCGAAAATATTATGGTTGACATTGAACAGTCCTTTTGCGAGCTCTTCACATCTTTGGTGACTCGACAGAAGAGTCGGACTACGAGTCTTGTACGCTCTGCCCTCTCGATACTGAAGCTTTACTGACAATTGTTCTAGGGGTTTCCCAACCTTTCATTGTTCCTCAGTGATCGCCGTCACTCCCCTTTCCATTTCTATTGATTATTGAAGGACAGTAAATGGACAGTACTCGTACAGTGTACACGATTCAAAGGACGTTTACAGCATTCACATATAGATAAATTCCTTTGGGTTTTCTTCTCTATCCTCTTCTATTCTAATATTGCTTTCTTGGGTTTTCAGAGTGAATTTTTGTGTATTATTGTCCTTCCCAATACATTCCACAAGTGCAACAGCAATACATGCACTGTTGTTCATCTTGTCTTTGCTTCAAGTTCGGCAACTTGCGTCAGGTTGGAAGATCTTTATCGACTTGGGCGGATGTTGTGGATGGTCTGGGATCCAGAGGCGGCTTCGACGTTCTCAAGGTAATCCTGTAATAAGGTCAGCAAGCGACATCGCGCAGACTCGTGGTCGCTCACCCTGAGCCATTTCTCGCGCTCTTCTGGAACGTGATCAAACAGTCTATATCTTTTGTCTCTCTGCGGCAGTGGGTCAGCATCTATATGACCATGTTATAGATCAAGGCTCACTCTGAGAACCGACTTGATTTCCCCCAAGTCGATCTGCCGCGCCAACTTGGTCAAGTCCGCCGCACCTCCCTCTCCCATCCCTTCTCCTTCATCCCACTCATCTTGTTCTTGAACCTCCAATGCCTTCTCGTCGAGCGTCTTCTTCCTCATCTTGCCCCAAAACTCCACAAAGCTATTCTCGCCCAGCATTTCATCAAATTCTCGGCGGGCTTGGGTCTCGCGGGTGCGGAGCCAGGCTTTCCAGCGCTCTTCCAGAGCACCGCCTTGAAGTCCGAGGCGCTTGACGATAGGGTCATCGACAATTTTGGAATAGACGTCCTCGTATGGGGTGTCGAGACCAGGGGTATGGGTTTCGAAAAGCTGATGAAGAGCGCCTGATCGTTTGGAGGCTACCCGGGCAATGTGCTCGTGGAAAAGCCGCTGCTTATTACCGAGGGTGAGCGCCGGGTGATTGAACCTGGGATCAGAGGACAAGGCAAAAGACGCGTCTTGCCAAGAGACCTCATGATCTCTGATGGTATCCACCAATAAGCTCCCGAACAGCCTCTCCGCCTCTTCTCTCCCAGCCCCAACTTTGCTCTTGTTCATCTCCTTCTCCATCCTCAACCTGTCCTCGCGGACCTTGGCCTCTCGATCGCGCAAGCTAGCTTCAGCCTTGGCCTTGCGTTCGGCTGTTTTTCTGGCAGCAACCTCTTCTTTGGTTTCCGCTGGCGCGGATTGCTGGGCTCTGGCAGCTTTGCGTTCGGCTAGACGACGGGCCCCTTCTTCTTCTTTGCTCTCGATAGTTTCATCGCCAACATTCCCAGCCCTTTGGGATTCCGCAGTAGCAGAGTCGGATGAGAGTGTTTTGATATAATTGTTGAAAAGCTCCTCTCTCAGTGAGGACGAGCCTACCGCATCATATCGTGAATCGGACGACAAAGAACGCTTGACGGACGACCAAGAGGACGAGATAGTGATCCCATTTGATTCTTTGAGTAGCGTCGTGAACTCTTCCTCGGCCTTTTGGGCCGCCAGGCGTTTCTCTGCGATGATCAGCCAAAGCGTCCAGAGCAGAACATGTGTGGACCCACTCTCTCCCAAATCTCTCAACCATTGCTTGAATACCTTTTCTCTTTGGTGGTCATCTCTGCCAAAGGCATAGAACTTTCTCTCCTTCTTCCATTTCTTTCTGAAGTCGTCCCATCTTGTTCTCGTACTAGTCACTTCCCTCTCAAGCAGCTCCTTGTAGTCTCTCTCGGGATCAGAACTATTCTTCTCTGATGTGCCGGTCGTGGTCTTATTGAGACGTTTGGCCCGACCTGCTTCGCGGCAGTACTCTTCGTACACTTCGCGCCTGTCCTTCATTGACGCGAGGAGGACGTATCTGGGGTCATTGATGAAAAGCGGGAGGGATTGGTCCCATGGAGCGAAAGGGGATATGTCTTTTTCGATGAGGAGGGCTTTGAAAAGCGCCCGGCCCTCTTCGATCGAAACGTTTACCTTTTCGGGCACAGCAAAGACCTTCTTTGCTGCCTCTGCCTCTGCATTCTTGGCCCTCTCCTCTTCATCATCTTTGTTTTTCTTGTCTGCCGCATCCTTCTCGGCGAATTCTTCAGCGACAGCTTTCATCCAAGCTTCCTCATCCTCTTCATCTTCCGGCCCGGCGGCGTGTTCATCGTCCTCTTCAACTTTGATCTTTTTTTCTCTGCCAGCGTCATCTGCGCCTTCCTCGACCTTTCTTTTTCTTTCGCCTTCGAGCCGTTCCCGGTTTCTTCTCTTCTCGTCCTCCAATTCGGACCTTATCCTTTCCAATTCTTTTAACTTCTCAATTCGCTCTTGTTCGAGCTTCTGAGCTTCCTGCCTCTTGGCCTCTTCTCTTCTTTCTTTCTCTTGAAAATGCAATTCAGCGACAGCGTCTTTGATTTCCTCGGGAACGGTCCACTCGGATCGCTTGGCTTCCTTTTCAAAGTAGAAAACATTGCCCTCATTGGTAGTGACCCGTACCCAGGTAGTACCGGGAATTGGAAGCTTCTCTTTCGCCTTTTCTTTCTTTGCCTTCTTCTTCTCTGTTGGGAGAGCCTGCGCTGACGTTGGGGTAAGACCAGGCGGAGGATAAGATGGAACGGCCGGTCGGACATAGGTCGATTCTCGTGTTTGGGAGTTGTAGTAGTAGGGAGTGACACCGTCAGGAGCTACAGATGCATCAGCTGGAAGCGCATTCTGGGAAGTCAAATACTGACCGCGATGTTCTGTCCAGCCTGGAAGCAATGGCGGTGGGTAGTTGACTGGAGGCGGCATCCCGGGGGGTGGGCCGGAGAAGGCTGTGAAATTAGAAGAGCCTCTGAAGCCAGCTTGACTGCTAGGACCCCCTGGAGGCGGTGGTGGTGGTAGTCCGGACATGACAAGGTTATTTGATTCTCGGACGTTGGAATTAGAAAAGAATGATCCGTCCCCGAAAGACCAAAGATAGGTGATGAAGCAATGATGAAGAAAATGTGGCCACGTGGAATATTTCTTCCAGCTGCATCCTTAGTTTCCTGCTGCGGCTGACCCCGTTACCAGCCTGTCAGCCGATTGACAAGACCACAAACCAGCTACATAATCCCAATTCAATATCTATAGCAACAACGAGTGTACTGATAGGATGATCTACATAAATTACCTCAAACTTCATATGGATGATGACAACTCGCTCCTCAGATGGCAGCTCATCTACGTCGAGCCTACTACTATAATCCCGGAAGTGTCATACACAGTCGCCAGACATGTCCCCTAGCGACTTCTGACCTCCAGCATATCGCCATCTTCGCAATCAATATTTCCCATTTTTTCATCGTTGTTCACGTTGTCGCCATCAAAGACAAGCTGCATCCCATCGGCATCTTCCTTCGGCCGCCCTACCTTTTTGCAGTAGAAGCGCAAGACAGTATGCGCCGAGACAGTCTTCGATACCTTAATCTTGGCCTCTTGGCCGTTACTCCCCCTGACGGTAAGCCTAATGGATTCGACGGCTTCTTCAAGAGGGGCAGGAGAAGCCGAAGCTGCCTCTGCTGATGCGTTGGTATCGCCGGGTTTGCCGTCCTCGTTTGCTAGGGATGGTTCGCGGTCATATGAGAAGTCGCGATTTTCCAACCGCTGACGGCGCTCCTTTTCCATCTTTTCCCAATGAAGCTTCTCGTAGCCCACTGCAGATGATGTAAGTGCGCGCCCATGACGCGAAAGGTTCAGGATTTCAGACTCACTCATGTCAACCTCACTGCCGCCGAATATTTTCAGACCCTTGGGACTGTCTGACGGCCAAACCCTCTTTCCATCATACACCAGTACAAAGTCATCTGGGCTTTTGCTCAGCTTATCCCCCAGAACCTCCAAGACACGGTACATGTTGTCCTCCTGGAATGTACGTCAGCATCAGATTATGTCTGTTGACCATGGCAGACTTACACGTCGTATCCTGACCGTCCTCGGCATCTCAAACTTTTTGATGGCAATCGCTGGAGCCTTCGACTTTTTGATCGGATCCAGTTGTAATCGCACGGTGACATCCACGATTTCGTCCTTACTCGGCGAAGGAAGCGAATCATCGACCTCTTCGGCTGGGAATTCTTCCTCTTCTTCCTCTGCTGTGTCTCCGTACATTGACCTTTGGCGTGGTTATCAGCTGCTGTCAAACGTCGAAGTGCACTGACATACTGAACAAGGTCTTGGATCTCTTGCTGCTTTTTGGCAGAGATAGGCGGCGGTGGGGTAAGCACCACCCGACTTCTTGTTGATTTTGGCAATTCTGGTTCTTCTTGAACAACCGCCCTACACAATATCCGTCAAATTTCTCCTTTCTTGAAGCGTATAGTCACAGACATTGAAGAACTCCTTCCCCTCTCTTTGCTCTCCGTAGATCTTCTCTCACTTCTCTTCCGTTCCCTCTCTCTCCTCGTCTCACTGGCGGGCCTCGTCCACTCTGGGAGCGCCTTTGCCTCTGCCTTCTTGTTCGGGCGTCGCTTTTTTTTCTTACTGCTCTCGGAAAGGTCGTCGTCGGACGGTTCGGGGGAGGAGAGTACAGGTGGAGGGGCTATCAAAGTTCAGCTGTGTATCTTCAGCTCTAAACATGACACTCACTGCTAGCCTTGATGATCGGTTTTCTTTTGCTGACGAAGAAGTCATCACTATCGTCAGAGTCGGACATGGTCCCGTGCCGGCAGTAGGTTGGGTGATGTGCGTAGCGTGGTCCAGCGGGTGAAGTCAGGGCAGCGGTAGGGCCTGGATTGGGTCTTCTAGTGGAACCCTAGGGCCGAGAGCGTTGATGTCGGTGTGTTTATAGAATGTTAATCAGAAAGTATAGATGTGAACACGGTCTGGAGTGCTTGCGAAATTTACGATGAAGCAAGTCCTCAGTCGCCGCGGGTCGGTGGCATGGCTGGTGGTGGTGGTACTGTGGAAAATCCAGTCATGTTACCCTTACGTAACATTACGAACTTGCTGTTGCATTGTTGCATTTGTTGTTGACGACCTTATCGATCGAGCACAAAGTGTACATCTTATTTTTTCACTTTGGAGACTTGAGATGCTTTATCCTCTATCGTGGCCTTCTGAAACATAGCTAGAAGCTCCTGATAGGCTTACATGGGTGTACTTCAAGCTTGATTCACAATCTATTCACAAAGCCAAACATATTTAACGCCATTTGGGAAATCCAAGAGGAACCTGAGCAATCACATCGAAAGGGGCCAATCGTCCGTAATGAAACATGTCCGTGTTATACACGGCATATCGTTTCGGGGGCGGGAACTGCGTAGGTGGCGGAGGAGGAGGGGGAGATAAAGGCTGGGGCGGCGGCGAGAGAGGGGGTGGAGGCGGATCTGTCCTTGGTGTAGGAGGATCTATGTCCATGGCGCTGTCTTCTCGGAATTGACGAGGGTCATCCATCTCACCCCCTATGATCGCCAGGTCCTCTGCATCATCGTCCTCCGCGGGGAAGGGACTGTCGTATGTATGCAAGGATGATATACGCTCATGTAGGGTTTCAATAGGATCTGATGTGATAGAACATCAGTGACACGTCATGGCAGGCAAGCTCTCACCTTGACTAGCTATCCACCCGGGAGGATATCCCCATTTAGCCATCTCCACAATCCATGGCAGCTCTCCAATTCTGTACCGTGCCCCAGTTCCTTCTGCTTCTTCATCTTCTATCCACCTCACAGCATGGTCCAGCTCTTTCGTGATGCGCCCCGGAACAAAAGCAGCATTCAAGTCAAGCCTCCTTTGTCTTTCTACCTCTGTGACTCTGGAGTCGAGATAGATGCGGAGGAACGGAGCGACGGAACATGGAGGAATATGATCGCGCTCGTAGTACATCATGTCGCGAGAGTATCGGACCATGACTTTGTTGAAAGGCAGAGGGCATGCCTTCACAGTGTGTCCTGTCTCGCCACAATTCCAGCATGTGCTAATGGTGTCAGTACCGGACTAGAATCAAGGGTGGATTGCTTACAGGTGGGTTCTGTTATCTTTCAAGTGCTCATCACCATCATCATGCTCAAAGAGAATCCAACTCGTATCTCCTTCCACCCAATCTTTGCCCGCCGTGTCCACTTCCCACCCAATATCCTCTTCTCCATCTTCATTGATTTCTCCCTCCTCTATTTCACTACCCTTTACAGTCCCAAGCTTCAGCACCGGCACGTCGGAGCCCACAGGTACATCGCTGAAGTTTCTAAATGCCCTCTGAAGTATATCAGAGTAAGGACTGTCTTGTGTGTCTGCGTGCACGACGGGACAGGTGAGAGTAAAAAATGCGGTACCGATAGCTGTGCGCCAGGGTGGCTTCGAGTACTCTGTAGTCGTACATCCGTCATCTTCCGTGACCTCTGCGGGTCGTTGACAAGCGAGTAGCGACCTATACGGTCTGAATCTTCTCGCCACCTCAATCACCTCTCCCTGATTTACTGCTGCTCCCCCTTCTCGCTCGCCCGATTCTCCTGTTCCTTTCTCCATTCTTCTAACACCTTTCCAAGCTTGTCTCTGTCTATCCGATGCTTTTGCACTCTACCTCGGCCTTCGAGATGAAGCACAGGAATATCGTACTGGTACAACCTTCGCCACTTTTTGGCTTCTTGTGCTTCAGTGCCCAGGGGCGGGGAGCGGATGTTCCAGTAGGTGATCTCGAAAGGGTGAGATTGACGGAGGAGGGTGAGTTGTTCTTTGGCGACCTGTGAGGGGTGAGCGGTGACCAAGTGAAGATACAAAGGGCGTACTTCGCAGAGAGAGCACTCTTTTCCGCCGGTAAATAGAGTGAGCCTGGGGAGGGGGATGCGAGGAGGCATAGGAAAAGCAGGGAGATTGGTATTGTTCAAAGAAGATCATTTCAGCTAGCAAATTTGTCAACACTGACTGACGATTTGACCTTCCTCACTTCCACGTCGACACTTTTCTTGTCTTCCAGTCGGCCTTCATTTGGCATCGTAATGAAACTTGTTTTTACTTCGATCGGATCTGCATAGCTCTCGTCATAACCGCGTAGTCGCACAACAATAGAGAAACTACTCGAAATCAAGCTGAGAACCTTTTGTAATTTAAGGAGAAAGGAAAAAGGCACATCCGTTGCAAGAGAGAGAAATGAGATGAAGAGATGATCGAAAGTCGAATCTTGTCTAGGCGAAATTATATATATAAACAATGCAAAGGGGGAAAGAGTAAGGGCTTTTGTCGGCGTGTATAGAGGGTTTGTTGATGAGTACTAGAAATAAGGAAAGATGCGATATCTAAGTGATGGACGGATTGGGTTGGGGCATATGAACAAATGCGAGAGTGGAGGAGGGTGGCTGGATGACGAAGGGGAAGAAGACACTAAAGCGGCTATAGGGAAAGAGAATGTAGGGACAAGTCCCCTTGGTTATAACAACATCTGATCAAACAGAGAGTAGACCCGAAACCAAAAACCAGAAAGAAGAGAACCTGATGTACACTTTTGTCGAGTTATGCGACTCTTGACTATCGCCACCTCACTGATCCATCCGACTCATAATGTCCATGGGATCCTCCGATCCCACTGCGCTGAACAATACCGCATCGCGGCCTTTGGTGACAGGCTGAGGCTGCGGCTGAGGAGGAGGTCTTGCTTGTGGTCTAGGCGGAGGGTGGGGATGACCATTGGGGCGCGGATTGGGAACGGACACACCATTTGCGGGCCTTTGAGCAGGCCAAGTGCCCATTCGAGGAGGTCCATGACCGTTAGGATGGTGTCCAGGTCCCTGACCAACGACACGCCCTTGCTGTCCGGGATGTGGGGCGTGATTGGCATGTGATGGGATGGCGTAGGGTGCACCAGTGGGCCGAGATATAGGGGCATTGCCATGGGCGGTCGAGCTGGGAAGAGGTGTGGGGCGGGCTTTGGCAGGAGGAGCGGGCAAGGACGGTGGGTGAGGGTGGGTGCCGTTTTGGAGCATACGCAGTCCGTAGAGACCATGCTCGCCAGAGTTCAGGTAATGATACTGTTATGATTGTCAGCAAACGTCACACAAACTTTTGTGATAGGCTTGCCTTGAGACCATTCATCTGCCTGTACCTCTTGGTACACCCCGCACCAACTGCACACACAAAAGGCCTGTTCCTCTCCTCCGCCTCTTCCAGCGTCAAACCAAGGTCGACGGCATCATGGATCGCAAAGTCGCATTGTCTGCACGGCATTAGCTATCACTCCATGAATCATTCCCACTTACCCCTTCTGCTGATGATACTTGAGTCCATTGCTCTGCTTGTACGCCTTGTTACACCCAGGATTGGGGCATCTCCAAGGTTTGTGGGAAGAGAACAGACTCGGCTGGGGAAGGGCAGCTTCAATGCCCTTGTTTTGCGTGGTGGGCGCAGCACTGGTGGGAGTCCCGGCGGGTTTGATAGCAGGGTCGACACTACCTGGGGTCGACGCAGCCGAAGGCGCCTTCGGGGCTTCTGTAGGAGTTGACGTTTCGCCCTCTTTAGGAGCAGGAGTAGCCGGCTGCTCTGTCTTGGTTCCAGGCGGCACGGTAGGGATTCCCAGACTCGAGACGGCACTCGCAAACAGCACACCCGGTGCAACGGCCGTAGGCACATCCGACTTGTCATCGTCCTTCTTGCCTGCCACCACCTCGTTGAACGCCCTGTCAAACCTCTTCTGAGAGAGTGCTGGCCGCATGGCGTTGGAACCAAGGAACGCAGGCCTGGATGGGTTCATTTTTGGAGCTATGAAGTTGGGAGAAGGATGGGTGGAAGCGGTGGGTGTGGCGATAGAGCCTTCGGGTGGCGAGGAGGAGGAAGATTGAGTACGCGTAAGGGTCAGGTTGGAAGGGCGGACCAACGTTTCACCATCAGGCGGAGACTTCAGCACATCGGAGAGTTTGAGTGGCGACTTGTTGGTGCCAATGTCTGTCGGGCTGGCCTTGGGCAGGGGATAGTTGGGGACAGGGACAGGGGCGGCAGAATGCGGAGACAGGCTCGCGTGGGACGAGCCCGAAGCGGGCACTGGCACCGACTCTTCTTCCACATCTTCAAGGTCAAGGTCCATGGCGTGTGTCACCGGGGAGAAAGTATCCTCCGGCTGCATATTGGGGTCGGCGAAAGGGTGGCAGTCCTCGACATGCTCTAGTAACGCATGCAGCCCAGAGTGGGTCTTATTACAACATTCGTATGCTTTGGTGAGCTCGGCGTCGGAACGCATGAGGCCTTGGACTTGAGAGCGATTGTAGGAGGTGCCGAGGGACATTGGCTGGAAAGACATGGAGGCGAAAGATGTAGAGAGGTTGGCTGCTTCTCTTCCCGACACAGCCGCAGCATATGATCTGCGGTGATAGCTCGATGACAGTGAGCCTGGCGGCAGGCCGAACGCATGGGCGGATGCGGCAAACGAGGAGGGCTCCATGGTGATGGACGATGAGAAGGGGATCATTGGCGAGTCACCACTGTGATTGTGTAAGCAACCATAAGCGAATCAGAGTCGATCTACGCACCCAGCATCGCCATAATACTTCGCACCAAAACTGCCCATCATACCCCCGTTGCCCCACTTGAAGCTCTTTGGTTTGCCTTCGAAAGAGAATCCGCCACCGTTTGTGAAGCTGATCCCGGTCATGGCCCCATATGACATGGGAGATGCTCCCGTTCTTGGCGGATTGGAGGGATGGGGATTAGATGAGCGCGTGGTACGCGTGGGCACCGGCTGAGCGGGAGGAGACGGCATACCAAAGATGATGTGTGGTGGCGAGAGAGGGAGAAGGGATGGGATGAGGTGATGGGATTGTTTATCTATTAGGTTGATGCGGAGCCGTGTTTGGTTGCTAGTTGCTGTGTAGACCTAGGCACAGTGTCGATCTGTACTGTAGCTGGTAGTCTCTGAGTCTCCGGTGTCCCCTTGGCGGAGGGGGGAGCAGCGCAGAGTATAGGGGTGCTGACTATAGCCAATGGAGGATAGAGATGATGGACGGGAAGGTCGATGGAGCGGGTGGCGGGGAGGTTTGTTGGGGCGACTGTTGCCAGCGCCAGGGATGCCGAGGTGGGCGGGCGAGGGGGTGGGTGGGTGCTGCAGAGGGGATAGGGTTGTTTACCCGGAAGTATGTATGGGATTGTTAAGCAGAGAGATGAGCACCCCAATATCGCAACCGCTCTCCGCTTCCGGCCATCTCGACTTTTCCCAATGAAATTGGGTTCCCTTAACTCAGGGTCCAACTTTTCTTCCACGTCACCGCAAATGCATCCGTCCCCATTGGTTGCTGCTGCTGCTGCTGCTGCCCTTCCATGCAGCCACCATGCAAGCCCTCCCTACATGCATGCACCCCACCCTGCGGTAGATATGCTCTGCTTTGAGAAACGGCAGCGAGTTGAACGAGGGCATCCGATGCCGTACTGCTGTGCGGTCATTTTACGTCGCCGTACAGCCTAGTTTTTTTGTCGGCCACCAAACATGCCACCTGGCCACAACGTTTCGATTATATGTACGAGACGAGCACCGTTCCTCGCATGAGTGCGGCGGCATGTGGACGTGTTCCAGGACTCCAGGACCACCGGCCAGCTGTCGGAAACAATATGAATGCCGCCCGACGGCCGACTGCAGCTTCTGTTTTTCAATTTATCTCTTCCAGTCCACCTGTCTTCCAGTTTATAATGTCCCGCAGACAACCCGCCCATATCTTTTCGCAGCGTCTCTCTTGGGCTAGCCGGTCATTGCATGTGCCCCATGGCGCTCGCTTCGCTTCGACTACCCCTCTCCACAAGCCCCGCCTCGCATCTCGCAAAGTCGCCTATACCCTCTTCGGCCTCTCCCTCTCTCTCCCCGCGGGCTACTACCTGTTCCCCTCCTCTTCCCCTCTTCTCCCATATAAATACTCTGATCAGCCTCTCCAGTCCTCCAGCCCCCTTACTCCAGTACATAAGCTCCTCATAGTCGCTGTGCCGCCATCATCGAAAGAATGGTTTGAGAAGCCCTACAGGACCGATGGCACCCTGGCAGATGTGGAGGGCGGAGAGATAGTCGTGCAGCATGTCATGGTCAAGAGCCCAGATATACAGATTGAAAGGCCGTATACGTTGATCAATGATCCGGTACAAGAGAAAAGTATGAGGATGGTGGTAAAGCGTGTTCCGGGGGGTGAGGTTGGGAGGTATGGCCTTATCTACAAATATATGTTCAAGCTCATATCTTCTCCAGAGTCGCGCACTTTACAAAAGAAGGGGACGATCTGGGCATAAGAGGCCCGATTCCCACCTTCTCCATCTATCCTAGCCAATATGACAAGATTGTCATGGTCAGTCTACCCTCCCTCGGCCATTCCTGAACCTGACTGTTCGTGAGATCTCTACAGGAACAGCCATAACACCCTTCCTCCAGCTCCTCTCCAAGCTCTCCCCCTCGTCGGCTCCTTCTCTCGAGATAATACATGCCCTCCCAACCCCTTCTCCTAATGCCTTGGCCTCCAACGGCTCGACCCCTCTGTCCCCGCTCGATCTTGATTGGGCCAACTCGCAACAAGACCCCGCCTTTTTGCCTAGGCAAGTGGAGAAGTTTGGGAGCGGCCTGAAAGTGACGAGATTTGTGCAAGGCACTGTGCCACGGGAGGCTGTGGAGGGTGCTTTGGTGGGGGTGAGTAAGGAGAGAGTGCTTGTATTGGTCTGTCTTCCGCCTTGGTGGGATCCTTCCAGCGTCTCTGGTAATATTGGCTGACGCCCATGTAGGCTGATGCGCCCATTATGCGGTGGCATGACACCGAATCTCGACCAAGGCCCGGTCACTGGGGTCTTGCGAGACCTCGGTCTCTCTTCTCGACAAGTTTACAAACTTGAATGATATAGCATCATGACTTCTTCTACCCTGTGATCGCTAGCAATACACACATCCACAATGTACGGACATTATAATTGTCTATAGTTCGTCTCACGTAAATTGTTCGTCTCATCCACCACAGTCTCAAATGGCAGTTGCAGTTTCTCGTCGAGCACCCTGCCTTGTGGCTCGTCCACGACATATCCTTCTTTTTCGTCATACTCTCCCTTCTCGTCGATCTCTGATTTCTCTTCCCGCCCGCGGTCGAGCGATCTCCCCTGTATGACAGGCTTCATCTTTCTGACCTCCTCCAACCATCTTTCTTCGACCCCTTCATACTCTCCCCTCGCGATATTCTTCCTGACCAACGCCTCCCACCTCCTCTCCTCCCCTTTCTTCAATGAACGGACAAAAAACGGTGAGACGAGATCAAGAGGCCAATCGGAAGGCATAGATGGGAGAATCGTGTCGAGGGGTGGTAGAGTCGGGAGGGTAGCCAGTAAGAGAGAGGCGGACTGCAACGATGGCGGGGTACTGCGTTCTATCAGCCACTATCCCGCAAAAGGTTTCAGGTATGAGAAACTCACCCATCAGCCATATAGATATCCAACAACTTCCTGACTTCTCCATCTCCTACCTCGACTTTCCCCTTCCTCTTCCTTCCTACTTCACCCAACGTCGCCCAGTGTTCCAACCCTCCGATATTGCTGATACTTGCAATCTCCTTGGCCTGGCGTGGAGAAAGTATCTCGATACCAGAGGTGGTGGCATAAGTCTGAGCAGTGAGAGGGTCGGCGAGGGTGAGAGCCAAAAGTCGCAGGGCCGTGTCGTGTTGTCTTAGCTATTCCTGACCGTCAACGACATCAACAGACATCAAGCTGTGACATACCTTGCCAAGCACAATTGCCCGCTCCCAGCCCAGCTCTGCGATACCTTTGAGCCGATCTTCAGTCCTTTTCACATCATAAAATGGCGAGCCCTGCAGCAAGAACGCCAGCTTCAGTCTCAATCGTTTAATTGGTGTGTCTGGCGCTAGCCGAGCCAAGAAATGGATGAACGTTTCCCTCTCTTTCCCGTCCTTCCTCCTCTTACTTTGAGCCTGAAGAAGTCCTTCCTTCCTGTACTCGTCATCCAAGTCGGAGAGATGGTACTTGATTCCATCGTCCTGCACCAGGGTGGAAGCCTCATCAAGCATGAGGTCTAGCAGTTGTTGGTGTAGAGGACGGGAGGGAGAGCGTTTTGTGACGACAATGTGTTCCAAGTAGGTTCTGTGAACTTGCGCATCTACAGCTGCCAGTCTAGGCAAGATGTCGGTCGGGGAGAGGGATGGCGGGGGATGGTTGATTAGTACCTTGAGTCGCCTGTCAGCATTTGATCAAAGGTGCGGCGCAGGACATACGCCAAGCGCTCTCTCAGGACGCCTGGTCATAAGCCAAATAACGCTCTTTTCCCACTCTTCCGCGCATTCTATACCTTCAAGCGTGCTCGCAAACTCTTCAAGGGGATCAGAGCAGAGAGGATCGCCGTGATTTTGCTCTACCATTCTATATGATCACAATTAGCGGAAACAACACACACTTTCGGCCGGCTCACTCTTGTAGAATGTCCAGAACTTTTCCTGACTTGCCCTCCTGCCGCATCACTTTGGCGAGAATATACTTGCGCTCTTCCAAGAAGGGCTCAAGCTCAGAAAGGACTACGTCGTTGGGTGATGACAAGAGAACGAGAAGCTCGTCGATGTGATCGCTTCCAGAAGGGAGCGGGAGGGTGAGCAGCTTTGCAAGTACGGTGTCGATCACCTGCAAAGCAGTAAGCACCCGATTTTGCTGACAAAAGAACCACGTACGACATCGATCTTTCGCCCGTCTACGCCCCTGATCCCACCTCCTTTCCGCCTGGATGCGCGTGTTTTGCGTAGAACTTCTAGCAGCATCACATTCGCATCTCCTTCCAGGGCTCTTCGTAGATCTGCCGAAGCCGGAGAAGCAGATGTCGACGGTGGAAGGTGTGGCGAGTAATTTTTCTTGATAGATACACGTACTGTTGTCTCATTAATGACTGAACTTCCACCTCTTCAAAGTCACTCACTCATCTCATCCGTAGAGGCCAGGCCAGACCACGCTTCTTTCAACCCCTGCCATACCTCTCCTTCTTCTTCCAGCCCAATCACCTTCCCCCGCAGTCCCTCAAATAGCCTCACGATCCATCTCGGATCCACCTTGCCCTTTACCCAAAGGGCTCCAGCTTTCTCAAAGCTCGCATCTTGCGTTAAGTGCGACGCAAGAAATGAACTGAGATATCGCACGAGTAAGGATGTGCTGATCTGGTCTATCGGCGAAGGTGGTGCGAGGATGCCTTTTCGATTTTGACGGCGATATTCGTCAAGGAATGCGATGGCGTCGGCGAGTTTGTGTTCGTCACAAAGACGCTCCATGGCCAGAACTGGCGGTGTTAGAGTGAGAGAGTAGATGCAGGAAGGGGTGACGACAAAGGTCTCGGATGTGGTCGTCAGAAATGGGATGTCGCTTGGCCTCTTTGGCCGTTGAGGCGAAGATGGCGGGGTAAGACCAGACCCCGAGGGCGGATCTTCATTGTCCACGTCCCCTTCCTCTTCTGGCGGATCTCCAGCTTCTTCCTTGTTGGAAACAAGCCTGCCTGCGAGGAATCGCGACTTGACTGTTTTGAGTCTCTCTCCTGTGAGCAGATCTTGCACTCGTACACCATAAGGCGAGTAATTGAGATTGATGGCGTTGGCAGGTTGTGGAATAGGGATGACTTGTGTGGGGGTGGTGGGGTCATCTAGGGCGTGGATTGAAATTGTCTGATTGGTCAAAAGGGCAATGATCCAGCCAGATTCAACGGCTATCGTCTATCAACGCTGTACTTTGCTTCGGGATGGCTGCACTCACCGATCGACAGTGGATGGGACTCCCATTCAATTGTTCCCCTCACTGGATCCCCCTGCCCATTCAAGAATAGACCCAGAGTGGAAAATCCGCTGTAGCTCGTCACCAGAAACTCGTCTTCACCGGGTATGACCACTATGTTGGCATTCTTCTTTTCTTGCTCGGCATCATTGGAAGACCGATCTACCGGCGCCACCGGAGTAAGAGAGGCATCCGACAGGTCAATGACACAGTTGGTCAGTTCCGGTGGATCATCGTCATCGGATGGAGGGTAGAGAGCGCAACAGAGATATGTTTGGAAGATGGCGTGGTGGGTTGGAATGGATGGAAGAGGTATTTCCTGTACATAGCCGTCAGAGATATACATGCAAGTAAGATAGGACGCACTTTGATGGCTTGAAATTTGTGGCCCAGCTTATATATCCCCAGGCCATGCCGTCTGACGGTGACTACAGTCATGTCTGTCCTTTCTTCTGACCCGGGCCGCCAATCGAGCTCATCGTCATTGAGTATGACGGACATGACACCCCTCATGGGTGGTATCACACTCGATGGTATTTGGGCGAGGTCAGGTAGGGATAAGGTGTGCATGGTGCCGTCTGCCCGCTTATCAGCAAGGCACGAACGGGCAACGTTGACCTGGACGCACCTGAGATGACCAGGATCTTGGACACATTGGGCAATAGATACATCTTGCTGACCGGTCTCCTTGGAAACAGGGTTTGTTTACGACGCATCGTCCAGCCATTCGTCTAGAGACAGTCAGCAAAGCTTTCGATACGACACCCAACTTACCTCGGAATGTGCCGCTCCTTCACACACCCACCACTCAACTGTGCCATCCGAGACTCCGACATAGATGTTATGTTCATACCCTTCTATGCACCTGATCTCCCTCTCCTGATTTGGCTGCGTCCCAGTAGAAGGCGGACTTGCTCGCGATGTGATGGACGAAGCGGCAGACGCAATGAAGCCTTGTTTTGGTTCGCTGTCGAAGTCGAGCAGATCGGCGCTCGGCGAGCGATCAGATATCACGGGCTGTAGGTGGAATGGGTCTGCCATAGCTGTTGGTGGCAAGGGTAGGGATGAAGAGGGATAGGCGCAAGACAGGCGCACTCTGAGTTGACTCTGAGTGGTCGGCGATCCGCAATGTCAGACGACGCAGACGTGGAAGATAATTTGATCCCGTTCCTTGCAGCGAAGGACTCTGAGCAATCGACCAAGGAGTGACTTGTCTTTACATTTCTACAACAGCACAAAGCGCGATGCCTGATCACTCCCAATCCACCTACGAAATAGATAGGGACATGGACAGGCGCGAAAGGGACAGAGACCCCCAAGCGTCTAGCTCTCGGAGAGACGATGGAAATCAAGACCGGATCAAGGATCGAAGGAGAGGCAGAGATGATAAAGACAGAGATAGGAGAGACAGAGATGATCGAGACAGAGAAAGGAGGAGAGATAGAGATGACGAAAGACGACGCGGCAAATACGACTCGGATCGCTACGACCGGGACAGAAAGCGCGATAGAAGTCGCTCAAGGGACCGATCCCACAAAAAGGAGAAACGCCGCCACGACTCCCGTACCCCCTCCCCCTCCTCCAAATCAAAGCGCAAAGAGGCCAAATCTGCTGCCAAGGCTGCGGCGAAGAGAGAGGCCGAGTTGGAACAAGCCCGCGCTCTTGCCGAGCTGTCCATGTACTCTGCTACCGACAATCCCTTTCACGATACCAACCTTGGCCAACAATTCCAATGGAATAAGAAGAGGGATAAAGAGAAGAAAGCGGGAATGTCAGCAGAGGAAATCGCGAGGAAGGACGCGATTAGACGGCAAGAGGCCAAGGAGGAGTTGGAGCGGTTGAACAAGAAGAGAGCGGAGAGGGAGATTGAGATGCAGCTGAGGGAAGAGGAAGAGAACAGGCAAAAACGTTTGGCGGAGGACGCTGCGATGGCAGAGTGGATCGCCAAGGAGGACGACTTTCAACTTGAACAGTCTCGCCGCCGTGCTGGTATTCGCCTACGCGAACAGCGTGCCAAAGCTATCGATTTCCTCGCCATCAACCTCCGTTTTACAGACCCCAAATCCTCCCACCAAACTTCTGCTATCGGTTCTCTCACTAATCCCCGGGCTAGTGAGGTTGAGCGCGAAGAAGAAGAGGAAGGTTGGGGATGGGCGGATGCTGGCTTCGAGTTTGAGATCGACGAGCCGTGGAAGATCTTTGACAATCTTACGCTGGAAGATTGTGTCGAGCTTGAACAAGACATCAAGATGTATCTCAGTCTGGAGAAATCGCCAATCAACATTGAGTTTTGGAAGGTAAGCCTCTCCTGCATCCTGTTGACAGAACTGACGATCGTACAGGCAATGCAAATCGTTTGCGGCCATTACCTTGACAAGCTGCGCAACCCCGACCAGGCCGCTGGAGGCCCTCTCTCCGACCCAGAAGTTGAAGAGGCTACAAGCAATATTGTGAAAGGCCTGAGCTTGCAGCGTCTTCTGGAGCTAGAGAGCAGGGCCGATGGGCTTCTCCGTAGTGGGCAGCCTGTGGACAACGATTTCTGGGAGCTTGTCCTGAAAAAGATTTACGTCGAGAAGGCTATTGTGAGTATTCTGTGGTATTATCGTACATGTGCTGATTGTTCTAGGCCAAACTCAATTCAATACATGAAATCGTCCTCAAAAACCGTCTCGAGCAATTCAAGCGCCGCCAGCGCGAAGATGCTGCCAAAGTCCAAGCGGAACTCGGCGGTGTCCTTGCTACCAATACCAACACTTTCGGTGGCGACATGCACGCCGACGCGGGCGTCATGCCAGACGAGGGCGATGAAGCAGATGATGAAGAAGATGACGAGGATGACTTTATCGAAGACTACAACCGTGAGATGAGTCCCCCCATTGTCGACATCCGGCATATGCCCATCGAAGACAGGCGACTACCTATCGTCAGGGAAGAGGACGACCTCCGCCAGATCTTTGCTGCCCGTCACTCCATCACAGCGACAAACTTTATTCCCAAGCATGCTCGTGCCGCTGCTGCGACTGCCATCACCACGCAATCCGTCTCACGCCCGTCTGCGGCAGATATGGAGGCTGAGCGTATCTATCGGGAAGAAGCGGAACGTGAAGCTCGTGATCTGGGATCGGATGAAAGTGAAGAGGAGTTTGGCGATCTTGATGCGGGTCTGGACGTGCCCTCGACGTACGACTGGACCGATCGATATAGGCCGAGGAAGCCTAGGTTCTTCAATAGGGTGCATACAGGATATGAGTGGAGCAAGTATAACCAGACGCATTACGAGTGAGTCTCTGGGACACGGGAACGAGAGAGCTCGCTAATGATGTGTAGCACGGACAACCCACCTCCCAAGGTTGTGCAAGGTTACAAGTTCAACGTCTTCTACCCCGATTTGATGTGCGTCCTCTCTGCGGTTGACTCGAGATACACGCTGATTCTCGTCCAGCGATCAATCTAAAGCACCTACATATTATGTCAAAAACATCCCCGACGATCCCGACACGCAAATGATCGTATTCACTGCGGGCCCGCCGTACGAGGATATTGCCTTCAGGATTGTGAGGAGACAATGGGAGTTTTCGCACAGGAATGGGTTCAGGAGCACGTTTGACAGGGGTGTCCTGCAGTGTGAGTGTATAAAACATGCTGCCGGAGTAACTGCTAACGAGTGAATAGTGTATTTCACGTTTTCGAGAACCTTTTACAGAAAATAGAGATTGTGCTCATATGGTGATGTTTTGCATCAATACATTATGCATTTTCTTGTGAATGCATTTTCTCGTGAACAAGCGGCTTTCGTGATGCCCCCATAGCCCGAATGGACCAACCATCGCCGACTATATGGCGCTTATCTGATATGATTAATCATGTGTTATCGTACGAGGAGCCGCCTAGTGCCTATCACAGCTGTCGGACGTCCTCCTGCTCGGAGATTATGGCTCCCAAAAAGGGTAGCGTCATCTCCGGAAAGCTACGATAAGAAGCATGCGGTCCATTTCCCGAGATATCTGATATGATAAAGATTGCATCATGCAAACACGCACCACCGCAGCGCGCGCTCGGTCATTGGGCCTTGATCGAGGATGAACGGCGGCCATGGGTCTCGCAACGACCACTTGGTCCTCAATTCGAAATTGAAGAGTGACCACACGTGCCAGAGTCTGGCCAGATTGTGCGGCGGAGGAGGAGGAGCTTCGCACCGGTGATGCAAGCTCCCCAAGTCTTTGAATCACGCGATGAGTGGGGAGTACATCTGCACTGTGTTATCAGATAGCAATCCAGGTACGAGCCGGGATGGAATTGCCCAAGGAGGAATCCGAGCGATCGAGGCGTCGTATTCGCGGATCCGGGAGTACTCGTAAAGTATGATGGTCGACGATGTTGCAATGCACCGGCTGACCGTGGGCGCCCGTCAGCCACCACCATTGCCCACGACGAGTCGAGACTCGAGTAGTCCCGAACAGCGTACCGACGGCCCTGGGCGGCAGTGGGCGGGACAGACGCGCTTTTCCTGCGTATGTACCCTTTCGGGCTGCCCATCAAGCCCGAAAGCTGACTCGAGCTGACTGTACTCCTACGTACTGCATCTTACAAATACTCGCCGGCGCCACAGAAGAATGCTCCTCCCCCTCTTTTGCCACCCCGCATCAATTTATGCCACAGCAGCACAATCTCGCAATGAGCCAGCCCAGTCCTCATGCCCCCTCCTCGACTCGATCCGCCTCTTCGCCCCCAGTGGGCCGCTCTCCAATTGGCAGGGACACCACGAACGCAGAGTCTCATTTGCATCCTAGCGACCATTTGGCTGCTAGCGACCAGGGTCTGAATGATACAAGGGTGCCACCGCCGATATACTTGCGAGGATCGAGTGCGAGGGGTATCAGTAACAAGGGCGAGATCAAAATACATCTACCACAATGGTATGGCTACGTCCAAACTACTATGCGCCCAAACTCAAGTGATTATAGGAGAAAAACCCAAGTCCGGCCGCCTCGCCCGTTCGACAACCTGTCTGACCAAGGTATCATTCGTCCACCAAGCGAGGATACAGTCGTACGAGGCTCGCTAGAAATCATCATGAAGGAGGGCGGCCGAGCCAAAGCCATCTCTGTTGGTGTCCAGAGCGTCTGTCGGTTGTACCTGGGCCTGGACAGGGGGTGGGAGGAAGACGGTATCTTTGAGCGGGGGATTGAGATACTGGGAGACCGCGAAGAAGGAATCTGGCTGGAAAAGGGCAGCCAGTCGTAAGTCTCGTTGTGTATAGTCAAAGCTGCTCAACCGATCATTACAACAGGTTCAGTTTCACCATTGTCCTTCCTGGCACCCTCGCCGTCACCGCCAACAGCACTTTCGGACGAGTGACCCACATCGTCACTGCAAGAGTCGAGGGAGGGGAAGCCGCATCGTACTTTTCTTCCTTGTTCAGCAGAAAAGCGTTTTCTCCGCCGTCCACCCCTAGCAAGATCTCCAACATAGGGGACTTTGATAGGGTCATTGCTCGTTCAGACGAGCTAGCCCTGCGTAGATTCCGGAGCGCGTCAACTTCTCGAGCAGGGTCCAACAGCGGTCCGGCCATGGACGGCCGAACATCTCGTGACTCTGAAGGATCCGATCAAGGTAGCGCCATCGTCACAGCAGAAGGATCACCATCCGTCTTGGGTCTATACACCAGACGACCATCCTTTGAATCATCTCCCGCACGCTCGCCCCGTCAACTTCCAATCACGCCAGATGGAGAGTGCCCCAGCCCCGTGTTCAGCCCTCTAAATGAAGAGAAAAGTGGCTGGATGAAAGGCGATTTGACGTCGTATGACGGCCTCATTGTATTTGCCGTATCGCCGTATACAGGCGATGGCATGACTTTGGATGTCCGGAAAGAAGGGCTCGTCGATGGCCTAGGTCTGTGGAGGTTTACCGCAGCTGCTGATGTCGTAAGTACCAAAAGCACATGCTGGATGTTGCTCACAAACGTTCTAGTTTACGGTAGGATCCGTCCTTATGCTATCCGTCTCCATTCCAAGTCCCTCGCCGAAAACCACAATATTCTACACGCGCTTTCTCTTGTCTGAAGATTACACCATCACATCCCCTCGCACGCCCAACCTGCCTGCAACGAGGCCTGAAAGCGCTCAACGACATCTGCTCTACCAGCTCGGACGGCCGCATAAGGCAGGCGAGAAGAGGCCAGGCAGGGATGTTGATGCACTCTGGCGCGGTGCGGAAGCTGGGGGCTGTCCAGAAGAGGCAGGGTGGAAAATTAAAGCCATGGCGAGGGTCCCTGGACATATGAAGATCAAGCCTACAACACATGAAAGGTGAGTTGTTGCAGTTTCCGAGACGTCCACTTACACAAGTGCAGGACCATCACTCCACTGCGCATCTCTCACGATCTCATCTTTCAGGCCTACTACTCTGTCGACGGCGAAAAGGTAGACGGGGAGCCTATCGACGGCCCTGGGGAACTGCGAGTCATGCAGATCAAGGTCCCGGTCATCATGTCATCCTGTCACTGTGTGAAAGATGCTCTCAGCTTGCCCACGTATGAGACGGCTCAGTGTGCTCATCGAGGAGACGGTCCATTCTTTGACATTCCGCTGGATCTCAAGATGTACTGCGTATGTCGGTCTTCCTTTGCAGAGCTCGGGGAGGCTGCGATGCGGAGGTCACAGGGGAACGAGAGGGAAGAGCACGAGGAGCGGCCGGTCGAGGGGTCGGGAGACAAAGCTAGGGAGGATATGGCGAATCAGGGGCCAAATTGAGACAACACTATCGGAATATAGGTTGACTCTGGTCATTGACTAGTGATGCAGATCTCATGGATGTCACACAGACTATGCGATGTACTGTATATCTGTTAGTACAACATATAGCAGTTTTCTTTGGTTTTCAAGAGGCCACTCCTTCCCACTCGTGCAAGGCGTACGCATTTGCCCCTCCCCTCTTCCAAGCTTTCATCTCATTCTTTCGCTCTTTCCGACTTTTCCTCTCCCGGCTTTGGTCGAAACCCGGACCCCGCGTAGATACAGGCAACACTCCAGGTTCATCCGACCAAGCTGCCACCTCATAGGCATTGGCCTGGCGCTCCGATTGGATTGACAGAGCCAGAAGACGCTGTCGCCGCAGACGCTGGCGAAGTCTGATCCACGATGAGACCTGTAAACGTAGTCAGTATAACCGGTGTGCTTGAGGGCCCAATACAGTGCGCACCTTGAAGAACAATACTATCGCCGTGATAGCAAGCACGATGACGCCCGCCGCCACTGCAGTCCTGACAATCTTGCTCGTGGCATACGAGTATACATAGCCGGTACTTGTAGCGGTCTGCAGACCAGTGCCGGTGGCTGATTGAGTAAAGGTGCTTGTGAGTCCTGTTGCGCTGTCGGAAACGGTGGATTGCAAGCCAGCTGTTTCGAGGGACGGCATGGCTACCGGGCCATGGTTTTGAGTCTGGATATGATATGCCTTAACGTTCAATTGAGACTTGAGAGTGCGGCGTTCATAACGAGCGAGTAGGCGCAACCCCCTTGGCGCGCCTATTTACCCGCGAGAACCAATTGAATTGTCGTTGAAACTGGTTGTATCAACACTCGCCGTCAAATCACTCCCTAACACCATGTCCCGCTCAGCAGTCGCCTCCCTCGCCCGCCCCCTCGCCCGCCAGCCCACAGCCCTCCCCGCAAGACGGTATGCCAGTCACGGCCCCAGCTACAACCCTCCCTCTGGTTACATTTTCGGCGAACGTGTGAGTCTACTGCTGCCTTTCTGGCAGGAGATCCCCTGGGTACATCAGCATGGATGCTGATGATATGAACACAGCCGCCAAAAGACGGGAAGCGAGTGAAGGAATCTTGGGAGTGAGTAGGACGTCGATACAAGCGAGAGTCATCCGTCGCCTTTATCCGATGAGTGGCCATTCTCACAGAAAGCGCGTGGACGACGCTTCGCATTGTTCTCTCCCTCTGCTGTAGTGGAACAATCCGACTAACCCAATCACAGAAACATCTACTACGTTGGCATGTTTGGTGGTATGGCCTTGATGGGTATTGTCTACGCCTATAAGCCCGACACAAGGTGCGTTTGATCTACTCGGTGGTATGGTTGTCCATTGCTGATCGTCATTCCCCACTTCATCCTCAATCTTGATTGTTTACGAACTGCCATCCCATCTTACCCTGCCACTTCATCATCTCTACGGCAAATCTCGTCGCTCCCGACCCATTCGCTATGCGACCGAATCTCCCTTCGTCAACTCGATCCCCGTTACCATCGCCCCGACTTTTCGCGGCAGTATCCAAACCTGGGCTTTGAAGGAGGCTAGAGAGCGATTGGAAGCTAGGGGCGAGGAGTACCAATACAAGCCCAAGACCGCTTAGACGGGTGTGTTGGGTCCCATGTATCGTATTATACCAGGTTGCCCCCGGAAGAGAACAGAGTGGCAGTGCTGAAGATTCTCCTTGCCCTCGTTGCTGCTCAGGCGCCACTGTTCAATCTCCCAGCTGGGCTACGAGCTAGGCAACCATCGCGCGCTCTGCTTGGTGGGGCTGTGCCCGCATACAGGTTCCTGCTGGATGAAACACGGCGATAATCGCGACTTCACATCATTGCTCATTACATTCTCAAATCACCTAGATACTGGACAAACATTACGACATGTACAAGACAAACCTCATCAGAAATCATTTCGTCCCGTTTTGACGTCTTGAAGAACGCTAAACTGCAACAGACATTGTAAGCAACTATTTCCCGCAAAAGGACCCTGGCCCACCTTGCTCAGCCTGTCAATACAGTCGAGTAACATAGAGTTATGACAATGTCAGCATCCAACTGACAGCAGGGGACGCCACTCACTCGCAACCTGGTAAGCAATCAGGCTCATTTCAACGGGGTGCTTCTCTTCGTGCCCCGACACATCACTAATGAATTCGACTTGTCCGATAGGGAAAACATAGTGTGGACAGCCAGCAATTGAGCAAACCTTTGTATCGTCTGGTGCACTGGAAGGAGGAAGCGAGGCGGCGTCGTCAGTGATCATCACAGCCAAATAACCAAGAGGGCGATATACTTCTCAAGTGGTCCGAGTGGAGCGCTTCCGTCTCCCACCTTGCTATCTCGATAAACAGGCAATTTGTTGAGACCGAGTGGCCCAGCAAGGCTCATCATACCGTCAGTGACTACAGTCATCACACTCTGTTCCGGTTCATCTACATGGAGCCAGAACAAATCTCTTGATCGCGTCTGAGAATCTCCTCGTTGCACCACTGGCCGAAATGACTCGGTCTCTTGTGCAGATTGTCTTATATCTCGTTATCCCATGGATCGTCTTGGGCAATCCTCCAGGTTTTTAAATAGACGCATGGTCAACAGGTGGACGTCGCCCATCGTTCTTCCAGCATAATTCTCTGACATTGGTCGACCAACGTGGCCCCAGGAGGAGCTACCCGTACTTTTCTCAGTGACGATCTCTTTTGACTTGAGACCCTTGAGCAATAGGCTCACTGCGCCATGTAGTCATCAAAGTGTACTGTCAGATTCCTGATGGCTCGCTGATTATATCCGTCCTTGTCTGCGCTCTGTGTCATACTTTCATACTGACATCGGTCACGAAGCACTCTCTCGGCCCCTTGCAGAAATGCAGAGCGTTTTAAGATCTTCGCCAAGGTCAGACATCTGTATTCACGGTTTCTCTTGTGAACCAGCCTTCTAAACTGTGAAGGATCATATGAAGCTGCGTCACAGGAAGAATAAACGGTCCAGAAACAGAATAGTATCACCTTTGTTCATGACGGTTGACTCGCGCGTATAGTCGTACAATGAGGTTTGGATCCTTGAAAGTCCCCCGCATCTTCTTCTCACAGCCCGTCACTTCTTACCAGTTCAAAGACTTCTCCACGATATGAGCCAATTGCTCTCTCTCTTCAGCCTTGTCGTCCTTTGCGAGAACCGGCGCCAAGTCGAGCACGCGCCTCTGAGGCAGACAACCTTCAACCAGCTGTGTCATTGTTAGACCGAGGCCCGTAGGGAGAGCGAGAAGAACCTACCGAAGCAATGTCACCACTAGAATACCCAACCTTACTCAGCCCCCTCGGCACCTCCACCAGATCCAAGAACTTTTGAATCTCCTCTCCCAACTTTGACCCGAGATCCGAGTCTTTCGTAGCGTCTGCCTCATGCACCCTGTCCTTTCCCAGGAACACCCTAAGAGCCTCACGATGTCGCTCTGGGGACGATGGGGCAGTAAAGTTGAAGACAGCAGGGGCGGTGAGGGAAACGGCTACGCCGTGGGGAATGAGAGGAATCTCGGGGTTGTAGGATGGGTGGTGGTACTGGGTTTCTTTAGGTCTCCCCTTGTTCAGAGATGAAATGGGATATGAAAAGGCGTGCTTTTGAGAATCAATGGCCAGCCACGTTGCAATGATCATATGATACTCACACACATGTGGACACCGGCGTTGCCAAACCCGATACCAGCTGTGGAGGCAGCAAGCAACATCTGAGATCGGGCTTCTACATCACCGAATGGGTCGCGGGCAATGCGAGGGAGGTATTTGATGGTAGTCTCCAAGGCCCATCGAGAGAAGATGTCGGAGATGGGATTGGATCCTTGATAAGCCGCTAATGAATCATGTCAGCGAGAACTCCGCCCGGCATCGAACAGGGCATACGTCGGAGGATGGGGTTGGTAGGCCTGGGAGTCCTTTCATGATACGGCACAGCAGTCCAGCCTATACGTGTCAGCTCGATACCAGTTCTCCAGGATCTTACTCACTTTCGAGAGAATGGAAGAGCACATCCAATCCAGCAGCGATGGAAACCTCCTTGGGACACGTAGCAGTATTGTTGAGGTCGACGATACCCAGGGTCGGCTTGAGAGCGCGCGAGGCAATACCAGTCTTGAACCGAAGAGAGGGTATATCGAGGATGGCCGTTCCTGTGGTCTCTGATCCAGTTCCCTATCAAGTTGTCCGTAAGACTCTATCATCCTGCAATACAGCGCACTCACGGCAGTAGTAGGGACTAAAGTCGAATGTCAGCAGCCGTTCCTCGTAGCTTATAGATGGAACGTACTGGCAATCAAAGGGCTCAGCTTCTTGGTGATGGGCAAGCCCTTGCCGATGGGGGCATTGATAAAGTCGAACATGTCGGACTCGGGATAGTTGGCCAACAGGTTGGCTGCTTTCGCAGTATCCATTGACGACCCACCTCCCACGGCCAAAAAGTGCGTCAAATGGGAGGATCTTGCAAAGTCAACAGCAGACTATATCTCATCAGTCTAGAGCATACGGGTGTATACTCCACTCACCCCCCAGCTCTTGTCGGTCGGCTCGACGGAGACCTTGTCAAAGACCACAAAGTCCAATCCTTCCCTCAGCAGACTCTCCTCCACGATCTCCATCACTTGAAGCTTGGCCACGTTGGGATCCGTGAACACTCCAATCTTTGCGCGTGAGCGGTCGACGGAAGGCATCTCGCGAATGAGGTTTGCAAAGTCCATGCCGACTTCTCGGGTCGCATGTGCGCCGAATCGGAGGGTCGACGCAGCCATCTGTTCACCATGAGCATCCGGCCGCGACGCCTTGTCTGGTGCTCACCTCGAAAGCATAGTCGGCATTGCCAGGGGGCGGGCCTCCCCTGCTGAGGGGCAAGTCTGTGGGGGTGGCCATGCCCCTGTGGGAGTGGTGGTCGAGGGCGGAGTGGGACCTGCCGCAGCCCCTGCAGCCCTGGTTGGCGGTGAGGGAGAGGAGGCGGGTGATGGCAGCTCGTGAGGCGGGGGGCGGCATCGCTGTGGAGTGAGAGGAGCAGGATACGGATCCACCACCTAATAGCAGACGCGTCTTCACCCGGCTATCGCCATAACCGGATCCCGCGCCTCTATGCTGTGGCCATGTTGACTGACTCCACTGCATCATGCTTGTACTAGTACATCGCGATACATCTACAGAGCATAACATTCGCCGTGGAATCCTATCCCCCCGCACCTCACCCGCTCAGCTATACTGAGCCCTGCGATGGAATTGCTCGCCTCGGAAACAAGGTTGGTGGGCCCGCATGCAATCACAGCCAGCCCGTCTCCATGACCTTTTCCGACGCCTCCATGTCCCCCAAGGTGCTCCTCTTCGTCTGTAGCCCCCACCTCTAAAGAAGACCCGCCACGCAAAGGCATCGGGAGTGGAAGGGACTCTCTGACAAGTTGCGCCACTTCGGGGCGGTAGGGCGAGAGGGTGGTGGTGGAGGGCAAGACGGCCGGGGAAGGTGGAAGCGGGTGGGGAGGGTCGGTGAGGTAAAGATTGTATGTGAGTTCGAGCCCAAGCCGCTGAGCAAGAGCGTGGAGGTGAAGGAGTGTAGGGGAAAGAGCTTCGATGGCGGCTTACGAGATCCTCAGCTTTGGTTCATCGATGAAGGTGGTAGACTTACAAAGTTCCTTGACGACCCATGCAACGTCGACCTTGACTGGACCTCGCCCTTGCTCTCGTACTCTCAAAGCCTCTTCGACACTCCCAAGAATGAATGTGATGCCACTTCCTCCACCGACGAGTAAGACGTGTTCATATTGACCCAAATCCATCTTGAGCCCTCCATACGGGCCGTCGATAACGATCTGTACCTTCCTACCGGGATGATCTATCCCCTGCAGGCCATCTCCCTGACCAGGCTGCTGTTGCAACATGCACTCTTTCTCGTCGCCCACCTCGCGAGTGGTGTCACTTGCCAAATTGTGCAACTTTCTCGTCCAGTCGCCCGCTACCTTGGCATACAAGATGATGCCTCTTGGTGCCGCCGAGAATGCTGTAGCGGGCGCATTGGTGATGGTGAAAGGATGCGACTCGAATACACCCGACCCGCTCAAAACGCGAATGAGAATGTGCTGTGTAGGGAGCCAGCCGGCGTCGCAGTCTGGAATGTGAATCATGGTGAGGGTGTTATCAATAGGGACGAGGGTGGCGTCTTTGATACGGTAGCGGAGCATGCGGACGCAGAGACTGAAGGAGTCAGCGCGAGGCAAGAGATATAGGGGAGAGGCTTCTTACTCGTAGGCGTAGATCGAGACGCATGGCCAGATCCACGGGCGACTATAAGGAGTGTGATACGAAATGGCAGCAAAAAAGCCGACAAAGAACAATACGCTGCGATCCATCAGCTCGGTTCGAAACACTGATAGACATCTCACTGAGCCATCCAGAACAGCTGATAGCACATTCTCCTAACAGGCTTCAAGCTCGTGAGAACAACCATTCCCATCATTCCATACGCTAGCATGCCTCTCTTTGATTTTGCGGCAGACAATTGGTCATACTGGTTGGTCGTGACGAACTGGTTGATCCACATACCGCCGTGCACAGACACGGACAGGAAGAGCGTCCTGCCGGCCCAGCGATGCAGAAAGTTGTAGTGCTCGTACGAGAGGGAGGGAAGAAAGATGGGAAGGGGGACAGGTGACTTGAGAGAAAGTAGCAAGATCACGGGCAGTTGTGCCAAGGCCAGAAATCCCGGTCGGTTGGGATTTTGAGTCAACTGTGCTCCGACCACGAAACAAGCGACCACAGCGCCCATGTACCCACCCACCAGTGCTGTCTGCCAGACGGACAGGGTGAAATAGGCACGACGACAGCAGTCACTCACGTGAGTCTTCCAGAAAGAGATGTTGGGCATGGGGAGCGTCAGGAGTGTGGCGCTCTGCACCATGGCGCCGATGCCTTTGTATACCCGTCCGTGGAACGTCTGCTGATTCGAACGAGCTTTCGATGGCTCGGCAGGAGCAGGGTCCCTTTCTGGGGGATCGAGACACTCTTGAATAGCCCATCCCGAGTAAAGCCTACCTATGCGAAGATGATGGACGACATAGGGCAAGGAGAGGAGAAAAGAGAAGGCGAGTATTGATGTCCAGATAATGGTAAACTTGATCTGCCATTTTGGGTCGACATCGTATGAGCTAGCGGGTTGTCAGCAGCACCAAGGTAAAACATATGGCAGAGACACACTTGTAGATCTGTGAAGGGTCAGCTGGGCACTACACCAGGGCGGCATACTCACGGCGTACTGGGACGGGATAGGGATGAACCTTTTTGTGTTGGACATTGTGGATGCAGGGAAGAGTAATGCAAGATGGGAATGTAAAGTACATGTAGACAGAACGGATATGGCTGCGATGCTGTATGTCCAGCTGTGTCTCGTAGATACCCCTTGAACACCGTCTCCTGGCCGATCACCTCGTATTTGGTCCCGGACACGAAAGGCCGCAACCCGAATTGCGCCATTTCAATTTGATCCCGTGCTTGCTATCCATCCATCCCATATCTCTCCTGCATGCATAGCAAAGCACAATGGACGCAGCAGCCGCACCCGGCCATCCCATCGCCTCCTTCCTCGTCGGGGCATGCGGCGTCATATACTTTACCGCCTGGTCGTACTCCTTCTACCCTCAGATCATCCTCAACTTTCAGCGCAAGAAGTTAGCACTGTGCCTCTCCTCGTCTTTGAGCACCGCTGATACTGCAACCACCCCAGGTCTGACGGCCTCTCGCCCGACTTTGTCTGGGTCAATCCTATCGGATTTCTGGCCCTCAGTCTCTGGACATGGGGCGCGTACTTTTCGCCCATTGCTCGGCGACAGTACCAAGAAAGACACAACGGGCACCTCCCTCAAGTGTCTGCCTCGGACCTTGCATTCTCTCTCCATGCTTTGGTCGTTACGATTGTGACGGCAGGGCAGGTTGTATGGTATGCCCACGTACGCAAGCGGGCTCGGCGCGCATCAGTTGACGATGAGACTGCTCCCCTCGTCCAAAACGAGCACACCGGTTCAGACAACTCTATCAGCCAGACTGCCGACAACGTCCTCACCCCTCACTCCTCCATATGGCCTTCACCTATCGCCCAGCTCTTCCTGAGCGTCCTCACTGTGTCTTCATTCATCTACGCTATAGTCGTGTGGACCGGCCGAGCCCAGTTCTTGGACTGGCTCTACTTTGTGGGCAATGAGAAGCTGGTGATATCGGCAATCAAGTATGTTCCACAAGTGGTGCTTAATCATCGGTTGAGGGCCATGGAAGGGTTTGCTGTGGGCGTTGTCATCGGGGTACGTCCAGCGAGATGATTACGAGCATTGCTGACTTGTGTGCAGGACATTGTCGGCTCAGTCTTCAGCTTCTCCCAGCTTGTGATCTCCTCCGTGTGGATTGATAACGATCCTTCAGGGATCATTGCCAACCCCGCAAAGCTCGGTCTAGCGGGCTTGTCGTTCGTCTTTGATATCATCTTTATCCTCCAAAAGTACTATCTGTACAGGAAAAGGAGGACGGTCGAGGAGAGCGCTTAGTGTGACCCTAGATTCTTATAGAGAGTTGTACATAGATCAAGATGGATCGATCATTACACCAACGGGATCAGCCCTTGGCCTCTGCCCGCTTGCGTTTCCACTCCTCGGCTCTCAGTCGCCTCTGCCTTTTCTTTTCTTCTTCGTCATCATTAGCAGGCGGCAAGGGAGGCAAGGGATCGTCCTCGGGCGGGGGCGGTGGTTCATCATGCGGCGGCTCTGGTGTCCCTTCACTCTCGCTCTCACTACCACTTCCATACCCACCCAGCCCACCCAGCCCCCGCTCCCTCTCCTCCTTCCTGGCCTTTTCCTCCTTTTCCCGCTTCACCTTGCCCTTTGCCGCCTCCCATGCCTTTCTGTATCTTCCCCGAAGAAAGGCAAAGCGCTCGTCGTTGCTGTGGTTTGTGAGAATCCGAATCTCTAGAACGGAGGGGTTCGGTGAGCCAGACAGGGCTAGAGCGGTGTGGGCCATGAGTGTGAGGATTGCTTCAGGGGGCTGTGACGGTCATTAGCCAGCGCATGGGGAGTATGCGGCGCACCTCTTCATCATCATCCCACCCATCAGCAGACTTTTGCACGGCCTTGCCCCGATCCATATCCTCCCTCTCCCTCTCTCTCAATCTTTCTGCTCGAAGACCCTCCATCCATTTCTTCTTCTTCTCATTCTTGTATATCTCCATTTCTTCTTCGTCTGATAGGGCCCATGTTTCTTCAGTGTCGGATGGAAGGGACCAGGAAGAAGAGGATCGAGTTGGTGATGACGCTTTGAGTGATAGATTGCGGCCTTCGCTTGGCAAACTGGGCAAGAGATGTATCATATCATGTCTATCAAACAGTCAGCTGAGCCTCGAAACGATTCAGAGTATACAAACAAATCAGTCCACATCATCGAGCGCATGACCCCGCTTTGCATATCTCATACCCAAGACTTTATGTGACTGAAAGAATACATACCTATCGGCCCATACCTCCTTGTCCGCCTCACCAGCATACTGTATCAGGCCTCCCCGCCCCCCTCTCTCGCGCACACTCTGCGCTATATGATCTTGTCCATAGACGAGGGACGCTTCGTAGGCTTGCACGTATGCAGCTGGAGGCGCAGTCGACCTGGAAGTTGATGGTCGAGGGTGGGGGCGTTTTTGTGGGTGAGGCATGATGACGAGAGGGCAAGAAAGAAGGAGAATGAAAGAGGAGATGGGCGGAAGCGGAGCGCCAGGCACGTACCACTCCACTTGCGACAATCACTGCAACATTCCAACAAGTGCCTCCAGCAGCCCCCATGTACCCCCAACTCGCCGTCCTCCTCGCATCCCTCGCCGCCGCACAGCAGCTCTCCTGCTCTGCCCCCGCCCCGGACCCCTGTCTCTCCCCCTCCCCCGGCGGACTGTTCGTGTTCAGGCAACGCCACGAGCCTGATACCGGGGGAGACTTTGGCAGCTGGGGCATCGACGGCGTTGAAGTCTTGCAGTGAGTAGAAGTTTGGATGAGCGGTGAGAAGGAGACTGACAGAGATGTAGCTGCGAGACCCAACTGCCACAAGATACGATCACTTACGGACCTACCTACTCACACGAGGAAGTCGGGTCCTACTGTCTCAAGTCACCGCTCTTTGTGGGTGAGAATGCATTCGTAGAGGCAGAGAAGGAGTGGGCCCAGAGTGAAGTCGGGGAGGGTGTTGAAGAGGTTTGGGAGCGAGCGGTAAGTCGCCGACCTGGATATCGGCAAGGAACTGATGAGAGTACCTAGTGGAATACTGCTGGGAGATACATCTCTACATTAAGCTCCAAGTGCTTCAAGAAGCCCTCCAAGGGCGTTGGAGTGAGTATATCGGATACACGAGGAGCGCCACTGATGGCGACAAGGTCCCTCAATTCTTTGCTGTGCTTCAGCAGCTCAACAGGGATCGCCCCACTGGCCAGTTGCTCGCAAACAGGGCGGTAAGTGTGGCCGCAGGTGTATCGCTGCCAAAGCTGACTAGGCAAGATCATTCCCTCGGATGATACCACCTATTCTCTGCGCGACATTTCTGAAGCGCTGTCCATCGTCGGCCACCCGCCATTCGCAAGTGGTGCCCCGTCCTGATGACCTGAACACGCTGACCCAAAATCAAGATCACATGCGACAACACGACGCTGTCGGCTGTCTCGTGGCCGCTAGTTGCGCGTGGTAGTTTCCAGGAGGGTGCATTTGAGCCTGCTTCCGGACTGGAACGTGCTGCGGGATGCCCCAGTGACGGTATCATGTGAGTATCTTTCAAGCGGATACAAAGTACAAAGTTCTGGCAAAACCGCAAAAGAGACAACGCGTTCCAGCTGACGTCGCTCTATAGCTACCAGCCCTCTACGGCCCGGCCGGTACCGACTGAGACAGCGAGCTGGGACAGCATTCTCCGTCCGTCGCCCAGGCCGATTACGCTCTCCCATGACGAGTCTAAAGTGTACCGCGCCCAGCAGCCAGCCGACCCGAGGCAGAAGCTTGCCATGTTCAAGGAAGGGGACGCCGAGAAGGACGAATGGAGAGAGGAGCGGGCGCAGAAGAAGTTTGTACGAGATGAGCTGTAAGCGCCGGCACTTCGAGATGGCGTGCACAAAAGCGTCCATGTACTTTGGCAGCAGCCCATAGGTGGACAAGGTCATGGTGACGGACGATGTGGGTTTGCCGATAATAAGCAGTGGAAGCGCACTGGTGCATGCATAAGTAGCGAATGGATGCAGCTGCTGTTATCAAAATCTGGGTCCCGTGCTGGATCCCGATCATAAACAGCTGACGCGAAGCTCGCCTACCGACTCGGAGATATGATGGCATCGCTCAATTACGGTAATTGCCGACCTCATCTCCATATATCTACATCCTTCTTCCCCGCTCGCAACCATCCACTCACTACCACCCCGAATCAATGGGAGCCGTTACCGCTTGCCTCGCCTGTCGCTCACTCAAGGTCCGTCCATCTCCCGAAGCCGTTGGGCACGACTGACGTGCATCCCGCAGTCGAAATGCTTGAGGGCCAATGTCGATGAGACCTGCAGGAGATGCTCCAGGCTCGGCGTCGCCTGTGAGAGCATCCCCCGAAGAGTGAGTCGCCTCGTATGTATGCGGGCGCAGTGACTTATAGCGTACACAGCTGGGCCGCAAATTGGGATCCAAAAAGTAAGACTCAAGATTCAAGTACCCCCGACACCAGCTGACCCTCCTGGAGCGTCCCGAAAGATGGCGATGGCAAGGACAAACGCTCACGCTCGCATGACGACCGATCTTCATCCGAAGCTTCTTCCTACCGCCCAAGAAAAGAACGTCGCCTGTCCCACTGGCAGCGCGAAGAGTCTCCCGCCGAAGATGGTTCCCCAGCGCCCGAATCGCCCAAGTCTGACGACCGGCCCCCATCGCCATTTAGCAACATGCTCAACATCCTCTCCCGAGTGGCGAATGATATGCCCAGAGATAGCAAGCCTCTAGGCGCAGGTGAAAGTCCAAGCCTGCCGTTTGATCGAGAAAGGTTTCTGGACTTGTACAGACAAGCCTCGGGCACGTTGGACCCTGACCCTTTCATGGGTATGGCTGTGCTGGAGCAAGGGCTCGACCAGCTGTTCGGAGGGCAAGAACAGGATACGGATATCGAACAAGGGGAGGAAGGGATCTATGCGAGGATCGACCAGCCCAGAAGAGACCTCGAGCCGCATTTGGATCCTGTCACCAACGGCCTTATCACCGAGAGAGAAGCAAGAGACTTGTTGTCTGTGTGAGTACCCAAAAGTGGACATGTGTCGGGGCTGACAGTGTGGCAGCTACTGGTCGAGATGCCATCCCATCACACGCATCCTTGATCCCGAAATCCACACAATGGACTACATGCGCGCTACCTCGTGCGGTCTCTTTACCTCGGTCCTCCAAGTCGCCGCGCAGTGTTTGCCCGTGTCACAACACTCGGCTGGGATCGTAGCGAAGCTTGATAACCATATTGACACCCTCTACCAAATCATGTCCAGAAAAGGCATGCAGGTGAGTACGTGCGTATCTGCCAGCGCCAGCGCTGATCAACGGTCACAGTCGCTGGAGCTCTGTCAATCGATGCTGATACACAACGCCTACATCCGAGCAAATAAGCAGCACCAGTAAGTGTGAACCTCTGGATCCATTCAATTGCTGACAGGGAGCAGGACTTGGCCCAACGTATCCATGTCAATCGGCATGGCCCTCGAAACTCGTCTCGAAATCAACACTCTTCCCGCTTACATGCTTGACGACCCCATCTATGCCCACATATCTCCTGAGAGGAAGAGGAGGAATATACAGAGATTCTGGCTGGTCTTGACAGACTCTGACAGAAAGTGAGTAACGCATTCCGCCAGACGTCATCGGCTGACAACTGTCTAGGACGAGTTTCATCAGAGGCCGACGACCGTTGTTGAGAGACAATGTGATCCCCTCCATGCTCAATCTCGAAAAGTGGTACCAAGAAGCAGTACGTCACTTGCGCCTCTTTGCCCCACATTGCTGACCTGCCACAGGATGCTCTGCCTTGCGACGTCGTCAGCTGCTCCTCCTACGCTTTTCAAAACTCTGTGGCTACCTTACAACGCAATATACAACGCACCATGGTCTCGCAGTCGGCATTCACGTTCGAGATGCACATGAAGCGAGTGGACGATACGCTGAATGAATGGCGCAAGACTTGGTACAACCGTCTCTCAAGAGGTCCGCATTCTCCCTCTCACTCGTGACGCTCTCACTGACAATACCACAGATGACCAGATGCGAGCGGAACATGACCTTCGTGCTACCCGTTTCGCCCTGCTCATGACGCCTTACGAACACCGTCTCAACACGGGCGAGATGAAGGAGATTGAGCACGACGAGTGCCTCGTCGCGGGCCTCGACCTGTGTAAAGATGCCATCCCCTTTCTCGGCGGCGCAGTACAAAACATCACCCCTGGCAGGCTGTACCTCATCGGCTACGTCTCACTCTGTACCCTGCGCATCATGGACGCCACCTCCAAGAACGAGGGCGGCCATACACCCGATATCAGCGTATTTCACCTCTCCATTCTCTCTGCCCTTTCCTCCCGCCTGCGGGAGATTAAGGCGCATCCCAACATTGCTGTGATTGGCTCAGTACTCGGCCGCAGACTGTTGTGTGCGTGCAGAAAGGTGGCAGCGAGCACACTGGGTGTGGCGATGGACATGCCAACGCCCATACCGGAGGACGCCCTCAATCTCTTGGGACAGGATATGCCTGGACCTGGGGCGACGGATCTTTCAGGGATCGTGAGGGGCGATGTGCCCGAGTCGCTTGGAGGTATCGGGTCTCTGGGACCATTGGATCTGGCGTTTAGTTTCGACTTTACGCATCTGGGTGATATAAATCCCTTCTTGGAGAATGATTTCAACGACTTTTCGTCGATCCCTTTCGTACCATTGCCTCCGGCGTACTAGGACACGTCTGCTGTCTGTTTTCTTGGGTCTTAGGGGTAATTTTGTAACAAAAGATTGTTGTTTATCATTGTTGTACAAAATACGGAGAATGAATGATCAAAAGAAATTACCAAAGACCGCCTTGTACAGAGAAGTGACAGACACACAATTCCAATCGAACATAGAAACCCAGAGAAATACTTCCACGCTCTTACTTTGCACTATCAAGCCCAACCCAGCTGCCTTCCAATCCACTGCTTCCCGCGCCCTCGGAACTTTCACTATCCATGCCTCTCTCACTCCCCAAGCTCGTCCCGGTATGAATCGAGCTGACCAAATCCTCTCCGGTACTCTCATGCTCGCTCCCTTCCTCTGCCGACGTCTTTTCGCTCTCCCTTTCGCTGTCTGCGTCTCTGCTTGCTGGGCGGGCCGCATGTTTGGAGCGCGTGGCTTTGGGGTGATCGGGAAGAGGGGGTCCGGTGGGTGAGGGCAGGGAAGGAAGGTAGGTCAGGAGAGAAGGGAGGAGATAGCCCGGGATGGGAAGCTGTGACAGGAGAAGCGGGAACATGGAGCGTTGGCCGACGAAATGGTCGTGGCCGTAAGAAGACTTGATGATGCGCAAGATGCTCTTCTCAAAAGTGGCATACTCGCGGACGGTGGAGCCGAGACCGACGGTACCGATGATGGTGCCAAATACGGCACGCAGGGTACCGAAAAGGTAGTCGCCAATGACAGACACTTTCTGTTTAGGAGTAGAGTCCTGAGCAAGGCGTTCCTTTGCGAGTTGGCGGCGGGTAAGGGTCTTGCCGTGACTCAAAATAGCAGGCAACGTGGGGAGATCAATGTCACCGACGTAGACAGATATAACTCTGGCACCAGGAGAAGATGCCGCCAGGTTCTTGCCGAGCAGGAGGTGATTGCTCGTGAGCACCTGGCTGGCAAACGTGTTGGGCGTAGTGGGCACTGAACCCGAAGGATAAAAGTTGACAAGAAGAGGCAAGCTGCCGTCGGCGTTCGGAGCTACTAAAGTAGGCATAGCAGGAAGCGCTCCGGGCTGGGAGGGAGGGTCGGGGTGGAGTGGGTACAACGAAAGGAAGGCGTGGATGTGCGCAAGCTGAGTTGGCTGGGGGTTGTAGGGGTCGCCAGCAGCATACTTGCCGGTGACAGGGAAGCGGAGGGTCAGAGTGGCCAGGAGGGAGCGGTGGAATGGAGGGAAAGTGGTGGACTGCTGGCGATGAGCTTTGTGTACTAGAGACGCTCGTCGACTCACGTCATCAGGGTCGTAAATCAATACGCGCAGAGCAGCCCTCTCTTCCAGGCTGCTGAGCCTTCGCTCGAGAGACTGGGCATCGCGGTTGTTGGTGACAGCCACCAGGACGATATACCCGGATCTCAGAAGACTGGCGGCAAGAGGCACCAGGAGTGGTGGTAATGGAGAGGGAGCGAGAATGACTGGATAATGTCAGCCTTGACCTGTTTCAGATGTCACTCACCGATAGCCTCCTTCAGCATGCCGTCTTCGACTGCACCCCTCACTCCGAATCTTCTCTTGATCCTCCAGTCATTTCCAAAGACGCCAACACCCTTGTACACCATCAGCCCGGTCAAACCGAGGCCGACGGAAAGGGCAGCTCCAACAGCGTAAGGGTGGTCCTTCAGGACCCGGCCGGAACGGTCAGCTACCGAGTGGGCACAGCTGACGGCAGAGGAAGGCGGGGGCGGTGGTGGTGGGGCGTCTTTACCGCCGAACGGAGGAAATGGAATGGAGATGGACGGCGGGCCGTGGATGTTGAGGCTGTCCACTGCGTATGCCTGTCAGGTGTGTTACCAAGGTGGTGGGAAGTCGCTCACGCAGCTCGCCGGTCATCTTCTCTACCGTATCGTACATCTTGTGGGGAAGATGATGGAGGTTGTTGGGGATCTGAGCCTCGAGCCAGTCCTCGAGCTGGTCGAGGAAAGAGAGATCGTCGGGCATGGCGGGCAATGCTGTAGAGATGAAGAGAGAAAGAATAGAAAGAATAGATGGTTATCACCCGCAAGCGTCATCCTCCCGGCGGCCTGCCGGCGGCCTTTACCGGCCTTATTAGCGCACCCCTTAACCCATACAGCACCCCTGCCCTCCCATGCATGCATACGGCACCTACGTGGGCATATAGGAGCATATCTTGCATGTCTGTGGGATGTGGCTGCATGCATGTGCAACAAACCGATGCGACGCGTAACAGCATTGTAATGTGGTGCACAACGCGTCGCGCCGGTGACTTTCAGTGACTTCCCTGTCTCACAATTCTTATCATCCCCAGCCTTCTTCCGCAACTGGTCCATACTGAGAGACCTTTCTTTCAATCTTGAAAGCCTACACCTATCCGACTCCGACTCAAGATGATCCAGAGACGACACCCAGCCACCCTCCCCCCGGCTTCCCCGGCGGCGCCCCGCCCAAGTCAAGCATTGCCCCCCCGGATCAATACCACCTACACCCCCTTGCGTCGCCCTCATACAAGGTCGAACAGTAATCTATCTCCAGCAAGCTCCGGGCCTCTTCCAGACGGCGCTCGACCGGCGCGTCTTTCCTTTAACAATGCAAGTTTCGGAGGACTTGAGCTTGGAGAAGAGTGGCCCGGTGCAGAGACGCAGGCAAAGAGTATAGGGCAGAAAGCGAAGGGGGTGGTGGGCAATATCAAGAAGGGGCTGGAAGATTCCCTGAGGCTTGACAGAAGCCTGGGTCTTGTCTGGAGGTGCGTGTCTGATCGCCCGAAAGAGAGGCTTACTGAAGAGCTGCAGTGACCGTGAACTGGGAACTCTTGTTCTCAAATCAAGGCAAGGTTCATATGATCTCATTGGGACCATTCCTGATACCTTTGCAGCATGATCAATATCCTCTCCCTACTCCTACTCTCCCTTTCCTCGATAATGTTTTCTCCACTGCTCATTCCCATCTCTCCAACCATGGAAGCGCGCACAAAGGAGATTGGGCTGTGGTACAACGTCCTTCTCAGCTGGCCCGTCTTTGTCTTGTGCTTTTGGGTCAACGTAAGCTTCTCATGTCGCCATGTCGCATTGGTTATAGCACTATTGACAACGTATAGGCAATCTGGGGCCCTCGAATCTCGCGCCGAGCCCAAACAATGCTTCATCCTACCTACCGTCATCAACCCTCGCCCGCCTCTACCCCGATCAGATCTAGACCGGCCCCTTCGCCGACTAATGGCATCTTGGCCAACGTGTTTTCCTCCGTCGCAAGGATCCTGTTGATCAGCGACTTTACGCTCGTCTCTCGCTTGATCGGGCTCTTGCCCGGCGTCGGAAAGCTGGGCGCATTCGCCTACATGTGTGTCGTCGACTCGTACTATTGCTTCGAGTAAGTGTCCTGTCCATTCTGCTCGGGATCCTATTAACTCCACGCTTAGATGGAACTTTTCCATGAAACAATGGCCGCTCGAGTACAGGATCACTTACATCCAAGACCGGCTCGCGTACATGTTTGGGTTTGGCCTGCCTGCGACACTGATGACTTCGTTTGGACCGCCTCTTGTGACCATGGCCATCTTTGCGCTCATCTATCCTCTTGTAAGTGCTGTTTCATATCAGAGATTATATACTGACACAGTACAGTTTGTGATCCAAGCCCTTCAGTCGCGTCCCCCAACTGGTCAGTCTTCGCTGCTGCCCTCCACCCCTACCGGCTCTATGCCTCCTTCTCCAAGAGCCTACTCGCCGGGCCCATCCCCCACCGTAGGCTTTACCTTCCCTCCCCCCTCTTCCCCTGCATTTTCCCTCGCAAAACTTGTAAACGTCAGACCGAGATTGCCGTTATTCTGGTTTGCGCGCCACGCATTGGAAGGGCTCAAGTGGCTTGAAGAGGCGGCCGGGAGGGATAGGAGCGGGAGCGGGAAGGGGGCGGTGGGGCTGGGGAAGAGAGAGAGACCGGGGAAGAGATTGATGTAGGTGGCAGGGGTTGGCATAACATGATCTTTTGGGATCTGTACGTTTTGGGAATGTATTCTTGCTCGCACGCCGCAGTGGCTTTCGCTGGAGGACATTGGGATAACGCAGAAGAAAATTTGACGACTCGAAAAAGAAGCAAAAGACAGGGGATGACCAAGAGCGTCTCGAAGCCGCCGTGTCACCCGTGTCCATCACCGTCGGCCACCTGTTTACATACGCTTTACGCTCACGGTTACGATATAGCCTGTCCCGATTGCTCGCCCCGACCCGACTTGCTCCTACGGAAGCTGTTCGGTATCAATAGAACATGCTTTGTGATTTAGAAGCGTCCTTTCGTTCACTCGAGTGCTGATGCAGGTACGCGTTGATGAAATGATGGGCAGCTCGACGATCGTGAATTCTTTGAGTGGCCGGCCTTTGGTCGCTGTGCAGTCTTGTTGATCTCGTAGAGTCGGTAGACTCGGTTGATTCGATCTCACTGTACGTTACATGCCATCCCTTCCATCAGCAGTTCACAACCGGATGTTTTCGATCATGCCCCTCTATCAATCATACCCTGCTATCAGTTTCGAGATGATCAAGAATACTGGCGCATCCATCAGTCTTCGGTGATGATCCTGTACATTCCCGAAACCCGACAAATCCGACAGCACAGCCGCCGTAGACTGTCCTCAAGGCCTTGAATACATACCTACACTGGCCGTTGACGACTCCTCTGTTGACGGAACCAAACTTTACGGAAAAGGGAACTGAGCAGTGTCGCCGTTTCCAGACTTTCAGGACCGTTCGTGTCCAAAATGTTCCGGTTTGAAGCTTGTGATCGACGTGTCCACTGGGGACACTGGCGGCTGGCGTGCAGGCTGCGACGTATACGGGGGTCTGCAGATACTGGAGATGTAAGGTGTATGAGTCGGAGACGGCTGGCTAGGAGGCTGGGCACAGTACTAGCTGAGTATAGAGGGACTAGAGGACGCCTTCTGCCGTCTACAGTCAGGACGCAGCCACTGCAGCGACAGAGCCTCTCGTAATACCCAATTAAGACTCCCGGGTCGGGGATAGAAGAAGTGTGCGATCTGCTGTGATGGATAGGCACGCCAGGGACGGGAACGGCAGAGATGTATGTGTGCACGGGCCACCAGCCTCCACTTGCATCTCGCTATATAACAAGCCCCCCGGGCTCCTCTGCTGCCCACCGCTGCATGTCCCACCACCACCAGCTGCCCGGGGGGTACCGCCCGCCCCACGGCGACTACTTTGCTGCCTGGAACGGCCCCCAGCAACAGACACCCCAGACCTACCCTCCCGCCCACCACCCGCTCCCCTCGCCCATCAACATCCATCCCGCCATCCCCACCCCCGACCCCTCCGAATGGCAGTCCGAAGCCCCCAAGACATCGCGCAAGCCTCCCCGCGCCCCTTCAGCCGCCGCTACAAAGACGACGAGACAGCAGTTTACCGCCTGTTCTGCCTGTCGCCATAGGCGGGTAAAATGCGACCTGAAAGACAAGACGGAGGAGGCTGAGACGGCAGCAAACGACAGGGAAGGGCTGGGGCCGCATAGGGGCAAGGCCAAGGTGGTGCAGTGTTCAAATTGTGTAGAGCGGGGGCTCAGATGCATGTGAGTACGAGCGCCTCTTTCAAAGGCTATCGCTGACGTGATTCCAGCGACGAGTTTGCGCCCATGAAGGCTGCAAAGCTACTGCGAAGAGGCAAGCGGATAGCCGAAATTGAAGTCCTGTACGGCGCCAACGCCCTCCCTGCTCAAGAAGATCCTACCTCGCCCAGCAAGGCCACCTCTTCCCTCATCCCGACTCGCCCAATGGCGCACCCTTCCCTTCCCGAACTCTCGCACGCATTCTTCGAGTCCTCCTTCTTTCGCCGTTTTCAGGTTCAGCGTCCGGTGATAGACCCTGGGAACTTTGTTAAGCGATACCGCTCCCAAGCCTGCCCCACGGCTGCAGCTATGGGCACAGAGGGAGCCATACTCTGCCACGTCCTCTACGCCTGGGCAGTCTCTTACGGCGTGGACGAACATGGCAACATGGACCAGCCTGATGGCGGGGGGCAGCCTCTCGACACGATCAATCTTGATCAACCAACAGAGGTTGAGCTCGAGAGAGAGAAGCATAGAGCGAGAAGAAGAGCAAAGATGAAGGAAGTGATAGAGATCATCTTGAAGGAAATTGATGAAGCCGGGCTCTTGCGAAAACCCACATGGGACGGGGTGCGGGTGCTGCTGTTGATTCTGCCATTAACGGATGGCATATCGTCGCCAGTGGAGAGAATGTCAATGTACGGAGCGGCCCTATCGCAAGTCTACACGCTCTGCTCTCATACGGCGCACAACTATGACGGTGAACCATCTGCCACGGCTTTTGTCAACGGCGGCGTTGCCGACGACCTCGAAATGACTACAGTCCGCGTAAGGGTTTACTGGTGTACGTCTCCTCCTCATCCCTTTTTCTAGTGCTGACCACCGTACAGACTCGTTCGTCCACGAAGGTATCACCACGGGCCTCAAAGGCGGCCGACTGACGCTGGACGATGACGATCTCGAGACGATGCAAGACATGGTCGAAAACAGCGCTCTCGTCAGGGATTCTGGGGCATTCAGGATTTCTTCCAACTTTGCGACAGCGCCCATCAGTTTGGCTGTAAGTCGTCTTTGGTTGAGAGACTTGGGGCTGACACCATACAGCTCGCTTGCAGAAAGATCAACAAAGCTCTGACAGGGACGGCGGCGAGGCGACGTACAGACGTTAATGGCGAGCTGCTCAAACAAGCTTGGGAGGCACTGGAAAAGTCGTGGGAAGAGTTTGACCAGTTGCTGGCGTTCGGGGGTGGGGAATACATGTTAAGTGATGAAGTCACAAGGTAGGTCCGATACCAAACCCGGATGGGCTCAGCTGATGAGGCTGTAGATTCGCGGATGGCTGGAAGATCTTTTTGTTTGAGGCTCAAAATGTCATCTACAACAATCTTGAAGACCGCCGTCAAAGACTCTCCGATCCCGCCGCCACCCTCACCGCTCGGATCTCCTCTCCTTCATCCCCGTCCTCCTCTTCTCCCCCGGAAATCATCCATGCTGCCCTCACTACCAACATTACACATCTCCTCGATATTGCCCGCTCCAAATGCGAAATGAAGACTCGCCAAATCCTGGTCTTGGTGCGAAAGTATGTGGGGACAACGTTCTTTGAGTGGGATGCGAGCCTGGTCAGGGATGGGACTTATTATGCGGCTTTGTGGGTGGCGAGGGGCATGGGGACCGGGGAGGATGTAGGGGTCTGTTTAAGGGCTCTCAATGTGAGTTCAACCTTGTGACACAAAAGCTGTCTGACGGGCTTGTCCAGGAGTTGCGTTGGGCGCACGCAAAAGCTGTCGAGAGGTCTGCCGAGTGAGTTCACTCAGACCTCTGCACGACATGGCTGACATTGTCTTCTAGTCTGCGCAAACTCTGGCATGAACACGCCTCGTCCCCCGCCTCCCAGGACGACAAGGCATGGGATAACATTCTCAGCAACCTCGAGTCTCTCGGCAGGCCTGATCATGTTCGGGCTCCAGAGCAGCCTCACGAGGGTCACAGTTCGTCCGGGGGGAGCGGGCAGACAAGTAACTCAAACTCGAGCTCTCGGGTACCCCAACTGGTCCCATACAACCTTCAACAGAGTTCGTACGAACTGCAGCAGGGCCAGTCGAATCAGTTCGCCGCGCACGACTCGCGGCCTCCCCTGCCCCAGAGGCAATCGTATACTCACACCCCATACCCAGCCGAGATCAGCCACCCTCATTTCCCTGCCAATGTCCCTTCGTCCTCCAACTCCCCATTCACCTCACCGCTCATCATCTCTCCTTACGAGCCTTCCGTCCAGATGCACGGCGCAGGCATGCTGGCCTCGGTCTACTCTCAGTCTGAGCAGGAGGGCTATGGGCATGTGGCGCAATACCAGCAGGTGCATATGGGAACCATGCCGTTTGAAGAGATGGCGCAGCCTGGGCATTATGGGGGCGATCAGTATGAGGCGTTCAATGAGAGGGGTGGTGCGGGCTATGGCGAATACAAGGAGCCCTACAACGGGCAATCTTTCCAACCACAATTTCATCAACATCAACAGTCATCCCAAGGCTACGCTAGCTTGCATGTGCAGCAAGGCATGCCTGCGCCTGATCACCACCAGCAGTATCAGGAGCAAAGTCACTCGCTGTTCGATGAGAGTGGCATGCAGGGGCTGGGCGTACAAGGACAATTTATCATTCAACCGGACGGTAGCCATACGTATAATCCCTACCTCCATAACAATCAGCATCGGTAGTAGTAGTTGTAGTTCCGGGTTTCTTCTTGGTTTTTGGCTTTATAGGGTTCGCTGCATATTTACAACACCGCCATTTGAGCTTTTGTACACGACATATTAGTTACCACAGTCCCAGCTATACATCGAAAGCTGATGCATATTGTATTTATTCTGCAATGGAGACTGGTACATGAAGTCTAAGAACTGTCTTCCTCTACTGCCCTCTTTCTCCGGGCATCACCGTTATCATAGCAAAGCGTACCAAAAGAGAAAACGAACAGGGACTAGAAAGTGAAAAAACAAAGTAAAAGGAGACATTATTGTGTGTTGAGAATATGTGAGATGGGACCAAGGTATGGGCAACGGTGTCTGTCCAGAAGGGCATGTGACTGGTCGCGATGAGCGTATGCAAGAGGATGGTGTCGTTTGTCGTTTATTGGGAGGACATGCTGAGCAGTTGAGATGAATCGTTCGGTAACGACCCGCCCAGAGAAGTCCGCCTGGCCTTTTTGCCACCACCGCCCGCGGCACTGGATGTCGTGGCGCTCGGCGAAGAAGGTTTTGGTCGAGCAGACACATTCTTTGGCGGTGCAACGCTGCCCTTGCGACTGGGACCGGTTTCCTTGCCTTGGTTGGCTCGGTTTCTACAATAGGGTCAGTAAAAAACTATGATTGTGGCGCTGAACGTACCTCTTTTTGATGACGTCTGTCTTGAGGGACAACGGTCTCACAACACCATGCAATTTCTGGAGATAGTCAGCAGGATGCAGCCGGATTGTTGGTCAGACAACTCACGTAGAACAAGCCACAAGCGTTACACAACGGCTGACCTTCGGGGTCTCTTCGCCACAACGGGGTGTTTGTCGTCTGGCAATTGGTGCACATGGTCGGATTTTCCCCGTTGGACATGATTGACCCCGGTCCCCCATCCTCATCCTCTGGCGAACCTTGGCCAGACCTCGAAACGCTCGCCTCCTTGCTGTTCCCATTGTTCTTGCTACTCTTACTTGAAGGTCCTGCAAGATCGCCCTTGTTACGAGACGACTTGTTGGAACCCGAAGCCCTGAGAGCAGCAAGGTTGGGGGTACTGTTAGATCTGTTGGGGGGCGCCATATTGCTCTGCTCGACGGGCCTACCGCCCACTGCTTTGGGCATCGGCCGGATGGCAGCACCAGAGTTGCTACCGGGTGTAGGCGCCCCGCTCGCAGGCGAGATGGCGCTCGGCGAAAACTCGTTGCCAGGCGTATGTCCTTGGCTACTACCGCCGCCCAACACTTGGTTGGGGTTGATATGCGTGAACGGGCTGGCAGAAGAGTTGGCGTTCAGGTAGAGGTGCATCAATTGCTGGAAGTCGAAGGGGTTATCGCCAGTAGCCTGAGGCATGGCGGGGAGCGACATGCCAGGTTCGACATTGCTGAAAGCAGATGGAGAACCGAACGCAGAAGTACCGGTAGTGACGGGTTGACTAGCCCACTCTGCAAGATCAACAAGATCGACGTCCCCTTCGCCATTTTGGCCTTGCTCGCCACTGACAGAAGGCGTACCACTGGCAGCATTGAGATCAAAGAAGTTTTCGTATGATTGGGGGAAGCTGAAAGTAAAGTTGGACGAAGGAAAACCGGTATCGCCCTCTGGCAAAGGTTTGTTGGCACCGTCTCGAGGCGAATGCTCGGCTTGGCGCTTTCGCGGGTTGGATGAAGGGGATGTAGAGGTTTCGTCTTCGTCGACTTGTTTGAGAGTATGGTCAAACGATGTCTTTCGGACTCGCCGAGGGAGGAATCCGTATTGGGGATGATAATTCTCCTCCGTGTTGGAGTACAGCCCGGGCCCGCTGATTCCCGGCAGATTGTAGGCATGACTGTTTGGACTCTGCCCGCTCGCCAACGCCATTTGCAGGTGCTCCATAGCCTTCTGCGACTGGTGCGAAGCGCCCAATGCCTCCTCTTCGCCCGCCTTGCCATCTGCTGACATTCCCATAGCCTGCATGATTGAATGGTGGTTGGCAGGGAGTGAGACAGCGTGTTGACGGTGCGCGTGACGTTGTCCTTGGGAACCATGAGAATCATTGCCGGAGGCCTCCACGTTCCAAGTGCCATTACCAGTCATGTACTGGCCCATCTCTGCGGTCGGGGTTCCACCAGAGGCGAGGAGGCTGTGGGCGTGTGCCTCGCTGAAGATGTTGCGGAAAGGTGCCGCAGATCTGGAGCGCGACCTAGAGGATGCTCGCCAATCAATATCCATAGGTATACGTGAACGAGATCGGCTGGCGGCTCGCCAGTCAATATCCATACCGCTTCGGCAGACGTCAGCGTGTGTACTAATGTATGGAGGGTGGACACTTACTTTGGCGATTGAGAGCTCGACCCCGTCGCGCCAGCAAACCCAACAATTCTTGATTTGCCCTTTGAACGCCCTCGTCTCTCTTCCATAGGCGGCAATTCATCCTTGGCAGCCTTCTCCGCCGCCTCCTTCTCCCTTTCTTCCCTTTCTCTCTCTTCTGCCTCCCTCGCCAGCTTTTCTTCCTCTTCCTTCTTCTTCAGCGTGAGGTGCATCATACGCCAAGTCAAATTCTCCATACGCTGACCGTTGGGAAGTGTATCTCTAGCCCGGGCATACGCCTTCCATACTTGGGCCGCCAGCGGATCCTTCTTGGCCATTTCGTCGGGGGAACCAACGGGAGGAAGAGTGGGGCTGGCAAGGTCACTTTGTGAGGGTCTGCGCGTGACTGGGAAAGAAGCGACGTCGATGTTGAGAGGAGGGCTCATGAGGGGAGTCGAAGGAACACGGCCGCCGAGGAAATCGTCCTCCAAAATGTTCTGGACGACATTGGAATTCTTTCGGCCTTTGGGGTCTGCGGGAGAGGGCGCGTTCTGCGACGACGAGGGTGTCGGCGCATTGGCAGAAGGTAGAGGCCATTGCTGCTGGTCTTCTGGCTTTGGCTGTCCCAGACCCATTCCGATCCCCATACCCATCCTCAGCGCCATCTCCAGACCGGCAGCTCCATACTGTGCGAGATGCTCCAACGACAGTCCATCGGGTAGAGGAGGCAGTTCAGGAAGCTCCACCCCTGCTGGCAGCGGTGTTTCGGGAACCGCCTCTGATCCCGCCCTCGACGCGTGTCTAGAGTGCCCACCACTACCTGGCTTGCTACCAGTGGGAGCAGGGTAATGTGGTGCCTCCTTGCGGCGGGGGGCGATAGGTCGATGGCGTGAGCCCTGCGACTCGGGCCTGAGGGACGCTTCTTGTTGCCATGAGGACCCATAGAAGCCTGCCTCCTTTGGGCTGTTGACCCACGACTCGCTGCCGCCCGGGGTTGTGGCCGGCGTCTCGCCCCGGAGGGAATGGGCTGCCCCCTTGCCGTTGTTGCCGCCAGGGTGGGCAAAACTGACGCGATTGTAGCTATGCGGAGACCCAGGGAAAGCCCCCAAACTCGCAGGATCGGCGAGAATACCAGGTATATGGTCGCCATTGGCGTGGTTGCCTTGCTGATGCTGCATCCGGCGGTTCAAGAGACTAATGCCGGAAGAATGCGAGTGCGCCCCACCAGAAGATTTCGGTGATGTCGTATCGAGCACGTTCATCATGTCTGTCGAAGCCATATTCGCCCTTTGACTTTGGCTTTCGACGATTTGTGCAAGGCTAGCAAAGATGGATGGGTCGAGTGACTCGTCGTTGTTGGTTTGTTTATTCTGCGGAGGCGGCAGCCAGCTAGCAGAGCTAGGCAGACTAGACCAGTCAAACGCATCACTGTCGCTCTGCCCGAAAAAACCACCGCTCCAAGGGGATGGAGGTGGTTCAATGGGGGTGGTAGACACCAGGTGGCTGTTGCGCTTACTTCGAGACGAGGATAGGTGGGTTCCCTGGTGGTAGCTGTTTCGCGGCTGCGCGGTGGAGATTTCAATTGGGGTCATGGGCGTGGGAGTGGTAGAAATAGACGAGTGATGGTCATTGCCGTGGAAAGAACCGCTTTTGCCAAAGCTAGACGATTGGGGGAAAGCTGGGTAAGGCTGGGGTGGATATGGGAAACTGTTTCTCTTGATTGGAATGGAAGGCGGCATTGCAGGGGTAGCAGGGTTTGATTGTTGTCTCGAGGGGGATCTCTCTGGCCCCCTGGTGTTTCCCCTACTCGGCTGCCCGCCGCCGCTGTCCACAGTGAACGGCCCCTTCTTTCCTCCCGATGTAGTACGCCATGGGAGCTTGTCCATTTTGCCCGCGGCTAGCTGCGCCTTGGTGGCAGAGCTCACAGGTCTGGTCGGCTCACGAGCCGATGGCCTTGGAAGAAGCGGCCGAAGCTTGGATGCAGTACTGCTTGTACCGTTCGAGGTGGTAGAGACGGGTGAGGATTTGGATGATGTGGTTGAGAGGGGAGATGGGCCTGTGACGGGCGGAGACGGGGTGGAAATGATGTCGAAGTTGTCGTGCAGTCTGTATTGGGACAGGGTGTAGGGAAGGCCCTCAGCGTCAGCTTTCGTCTCGAGGGATTGTGAAAGGAGCGGCGAGAAAGGTTGCAGTATACGCTGCGGACAAAGTAGGCTGGGAGACAAAAGATGGGCGGGGGGGCAGTTTCGTCGGAATGTGTTTCCCTTGCCACTGCCGCTTTCCGCACATGCTAGAAGGATCGACAACCAGCTCCGCGATCTTCCAGCGGACAAGGCATAGAATATAAAATATCTTCACGGCCCGGCCTGAACGGGCGGATTGTATAGCTACCAACACTCACGTTGATTGGCAAGCAGGAGATGCAAGTCTCCTCTGGTGGACGGGCGGTGTGGTGGTCCTCAGAAGTGGGCAGCTGGGGTGTACGGGGGCTGGGTGTGGCTGGTGGGGGATGGGAGGATGGTGAGTGAACAGCAGCAGTTGAATTGTGGCTGAGGGAACAGAAATGGCTCGCGGCGGGAATTGCCACAAGGGGCAACTGAGCGTCCCTTATGACTTTTATTTGGCCCTGCATCCGTGCCTAGCCACCTCGGCGTACCTCCGTCCAATCATTTTTCCGCTCTTTCCCATCCCAGACCCTTGTGCCTCCCCTCAACTCCACACCAGCTGTGCCACACTGCGCGATCATCAGAGCAGAACCCGTGGCCATCACCCTTGTACTCTCTCTCATCCTCCTCTCCTCGCCCTTCGCCCCTCGTTACATGCCGCTAGCTGATGTCTGGAGTCTCACTTCTAAATAGACTCGCGTGAGCTACCTCGGCTAGATTAGAAGACATCCATCATCAGCCAATTGCCCCACCACCCGGGGCCTCGCTAATATTGCGCCTAGATAACTAAACGAAGTGTATGCATGCTTTATTTCAGTCAATAGACATCATCGATATCGCGAAAATAGAAGAGTGTGTTGCTGCCTCTGCTGCATCATGCATGGCATGAAACGTTTCAGCCCGATGGTCTGTGGTCTCTTTGATCATTCAACTTCACTTCGGGAAAATATAAAGCTATGGTTTATGAGACAGAAAGGGCTGACGGCAGCTGGTCGGCAGCATGCCATAACATGTCTTCTGAGCACGACCTGGAACCTGGAGACTCTCCCAGCGAGTCGAAAATGTAGCCGCCACTTCTATGTGCCATATGGCCTGAACTCCTTCTTGTCATTCCTCCAACTTTTCAACGCCTGACCAGAGGCCGATACGCTGGACATTGGGCACAACAAAGCAAAACAAGAGGGCCTGCCGTCATCTCGCCACAATCTACACTCATCTGTCTTGGGGCCCTTGGGGTCTTGATGATTCTTGATCTTTGAGAGCCTTGAGCTCCGGCCTTGAGCTTCAGCAATGAGCAGTCCCCGAAGGCCCGAACTGCAGATTTTCCGTCCGCATTACGTTGATCATCATGTTCAAAGCAAAGACCCGAGCCGACGAGTGAGCGAGGCCTAACCGCGCCAGACCTTACAGACATGGCTCAGATCTGTTTAGAAGGCCCTGCGGAAGCTGGCAACTACCAATTCAGGCGGGCTGCTGCTTTTTGCAGATTTGTAGATACATAGGCATGGCCATTGACCTGATGCAAGTGCAGGTTGCAACAGCCCGAAAATACTCCGCCGCCCGCCGCTGATTACCGTCATATATTTGCTTCCGTCCCGAACCACTCAAACCCACCTCCACCTGCCCGAATCGGCGCGTCCGACATGTCTCATCAACCAATGTCCGGACGCTATCCTTCGGCCCACTAAACGCGACATTTCGCACGGATCTACGTGACGTGTCCGGACTCGTAATGTCCTTGAACCCTCGCGTCGAATAAATTGATTTGATTTCCTTTTTCACCTTTATTTCTTCTCTCAAATCCTTTCGCGCGTAGATCGCCGTCTGTCTCCTTTCCTCCCACAACCATCGCCCTTCGTCCATCCAACATGACCCAGAGTCCATTCGCCCCATTCGGATACCAGAACATGGCCCCCACTGCTGCTGCCGGCTTGAAGTCGAAGCGAAAGAGGATGTCCTGGGGCGCGGAGGAAGAGGAGTCGGGTTCCAAGGTATGCGTCTCTCGTCATCACTCGCCCCTTCTACTGACAACTGTACCAGCACATGCGCGTTCGATCTCCCACCATGCAATACTCAAACTACGCTGTGCCCGACTTGGTCACCGACCACTCGAATAATGCGTCCGACGACGACCAGGTCATGGACATGGACCAAGATATGGACATGGCCGACTCATCATCCGCTGTCGGACCTTCTTCGCCCGTCGACAACTATTCGCAAGGCAGCTATGCCTATGAGAGCGGAGGTAGCGGGGGTTTCGGTTTCGGCCCCGGGGCAGAGGAGGATGGCTTCGATGATCTCGAGATGATGGATGACATGGGTGCCAAGCACACAAAAAGTAAGTATCGCATCGCGTCGCGTGACGAACATTGGCTCACGTCAGATTAGACTTTCCTTCCCTCACTCCTCATCCCAATCCTCATCACTTTTCCAACCAAGGGACCGGTATGCGTGGTACTTCTCCACTTGCTGCGCAGGCCTTTAGCACTGGTCTTCCCGCCCCTCCTACCAGAGGCATCTATCAGCCGACCGCATCTGGGCCTCTCGCTGCCAACGCATCAGACATTGACCGGGCTAGGGCCCAGCATGGGCCATGGTGCAAGAGTATCCCCAAGCTCATTATGAGCGAGTATCCGGGTGCCAGCGGTAAGCGGTCCATGTGGACTGTCTGCAGTGACTGTGGCGCTTGTGAGCAGACCACCGATTAAAGCTCGTGGTCCAAGATATTTAGTCTGTTGTGTTTCGCCATTTCAAGCATTGTTGGTGAATATACTCTAGTCATTATTTTCGAAAAGCCCCAGGCGGGCTCCGTGTTGTAGACTTGTAGGTCAGTATTACTTTTCATGCTGTAGTCACTGGATATCTCTGCCCAGAATTTATGCATCGTATGTTTTCAGTACAAGTGTACATGTCCCAGCCAAATCTATGTTACATACATATGTCACAGATACACCGTCCCTCATCAACGCTGAGCACCCTTGTCTGATGCTTGCATCTCTCCCTCCAAGGTTTTCAGGAAATCCTCGGCCTGCTGTTGTCCTTGCTCGGCGGAATCCATTATGACATCCTCGTCCTCGAGATCTCGGGCATCACCCGGGACGAGCTTTACGCTGCCCTCGTCCTGTATATGCCTGAATCGGGATGCCTTGCCCAATCGCCTCAGCGTGTTTTCGGCGTCCTGCTCGGCAGCGATATATGCTGCTTGACGAGCGGCGAGTTCGGCAGAGTTTGTCTGGGGCAGGTGTTGGGCTCGGGGGAGGGAATTTGAGACAAAGCGGCGGGCGGCAGCCTGATCAATTTGCGGGCGAGCTGCTCCAAGAGTGAGCAAGATCAACATGGTGGAGCGAGAAGGCTTACGCTCTTCTTTGCCCTCTGCCGAGGAAATCTTGCCGTAGTACACCTTGATCCGTTCCTGCAGTCCGTGTGAGCATGTATTGCCTGTGTAGGGAAGTGGGTCTACAAACGAGCTCAGAGGTGACCTCGTGCTTTGCAGGATCGATACCCTTCATCTTCAAATAGACTACTCTGCATCAGCACCACCTCCTCCGTGTGTTGCAATTCAAGGCTCACTCCATATCAGATCGTTGATCAGATACGCTCCAAGTACGTCCATCTTCGTACGCTCAAATGTTGATAATCTATCGGTAGTGTCGGACCATGGCTTGGCTTCAAGAGGGGCGAGGACGGCTTCGAGGGCGTCGAGATGAGAGGTCAGGGAAGTGAGGGTTTGATCTGGCGGAGGTTGTTCGGACATGATAGGTTTATTCGCTATTGCTTGGATATCGAGAGAATGGTATTCGTTCTATACGTTTCGTGTCTACTCACCATATCTATTATGGCCAACTTTTTGCAGTTGCCGAGAAGCATTACGTAAGCCGAAATGTATGCTGTCATCGTCTCAGGCGTCTGGAGATGCCCTATATGGGTCTGCCTTCTCCTCAGTCCTCCGTAGATTCCCCCTCAACACCCTCCAGCCATGACCCAGCACCCCCCAGATACCCCGGAACGCTCAGCCACCCTTCCCTCCGACCTTACCCCTCGCTCGCACCCAAACGGTCCTCGCAATCCAGACCACCCCGGCTCATCGCGCACTCGCTACCACACCACTCCACTCCCACAGCAGCAGGGCAGTCCCTCCCAGCCCATCTCCGTGCTAGATAGCTCTGAATCATCTCCAAGTCTACAGCCGGTTGATGTGGGAGAGCCCGAGCCAGAAGCTGTATACCGTCCACCGGAACCTGTCGTCGACCTCACAGATGAGCAGCCGCCACCCTACTCGCCGGGCATTGTGGCCGAGCCCGTCGACGCAGGTCCAGAAATGGACATCGATAACAAGAGAAGCGTGAAAGATATCTCCGACTGGCAAGCTGGGCTTGACCGGTATAACCTGATGGACGTCGATCAGCCTAGCCTTCGAAGCAAGCCTCAACTTGGGCCTGGTGTCCTCCCAAGACGATTGCTTGCTATCATACACGAGCATGATCTTGTGAGGCCCTATATTGATGAGCTGCCTGAGCCAGCCAAGAGGATCCAGGAGGGCTTGGAGAGCCCGGATGTCCGGATTGCGATGTCGGAAGATGTGTATAATGCGCTTCCAGGCGGTGATCAAGATCATGACCACTGGTACTTTTGTACGACTTGTTGGGGCTGGCTCAGGATCATAGAAGGCAGGGACGAGACCTTCCCACAGATACCATCCATGGAAGAATGGGAGGTTTGGGCGGTGGAGAATAAGATTTATGACGAACAGGAGAAGTTTGAGGCGGCAAGAAAGGAGAGGCAGTATCAGCTAGACCAGCTCCTATTGTGTCGAGAGGCTGGGCGAACAGCAGGAGAACCGCACGAGCACTTTCACGAATTCCGGAACATCGTTCCGAGTTCGAGATTGTCTCGGGTAGAGCGCCTGGATGTTGAAGAACACCAGAATCTGTTCCCTCATGTCACCTTTGGGCTGGAGAGGGACGAAAAGCTGGAGTCTTTCAGTGTGCCGCATGCACCTGCGAGGTTGTATGTCAGTGATTCCTCAACAAGCTGGATCTTTGTGGACGAAGGGATGGTACCGGGTCAGATACCTGCTGGGCTGGTCCAGGCGTTCACGGCAGAAAAGATGAGCAACCCTGCCCCGGGGAAGACCGGATACAAGAGTGTGAGCGATGCTTGGGACCTCCTAGCTACGTGAGTACCATCACATCCCAGCCAGAACGGTCTGACTCGTTGTTAGATTACTCTCGAATGCCTTGTTCAAAGGTAAACGCGGAGCTGTCAGCCTCGCCAATCAGCGAGTCCAGAATTGCATCGGCCAAGGGATCCTTTCTTCCCACGTTCTCTACCACTCCGGATTCGCCTGCACAGAAGACGACGACAGCCTTCGGGTCGGTCCCTATAGGGGTCGCGAGGACGACCCGGTCCCCCCGGGGCAGCTGGGTACGATGGACAGGTATATGTTACGGGTCTGGGTTGAAATCAGCCTGTATCTGAAGGCGTACCAGATTCGAAATTGTAATTGATGCTTGACATTGCGAAGGGGATATGGACTGACGAATATCTTTAGCTATTGAGATTGGTCATCACTGTGCTGTAGAGCCCGTCCGTCTCGAATTTTCACTCGAAAGTTATCTGCCCTTTCAAAAGTATCGAGAAGGTTCGTGCCATTCCATCTTTTCCAGACGTTTAGGTCTGATGATACATAGCCCGACCATCCTTGCCCGACGCTCTCAAAAACGCTTGTCACGCCCTGGGGGCTACCAGATTTGACACTGTGGATACCTTAGAGCTGGCTTATGACCTCCAAATTGCCTTTGACGAGGTCAACACCCCGAAATACCTGGGAGCCTTGGAGACGATATCGGAAGGGCCCATATACGGCAAGGACAGCGCCCAGCTTAAAGTGGCCATGGAAAAGAGTATGGACAAGTTCACTGAGAGTGAGTCAACATGATATAGTGATTTTATGTCAGACTGACAATTCCAAAGATGATCTTCTACGCGCCTACAGCCTCATTGGTTATACTACGGACCATGCGGAAACCATTTGCGTGGCTCCTCATGAAGCGCCCAATGATTACATTCTAGACATGCACAAGAAGGCCATCCGGGCTTGTACATCACCGTCCGCCCGACAGGATGTGAATGACGCGCTGGCAAAAATTGGAAAAGCACGGGAAAGTTTCATGTTGCAGTGCATGGCCGAGAAGGGGCAAACGACTGTGAGCGTACAAGAGGCGTATGAGGCGTTGAGTGCACCGAGGGACGCGGTGGATGACGGTCTCATTATGTGAGTAATTTACCGAGATGGCAATGCTATGCTGATGATAAATGAAGGCAATATGAAATGGCGGTCAACGAATATCCCGGAAAGGCCGACCACTACCGAATGTGCTTGTCGGTCATCGCTGACGCTCCTGGGGAAGAGCGTCCAGGATTGAAAACATTCTTGCAAACTGGTAATCGAGATCCTGGCGCCCCTGCAAGGAAGGACGTCCCTGTCGGTCTACAAAACATTGGGTAAGCGTATTTTCTATATCTCCCGGTCGGCTCCTCACAAATATTAGAAACACCTGTTACCTCAATTCTATTCTGCAATACTTGTATTCCATCAAGCCTCTTCGCGAGGCAGTGTTGGAGTTTGACCAAGATGGGAACAAGATGGCCACCCCTGTCAAGCCAGAGGTTGAAAGAGCGAGACGATGTATGTTTTGATCTGGTGTATACATCAGCCACTAATTGCTCCTCTAGTCGTTCGTCAACTGCGCCTACTTTTCCTTCAGCTCTACAAGTCAGAACTCCCAGCCGTTCGCCCCGAGGAAGAGCTTGCGTACCTTGCTATCACTCGCCCGGAGGTGGACTCTTGGGTGGATTCAGAAGAGCAGCCTGTCCAGATATCTGTCTCAGCTTCCGCAGAGACGGCCAAGGGAGAGCCAACAGGGAGTGCATTGGATAGCATCCCGTCGATCCCCGATTTGATTGATGTGCCTTCTTCACCCACTTCTACCTTGTTCGCTTCCGCACCAGGATCACCTCTCAAGCAACTTCCTCTCGAGCTAGCTGAACCCAGCACTATTCAGCCAGACCAGAGCCACAAAGATGACGGCGGTCGCTCGCCAGAAACCTCCAGCAGCCGCAGATCTACATCCTCCTCCGTTCTAGGCAAACGAGCCATCAACGAACGCGAACGTTCATTCTCTCCAGGTGAGGAGCGCAGTAGGCTCAAGTCTGCCGAGAGGTCAATGAGCGGGATTATGGATGAAGAGGACAAGGAAGATGAGAATGTCACCCCGTCCAAGGGCAAGCGAGGGCTAGTGGAAAGCCCGACGATGACGGCTGAAATGTCACATCTGGAGCTTCAAACTCCAGCGAAAGGCGGTGGTGAGACAGAGACCGGCGAGGTTGAGGCGATGGCTGTAGCGGAAGACGAACGGTTTGCACCCCCTAGTGTGCCGCCGCCGTCTCTGCCGCCAAGGCCACCAGTGGCAAAGAAAGAGACGCTGAGCTCGGGTCTGAAATTCGGTCTACAGCAAGACTCTGCTGAAGTTCTCATCAACATTCTCACCCAGCTGGAGATGGCTCTCGAAAGACCCGCGGAGGAGGGTGAGGAGGAACCTAACCTTATCAAAGAGTAGGTTCTCGGGTCACGGAAAAGGTACTCATATGTGTTATAGGCTCTATTCTTGCAGTTTCCATCAGCAGACCATCTACGAGTCTGCTCTACCCACCCCCGGCGGTAGCACCGCCTACGAAGCTGCCAAAGACACGGAGGCTGTCTTCACCCACCCAATCATCGGTGTCGAGGAAGAAGGCAAAGATTTGGATGATTGCTTGGCAGAGCTGTACCTCAAGGGCGCAGACATTGAGTATGAGGGGAAGAAAGGATACATGATGGAATTGATGGATCAGTTTCCGCCGATGCTGTATATCCAGATGAGAGTGAGGTCTGTGGCACATCGCGCGATTCATTTGCTCATGTTGAACAGCGATCACAATATGACCCTATCTTGAAACGAGAACGTAAAACCAATACCCACATCCATTTCCCCCAAACCCTTTCTATGTCGCGTTACCTCGTCAACGCACCTGCCGAGAAACGGGCAGAGTCCATCGATCTCACCCGCGAAATGGTGCGCATTCGTACTCGACTTCATGCTCTCCAGAACCACCAACCCCTGTCGATTCCCGACACCTTCAAACATGCCTCTTCGGCCCTGCGCTACCTAGCGTCCGCGGATGTGACGCAGGAAATTCCAGAGCTGGAAGGTGTCCTTGAGGATGACTTGTTTGACCATCTTGACGCTGAAAGGCTCGAGACTGACAAAGAGATTGAAGAACTGCAGGCTGCTTTACCGGATCTGAAATCCCGGATGAACAAGATCTGGGCTGCAAAGGACGGAGAGGCGATGGACCAAGGGGACGAGTATGAGTACGAGCTGGTGAGCGTGTATATGCATCGAGGGAAAACAAGCGGATCGGGTCATTACTGGACTTATCAAGCTCATCTCCCTGGTCACAGTAAGTCCTCAGCTTCTCAACACTACTATCAATCTCATCATGCGGAATAGGTGAAGAGTTTTACAGTTACAACGATGAGTTGGTAACAGTCGTCCCGGCCACCGAGGTTCTGCAAGATCGTACTGGCAGCGATGCCAACCCTGCGCTACTTTGCTATGCCAGGAAGGGTTGGAATTTAGTCGAGACTTTACATAGAGAAGTGTTAGAACAGGAGGCGGGGGATGTCGCTCTTGAGCAAGATTTGCTGTTGAACGAGGTGGAGTGACGCTGATCACTACACAACGACGTATTTCGTGCTAGGCAAACATATCGTATGTCTAGAGTAATGATAATGATGTGTTTCCTGTACACAATCACTGGGCGTGGCTCTTGTAGGATGTGGGACTGAGTACGAGTGCCGGGGAGAGCTGTTGCTGCATTCCTTAAGTCCTGACGCAACGACCACCAGGAGGAGGATGAGCGGGGATGGCCGCCAATTTGCTTCCGTTGGGAGAAAGACAACACTTGAGACTGGATGTATGGAGAGCCTCTCGAGAACAACACGGCAACAACGCAGCGAGAATGGCAAAGCGCACAGCAGACAACCAGAGGACAAAAGACGACGACGACGAGGAAAACGGCGAGGAGGTACGTCGTGGCCATCCCTCGAACATCACCTCACCCTTCACAGCTCGGCGTTAGAGACACTCCTATTGCTCCCGTGCAAGGAAGAGTGTGAGTGTTATGCTTCCAGGTAACGGCGTATTCTGACAGCATGTAGTGTTCGTGGACTGCCGAAACGTAAAGGTCTTGGAGGAACTCCCGCCCCCACACCAGCTGTACGTTGTGCTCCGCCCGTTCTAATACCGTCTTCTAATATTTCTTCATCAGGCCCCTGTAGCCAGCGCTTCTGGTACACACCCGTTCAGCTCTCTGTCATCCTCCGCACCTGCTGCTCCCAACCCCTTCACGTTCGGACAATCTGCTCCTCCAGCTTCAACAGCTCCCCCTGCAGCTTCGAATGCGTTCTCTGGGTTCAGCTTCGGGGCCCAGTCGACTTCCACTACCCCTGCTTCCGGTACCCCTCCTGCCACGGAAGCGCCCAAGCCCGCTCCCACTTCCACGTTCAGCTTTGGTTCGAAGCCCGCAGAAGCCGCTGCGCCGGCAAAGGCCTCGCCTTTCGCTGGATTCTCCTTTGGCGCGCCTCCTGCGGCTACCCCTGCCCCCACACAGAAAAAAGATGAAGCTCCTAAGGCTGCATTCACGTTTGGCAACTCGGCTTCAGCTGCCCCTGCCGCCGAGAAGGAAACACTTAAAGCCCCTTCCGGTTTCGGGTCGAGCACCTTCGGGTCGAATCCTGCTGGCTCAGCTGCTAAACCCGCATTCTCGTTTGGGGCGCCAGCTACTGAATCAGAGAAGAAGGATGCGAACAAGACGAGCGCGCCAGCACCTTTCTCTTTCGGAATCACGCAGAAGGAGGCGACAACTGTGGCAAGCAAGGAAGCTACCCAGACCCCGGCTTTCGCATTTGGCAAACCTGCTGCTCCAGTAGCGTCTGAGAAAGAGCCAACTCCTGCTGCTCGTGTGGAAGCTCCCTCTATCGGCCCGACAGGTAACGGCCTTACTGCTCCAAATTCTACGTCCAGCCTCTCGGTCCCCGCGCCTGCCGCATCAACGGCCGTCGACGCCTCTTCCGAAACCTCCTTCCTTACTTCCCTTCGCGGTCTCAACCAATCATTCCACACGTTCTTCGCCTCCATCATCGAGAAAGATCCATTCATCGATCTGTCAGAGGTGTTGCCCAACTTAGGGAAGCAGTATGAGAAGCACCTCGAAGAGATCGGGAGTAAGAGTGGGTGGAAGCCGGAAAAGAGTGGTGCAGCGGTTGAGAAGACAGCGGATACGCCCAAGGCTGGAGGGTTCACGTTGCCCAAAGCGCCAGAAGGAGGTTTCGCTGTGCCCAAGCCCACAGCAGCCAGCGGTACCACTGCAACCGGGGGTTTCACTCCTTCAGCCCCCGCGAGTGCATCAACGGCATCTGGTTTTAGCTTCTCCGCCGTAGCCCCTGCTTCCAAAAAATCGTCAGAGGGGGCTACAAAGATCATTTCCGACGTTCTCGCCAACAAGCCCGAAGAGAAGAAGACGCCCTTTTCTTTCTCTGTCGGTACAGACGCCGAGAAGCCTCAGGGTTCTACTCCTCCATCCACGGGTTTCAGTTTTTCCGCTCCCAAAAAGTCGACTTCCCTCTTTTCTACTACCCCTGCCACTCCCGCAAAGGCTTCCTCTGCAGAGTCTGGTACACCTCTAGGAAAATTTGGCCCTGGTGGAAGCCAACCCCAACTGTCTTTCGGTGTCAAGGCCGGCACATCACCCTCAGCATCCACGACTGGTAGCTTTTCTTTCAGCGCTAAACCAGCGACCCCCGCAGGAAGCACAGGCTTCTCTTTTGGCTCGGCGAGCTCGACGCCTAGCGGGACGCCCGCTGCTGCGCCTTCGGGCGGATTCTCTTTCGGTTCAACGGCCGCGGCGGCTTCATCAGCATTCTCATTCGGCAAGCCTGCCGACGGCGGGGCCACCGGCTCTTCTGCTCCTTCAGCCTCTGCCCCTGCCGAGTCTACAGAGGCGTCGGAGGAAACCCCTGGCTCTCCTTCCAAGAACCTCGCTGAAACAGCTGGTGCGGGCGAAGAGAATGAAAATACCGTACTCGAACAACGTGGCAAACTCTCGCGGCTCGAAGATGGAAAGTATGAGCTTGAAGGATTGGGGCAGTTCAAGCTGAAGAAGGAGAAGGCGGAAGGCGGGAAAAGAAGGTTGTTGATGAGGACCGACGGCAATGGGAATGTCATACTTGTAAGTTCAGGCCTTCCAGACAGTCAAAGGGGTTATGAGGATGCTGATCGTGATACAGAACATGACATTCAAGTCGACATTCAAACCCACTGCTGATGGGCCGTATATCAAATTTTTGGGTTTCAACAAGGATGGAAAGCCGACACCCTATGCGTTGAGGGTGAAAAACGCCGAAGTGGCCAAGACGGTGGCGGAAAAGCTGGAGAAAGAGGCGGGAGAAGCACAGTAGATACATATTAATATATATGGAGGGTCATATTATACATGTATTTGTACGGTACTCTACCAAGAACAAGCCTATCAAACGCCTCAAGCAGCCGAGAAAACACCGCTCCACCAGATACTCCAAAGCATGGCGAAAAGCGCGCTCACCCCCATTCCAGCTCTGGAATCGCCAAAGCCGAGGAGGACGAATAATGTCCACGGCCACCCAACTGCTTTGTCCAATACCGTCCCAATCAGCCGCTCGAGAATGAGCACCTCTCTCTGGGTAGGAGGCGGTCGCACTCCGTGATGAGAAGGGGCAGGAGGTAGCATGGGTGCGAGATGAGGTGAAGGCGCGTCATGTGCGCTCTCCGGAAGAAGGAAGAGGGCGTGTACCGGCTTGTGATCGGATAGCGTGAGCTCGGGTGTAGATTCGAGGTGCAAAATTTGAGTGCTGTTTGCGTCTATTGAGTGCAGAGAGTCTGCGGATGGCGAGAAGAACGAGGAGGGGTCGGTGTGAGAGGCAAAGAGAATACGGTCTGTCCAGCCCGGTATACGTTTCCTGGTCTCGTGAATTAACATCATTCAGCTTGTATGTCTGCCGACTTACGCGCTGTAGCCCTCAATTTCACCGACCACTCGTTTGTAGGTAGGTGCAAAGCGAGTAATATCACCTTCGCGAAGACCACCAAACACCTTCCCTTCCCGTTGCTGCTGCCTCAACGTATCCGTCCGAACCATCTCCGCCCTCGACTTTTCCAGAAGAGCGATGTCGTTGACACTCTTGTTCTCCCTCAATCCATCTGGAGGAGGCTGCCTAGAGAGTCGATAGTTTAGGTCGCCCATGATGAAGAGGTGGGAAGTATCGAATATCTGCTGGGGAGTAGTGAGGGGATCTGAGCTGTTGAAGACGAGGGAGGATAGAATGTGCTGGTATTGGGCATTACGGCGGGGAATGTTGTGGTCATGGGCTTCAAGGTGAGTGTTGACAAAACTATCCCCGTGTCAGCCTGACAAACCAGAGGTATGGAGAGGCTCACGTCAGCACCTCCCACCCGCCAATCTTGCCTCTCTGTACTGGCAGCCGCACTCCAACAGCCCCCTTATTGCCCATACCTCCATAGTACAGGCCCAGCCTGGCTTCGGAAGCTTTACCGACTCGCCCCTCCATTGTTTTGTCGCGCGAAAATACCCAGATGGCATTGCCCACGTGAGCTACGCGGGAGACGAGAGAGTACTTGTCCGGGGTCTTGGAGTGTGAGAGGGAGGTGGCGTGGGAGGAGAGGATAGAGGCTATTCGCTGGGTCAGGGCGAGCAGCACTGGGCTAGTAAGACCAGCCACTACATATGATATTAGCAGACCGCGCTGGATGCCTGATTGCTGCGCTTACAAGCTAGATGGACGGGCAGCAACTCCTGGACGCCAATGACATAAATATCGGGGGCGATGGCCTGGGGCAGGTCGGGGCTCGTGGCATTGTGGAGGACGGGAAGGAGCCAGCTGGTGAGGTCCTGAGACTGGGCCTTGGATCCCTGGAGACCTGTGTTCCAGGTGGTGGCGAAGACTGTAAGGGGCGCCATGGTGGAGAGGTGAATGAGAGGATCCATACAAGTACTGGATTGTAATCAGTCTTGTAATCCACCACGTCATAGACTACAAGTCCATAACCATGCATCAGAAACAAACCCTAATCGGATATTTGGATCCGCCGCCCATGTCCTCTTTCTTCCAGCGCGTCTGTCTTTCCAACCACATCCACAGCGCCATGAGCGGTCACTACAACCTGAAGGGTTCGTCTCTTGCACTTACTCCTGCCCATGCTCACCCCGTGCAGCTTTGATCAAGGCCATCCGCTCCTGCAAGGTATCCCAACCCTTCGCGTCTCGAGCGACAGCTGACAGCCCCCGCAGACCCTCGCAGACGAGCGATCCGTCATTCAGAAAGAATCAGCCGCTATCAGGGTGTGTCCTGCTTCGCACTGGGGATCGCCTACTGATATCTATTCAGACATCTTTCAAGGAGGAAGACACTCTCGCTCGACACAACAATGTCGCCAAATTGCTCTACATCCACATGCTCGGCTACCCCGCCCACTTCGGCCAAGTCGCGTGTCTAACTCTGGTGGCTAGCCCGCGGTTTGCGGATAAACGGCTGGGATATCTGGGAATCATGCTATTACTGGACGAGAACCAAGAGGTGCTGACACTGGTGACCAACTCTCTGAAGAAGTGAGTAGTCTTTGAACGCGGTGCCATGTCGGCTGACAGGCCGTAGCGACATGAACCACTCGAACGTCTACGCAGTGGGTCTGGCGCTCTGTACCTTTGCCAACATCTCGTCAGAGGAGATGTGTCGCGATCTTGCCAACGAGGTTGAAAAGCTCCTGGGTAGCAGCAACGCTTACATCCGCAAGAAGGTGCGTTTGGATCGTTTGAGGATACACGTAGTATCTAACTTTCGTGCCAGGCTGCTCTCTGTGCTCTTCGAATCATTCGCCGAGTCCCCGACCTCTCTGACCACTTTACCTCCAAGGCCAAGGGTCTGTTGCAGGACCGCAATCACGGTGTCCTCCTCGCAGGCATCACTTTGATCACCGAGATGTGCGCTATCGATGAGCAAGTCTGTGCCGAGTTCCGCAAAGCTACCAACCTACTAGTCAAGCACTTGAAGAACCTCGTGTCCACGGGATACAGCGCAGAGCATGATGTACTGGGTATTGCGGACCCATTTCTGCAGACCAAGATCTTGCGCCTTTTGAGGTTGCTCGGCAGGGGAGACGCGGCCGCGAGCGAGACGATGAACGACATCCTCGCGCAAGTCGCGACCAATACCGATTCATCCAAGAACGTCGGCAATTCTATCTTGTACGAGACCGTGTTGACGGTGCTGGAGATTGAAGCCGATAGTGGACTGAGGGTAATGGCTATCAATATCCTCGGTAAATTCCTCACGAACCGTGACAACAATATCAGGTATGTTATGACCAAATCGATGAGTGGCACAGCTGACGCTTTAATAGATATGTTGCCCTCAACACGCTCAACAAGGTGGTCACGATGGACACCAACGCTGTACAACGCCACCGCACCACCATCGTCGAGTGTCTTCGCGACGGCGACATCTCTATCCGCCGCCGAGCCCTTGAGCTCTCCTATGCCCTCGTCAACGAAGGCAACATCAAGCTCATGACGCGAGAACTGTTGTCATTCTTGGAACTATCAGACAACGAATTCAAGCTGGGTTTGACGACAGAAATCTGTTTGGCAGCGGAGAGGTATGCGCCGAATAAGAGATGGCAGATTGATACCGTGTTAAGGGTGTTGAAGGTGGCCGGAAACTTTGTCAGGGACGAGATCCTCTCGGCCTTCATCCGTCTCACTTGCCACACCCCTGAACTCCAGTTCTACACTGCCCAACGACTCTATGCCGCCCTCTCCGCCGATCTATCTCAGGAGAGTCTGACCCTGGCTGCCGTCTGGGTGATTGGTGAATTTGGCGACATCTTGTTGCAGGGCGGAACCATCGATGACGGAGATGAGGTCAAGCAGGTCTCTGATACCGACCTTGTTGATCTGCTTGAGCATACCCTCAACTCTCCCTACGCCAACTCTCTCTCCCGCCAGTTCGTCCTTACCTCTCTCGCCAAGCTTTCTGTCCGTCTGTCCGAATCCTCGTCTACCCCTTTCCCCAACGCAGGCCTGCAGGACCGCATCGCCGCCCTCATTGCTTCCTACTCTTCCAATCTTGAGCTTGAGATTCAGCAGCGTGCTGTCGAGTTTGGTTCGTTGTTCGGCATGTCGGATGTGAGAATGGGCGTTTTGGAAAGGATGCCGCCGCCAGAGATCAGAGCGACCATCATGGGAACGGTCAGCGAGCGGAAGCCAGTGGGCTCGACGAGGACAGACAAGGACATGATTGTCGACCTCATTGGCGATGAATCTGCACCCAATACTGCTGGCGTGGCTGTGTCTTCAGGGCCGTCAACACAGGATCTGCTGGCAGACATCTTTGGATCCAGCTCCGAGATGGCTTCTCCGGGTGCGACTGCGACAGGACAGGCGCCAAAGAGCGCAGCGAACGACATCATGTCTCTCTTTGACACTTCCGCGGCTTCGCCGCCGGCGACTGTGGCAGCCTCGAGTGGTGGTGGGTCATTATTCGACCTCGTCTCCCCTTCTTCTACGCCTGCCCCCCCTTCTGCCCCCTCTCCCGCCCCCGCCCCGGTCACTTCAGCTGCCCCAGCCAAGTCCCAACTTCAATCCTACCCCGCCTACGACAAGAACGCTCTAAAAATCACACTCACGCCCAGAGTCTCGCCTACCCAGCCTGGTGTTGTTCAGGTGCTCGCAAAGTTCACGGCCTCTGGGGGAGAGGTCATTGAAAATGTCAATTTGCAGGTGGCAGTGCCCAAGACCCAGCAGCTACAGATGCAGGCCATGTCGAATCAGACTGTCAGCCCTGGAGCTGGAGAAACGCAGCAGATGAGGATCCACGTCCCTGTAGGGGTATGTCTTTTTCGGCTCTTTGGAGATGTACGCTAACGAGGTTACGCCAAGGCTGCGATCAGGTTGAGGATGAGAATCACCTACACCAAGGGTGGGCAAAATATCACGGATCAGCAAGACTTTTCTGGCTTCCCTGCGGGATTGACTGGGTCAAAGTGATGGCCAGTCGTTGCCTATAGATGTTGACGAAGCTGGATGATCTTGCGCGTATAGAGTACCCGAAATTGTAGAATGTAATGGTGGTATGATCGCTCGTAGTTGCAAGGATCGACCGTTCATGTTGACGAGTATATATTGTGGTATATGCTGACTTTCATCTTCGTTTAATCATCACTCTCCTAGTCCAACAAAGCCTCCCCTAACATGTCCAAAACGCCGCCCTCCTGGTTCTCATTCTCCTTCTGCTTTGCCTCCATCTCAGCCTTGAGCGCCTCGGCCTCGTGCTTGACCTTCTCAGCAGGGTCGGGCGCAGAGGGGTCAACAAGAGGACGGATCGCAGAAGAGAGTTCGGCGGGTTTGATGCCGAGGGCGGCGGCGAGTTGGAAGATCTGGGATTGGATGTCTTGTTCAGGGTTGGAGGCAGCTTGGGTGGGCTTGGGCTGACATCCTCTCAGTTACAACATATTATTTTCAAGTCGAAAGGACTCACCTTGATATCAGAAGGAGCTCCGGACTTGCTGCCGGCCTTGGAGACACTGCTAGCGGTGGCAGCAGCCACACTCGAACTTGCGCTGGCTGCACTCGCCGCCTCCCTCGCCGCCTGGGCGGCAGGTGATATATGATGACCAGTCATGAGTGCCCAGTATCCCCCCGCGTTGTGGGCCCACACCGTAAAGCGCCACACATAAAAACTGAGCACGAGAAGCAAGGAAAGGACGAGGTAGGTGAGGCTTGATCTCTGTCAGCGCACGAACGCGACGGCAGGTGTTCACATACAACTTGTTCATAGAGACATCAATGAAGGGTGGTTTTACATTGGGCTTGTTGCGCTCAACCTTCTTGGTGGGATTGGCGCTCAATGACGAGCTGTGGGGTGGTGAGCGGGGCAGGCGGACATGGGGGCGACATACGGGTTCTTGTGCTCCTCGGTGGGGGCGTCAAGCTTGGAGACGCGTTGGCGTGTGCCTGTGGCTTCGGGGGCGGACATGGTGGGAGGGGTAGCTGAGAGATAGAGGAGAAATAAGAAAGAAAGAGAAAAGGAGAGAGATAGAGAATGGATGGATTATGCCTGAACTTGACGTCATCATCTCTCCCCGCGGCGCACGCCGCCCCGCCCCCTTTCTTCTTGCACCGTGGGAACATCTCTCGCCTCCACTTTCCGTGTCCACCGCCCATCTCCTCGTGCAATCTGCGTGCAATCTGCGTGCAATCTGCGTGCAATCTGCGTGCAATCTGCGTGCAATGGCCGACCTCACCCCAGACGCCATCAGCGACACCCCCCTCGACCTTCTCATCAACGCAATCGCCGGTAACCACACCCACCACGAAAACATAGACCAGTATCTCCTCCCGGCCTCAGACTACGTCTCGAGTAAGCGCTCGCGGGCAGACGACATCTACGATCCTCCTCGCCCCCTCAAGCTCGCGCGCACAGCCGGTGCCACGGCTTCCCTCTCGTCTTTCTTTGCTCTTCATCACGAGGATGGCCATACCATCGATTCCGCCCATGCCTCTCATGTCAACACTGTCGAGGTGTGGCATCCCACCACGGGGCAGAAGAGCTACGGGAAAGAACGACGGTGAGCAAATCACTGCAGGATACTGGCATGTACTGACCACTAGCCGTCAGGATGCTGAATCCGCCTCCCATTGTTCGCTTTACAGGCTCACTAGCCCCCCGTGTCATTGCAGCCACAATGTCTGCCTACACCTCCCCCCCAAACCAACCCCCGGCCATCTCTGGGACGAATACGCTTCGCCTAGGTGACCTTTCGTCTCCCGCTTCTGGTCTTCTCTTAGCACAAAACCAAAAACACCCCAATTGGAGGCGTCAGAAATTGCGGTATGCCGCGCTCAATGCAGGGTTCGGGGGCGCGTTAACGACGAGTCGAAGTACGGCCGACTTCAAGGATCGCTCTCTCCTAAAGGAGGGAGTGACGTTCCCCGGAATATGGATTGGAGAGAATACAGGAAAATTGAAAGAGTTCAATCTAGAGCTCAAGATCTTCGTGGGGTCGGATGATCCGGCCGAGGATGGACAAGAGCACCATGCAGAAGAGCGAACAGGTACCATGTACGAAGCGCCACGCCCGTCAAATTCAGCAGAGGCTCTCTCGGAAATACTCGAGCCAGATTCGGGCAGCCATCATCCACTTGTCGAGACTATACAAAACACAGAGAGCGGCCTTGGTCATGATGCCATCCACAGTGACTATCCCGAAGCAGAGAGTTCCGGGTCCTTGCAGGAACCAGAGCATTCTCGGCAACATCAAGATACTACCTCACAAGAGGGCCCTCTTCAGCCCCCTGAAGAACAACTCCTCGGTACATTCACCTCCCCTTCCCTCCGCATCGTCTCCAAACCTTCTACCAAGACCTCGAAAGCACGTTCCATGGCTACCTGCTTCTCGCACGATTCTGCATTCTCCTTGTGGACGAGGCTGCACGGGCAGACGGTGAGGACGAGATGGATGAATCTGGAAGAGAAATTCAATCAAGACGGGCCCAGACTGACGGCGAGGACGGCAAAGTGGACGCCTTTCCGCTTTGAAATCCTCGACCGCGCCCCCTTCACCCGTCTCGCACGCACCTCTCGCGGCAGGCCGGTCAACAACGAATACACCGATGCCACAAAGCTCACCTACGGCTCTACTGTCCTCCTTGTTGACCTACAGACAGGCGTCAAATCTGACCCTGTCAAGCTCGTGAAAATCGAGCAAGGCAAGTACGTCGTTGGAGGGGACGTGGGTCAGCCCGTGAGTGAGCTTCAGAGAGTGGGGTTGGTAAGGGCCGTATCGGGGGAAGAGGAAGAAGGATCGAGATGGTATCTGAGCGCACCTGGCGCGCGGGTGGGAGGAGCCGAACTTTTCAAGGATAGCTCTTTAGGTATCCGGGCAAGAGTCAAACCTGGTAGAAAAGCCAAGGGCGACGGCAAGCAAAATCCGGGGGAACAGCCGCTGGCACCGTCGTTTATGCAGGATGGGCATAACGATGTGAACGACCTGGGGGGCCTGGGCGGACGCACACTCGAAGAAAGTATCACACTCAGCAATCCCTCATCCTCTGTCGACCAACCCGCTTCATCTTCCGCAGACGCAGAAACACCGCAAAGCATCTCTGCCAAATCTCTCAACGCCCGTCGGACAGCCCTGGCAGCGGCAGTGCTGGCAGAAAATGAGGAAGGGGCTACTCAGAAACTCTTGAGCTGGGCGAAAGCGGAGAGGAAAGAGGAACTCGTGCGGATGGAGGAGGAGGATGGGAAAGGGGAAGTTAGGGAAGTGGAGAGAAGAGTCCATGTGGACAGTGTGGCGGATTGGATGTCTTGGACCATCGGGGGTGTTTGTAAGTGATCAACCGGTGGCAGTGGAGTAGTTACTGATCTGGACCGCAGCGTCTTTTACCTATTCATTCATCAACACCCTTGATGCCGAACATGCAATTTTGTAGGAGGTCTGTCTGAACCCGGAGCACATATGTACATTGATTAGGTGCCTGTCGTCTACGTTTCATGCGTGTAGATCCATTTCATGGACCACAGAGCAACTTATGGCAACATGTAAAGATGGTAGGTGCAGGTTGTAACTATGCAGGAGATAGGATATGCAGGAGATGATATATGCAAGAATGAAATATGCTACAATGTAAAGCTTCACCTCACCAATCCAACCGCAGCCGACTGATCTCCTCAGCAGCCTCCTCCGCTCCGCCCAAATCCCAATACCGCGCGTAGACCGCCCCTGGCTGCCTTCTCATCGGCTTACCCGTCTTGGGGTTGATCCGTTCCTCGCCTCTCTCTATAGCGTCCTTATCGATTTTCTCATACATGGCGTCGGAATGAAGGATAGTAATAATTGCAGGGAGTGTATGGAGGAAGATGGAAGGGGAGGGCAGAAGAGGGGAGGACAGAGGAATAAGCGGGTCAAGAACCGGTAGTGTTGAACGTATGTACTTTGTTCTGCATGAGCAGTCAGCGCAGGGCATCCATCTGGGAAGCAATTTCACGTACCTGGCGAGACCGAGATCGCCTAATGGAGGAAGACCTCCTCCAGACATCGAGACAACTGTAGACACGATCGCAAGCGATCGATCACATAAGGCAAGAATGGGATAAGTCTCGGGAAGAGCTAATTTCTGCAGGAGAGCGACGTTCAATTCGTCGTCCGAAGTCCTTTCGAGCCTGTCGATATCCGAGATCTGTAGTGTTCGTCAGCGGACCATGTCCCTGTCGCTAACCTGATATACTCACATCCATCGATACCCATGGTTTCATGCCTGCAACATCCGCATACGACTGGGCCTCCATCCTCTGAAGAAGCGTCTTCAAGTCATCGTCGCACTCCTTCGCACTTCCAGCCTCCTCTATCCTGTCTGCTTGCAAGCCAAGCTGCAGTTGCCCGATCGCTTGCCTCAGGTCAAAATACGGCACTCGCTCATGGCCGTTTGGCAAAGCAGGCCCATCTCCTCGGATGTCCGCTTCGTGCTTGTCTCGTATCGCAGACTTGTAGACGGTGGCAGCGTCTGCCGTCGCGCGGTACCCTCGGTGACTGCGATCAGCATCGGCAATAGCTTGAAGATAGGACATGGCGATGCTGGATGGCAGGGGATGGAATTGAAGTATGGCTTGGAGAGGTAGTTGGGCCAAGGGAATGCGTTTGTGGTCTGAGACGATATCGTCAGTCACCCATGCGCTCGACAGAGCCGTCAACACGCACCGTTACAAGTCAATACCACGGGACGCCGAGAGTCTGACACGAGCGCCAGCACACCAGGCCAAAACGTCGCTTCCTCTTCAAACAAGATATCTGCCTCGTCGATGAGAATCAGAGACTGCTTGTACTTGCTCTCAGTGCTGGCAACAACATTGTCATCTTTTGGTTCAGAGTCATCTTCGTCGGAGTCGGTCATTTCCTGCGTCAAATCGTTGGAGAATGGGACAGAGCCTGTCGGCTTCGAGCGGGAGTTTTGGCCAAAGAAGGATTTTATACCGCCCGCCTTGCTCTTCTCAACTTCTGTCCCTCTCCCCTTCTTGGAGTTCTTGTCCGCTGGCTTTCTTTCTGCCTGCGGCACGATATGGTTCCGTCCCAGATCGCCGAGCCATCCCATCAACGCCCCGCCGGTCCTTTTCCCCATCCCTGGATATACTTCAAAGACCTCCCACCCCAGCTCTTGTGCTGCTGCATGTACAGCTGCCGATTTGCCAGAGCCAGATTTGCCAGTGAGGAGAATTGTGTTGGTGAGGCGCATATCGAGTGGAGGGTACTCGGCTGGCCTTGCTGTGATATCGGAATCTATGGGAGGCTCTTCGAGATCGTCGAGGTGAATTTGCTCGTCCTCTTCGCCTTCGTCGAATGCGTCGCCGTATACACCAAGGTCATCCACGATAAAGTCATCTACCAGGGCAGCCTTGGGTCTTTTGACGACTTTTCTGATTATTTTAGGCCCCTGTATACGATGGCCGATAGCAAGCATCGAGAGCCAGTCGCGTAGATATGTCGCCTCCAGCTCGTTCCCCAAGACCTCCGTCGCACGCTTTGGACGGTATCTGTCAACCCAAGCTTCACGGTTGGATGAAGACGAAGACGCCTTCAACTGCAAAGAGGAGAAAGCTGGGTGTTGGAGGATGAAGGGTAGGATGTCTATTGGTTCGGAGCGATGTATGCTCGGCGCGCAGGGTCTGCAGACTCGCGATTGTATGTCACCCCAGAAATTTCCTTGCTCTGCCGGCGCAGGTTTTCTAGATGTGCTGGGAGGCACCGGACCATCTGATTGCGAGTAGGAACTGCCCACATGACTCGGCCAAGGTCCTTGTGGGAGTGGTGTTTCGACTTCTTCCGTGCCCCATCCATCTTTCAATTTGCACTTACTCTTCCCCTGTTGCAAGGAGAAGAATGTATGCACATTTTCTTTCTTCTTGTGCTTGGAACCATTATCGGATTCATATGGAGCACCATCTCTGCCTGAAAGAGGCTCCACCAGATCCAGAATTCGAGAGGAACTGGCACCGTGATCCGTCCGCGATCTAACCTGAGTGAAGAATGAATGGGCGGGTTTGGTCTTATCGGCAACGGGGGAAGCATTCTTTGAAGATGAACTTCTCAATTTGGCCGGGGATGGCGAGCCCTCTGGTACCTCAATCGGGGCTTTGGGGTTCGTGCCCGTCGACCCAGTCCTGGAGAAAGATCGCGCAATGCCCTTGCTGAAGATGGCTGGCCGAGAGTTCAGCACATGCGGAGCTTTGGCTTTCGCCCTTGGCGTCGACTCATAGTCATCTTCTTGATCTGACGAGAGATCGATAATCTCAGATGCAAGTGACGACGACGATGCTTGGGTTGAGAGAGGTATAGATGGCCGGGCACGTTTTGGTCTTGGTCTCTTCGAGACTATTTGTGACTTTGAGGGATCGGGGTCGTTTTGAGAGGCATGAGAGAAGACCACGTCCTCTTCTGTTTCATAGTCATATCAGTGATGGATATCCCAGAGTTGCACGAGACGTACCTTGGTCAGAGCTACTAGAGACCTCTGTCGCGGCGTGCGAGGCATCGGCTTCGACCACCGTAGGCTGAGTCTCCTTCTTCTCTACTACCAGAGATTTCCTCCCACCATCATTACTGGAGAGACCGAGGGTAGCCTGGGCCTGCCCTGCGTTTGCATTGGCCGCACCCAAAGCTCTCTTTCGTTTCGGAGCCGCGTTGGCGGGTTTAGCTTGCGCTGGTATGGGCTCACGATGCGACTGCTGCGGCGTTGAGGAAAAGAATGGGTGTACAGACGCTTTGCTGGGAGGCGGTGGGGAGGGCGCCATGCGGGGTCGTCGAGAGGGAGGGCAATATATTCTCTGGATGACTTCAAGATTATCGATTGACGCGACGCGTTCATGTTCTTGCTGCTTACGTAAAGATCCTTCCACCGTCCGACGGTCACAGCCCGAATCGGTATCGACTATGAAATGGGATTTGAACGGGATCCCCTCTTCTGCTGCCTCTGCCACTGAGTACCATGGCCATCACCAAACTGGACTATACCGTCTCCACAAAGTCAGTCGCATCTCGCCCCGTATGGCCTGTTGGCTCACCTTGCTGACCTTTGTAGGAATTCGTCTGTCCCGAACCCCCCTGGATACCAGGCTCCCGTCACCGGCAAACAACTGGCGCACTCTAGAGTGAGACGAGCTCCTCCCGATGCCGGAATATACACACTGACACCCTGGCCAGACGAAGCAGCCGGATGCCGATGCCCTTGCGAAACAAGCCCAGAAGTCCACCGAGCTCAAGATGAAGCGAGCTTGGGACTTGGCCATGTCGTAGGTCCCGCAATGGACTAGATGGGCCTACCATACTGATGTACACCCAGCCCTGCCAAATCACTGCCAATGCAGGGAATCATGCTCTACTTTTCTGGCTCTGGAATCCAGATTTTCTCTCTGGGGATGATCTTTATGCTCTTGACGCAGCCCCTGTCGGCGGTCTTTAACATATTCAGAGGTATTAGTCGGAGACACGATTCATTCTCAAATACTGACTGTCACCCAGCGTTCGAAGCTTTACGCCCGACTCCTCAACCTACGGTATCTCAAAAAGCGACAGATGTCGCTGAAGAACCGTCATACGCGCCATTGACAGGACCCATGATTCTCTATGTTTTGTGCCAAGGATTGGTGTGAGTATAGCTTTCGTGTCCCAAGCCTTGTCCCTGATAGCGAAATTCCAGACTTGCTCTCGGTCTCTACAAATGCTGGGCCATGGGTATCCTCCCAACGGGGTCGGGCGACTGGCTGCAATTCGAGACTCGGTCAAATGTGAGTACACTTTCCCGTTTGTCTGTATCGTGCTGACCTGGCGTGCAGCCTCCTGAATGGTCAGCGGTCAGGGCGATGCCTCTTGGGTAGATTACTACAAATGCATGTGATGTCTTATCTATGCTTTTCATATAGCCATCCGCGTTTCTTCTTCGGGCTCCATCTGATCAATCCTGGTCTTCTCGCCGACCTCCTCTGTCTTTCTCTCTTTGACAGACGTCTTTTGCCCCGAGTATTCGGCGATACGCTCATAGAACAGCATTACCACCGAACCCCTCGCCGCGTTCAGAGTTTCTTCACCAACTTCTTCAACATCCGCATCGCTGATCATCAACCACCCCTTCCCCGGACCACTAGGCTGAGGATCTCTCACAGGCCCGAGAAGTATACAGTCTTCACAGGTGCAACCTTCCGGGCAGCTTCTGGAGGCCACTGATGGACGCAGTGAATGGTCTTCGGCAGTAGCTGAGGGGGTGGAAGGCTTCCGGCGTATGCAGACGAAGTGACCCGAAGAGTGAGTGAAGCCATAGTGGAGAATAGCTGACTCGAGCCTGTAGAGGACTCTTCTTTCTACCGGGGCTGACGGGTCATTTTGTCCGCCCATAGCTGCCAGCATGTTCTTGACCCCACTCATGTCCTCCCACACCCCATTCGCGACGAAGCGCGTCAGATCTAGAACCATCGGAAAAGCCACCCTGGCAATTTTCTTCTGTACAGTCCCATACATCGTGAATTCTGACCTGATGAAGTGCAGGCGCAGAGTCTGGGGCGGACGAGTCACGACCGCTTGGCGGGTGGAGGAGGTGCGGGCGGTGAGCCATTTAACAGGGATGGGCGCCGTCGAGCCAGAGGATGGGAGAGGGACGAGACTGGGTTCGCCAAAGTTGCTCACAGTCTTGGACTCTAGCATCTCACGCAATCGCGTCTCTGCCCTGCGAGCATCGCGCGCGCGCTTTCGTCGACTTGCCGTCATTTCTTGAGCCTCGCCCCCAGTAGGTGTGGGTGAGTTTTCCAATGCCGAAAACGAACCAGACTTTACTGGTTCGTCTCCCTTCGAGTCAAGCTTGGCTTTTGACCGAGGCTTCTGAGACGCCTCACTTGCAGGTATAGAGAGTCGTTCAACTTCCATTACGTAGTGTTGCAATGTGACTTCCAGAGAGCACATCTCACAGGTGACGTCCGTGAGCTGTTCGGGGGCAAGATACTGTGAGATGCACGCTTCCAGGGTCGTATCACCCTGTGCACTGAATCAACGACAATCTCGTCTGGTCCTTGAGAGGTGACTTACATGCAGCGGCACAGGAAGCTCCATACCACTCAACGTCTCCAATCTGACAGTCTCGCTCCATCCGCATCTTTGACAGACTCTCCGTCTCGCCAATAGCCCTTCCCAAGGTTGACCTACTCCCCTGATTTTGTTCCTCTTTTTGGCGCCTTCCACATCTACTCTCAGCACACTGGCACCGCCGCCCTTCCCCGCCGCATAAGCTTGTAGAGGCAACAGGTCTCCCAACCCACGCAGCTTGGCAATTTCAATGGCAACCTTGACTACCTCATCCGAGATCGCTTCCGCCAGCACCAGAAAGAGTTCATGGGCATCTTGCTGCTCCCCCGTCCCTAATAAGCGCCGAACAGCTGGGAGAGGGTACAAAGCTTGTAAGAGTCCATGAGGTCGGAGAGCCGGTGGGTGGCTCTTATGGGGAGTATTGAGGTCACGAACAACCTCCAGAAGAGCGTCGGCGACGTGGGTGGGCATGTCGGCTTCAACAGCAAGATCTATGACACGTTCGAGGTGAGAGATAATGGAGGATAGAGATGCCGTTGACTAAGTCAGAGTCAGCATATGTATATGTCCCAATGATAGTGGTGCTTCCACATACTTGAAGGACCGAATTCATGTAGCACAATGTCCCACTGAGATTGACCATCCCGGGGAAGTGCTCCTTACTCCCGCCTAATGACGTTTAGCAAGCTGAAAGCTCAATTCATTGCCGACTCACTGGGAACGACAGCAGACGGCTCAGCCCTGCGTCTTTTTCTTTTCACCTCGGGTTTCGCTTGCTCTGCCAGTTCGTGCTCATTCTTTTGCACACCGCCCCACCAAGTTGATAAACCAAGGACCATATCCAGCGCTATTAGATATAGTTGTCCAAATAGTGACAGACACGCAAGGTAGATCCCGTTCAGATGAAAAGGCGTATTTGCTGTGTTTGATAAGGGTCTGAAACGATTATTTGTTGGGAGAGCTTTTGATACAGGGTGGGCAGACCAAGAGTCGATCGAGCTAGCCGAGCTCTCGTCGTCAGTCTCTATTCCTGTGTCCTCAATATCGGGGACGACAGGCTCAAGAACTGGGGTAGATTCTGGTTCTGGCTGGTTTTCAAATTTTCCCGCTTCAGGTGTGGGTAGACTTTCTTCAAGTGCCGAGGTATGCGCTTTAGAGGGCTCTGAGCGTGGGCTTTCAGTAGCGCTGTCCTTCGTCCTGTTGTTGCTGTTGTTTTTCGATTTCCTTGAGCGGGGAATGGGACGCCGTTTACCCATTTCACCCTTGAGCTTGGTGCAGGGTGCGAGAAAGAGGGGATTGTCGGTAGAAAAGCTGTCTGAAACGAAAGTCTGGGGTAGGAGATGATGATGCGCCGCAAAGTGGAGGCACGCTCGCTGTTAGTGTTACCTTCAGTTCTTGGCTTCTTGTCGTTGATCAGATCCGTATGAATCACTCAATTCACGATGGCATCTTCACCCGACGATGCTAGACTACAGAATGCAAGGGAGACCATAGATTGTGAGTGCATATCCTTTCATGGTCGGCACGCACAGGCTGACCTGTTTCAGCCTTACATGACCTTTCGCAGCTGCTGCAAACCGGTGAGTCCACCGCCCCCAATTGACCTGTGGCTGAGTGATGCATGACTAGGGCTCGACAAGAACACTCTTTCGATATGCGTTGGTATGATAGAGCAAGGTGCTAATCCCGATACTCTCGCGGTAAGTTTGACGTCGACGCGACGCGTCGCTGATCATGTACTTGTACATCCAGGCCGTCGTGCGGGAGTTGCGTAAGGAGAAGGAGGCGTTAGATGCTCAAAAGGCATAGTCCAATCACGCAGCGGGGTACTGAGCCTCGGATTCCACTTGTATGTCATCGATGTACACATATAGTAACGCCAAAGCAGTCCAGAACTTATTTGGCACATGGACTGCGTAGAATTGTTCGTCAAACATTACTTGCATATACGGTTTCTTCGAGCGTGCTTGACGCTCAATTCTTTTCCACACTAATTTCTCTTGGATCCTCCCACGGCCAAAGTCAAGGTAGAAGGCAGTTTAGTCTCGCCAATGGTGTACAGAAGAGCGATACTACCGCCAGCCAGCCCCAACAAGAGTAATGTCGAGAAGATTAGGATGATGAAAGACCTGCAAATCAAATCAGCTGCCGCATCAAAGATGCACTTGAGGATGAGGCTTACGTAGAATAGTCATCCTTCTGGCATTCCACGCCAGCATAACCACCCCTGCACTTGCACCCCCAGCACTCTGTCCCGTCTTGGGCACTCTTAAGGGCACAGGCCCCTCGACCGTTGCACGAGGTAGATTCCGAACATGTCTCGTTAGAGGTGTAACATGCGGCCGCAAGCGTGGTGTTGGACTTGACAGTTAGGGAAGTGAGAGGGATGGTGGATCGGGAGATGATACGCTTAGAGGATGCAGGACGAATGATGAGTAGCAGGGGAGGAGAGCCGGGGGAAGTCATCTTTGAACGCATGAGTCATGTATTCCATTCGCGATAAAACACTCACAGATTCGAGGCCAGCCTGAATGGTCTGCCTGCCGGTCTCCCAAGCCTCGCCATTCTTCTGGGCGCTTCTGAGACCAGTTATCCTGGCAGCCTCCCATGGGTAGCTGCCATCTCGGCTAGTCAGAGACAACGAGTCGGAGAGAGCGGTCAATCCAGCGAGCTCTTGCGAGAGGACCTCTGACGCCTCTGCAAACGTTCATGTCAGCTCGAGTCGTCGAGGTGCGCGAAATGACGTACTGGTACCAGCGACATTCCACAAGTCTTGGAATGTTTTGGAAAAGGCGGGGAAAGCTTCGATGACATGGGCGAGGAAGTTTCTGGCCTCGTGCATATAAGGCTCAAGGAGGTGATGCGATTGCACATTGTCCTCGAGATAGAATGTGGGGTTCGACGACAGGGATGCAGGCAGGACATCTGAGACGATATGAGTTAAGATTCAGGTTGAATCAGCCTTGTAGAATTACCTTGTGCATCAACGCCCCCGTCAATCACGACAACCTTCGCTTTGACACCCTCGTCGCCTTCCCAAAGGCCCATCAGGTGTGCCCAATGACTCTCATCTTCTGGGATTTCGTCAAAGTCTGAGATATCCTGCTTGAGATGGTGGCTCAACACGGCCTTTGCTTGGTTATATGATAAAGTCGGCGGGCTAGCATGGCTAGGTGGCAACGCCGTCTGGGGGGCGGGATGGAGATAGACTTGAAGGTGTTCTTGGGCCGAGCGGGCGTAGGAGAGAGGAAGGAGGGCGGCGGAGAGGGTGGCAAGGACTGGGATACGCATGGCGGCGGCGGGGTGTGCTGTATGCTGCTTCCTTGCGCGAGTCGCGGGGCTGCAGCAGATGTAGTGGCAGAGCAGAGAAAGGAGTCCACGCAGCGCGGGTGGTGCAGCCGGCCATCACCGATCTCGACGGCCGCGGGGGGCTTCATCCTATTGATGTGGTATCGCGACAATACACGGATCGTGAATATGCTCATGCATGACGGACTCTGAGAATGAACATGAAATTGCAATGATTAATTATGGACCTCCTGCCCCTCCGTGCCGCCCCCGTCAATCTGCTGACATGCCATTACGATATCTGGACTTTGATTAACCTCAATTGCGTCCTCCTTCGTTTCCTCACGCTTGACCGTCTCCTGCGGCAGCGTCGCTTGCCCCAGATGCTCGCCATCACCGCGACTACCCTCTTCAAGCTTCACTCTCTTTGCGGTGTCCCCTTCGTACTGAGCATCCTCCGCTTTACGCTTTGGAGGGGTTTGTTCATCGGCTGCAGTGGCCGCTGGACTAGCACTAGATGAAGTCCGTCGATTGTTGTCACCCTTCAATCTCTTCATAGCAGACGTTTGCTCAGCTCGACAGGTAGCGTGGTAATGCTACCCATTCGTCAGTGCCTGCGTAGAGGATAAAAAGGCACATACCACTTTGTTGATGATCAGAGCATTTCTCCAAACCCACTCCTCTTCATCTTCCGACCATTCTGCTTTGAATGCCTCTTTGCAAACGGGGCACACGGATGCCTTCTTTGAGTCCTGAGGCGCTGGAACCCACCTCTGCCGCAGTTGTGCTAATCGCTCGGACGAAATGGCCGAGTTTTCCGTCTTGGTCGCCTGGTCCGACACAGCTGGAAGCTCGACAGCATTCTTGATCCATTCCTGCACAAACATTAATGGGTGATCATTACAGATGATCGGCAACTTACTTCAACTCGTGGCAGCCACTTCCTATGGGCTCCTCTTCCACCCGTCTCACGCTCCTGTCGGTTTCTTCTGAAATGCCAGTCCATGTGCGCCTTGGCGGCAGCATTGTCAGAGGCAAACCTTTCGCCACATTGATTACATTGGTGAGGAAGGTGGTCAAAAGAAAGTCGATGAGGGCTTATATGCTAGTCAGATCCGTGACGTCTGCTACCGATGTTGGACTTACACATTCAAGTTCAAAGATTTCAATCTCGTATCCATACCCAGAATGAGATCCTCATAGGCCTCCAAGCTCGACTTGACCGGCGGCACAGGTGTAGTAGAGAGGGGGACCTCGGGCGTCCTCGGCTGACTACCAAGCCCCGATTTGTTGAGCGTTTGAAGAATCTTGGCAACATCGACGGGCAGATTGGGGATAGGAGCAATTGGTGCTACAACAGGTGCTGCAGCCACCGTAGCCGGTGGAAGCGACGGTGTCGTAGAGCCAGTGGGTGGGATAGGCGTGTTGAGATGAGGCGCTGGAGGAGTAGAGACCACCGTAGAAGGGGTGGGGAGGGTGGGAGCGAAAGGCGGACGGACAGGCGGTGGCCAGCTGTTACCGGTACTTGGCAGTTTAGGAGGGAATGGTGGCAGCGATGCCGGTGGTGCGGACGCAGTAGGGGCGACCCCCCAAGCTGGCGTTGAAGGTACGGGAAGCGGGGTAGGTACAGGCGGCCGCGGTGCAGCAGCCATAGACTTTAGCTGGGCCATGATAGCACTCAACTCCTGCGGCGAGATATTCGAGGTATTGAGTAATTCGCCGATACCCTGCAATGCATTCATCTGGATCGCGACTTGTCCATCTGCAGGTCTCATCGCTAGCTCTCGACGCTTACCATCCAGCGTAGCATTGAGTAGAGACTGAACCTGCTGCCGGCTAGGCCCCGCGGAACTGTTGTGATATCCAGCAGCTCCAAAGAGCTCTCGCTCAACTTGGTCTCGCACACCCGCCCCATAGAGCTCAGACCCGTTGGGGCCACCATTTCGCCACAGTCCGATCATCTCTTCCATCTTGGCTTTTGTGACCCCGTCAACTTCGCGATAGGTACGGACGTAGAGTCGGGGGATAATAGGGGGAAGAAGATGTGTCGTGTATGGAGATCCAACGTTTTTTGAGACGGAATCCAAGAGATAAAGCAGCGGAAGCTTCTGTGTAGGCGGAGCCTGCAAAGACGTCAGCAACTTCCCAGAGGTTGGTGGTGAATGTCCTCCTCTCGCAAGACCTACCCGAAGCACAGCCATCTCAATCTCTTCAACCACAATCTGCATCCCTTCCCAATCATTGCGATCTCGAGCTGCCAGCGCAAGCATGGAAAGATCTTGGATAATGGGTCTCGAGTTGAACGTAAGCGCCCTCAACCTATCTGCATATTGCCTCCGAAACAAATCAGCAGGAGGCTGAGTTGCAACAGGTGGCGGGTAGTAAGGTGCTTGCTGATAGGCAGGGTAGGAAGGGTACGCCATTCTGGTGGTGATTCGGCAGAGAATGAGGATGTGGATTACAAAATAATAACGGTTAGAAGGTTGATTGCAATCCAGTCTCTCGTTACAGAGCCGCAGTGAGCCACTGGGATACGGAAACGGATGACAAAGATGCTGTTTCAGACAGGAAAGTAAAGAGCACGGGGATCTCTCACGTCCTAAGGGTACCTATGACAGATACTGCGTCTCGGACGTCTTCTTGTCTGAGTATGGGTGTGACAAACAACAAACAGGCCTCTAAATCAGAAGAAGCGTTACGTGGCGGCATTACAGCCCTGCGGTGTTATCGCAGTGTGGTGGCGGCGAAGACCGCCGAAGACCGCCGACGACCGCCTGGCCACCTGGCCATGACTTTCTTTGTTTGGCGATCGCGTTTTGTATTCTGCTTTTGAAACCCAAACAGTGCGGTGCTGAGGCAACATGCCGTAAAGAGGGTAAAGTATATATACTCGTCATCAAGATCGTCCAACCTCGGTAACCTGCCACCATCAGCGATGAGCAATGTCTTCATTGCCCATGCAAACATCCTGGAATGAGCATTTCACGAGTAGAGGTCGAATGTTGTAGCCCTAGGCGTCACAGATCACAGAATAAGATCCAGAGTATCGTTCGTCATGACGACCTTCGCAGCTCGCGTGAGTCACCCTACTCCGGGACTTGAGCGGTGCTAGCTACAGAGTTGTGATGATCGTGGGGATCGGTCAGACCAGACCGTAAAAGGCAGGCTATCATTGAGGATATATTCCGCCGGTTATTGTATACCGAGAAGCTCATGAACAGGGTCGACCCGGCCGACCCGGCCTCGAACGCATTCAGAATCATCAGTGCCACCCAACCTCGCTCCGGTGTCCATCTCTGAATTGAAGAACGTCCGTAAATACATATATCTCCCTGCAAACTTATCACCCATGATCTGTGGCTTATACCATAGTCATTCTATAAAATGTCTTTGAGTTGACATGAACAGGGTGAAGACTTGGCTCGCGTTCATCATCGCAACATGTTGATTCCATCTTTCATCAAAGAACCTTTTTCGGGGCCGAATATTTGCTTGTCCCTCATGCTGAATATGAAAGCAAGTCTTCAGGCTTCAAGTAAGGTAACCTTGCCCGTGGGTACAGGATCTCGCGATTCTCCGGGTTGGGAGCTAGATACAAAGCCGACAAGTACCTTGAGCAGCGTCTTGGCGATCTTGGTGAAGCGTCCTTTCCTCCATCATGGCTTTATCCGGAGATAACAACCCAACCGTGCTTTGCAGATCTCTCGGAACGTGCAAAATTCAGTGGCCGAGTGCCCTCCTCCGGCCGAGAAACTACGGGAGCGTTGGCTGCATGGGGACGATGGAGAGACCACCAGCTACACCAGCTATCAACGTTATCATCTGCCTGCCGGCATTTTCTATAGACAGGTACGAGGAACAAAGACTGTTCTTTTGTATCTAATTGTACGATAGAGTATCGTACATGCGAGCGAAATATTCTGATCTTTTCTTCATTGTTGTCAAATTTGTAGTCAAGAGCATGTAAGTGTCAAAATTCAGGTCTCGTTGCCGAATCGCGGGTCGCGCGCTTACGTGCTTCTTCCGGACTGTGGCCCCCATTGCTCACCAGGATCACCTGTAGGCCGTAGGTCAGCATCACCAGCATACGGCCGTAAGCTGGGCTCTGTATTTGTAGAGGAAGACGGGCTCAGAAAAAAAAAAACTTATTCGTGACATCTAAGATGGCCAATGAGACGGAGGCAACACGTTCGAGTTTGACTCTTATGGGTACTCTTGTTTGTGACAGTCATCTGCAATCGGCGTTCGTCGCGAAGCACGATGTCACTGATCACTGATAAATGATGATCTGAGCATCGATCATATCTTACGCCATGATGACAAATGATGATCCGTGGGCCGTGGAATAGACTGAGATCTGGAAGAAAACTTTTTGTGACTTCGATTCGCGAAGCAAGAGAGTACGACGCGCAGGTACAGAGCTCGGCCTCAATCACAACTGACAAGAAGGCCCACATCTCCTTCTCTTGCAGTAGCGGTCTTTCACAGCACGTCCATGTTCGCATAGAAAGTGTAAAAGCACATATATGAGGGACATTCTTAGGCAAGAACGTTCTGTCTGTGCGGAAGACTAGTACCTGGGTAGGGGGCTGAGGGCAGGGCCAAGGGACACTGCCTCCAGAACAGACTTGCACTTGTAGGTACAGGCTGAAGCAGATCATCTAGAAATCAGAGAGTCTGGTTGAACTTTCTCTTCCTCCCGCTCTCTCCCCGCTGCCGCGCTTGTTGCTGCAGTCGGATGCCCGACGATCACTCTTCATGCCAGATTTATGCTCTTGATCTTACTTTCTCAACCACACGGGCAACAGCACATCTCCATGGGGATGCTAGAAACATGGTTGCGGCATCGGCACGAGATAAACCGCGGGCAGGGGGAGAGGACGGCCGATAGTAAGGGTGGGAAATGTCGGGCTTGCAAATTCAAGAGTCTCAGAACGACCGGCTTATCCGTCCTCAATCGGCGACTGAAGCATGACAGTGATCGGTGAACAGTCTACATATCCTCTTCTATCCTTTGCTGGGAGCTCGACCCCACCCGAACCCATTACATGCATGCACAAGTATCCTCCTTGACTTGGAGGTCCTTGCCTGATGCCATGAAGCTTGGACTGAGGTACCCGCAACACCTGCACGCCGAGTACGCCGAGTACGCCGACTTGTGTATCGCGGCGCCAATGACTCGACACTTGACAGCAACCGACATCAGACATCAGAAATGCTTCATCAAGACGTAAGCGGAAACACGCGGGAGTGCATAGGGCAAGCTGGTCACTCACCACTGATTGACTCTAAAGCATCCATAGCAAGCCCGACATCCCATTGTCGGGTTTTAAAAAAAAGCGTCTCGGGTTAGAGGGCAGACGACGACAACGACGATCAAAATTTTGGAAGATGCACGCGAGTACAGCAAGTCCCAAAACATCAATGGGGACGGCGGAGGAGCTGAGACGATGGGGAAAAGAGATTGGGAAAGAAGGGATGTGAAGGCTCGAAGAAAGAATTGGGCTCGAGCTGCTGAAGGCAAGAGAGCTGCAACGCCGGGCGATTAGAAAGAACCCAGTCGTAGTCCAGAGAGAAGTGGAGAGAGAAGGGGCATCAGTGGTTCAGTCCGACCCTAGGCTCCACCCTAGCTACGAACGTCAACCAATGACCCATTCATCGGGGAGATGGGCGCCCTGGAGGAAGCTGGCGGACCAAGTGAGCGACAGGCAGCTCCTAGCTACGGACTTAAGGCGGACAATATATGTATGGACATCAAATAGTTAGAAAAATTAGAAAACTTTCAAATAGCAAGCGAGATACGTACGTACGTAAACCTGAATGAAGCCCAACATCAGTCCCAAAAACAATCTCGCATGGGCGGGGGCCGCGGGGATTGGGGATGTACATTTCTTGTCTTGGTTGCTTAGTGCATGTATGTAGGCCTATTCAGAAGAATTAATAGGCCGGCCGCATAGCTAAACGGACCCTAAAGCCGCGCCGTGCGGCGTGCCGTTTTCACTCGCTTTGATTGTGTGCTTTGGGACCTGTTGCATTGACCCGTTTACCTCTGCGCTCTGCGCTCGCCCCTCTGCCAGATAACCGTGCCACCATACGGGGCTGTCACGCATTGAATCGGGCTTCGGGACGGGAGAGCACAGATCTCGCCTCATCACTCGTCTCCCTTTTCCATTGCCCCGTGTTCATTGCCCGCTGAGCGGTGATGCAGAGATATCCGCTATCCGCTATCGGCTTTTCACGACTTCTCTAATGATGAATCTATACAAGAAGGTTTCAACTTATGTCACTTGTATGCATTTTCATGGGAACGGGACTTGAGATCAAATGAGATCTGCCTGATACATAGGCCTGACCGGGATGAGATGAGATTCTGAGTCGCATTATCATAACCGGTGGGGCCGGTGGCCGGTGGAAGGTGACGAGGCGGTGGTCGGAAAAACAAAGCTCGTTAGTTCCCAGTTCTCAATTTTTAAAACAATGCTTGCACCAAGCATTTAGAGCAAGAAAGTTTATCCTGAAAGCCGAGTGGGACCGCCGGAACGATCCTGAATTATTTGCATCCACTCACCAATCAGCACTCACCAGCTGCACTACCCGGCCACCCGCACTCACCACCCCAAATAACGTTCAACGTTTATTCTCCCGGCGTTCTGTGCTCTTCTTTTGTCTTTCTTTCTGCAAACTGTGTCGCGAAAGATGTACATGTCTTGTGACGTACAAAAAGGTTCTGCAATGCCAGAGTTTGATCCAAGAAACTTCAGGTAGACAGCCAACGTGGCGCTGTTTGCGCTACGTGAGGGGGCGTAACGGTTCTCATGAATGGTGTGGTCATTCATCATTCAATTCATCAGCGTCAGCAGAGAAACCAAGTCAACAAGCTCCTCCCGTTCACCTTTTCTAGGCGTGTCGAGTAGCTCGTCCACATACCCGTCGCCAGCTGCGCTAGGTATATGTACTAGCAGTCAAGATCATGACAATTGGAATGTTGTTGATTGACCCACATCAGAAGTGTGGCCGGCCACATAAGGCCTAACCATAACCAGAAAGATCAACTGGGGTGACAGATAGGCAAATAGCGAAAACTGTCTGGTCATACGCGATAGCTATAGGTCAACGGTAATAGTAGTAACCAGGGGTCATGTCACCAGTGGCAGACTGACTCGGCGTAAATAAATGTATCCACTTTCTTGTGCCCATGCATCGTGTGAGCCGTGCGGCACCTTCTAGACTTGCCACGCACAAGCGTTTGCTCGGGTCGCTCGCTCTCCCACCATGATGAGACCATTGCGCCATCCCTTTTGTTCACATGGATCCGTGCAACATTGAGCCCGGCACTCCGAGACGTGGAAGGCGGGAGTCGAAACTCGAAAGTATATAGCTTGCATGATAGCCTCGGTACCGTGGTCTATTCCGAACATACTTGTATGTACTCCTTCTCGGCGAAATCATCGGTGTATGTACGGTCCCACCCAACATGTCCCATGTGAAACATGAACAACAAGCGCCGAGGTGGATGTTTCGCAGAGTACCCGCATGCCGGCTCCCGGATGAAGTCATCCAACGCTGACAGCTATGCTCGTCGCCGCTGGAGGCTGTGTCGCTGGTCGCTGGCGGCTGGGGCTGACGTTGGGCACGGATAAACAGCGGGATGAGAAGAGATGATGGATCAAGCGGCCGCAAGCGCGCTGGAAAGCGAAGAGTACTCGTAATCAATCCCGAAGGAAAGCGAAAGCGGGGGGCTCCGCCACATGGCAGCGACTACGAAGGCGCACGTGGCGATCCAGGGCGCCAGGTCCCAGTTTTCATGTTCCCATCCCTCCTTCGGGCCTTCTTTTGGTTCTATTATGTACGTTAGCCGGCGATTGATCATGGATCTGTTCTATTGTTCGTCAGGGCCGCCCGATTGAATTCGAGTTTTGGCGGTTTGTGTTGCTGGGGCTTTTGAGGGGTCCGTATGGTTCGGAGGTTTAACTGGTTACTCTTATGGGAAGATGCTAAGGGACGGATGCAACAGGGTCGCCGAATCCTGGCTTAAATCCCTCAAGGCCCGCGAAAACTGGGAGAGCTCCCAGCACCACCTCGCCACGGATTCAGCGGAGTCCCCTCTATCGCCCACCGATGCAATACCCGAAGCTCTATAACATGATTCGGACCTCCTAGCCGAATCCGGGGTCTGCGAAATCGGTGGAACCACTTGCAGCCAGTGAAAGACCATGCAATCGTTTAAAAGACCGCTGCTCGACTCGAGCCGCCCCTTCCGTCTTGTATCTTGGCATCTCGATCCGTATTCACACAAACAGCAAACGCACAGCCCGCCACCCGCCACATCCTCCACCACCGGCTCTCATATCAACACTCCCCTCGGCGTCTATACCTCACCGCCCGCCCGCCCCCACGCACACGCCCCCATCAACAAGTCGTCCGACAACTCCTTCCTCGAGTCAAAAAGCTGTCGATTGTCCTTGTGACCAAACCATCAGCAGTCGCACCGCATTCGTGCCGAATAGTGAGCATTCTCTTTCCTTTGGGGTACCCAGATTTGGTCGGGTTTTTTTTCTCCTTGCGGGTGCCATGTGTGGCGGGCAAAAAGGGGGCGGGGGCCTCCTGCATGCGTGTTGTTTGGCCACACGCCGCTAAGCACAGTGACACGCCGTGGCGGGTGATGACAACACCTGTCCTGTCTGATCCGCGCATGGTGGCGCGGGTTGTGCTTGTTTCATCATCGTGCGGCGGGGTGTGCCGTGGTCCGCGATGAGTGCGGGCTGAGCGAGGGTGCATGTACTGTGGGCAATCGCGGCGTACGGCAGGGGTACGCAGACTGCATACGGGATACCAGAGACGCAATACGGCGGATATGGGTACGTATGGGGATTAGGTTCATGGAGCCAGCGCGCGACGCCACCGTCATGCACGGATATCGGCTTTGCGACGGGACGCATTTCGCATGTGTGTGTGTTTCCCCACCCAGCACCCTATATCACTCCGGTCTTTTTCCCATCCCCTTCTCATTGTCCTTGTTGCCTGCCTGCCTGCCCTTGCTTGCCCCCATTTCCCTCCGCCCGCCCTGCCATGCCCCGCCTCGTCCGTCACCCACCATATAACCAGCCCGGCGCTGACTCTCCCATAGCAGTTCAGAAAACCCTCCGCGTCCACGCTACACCCCCCGGACCCACAGCCCCAGCGCGTATATCCAGCCAGATCCACCTCCTATAACGAGGCATTCCCAGCCCCAAAGCCACAGCCACCCGCCCGCGTCTCCAACATGTCTGCCCCCGTCCCCGTCTACCGCCACACCTCTGCCTCTCCCCCCTCCTCGTCGAGAAAGGCCGTCAAGGCCTGCGCCACCGCCACTGCCTCCTCATCGAGACCGCCCACGCGGTCAGAGCAGGCCTTCCATGGTCACGAAGAGACCGCTGTGATGGCTGCCCGATTCGTACGTCCACCCATCCTTTGCCTGCGTCCCTCGCTTATGCGTCATGACAGATCACTTCATTGTTTCAATGTCCCAATATCCCCTCCCCCACCGCGCCCGGCGCACCCACACCCACCCTTGCCCACTTTGTCGACTATGCGCTGCATAGAACACGCCTCCCCTCTGTCGTCACCTTTGCCGCTCTCCTCCTGCTCCAGCGCCTGAAAAAGCGCTACCCTGCAGCCCGAGGATCGTCCGGCCACCGACTGTTCATCTCTGCATTCATGATTGCATCCAAAATCATCTGCGACGATACCTACTCGAACCAGTCATGGGGCATCGTCGCTCAAAAAATGTTTGCGCTGAAGGAGATCAACCAGATGGAGCGAGAGATGTGCGGCTACCTCGAGTGGAATCTCAACTTTGACGAGCGGGAGATGGCGGACTTTGAGGCCTCCACTCGCGCCGCGCACGGCCCCGAGGCTGTCGTCCGCGCCAGCTCTGGTTCTTCTGGCAGGTCGGAGGCATCCTTCGTGGCCCCTCCCGCCAAGTCCTACCCCACCCCCGAGAACACGCCCAACTCCCAGGTGTCTACCCGTCCCATCCGCCCCGTTCCCTCGCCATACAAGACACGGGTCTACCAGCACTCTCAGGCTTCTGCCGCTGCTTTTCCTTCCCCTCCTCCCTCCCCTTCACACGGCGAGCCCCCTTATCTGAGCTCGGCAAACTCGTCCCTTCAATCCTCTCCTGCGTCTGACGACTGCAAGACCCCTTCCCCCGTGGCGGTCACCGCGACCAACCGGCGCCCTCATCCTCATGTCAAGTCGTTTGACATGACCAAAGCTTTCGAAGTTTCTTCATATGATATCAGGAGGCAAGGAGGGGACGACGGGATCGTTGTGTGGTAATCTTGAAAATCAATCTTAAGGGGGTCTACGATCTATTGCATCGGGGTAGAAGTCATCACATAATATAGTCGCATCTGTACATAACCATACTAGCATCTTTTCGTTGTACCTACATCAGCTCTTGGGCTTATACATTACTGAATGTACACCAAATTCGGACTTTCACTGTTTCGCTGGCTCGTCGATCATCGTTTGCGTCACGGGTACTCTGCGGGACCTGCAACCTGCAACTTAGGCGGAAATGTGAAATCCCTCAGCCGTATTGGGGATCTGCAGAAGCGAGTATACGTTGCTCATGAGACATGCTCCAAGCCGCATGCATCATAGACGCAGCCGCGTACAAATTCCGCCCCAAGGATCCATGGAAATTCTGGAACATCTAGCAAATCATATCGCTCACTTCATATGCTTCTCCAAACCGCCTCTTTTTTTAGTGGCCCCAACCCTCTCTCCACACTCTCCAACACGTCTCCCGTTCATCTTCCCGCTTACTCTGCGCTGTGTCATCCGGTGGCTGTCGGCTGTCCTCCTGCAACAGCGTCTATCCGCACAAAAGACTCGTAAGGCTTGCGCTCCACAGCGAGCCTCCTTGTCCTCGCTCTGTAACGCTTGTCTCGACCAGGTCCATCATCGATCTGTGGGCGTATATCCGTTACCGGTCAGCAGATGCACCAGACGAGTTCATGCAGCGTTCAAAGGCCGCTGCAGAAGAACACCAACCGTCACGTCACGTCAATTAAATGATGCATTCCCTCCTGCTCCCCGCCTCTTTCCAGCAGTCTGGTAAGCCGAACAAGAGCGAACGATGTTGACTACCCACTTTCATGATTACATCTGCCGGTATGCACTGGCCATCGTTCGTAACCAGTTTCCGAAGGTCATTGAGCGGGAGTATCGATGATATGGAAGTATCCAGCGATGGACGGCGTTCTCGGGCCAAGATGCAATCTACTCTACGTTCATTCTGGCACTTTCCCAGGCGACGACTCGTTTCTCCTCTTGGCATCCTACATGCCGTTTGATATCCACATACCATATATCGGCATGGAGGCGGCTGTCTAGGTCTGGGGGGAAAAGAAGGTTTGTGGGAATCAACCGTCGTCATGCCGTGCGCTCTTGTGGAAAGCCGATGTTATTGGCCGATATTTGTCTCCCTCTGGGCGTGGTGGCTTGTGACCTTGCAAGGTAGTAGTACATACATATGAGCGATCGCCGAGTCCCGATGATACACTTTGGCTGGAATCATGTTGTGCGTCAGAAACGCACACGGGCGTCGTGGGCGTTTACGTCCTTGCCATACGCAACTCAAAAGCTTCCGGCGTATGCACCAGAAGACATGCTTTGCATGTCATACGATACGTTGTACTACATTGAGGTCGCCCATAGCCGAGAACCCGGCAGCGTGTGGCTGTCGTACTGCAGCATCACTCTTCGAGCCAGTTAGATGGTCAGCTATCGGTCAACCACTGATCTGGACTCGGGATCATGATGTCGACTCTCTAATGTGTCACGTAATGATGAATTACTGATCAATGATGTTGAGTGGGCCCTCTGACTATGTGGTGCGCCGTGGCAAAGATGCTTCTGAACCGCATTCTTTCGCATCCTTCTGATTCATGTATAAATCAGCTCGCCATGTCAAGTCTGTGTCCGCCTGGGCTCGGGGGCTTTCGATAACGGCATCGCTCGTCGGTCCATATCTACTCGGGAAGGCATCCCATCTATCACGGGCCCGGACCTTTCTCCGGGAAAGCCCATGTTGTCATGGTCCCTTGCTTCATGATGGAGAAACTGGAAAGGGGTTGAGCCACATCGCTTGGGTTATAAAGACAGCAACCAAATCGCATGTGTTTCAATGACAGCAAGCGCTTGACGGTCCCGTACGCTCCTAGACAAGAGAAGAAGGAATTCTCGGTGACCCGAGACTCCGCATGTTTGCCATCCTTAGCTTTTCTGGAGAAGATTCCAACATGCTGCCTTTCGCAAGGCCCAAGGATAGTGCACGAATGCCTAGCTCTGCTTATCGCATCGCTCACATGCAGAGATAAGACATGACGGGTATACGAGTTCATACTTACAACAACTCCCGAGGACGCCCGAGGAGTAAGACTACCCCACCGCCACCGCCACCGCCACCCACTCCTCACGCCACAATCTCCTTCATCGCGTAAGACATCCAAGAGACAGGTTACCACCTCGAGGCGATTTCCGGACGAGGAGACGCGAGGTTAGGGGCAGAAGCTGTTTCAGGTGTTGGGTCCGGTTTCCGGTATTCCACCTTGTCGACTTTTACCTAGGTTGAGTGTTAGCATTTGTTCCCAGGGGTCCTGCTCGATGTCGTGTGACAGTGGTTATAATCAAACCCACTTCTCCGTTTACAAGCTGATAGATATATGTCACGATGACAGGGCCCTGCACGTCCATTAAGGCGAAAGACGGTGTAACTTCACTGTTGGGGCATGAGTACGTGCAACACATCAAAATGAGTCAAAACTCACCCGTTCCATAGACCGCTCCAAGCGCCCGTGGCTGATCCGGGATTCACAAAGAATCGTCCTTCAAACTCGAAAGACTCGAAACTACAGATATCCCGTCAGATACCATCGCTTTCTCCTTTCCTCGTAGGCGCAATCCGCAGGTGTCACGAAGCATTCGTCGACTTACCGATGCGTTCCTCCACTGACCACGACGTCCACATCCATCTGTCTAGCAAGTGCTGCGAGCATGTCGGGGTCCCCGGCGGGTACGACTTGTTGACCATGTACGACACCGATGCGGATGGACTGGTGTTGAACTATGAGGGATAAAGGGAAATGAGGATTCTATAGTACATTGATCAGCATCGATACGTCTTGCAGGAGGACCAGTACCGACCTCATCAAACTCCCCTCGCACTACTAGCACCTCAGGGGCGATTCCTCGTAGATAGTCGTATGTCTCCTTATCGCAGACATTGCCCGTACATATGATTTGTCCTATCTTTCCGGGCACCTGTACACCCAAGCAAGAGTCAGTATACAAACACATGGAGAGCTTGACAGCTGAAAGCCTATCGCGCTACAAGACATAAGCAAGACCACGGAGACATACCAGCAGTTTTTTGAACTTGGCAGGTAAGTCATGGACGAGATTGGGGATGTGCAGGTCGCCTATGACGAGCACGAGGACCATTGTGGATGATGATATAAGAGATAAATGGGGAAAGCGATATCATGAGTGCTCGACCCGGCCACGGCGAACGCAACGGTGGCGGTGATGTCCGCTTGACGCCATCAACGGTGCGCTATGGACGGGACATGGTGGATGACTCTCGCAACGACACACCATGGCCCCAGCGAGCAACAACCCCCTCGTTATAGAGGAACCCCTCATCAGGGTGCGTAATGCAGCGCAGGAGGAAACCCCGCTCACCCGACTCCTAGACATCCTATGAACTCCTGCGAAGGTCACACAAGTCTGCCCAGAGACAAGTCGAGAAGGACTTTAAAGCTGTAGACGTACGCTTCTACTTTCCCTAGACTGGATAGCACTCACCCCTTGTCAGATCGGTCTATCGAACCTACTAAAGTCTCTGAACGACAAGTCCGCGACCGAAGATGGACGGGCTGCTATCGTTGCCAAGCTGGACCAGATATCCGAGAGGCCGAAGGGGCTGAAGCGGAAGGTCTGTAGTCACACTATATCAAGATTGCCGCTGATATGTGCCACAGCTCGACGATATCCAGCCGTCAAAGGTCAATCCCACAGCTCTGTCGTCCAGAGTGGCATACATGGAACTAGCCCATCCGGGATCTACTAAAGCTTCGGCCAAGAAGAGCAAAGCCAAAGCCGAGGTCGCTGTGGAGCCTGAAGAAGGCGAGTCCTCGAGAGCAGAGGATGCGAAAGAATCCAAGGACGCGATGGAAGTTGACCAGGCAGATGCTGCTACGATGATCAAGTACGTCTCGTGTCCGACAAGTGGCCAATTGCTGATATCATTCCTAGGAATGCAAGCCAAGGCTCTCACCAAGATACGTGCACTCTTGACAGATACATTGTGGACTACCTCCTCAGGAAGGGTAGACTGGAAAGCGCCAAGGCCCTTGCTCAGGCTCAGCACATTGAGGCAAGTACATATGACGTACCTGTACTGACAATATGCTGACTTTGGCACAGGTGCTGGTCGACATTAAGCTGTTTGCTGAGCTTGTCAAGATAGAGAAGGCATTGGTCGAGAATCACTCTTGTGCAGAAGCGCTCGCCTGGTGCGGCGAGAATCGTGGTACCCTTAAGAAAACCAAGGTATGCCTACCACGGCTTTGAGAATGCTGTCCTTATACTTCACAGAATAACCTCGAGTTTACCGTCAGACTGCAAGAGTTCATAGAGCTCTGTCGCAAGCGGGACACTACTGCTGCTGTAGCATATGCTCGGAAGAATCTGTCTAGCTGGGCTGCGACACATATGGCTGATTTCCAGAAGGGTATGACCTTGCTGGTGTTTGGAGAGAGGACTGGAGTGATCGGCTATAGAGTACGTTCGTCATCTCGATCCGTGGCATGGCTTATGCTATGCAGACATTGTACGACCAATCTCGCTGGGAGTCTGTACGAGACCAATTCAGGGAGACATTTCTCGACATTTACGCTCAGCCGTCCCAGCCCCTCCTCTCCCTCTCACTCTCAGCAGGCCTCGCCTCCCTCCGCTTACCGTCTTGTGTCCATCACACCCGTACCACAAGCCATCTTCCGCCCCCCGTTACCGACCCTCACGCCATCCCCCTCCTCCCTGCCGTCCCGCCTCTGCACAACCTGGAATCCATCCTTCTTCCTGTGCACTCCCCTTCTCATCTCACAGCGCCACTTGGGGGCATCCCATCATCCCCAACCGCGGACCTGCACGCACATCCAGAGATGGTAACAGGCAACGTCGACTGTCCGACTTGTGATGAGAACTTGAGAGTACTGGCAAGTGAGGTGCCGATGAGCCACCACGTCAACTCGACTATCGTCTGTCGGATCAGCGGCGAGGTTATGGATAGTGAGAATGGGCCGATGGCGTTCCCGAATGGTTATGTGTACTCTTACAAGGCGAGTGGTAGTTTGTTTCATCGGTACTATAGCTGATAATAGTATAGGCCCTAAAGGAGATGGCCAAGAACAACTTTGATGTGGTGACCTGTCCGAGGACTCGCGAGACATGTGCCTTTGCCAGGCTGAGGAAAGTATACATCTCCTAGCAAGGGAATGACGGGTGTGAAACTGTTCAGTACTGCTTGTTGTACATATGTCTATGCTACAAATATACACTTTTGACAATCACTCGTCACCCTTGCCGGCCAAAACGATCATGTTGAAGTTGACAGCCCCGTCGGCGCGGTCAAAGTATTTCTCTTGGACAACCTTGGCAACGTCCTATCCAAGTGTAAGCCGGATCCTCTCTATGTGTGAGAAGAGCTTACAGGTAAAAAGTTGGTCGACAGTCCTCTATCCAAAGGCCCCGTTCGTCCACCATCCAACTCGACGATCCTCTTCTCCCCATCCTCATTGATAGCCTCAACAAACGCGATAAAGTGCTCCTCGACATTTTCGAGGTCGGTAGGTACACTGGACTGGCCCTCCTGAGCGGCAGAAGTGTGGGCGTCAGAGAAGAACGTGGTCTCGTCGAGGAGTTTGGCTCGCTCGAGTCCTGTGGCACATGAGCGTCAGGGAGACGAAAGGGGTCTTTGACGTACCGGTCAAAGGCAGCGATTCGGCCTTGAACTCAGCGAGCTTGGAGGAAGGATCAACAGCATCGGGGCCCTGCTCAGGAAGGTTCAACAGCGCATGAAGTAGGCCGATCGATCCACAAGCGTTCCCAATCTGCACAACATGTCAGCGCTTTGCCTCGGGGCGCGGCCAGCCCAGCTCGGATGCTTACCGTCTGTTTGATCCACCAAACCCCTTCACCTTTGAATACACCCTCTCCACTAGCCTTGTTCTCTTCCTCCTTCTTTCTCTCTTCGGCGAGCTTGCCCTTGGAAGGAAAGAGGAGGAGGACGGCCTTGTGGGGGCCGGGGATGAAGGTGAGAAAGTCTGGGTCGAGGGAGAAGAGGTCTTGGAATGTGAGAGAAGCGGGAAGGCCGAGTGGCTCGGACCACTAGGTAGATAGTGTTATAGATGACCAACTGGGAAGGACAAGTGGAAACGTACAGCGTTGAACACCTGGGAAGGGCGGGTCAGTACGTACAGGCCGATGGCGGGGGCGGGAGACTTACGTCGGGAGAGGCTTCGAGAGGAACCCACTTGGTAGACATGGCGGAGAGAATGTGGTATGGGGCAAAGACGAATACGTTATGTACTTGTGGGATATGCAGAAGAAGGGAGAGTCAGAGTGAATCACGGACACGTCATGACTTTCCCGACGCGTCACAACCTCTATATCTTCCCTCATTACGACTGGGGACGGTTGGGAGGCACTCGATGCATAGCTCTACTACGTACAGCTCCCCGGGACCCAACGACAACGACACTGAAAGACAGCCGCCCCATCCTGCCGTATCTCAACCAGTTTTAGCTCTTTACAGCTCTGCGGGAGAACAGGAGATACTCTATGGGCACAAAGACGATAACGATAGAGCCCATACTCGCGGCGAGTCTCGCCGATGGATCAATTACAGAAGAAAGAGATATGAAGGCAATCTATGTACATGCAAATGGATGATGGGAGGACGCTGTTCAGGTATGGGCTGTAACAAGAAGGTGGTGATGGATAATTAGGGATGGAGGAATCTAGAGGAGACCACAGTCGCGAAGGTTGACTTGAATGATGACATCGCTGTGCAAGAGTCAATACGTGCGCAAGAAATGATGAATGCACCCACTTGATAGCAGAGATGACGAATTTCAACGCCTTGGTATCTGTCGCGTCTGTATAGTGCGCATAGATACTCTTTGACGGGTTCTTGTTGAGGCCGACAAACTTTTCCAACAAGAAAGCACAGGCCGCATCATAGTTGTTGCCACCCCTGTAATCGGGAAAGGTGTGGTGAAGGGGCGAGACGGGGAGTTTTTCGCGGAAAATGTCAATCTTGTTGAGGAAGAGAATGATGGAGGTTTTGGTGAACCAGCGAGAGTTGGCGACCGACTCGAAGAGAGTCATGGCTTCTTGCATTCGGTTGACCGTTTCATCTTCGTAGAGCTTTTGGTCGTCTGCGGTACATCAGCGAAAGTGACTCATGATGGATGGTTGAGGCGTACATTCACTGATGGCGATCAGAAAGACGAGCGCGGTAACAGAGTCAAAGATGTTGAGCCACTTTCGTCGCTCGGAACGCTGACCACCGACATCGAAAAGCTTGTATGTGAGTTCACCGATCTTGAAATGCGTCTCGCTATGTCTGCGTCAGTTGGGGCTTTCACTATCCAGTTGGTGACTGACGTGATACCTGTCGTCTTGACACGAGCTCTCAAGATATCCTGGTCGCTGGGCGTGTAGTTGGGTTGGGCGATTCTCGCGATGGCTTCAAAGTAGCTGACGCGGTGTCAGCAGGTACTCGAGGTAAAAATTCCAAAGGTATGCTCACTATGGCGCCGAATCGTTCAACTGCAGCTCGTTCCTCCTGCCAAACGCCTGCTGCACACCCCGATCCGCCCAAAGCCCAGACACGGCATCGGTCAGCTTGGCCGGGAAGACGTCGCCCTCGATCTGGGGTGGCGCGGCCATGATGAGGTCCCATCGGGGCTGGTTTGAAGGCTCGATGGCGATTTCCATGAGCTGGACACCCTCGAGGAGCACACGCATAGACTGGACAGTGTTGGAGTAGACGATTTCCCTGTAAGAGTCGCGTTCTTCGGCATCGTACGGCCTGCGGGTGGGGTCGGTCAGCATTGACCACCTGTGCTCTCGGCTAGCGCATCCCTCACTTGTTGTAGATCAGACGCATCTGCTTGAGGACGGTGGACTTTCCGGATTCACCAGCACCGAGGAGGAGCATCTTGATCTCATTCCTGAGGTCTGCGCGGTCTCGCTTGAGCTGCTCGTCGATTTCGGCGCTCCCTTCAGAGGGTCGTCAGCAAGAGGGGGTGGGGGAGGGGAGGGTGGAGATGGAGGGACGTACTGGCCTTGGCGGCCGAGTCTTCTGTAGATTGCGCGCAGCCCATGGTGGATGAGGTGGAGTGAAGGAGCGACTGGTTGGGACGGAATGGAGATGGAATAGAAAGAAAAGTGAGATGGCTGTGATCAGTGAGCGCTGTGTATATGAAGGCCCATGCGGAGAGTCGCAGGCAAAGGATGCAGCAGCACACAGCGCCCGGACCGCCGGATCACTTACCCTGGCGCGGGGGTGCTACTGTAGAGCAGGGCGGGGGGGCTATAAGGGGAGGAGGGGTATATATATGCAGGGGGTGGCGAGCAGCGGTGGTTGCAGTGTTTCAGGTCACCGTCGCGAGGGGCACAGAACAATGGCCAGCTCACAGGCACAGGCACGTTCCTGGAACCATACTTTCCAGCTGCATCGTATGCATCCCTGCATCACTGCCCACCTCGTCCCCGGCACCCCCTGCACATCCACAGAGCCCGAGAAAGCAGGACAGCAAGAGCATGATTGCCAGGTGATGTACACTGAGATCCCCCTTCAGACGCCGATCAATGGCCAGGCACGCGGGTATGTCCCCTTCTGGTACGCCTGTTGTTCCCATGCTTATTCCCTGTCTCCTATCCTGTCGTCGCCACAGTCATATCTATATAGGTGTGTGCAAAGACTCGGAATGCATCTCCAGATCTGCTGAACAAGCTATGGACAGGTCATTCTCACACTGCGCAAAACACAACTCTTTGCTCCTACTCTCAGTTGAAAGAGCAAAAAGCTCCCTCACCAACAGATACGCTTGACCTTACAGCTGACTATAGGTGAAGCAACGACACATACCTGTACGTTATAGGTTTCTTAGCTCTCTTTCCCCTTACCTTTCTCCCTCCGCCCGTTCACCTCATCCACATCACCTTCCCCGAGACGCTTCTCTGTTTCCCTCTGCGCAGCCTGATAAGTGTTCGCCTCTTGGCTGTTGTACTCTGGGTAAGTGTCGACAGAGTCAAACGCTTGCGCAAAGAATGAGCTGGTATGTGGGATAGGCTCGTCGCCTCCATGGCCAGAATGATCCAGCGGATGTGCCGCCATGAAGACAAGCTCGCATCCGGTCCTGGCAGCCAGCAGCTTGGTTTCATCCATTATCTCCTCCAAGCCTTCGCCTTAGGCCTTGACGGCTGCTGCGGGAGACTCTAGCATCACGGGCAAGAAGGCCCCGCCAGCGACCACAGGGCCGCCCTCCTTCAAAGCCATCGACTACTCGCCCTCGCTATACGTCTCTGGGAAGACGTCTACATGCAAAGATCGCTCTCAGCCGACGAAGTGACCCAGATCAAGCTGGAGGAATCACCTTCATAGGACCATGACCTCGCCGGAGGTTGGCAGAAGATGCCGCAGCCATTCGCTTTTTGGGTCGAGGTCTGGGGAAGAGAACGGGATAATGGGATGAAAACACGCTGGCACCTGACGAGCTGCCATTCTCCCTGGTAGCCTTCGATCAATCACTGTGAGTAGTAGTACATATCCGAGTAAAGTACATGCCGAACGCGTCAGGCGGAGGGCGCCGCAATGTCACAAAAACCCGCTCATCCGAGCTTTCGATCATGCGTAAGTAGACAATGCATTCACGAAGAAGAGATATGGACATGCCCAAGACTCCCATGTCTTGAGCTCGACAAGCCAAGCCCGATATTTCGAGCGCAAGCATACATACAGTTTTACACAAAAGCTTGTTGTGAAGCCAATTAAAACAAGCCACCTCCACCGCTCCCTGCCGAAAAAGTCGCCCGAATGTATTCAGTTTTCGGAGATGAGAAAAGCCACCGTTCACATCCGTCAACCTCTTCGGATCTTCTCGTACGTGTACGTATATCCATGTCTCATATTGTTCGGGTTCAGCGAAGGCATATGCATCTATGCCGGCGACTGGCCGGCGATGAAAACTCGGCGTCTGCCAGCATGGCGGCACTGGCGGACTGGTCGCCACTACTGAGTACTGAGGCAAGCCATTGGCCCCAGTAGCCAGTGGCCTTCGCGAGATCTGGAAGCACTTGAGGCCGGCATGAGGCAGCCCGGTAGAACAAATCAGGGTAGCAACGGAACAAAGAGGGTGTCCAGGATCCAGGAATGCAGGGGAAAAGAACAGCCGGAAGATGGAAGAAGGAAGATGCTTGAAGTCAGTTGTGCCATTCGCCATATGCCATTCGCCTGGGTCGCCAGAAGCTCCAGGATCCGAATAGCCAGAAGAAGACGCCAAAAGAAGAAAGAAAGTCAGCACACTGCCCAGCCTGGCGCAGCGCAGGGAATATTACGGCGAAACTTATACGTGTTTGGTTCTCGTCTCACCAGTCTTTGGTTATCTCACGGCGTATTCCCGTACAATTATCCGAGCAAGCCCAAAGACAGGAGATCAGCACTGCCAGAGCCGGTGTCAAGTTGCAGCCGTGTACTCGATTCGGGCACGGGGCACCTTCCGTCCATGACACAAGTCATATAGGCGATATGAAGGTGTTGCTTCAGGTGATGGCTCGTTCATGTCTTCAGAAGCCAGTCACTTCCAAACACCTATGCCATCTTATCTCCTGGTCTACGCTCTTGTTGACCGCTCTTTCTGGGCTGTGTCTTGCATGTGAACACTTCTCAAGTAGTTTTCGCCACCACTTGCTTCCTTGTTGACACCTAGAAAATGATGACGCAACTTCTGACGGTTATCTCCATCGCCGATCTAACTGCTCCTTGTGTTTCATTTCTCGCTATGGCCCATGCCGCAAGACACGTCCAGCAAACACTTCGAGTCTGAACCCTCTTCTTCATTCCCCATCTCTTCCCCATCCTTCTGGGCGGAAGCCGTGACGCTGGCAAACCCAGATGGCCAGCCTGAACATGGCCCCGTCAAGCGACCGCGCTCTCCCAATGACTGCCCCCGCAATACCAGTCCCACCCCAAAACGATCCCGCCACTCTTCCTCATCCCCTCCCTCTGAACACCACCACGGCCTCACCTTCTTGCCCAACCCCACCGATATCCTTGCCCCAGACGATCCCCATAGCTACTTGGCCAACCCCGAGTATGCTCCCAACAGGTTCGGGGACATTGGGGATTATATGAGAAAGAAGGAAATCAAGGTACAGGCGCAGAATGCCAACATCGCTGCTGCCCTCAGAGGGGGCAAGGAATTGCCACAGATATTCGAGACACTCTCGTTCTACATCAATGGCAATACCCATCCGCCGATGGAACAGCTTCGAAAGCTGATTCTCCAGAGAGGAGGTACAGTATATCCCGTTCTTCGAAACAAGACGATGGTCGATTACATCATTGCGCCCGTTCTCACCGTCAAAAAGCACGAAGAGTTCAAAAAGTATAAAGTCGTCAAGGAAGGCTGGATTGTGGATTCGGTCCAGCAAGAGAAGCTGCTGGACTGGAGAAAGTGGAGGCTCGTTCCGCAAGGTGGCTGGCTAGAGAGTAGCAGAAAGGGGCTCGAGGGATTCTTTGCTGGGAAGGGGAAGGGTACAGAGGAGGAACATGATAGTGGTGCTTCGGACCAGGATGTGGAAGTGGTCGAGCAGTCAGCTCCAGCCGATGTTACTGTGCGTACTGCATCAATGATCATTTACATTCCTGACCCGCCCGTAGTCTAACGTGACGCCCCAGAAACCTGCGGCTGGTCCGATTCAGCGGATCTTGACCCCCCAACGTCCCCGTCACCTCATTATACCCATCTCCCCGGGCCAGATCGCATCCGACTCATCTCCAATACCTACTCCTCGCAAGTTGCAAGCCCCAGAAGGCGCCTGGGAGCACTACTATACCAAGGATTCCAATGAGAATGCTGCTAAAGCCATGCAATCAACCTCCTGGCGAGCCCAAAACACTGCCGAGCAAGGCAATGCCGGTGGCTTCATCGATGGGTATTATCAAAATAGCCGACTCCATCATCTATCAATGTGGAAGGCCGAGCTGAAGGTACTTGTCAGGGACGCGCAGAAGAGGTCGGAGGAGGCTCTTGCCAAGGCTAGCCAGGAAGAAACGGCGGGGGAGGCACATTCGTTGGCCAAATCTGCGCTGCCCTCTCTTCCGCTACCCACCGGTCCTTCCACAGCGAACCGTGCTTCCCCCAAGATCATCTTTCACGTCGACTTTGACGCCTTCTTCGTCTCCTGCGGTCTCTCCTCCCGCCCTCACCTCAAAGGCAAGCCCACAGTAGTTTGCCATTCCAGCGGAAAAGGTGGCGGGGTGGGAAGTACTTCGGAAATTGCAAGTTGTTCATATGAGGCGAGGGCGAAGGGCGTCAAGAACGGAATGAGCCTGGGGAGGGCTCGTGAGCTGGTTGGGGCGGAGATTCAGACCATGCCGTAGGTCTTTCTTCGGCATCATCCTTGTGCGAGTAAGCTGACCTTTTCTCCAGGTACGAATTCGAGACGTACAAGAAGTTCTCGCTGTCCTTCTACACTATCCTGATGGGCTACGCCGACGAGCTTCAGGCAGTCAGTGTGGATGAGGCCTTGATTGATGTCACCAGCCAAGTAGCTGCGAGAGCAGCTTTGCCCCCTGAAGTCGGCATCGCCGCGGAGGGGAAAGAGAGGGATCCAGCGGTTGAGCTGGCGGAGAAAATCAGAGCAGACGTAAGGCAGATCACTGATGGGTGTGAAGGTGAGCATCCTATAATGATCAAGACGGCCAGCTGCTAACTCTATCACAGTGAGCATCGGCATTGCCCATAACATTCTCCTGGCCCGTCTAGCAACAAGACATGCCAAACCCGCCGGCGTTCACCACCTCCAGCCCACCCAGGTCTCTGCCTTCATCGAGACTCTTCCCATCGACGACTTTCCTTCCATTGGGCACTCTACCAAATCCAAGATTGAGGCTGCCTTCGGCACGACCATAGCAGGGGAGCTGATGGGGATTACAAAGTCGAGATGGCGGGGGGTGTTGGGAGAGAAGACGGGCGAGATGGTGCATGGCTTCTTGAGAGGAGTGGATGGGAGAAAATTGGAGGCAGATAAGGTGCGTAAAAGCGTCAGTGCAGAGATGAATGTGAGTCTTCCTCTTGAGCCTACGGCGACAGCGTGCTGATGGATCCAGTACGGGATCAGGTTCCAAACTCAAGAGCAGGCCGAAAAATATGTTGGGGATCTTGCTGCCGAAGTCTCCAAGAGAATGAGAAACGTCGGAGTGAAGGGTCGGCAGGTGACGTTGAAACTTATGCAACGACATCCGGATGCACCCATTGAGCCTCCCAAGGTGAGCATTTCCGTTTCACATGATAGTCACGCTGACACCTTCCAAGTTCATGGGCCATGGCTGGTGCGAAACTCACAATCGCTCTTCACCCCTCCCCGGCGGACCTATAGACAGTTGCGCCATAATTGCTCAAGAGAGCATCAAGCTTTTACGCACTATGCGTTTAGATCCAAAAGAGCTTCGAGGTGTGGGCATCCAAGTCACCAAGCTGGATAGTGAACAGCCTTCTGGTGGGGCTAAAGAAGCCGGCCAAGCGGTATTGAATTTTACCAGGGCAGACAAAGGTAACGGGGCTGAAAATGCCAAGGCTGGCCCTTCGAGGGTTCCTGTCAGTTCTTCCAAGGAAAGACTTGACGGGATTGACCCGGACTTTCTTGCTGCTCTCCCAGCGTCTCTCGCAGAAGAGGTGAAGAGGGACCATGCCCTGGCAAAGCGAAATCCTTCAAAATCACCTGCTTCTCCAACTCCAGCCGCCAAAGACCCCGCTAGATTGCTGGCCGACAAAGTACCTGCCCAGGAAGTCATTTCGATACAGTCTTCTAGCCCTATCGAGGTGGTCTCTGAAGTGCTGCCCAAAGCCAAAAGGACTACCTCTCCTTCAAAACTACCCACCAAGGATGGAAAGAACGCAGCGGCACATATCGTAAAACAGCTTCGTCCGAAAGGCAAGGTTCAAATGAAAGCTGGGCAAGTAGCTGAGGGTCCACTCTTTGGGGCTTGGAATCGCGTTGAGGCGAGAGCGATGAGCGAAAGCGAAAATATCGACGAGCTCCGCAATTCCAGAGCAGGCTCTATCGTGGTCGACCTCACCGTTTCTCCTCCACTGGCCACCGAAAGAGACATCACAACAGTCCACGAAAACGATGAAGACTCGACTGAGGTCATACCGGGCTATACAACTTCTTACCTCCGATCTCTCTCTATCGACCCAGAGTTCCTACTCGCGCTGCCTTCCAAAATGCAGCAAGAGGCTATTCAAGAGCAAGTAGAGAAGGAAAGAAGGCGGAAGGCCCTGTGGCACCCAGGAGGAGGGGCGAGAGGGATCAGCAAGAGTGTTTCTGTCTCGCCTGTCAAGGGTGGAGCAAAAGGGCGAGATGGGCCCAAAAGTCTCCAGCCGGCACAAGCTCAGGGGCTAAAAATCATCATCCCTCCCAAACCGTCACTCATGAACGCCACCACCTTGCCTGACATCTTGGACACTGTTGAAAAATGGATCGATTCCCGCAAGAACAACCCTCCGGCAGAGAGGGATGCTGGTAAGGTTCTGGGGTATCTGCGGAACAGCATGAATGAGAGTATGAAAGGTGGCAAAGTGGGTGACGGGGCTGATAGATGCGTGGAGGTGTTGAGATGGATGAGGATATTGCTGAGAGAGAAGTGGTGGGATAAGGAGGAAGGCGGTACAGGGCTAGCAAACGAGGCGGGCGAGGAATGGTGGAGGGTTTGGAGAGCCATGAGAGATGAGGTCAACAGCCTGAGCGTACAGAAGTTTGGTGCCACACTTGTCATTTGATGTTGTAACATTATCATCGTTGATGTATACATATAATGATACATGAATGGTTTTGGCGACAGACAAATATCGGGAGCTGCGACAGGATCTACGTTTATAAAGTATTTCTACATGATAACAGTACAGTACATTTGCGAAAAGTAAGCAGAGCTGTCAATACGGGGTCATTGAGGAAATCACGACGAAAAGATTATGACGAGGGTGTATCAGAAGATGGTGGGCTGTTTCCCGTGGAAGCACCGATCAGACAGTACAAGCAGCCTTTGACGGACGTCTTCGTCGTTCTCATGTATCTGGGTGCTGTGATCAAAGGAAGAGATGTCTTGAGTGGGTCCATAATGGCACCTCCGAGAAATAGCGTCAGTTAGAGCGGCGATGGCTCCTGCAGAGTTGTCAGATCATAGTCGGTTCTCGAATGTTCGCAGCATACCAGCCGTGACATCTGCAAAGCGTTAGAGGAGCCTCATCGACATGAAAGACTCACGGAAAAGATCCGAGTAAGATGGACTCTCCTTCCCACTCAACTTGCTCAACATAGACATCAACAAGTAGAAAGGTCCATGCCTGGCCTTGATGTACTTGCCAGCCCCACTGGGCTTACAACCAGCCTCTGAAGAAGCAACAGCGCTTCGACAGAGGGTGAGAAGAGCGTGGAGCTCAGTATTCGATTTGGGGCGAAGTTCGTCGATAAGCTCTTTCTGCGGAACAGCACTGATAGTCACAGCACGAAGTCGGTGACCAGTAAGCTTTCCACCAGGCATGAAGGTGTTTTGGCGAGTTGCTAGGATATGGCGGGCTGCTTCGAGGGAAGCGACTTCGATGTACTGAATGTTTAGTTAGATCCAGACACCGCGTACATAATCAGTATATGCTTACGAGATAGTCTTTGGTGCGGCCGTCAAACTTATCGAGAAGTATATGAACTGATTGGGGGACCTTGCGCGAGAGAGAGTCCTTAGGCAGAAATTCTTCAACCACCGAAGGAGTCACGTCCCATCCAACATTGTCGATGCCTGGAAGCCTTGATCAGCATTTGACGCTGCAGGGATATGCGGGATGTCATGTATCGGCGACTCACGCATCACGATAGAGCCATTTTGAGTGACAAATGTGGAGGTTGTAAGTGTTACTATGCCTTGAGGTGCCGCAATGACCTTGGAACAGAGCTGCCCACGCGCTTGATGTTTTCCAAACATAGACTCGAATGTAGTGATGACATCAAGGCAAGCTGGGCATTTGGATTGGCCTTTGGTCACAGAAACGGCGGCGACAGTGGATGAGAAGCAGCTGGCGCATATGACATCCTGCAGAGCCAGTCAGGCTGAGTATCAGACGAATGAATGGATGGTCACTCACCCGACAAGGAATGATTAGTGTGGCTCTACTAGCATCAACTTGCCTTCCACATGACTCACATTCGCAACCTTCCTCAGTGTCAGCCTGCATGTGAGAAAGTGAATTGTCTTCAAGGCATGGTTGTCGGTGCTTATCGTCGCAGGGACTACCAGTGATGGGTTCGATCATGGGTGCACACTCCTCGTTGATGACGGAAGGTTGACTGAAGAACATCGTCTGTGTGATAGGACTCAGCAAGGGCTGAAGAGGAGGCGGGAGATACGTACAATCTGTGTCATGTCGATTGTTCGCATCTGTTGTCTGACTCCATGACTGACAGGTGTCAAAATGACAGGGGAACCCCCTTCTGAGTTAACCAGTCTGTCTTCAGCTTCCGCGTCTTGAGGCGCCTCCTCAAAAGTAGATGGCTTTCTTCCCTGAGATGTCACCTCGTCATCCAGAAGCAGGTCAGGTACACCAAGCTTGATCCAGTCAGCCCGAGTGTCGCAATCTCCTGTGCGGGCCGGTGAAGGCGTCTTGCTGGTACGACTTGTCGGAAGAGGTGTGACTGGTGGTGGTCCATGAGGCGAAAGACAGGATCTCCATCTGTGAAGTGGACTGATAATAGATGAAGCCGACATGAAGTTCCTAGAAGGCGTAGAGGGCAGAGAACGGGAGGGGCTGTAGGCTGAGGAATCGTCCGAGCTTTCGCTGGTGATCTCGAGACACTGGTTGGGATTGGGTCCGAGGATGATGAAGGTGGATTTTGAGTCGAGGAGGCGCATGTTGAAGGTGGAGTATGGGGGTGCAGATGCTATGCTACTAGGGGGAGGGATTGTAGAGAGGCAGAAGAGAAAGAGAGATGGAATGTGGACGCTTCAACCAGTCACTGAACAGTCCAGTCAACCACCCCGCCTCCACCTTCGCGTAATGATCGGAGGTGGCCGGCGCGCACGTGGTTTTCTCCGGGTACCCGCATGGGCTCTCCTTTGAATGCGGCGTGCGTATGGGATCCCGTCTATTCCACCACTCTTTCTTTCTCACTATCCCTACCACAATGGCCACCGATCCCCAGTTCCTCAAATACGTCGACGACCACCAGCAAGACTACATCGACCGTCTTGCAAAGGCAGTCGCCATCCCCTCGCGAGTCGCCTTCCCTCCATGCTCGAGATTCACTCTGTGCTGACGTTTGATTCTGCTATCCTCGCCATTATACAAACAGTGTCTCCGGTAACTTGAGGTGAGCTTTCGCCCAAACTGCTTCAACCAATACGGCGGCTGATACATTCTTATCTAGCTACGTGAAAGATGTCGAAGCCATGGGCGAATGGCTCATTCAGCAGCTCACTTCCCTCGGTGTGAAGGCTGAGAAGCGTGCTATTGGCACCCATGAGCTTGAAGGCCAGACTGTTGACCTGCCACCTGTTGTCATTGGGCAGATCGGCAACGATCCTAAAAAGGTGTGTCGATATTCCAACACCAGGCATGTAGCGGGATCTGCGGAGAGGGGTGGGACTTGGGCTCAGGCCAGCACCAACTTCTCTGAAGCGGACGGAGCTCTATCTCGTCCCTTTCCTTTTACCTTCATTTGGCGACTCTAGGTCCTTTACCTATCGTGCGATTGCGTGCTAACCTTCCATTTTACAGAAAACCCTTCTGGTCTATGGCCACTACGATGTCCAGCCCGCTCTTCTCGAAGACGGCTGGCTCTACCCTCCTTTCGAGCTTACCCCCGACCCTAACGGCTCTGGACGTCTCTACGGCCGTGGCGCAACGGACGACAAGGGCCCTGTCCTCGGATGGTTGAACGTTTTGGAGGCGCACCAGGCCATCGGCAAGGAGCTGCCCGTAAACTTGAAGATGGTCTTCGAGGGTATGGAGGAGAACGGATCCGTCAATCTCGACAAGTTTATCGAGTCCGAGAAAGACAAGTTCTTTGCTGGTGTCGACTGCATGTGTATCTCTGGTAAGTCTGCCACCGACCGAGGCTCAGTCGATCGTGTTGCTGATATGAGATTCCAAAGACAACTACTGGCTCGACACCAAGACCCCTTGCCTGACCTACGGCCTCCGAGGTATCAACTATTACGAGATCAAGATCAATGGCCCCGACAGGGACTTGCACTCTGGAGTCTTTGGTGGTACCGTCCACGAGCCTATGACTGATCTCATTGCCCTCAGTGTGTCCCAAGGGCTCATTTTGTCATCCCTACTGACAATCTACAGTGTCCAGACTTGTGACACCCGAAGGGCAGATTCTTGTACCTGGTATCAAGGACCTCATTGCCCCAGTGACCGATGATGAGCGGGCCAAGTTCGAGGCTATCCACTTTGAAATGTCTGACATCCACGCTGCCGTTGGCGGAGATGTCACCATCTCTGACGATACTGTGGCTACAGTATGTCGGTTTTCGAGTAGACGAGTAGCCCACTGACAAAGCTTTAGTTGATGGGCCGTATGAGAAACCCCTCTCTCTCTTTGCACGGTATCGAAGGCGCCTTCTCCGCTCCCGGCTCCAAGACCGTTATTCCCTGTCAAGTCAAGGGCAAGTTCTCTATCCGTCTCGTCCCAAACTTGACTGTCGCGAGTGTCACCGACCTTGTCGTCAAGTATGTGCAGGATGAGTTCAAGAAGCTCGGCTCCAAGAACAAGCTTGATGTGTATCTGACGCATGGTGGTGAACCCTGGCTTGTGAGTGATGCTTTCCCGAGGACATGACTCGTTTGCTGACTCTCTGATACAGGCTGACCCTAATGTGAGTCTGGGTATATTGTGGAGGTAGATATGTCGCTGACATTATGGTAGCACTACTCGTATCAAGCCGCTCACAAAGCCACTGAAGCCGTCTACGGCCAAGTCCCCGACTACACCCGAGAAGGTGGTTCTATCCCCGTGACCCTCGACTTTGCCAACATTCTCGGCCTCAATGTGCTCCTCCTCCCGGTCGGTCGAGGCGATGACGGTGCCCACTCGACCAACGAGAAGATTGACACTGACAACTACATTCGGGGTACCAAGTTGCTTGGTTCCTATATGTACGAGCTTGCTGCTGCCAAGCCATAAGTCGGTTTATAGACAGTGGTGGGGATGATTTGAAGTCTCCATGCAATCATGGTCATCTTGCTTTTACACTTGTCTACTGATTACAACAAGGGGTGTACAGTGGTCACTATCAAAATCCAGCCAAGTCAAGGGCGCTTATAAATTGGGACGTTGCTTGATTGTCCTCACCGTCGTCCTCGTCCTCATCGTCCTCGTCGTCCTCATCGTCCTCGTCGTCCTCATCTTCTCCATCCTCATCCTCTTCTTCCGATACTTGTTCCTCCTCGTCCGTTTCAAGACCCGTCTCCGTTCCCGCGGTGCTCGCTCCGGTATCCATACCGAAGTCTGTTGAGGTACCGGTGGCAGAACTGACCGATCGCAAGTCCTCAGAGTCTCGCGTAGTAGATAGAAAAGGAGACACAGCTTTGGGGGCTTCAATGGGGCTCTGCCTGACAGTCAAGTCGCCTTCTTCCGCTTCATCATCATACCCTCCTCCTTCCTCCACGGTCTTGCCATCCCGTCTATCCTGATCGTCCTCAGCATGCGGAGGGGTAGCACCCAAAGCATGTGCTATGCCATTCAGTCCAGCAGTCATCAAGTTGGCAGCGGCACCCAAGACGCCTTCATCTGGCGAACCAATCCCTTGACGCAAGCGCGACTCGTTCCTTGGGGCCGAGTCTGGTCCACTTCGGGTAGCTGTCTGCACCTGGCCAACGTCATGATGATGATGATGGTGGTGGTAGTGGTGGTGGTGGTGGTGAGATCGGCGAGAGGGGGAATTAGTCGTTGAGCGCGTTGGAGTGGGTACGTGTAGTACGGGCGCTGTCTGATCCTTGCCGGGAGGATGGGGTGAGAGGACTCTGTCCCCGCCTTTCGTTACTCGCTCCTTGTCTCTCTCCCTCTCACGGCGACTTGGTATGCGAGCGAGACCGTCACCGATCACAGCTACAGGTGATGTAACCTGTATATCTTTTTGACCCACAGCGCCTTGATTGGGGGCGGGATTTGATGAAGAGGCAGGTGGAGTTGGGAAGGTGAGGCGCATGGTGGGGTGTTTGCGCGCCTGTAGGGGGTGGGGGAAGGGCAAGATGTTGGAACTGGTCGATGAAGCAGCGGATAAGGAAGAAGGACGGTCTTTCGTCTGTGGTGTTGGGTAAGGGGGATTCGGTGAAGGGAAAGCTTGGGAGGGCCGGGAAACCGAGGGTTTAGGATCTACTTCGGAAGATGCAGAGGGCCAGATCCAAGATGGATAAGGGGGCGGAGGGAGAGTCAAAGTCTCTTGAGAGGTAGGTGCGAGGTATGCAGTCACAAAGGGCAGAAGGGGAAGATCTTCTTGGTCTTCCTGATACCTATCTTTGCTGGTCAACGGATGTCCACAAAGAGTGCCCAGACTGATAGACATACCGGCATATCTCATCCAAGATGGTGTCCGGATGCCAACCTTGAAGCTTTCGCAAGCAAGCTACGACAAGAGTCGTATGTGACTTTCCGTCGACATCTGCAATGTACAGGGGGTACGTAGTAGTATCCAGTATCCACTGCATGCATCCAGGTCAGCAGGGGTCGAGTTGCCATGGTCCATAGTACTTGCCTTGAGCACCTGGTCCACTTGTGGCCGCCCCATGCCCAACTTTTCCTCGCTCATCTGCTCGGCAGCTTCCCAATAGATGGTCACTCCTGTTTGCTTGGCCCATCTCAACAGGGGATGGTTGTCTTCGAGCGCTTTCTTGGAGAGGACAACGAATGTCTTGAGCTGGAGAGTTGCAATGAAATGCAGGTTGCGGAGTGCCGGAATGGCGCCCCTGTAGAGAAGATCGGTCGGGGCAGTGGAGACGATGCTGTGGTGGTAGGGCGGGGTCACCATCCTTGCTGAGGGCGCCATGGACGCCTCCATCGTCACTGGGCTGGATGATTATGCAAAATAAGAGCGGGAATGATGGAATTACGGCATTCCTCGACAACTCGGAGAGTCTGGATTTCTATCCTCTCTTGCATTTCCATCTTTCTCTCTTCCCCCATCCTGCCACCCCGCCCCTCGCCATGCCCAGGCCTACCCTCATACAATCCGTCTTTCGCAAACCATCCCGCTCTTACGCAGACCCCAACGCGCCCTCCCCCTGGTCCGACACCTACGACTACGACGACGACCACCAACAACCATCCTATTATCCTTCCGCCCACTCCTACCGGCAGTACCCTCGGCGGCCCTCATCGACGCTCTCAGCCGTCAGTGAGGATGCAGGGATTCACAGGACCAGATATCAGAAACCCTCGAGAAGGGCAGACGGATTCGTTACGCTTCGCAATGGAGAGACGGTATTTGCCCCCGGCGGGTCACATAGAGAAACCACTTCCGAGATCAGCCCAGCAAGGCCGTTCTCCCCAATACAGTCGCTCCCAATAGCACCCCCAAGTGGTCAAACCATTAAGAAGAAGAAGAAGAAGGTTCATGCCTCCAGTATAAGTTCCCAGATAGCCGGGAGTGAGGCTGGCAGTATCGCAAAAGGCGATACGCCTCGGAAGAAGAGGAAACCAAAGGCAACGACATCACCCGCCTCCCCAACGTCAATCACACCCCCTTTACCCCCTCCACCTCCTATCCACTCAAGATTCAGTGAGACATCGTCTTCCGCCTCATCTTCGCCGGTCCCCATCTCTCCCGTCACTCGTAGACATTTTGCGCCTTCCGTTCCGCTTGAGGCAGGAATCAACAAAGTAGTAGGGCCGGAACGAATACAAGTGAAGCCGGAGAGGCCTGCTATCGCGGCCTTGACCAAGTCAAAATCCGTGTCACCAACAGCGCCGCTGTTGACCCCTCCAGCGTCTGAACGATCAACTCCGAGCTCGTCTTCCCAATCTCCCGCGCAAAGTAGGCTGGTTTCAGTGCCGCCAGCGGTTTCCGCTGTAGAAGATCAGACCAGGTATGTGACACAAAGACAGCCGAAGGCGAGTGCAAGGCCATTGAGGTACGTTTGCTTTGCATAACGGCATGATAATGTTATTGATCCAATAATAGTATACGGACGACAGAGTCAGACACCGACGACGAAGTCTTCTATACCCCAAGCTCGTCCATCGCCGACCTGAATAACTCTCTAGCTGTGGAGGAGGAAAGCTCGGATGATATGGCTACCCCAAAGCCCCCGCGGCCGAAAGCGTCTGCACCCATCCTGAACGTTCTTCCTCCTACACCTGCCCCGATTCCTGACCCTCCTATATCGCCGTTTGAGTCCACTTTAATATGTTCTCCGTCAATTGCCACATCCATTGAGCCTGTTGCGCGCCCCAAAGCCGCTCCCATCCGTCCATCGGAACAGATGGTGACGCCACCTCCATGCAAAGACGAGGCAGACTTTCAAAGTGATTCAGGAGAAATGGGATCAGACAGGGAAGAATATCTAGAGCGCCATGGTCTGAGGCCAAAATCTAAACTTTCTCACAATCGCTCGCGCTCGCAAGCCTCTTCTGTAGTCCGATCATCCAGCCGTCTAGGGTCGAACAACAACTCGCCTTCCCTGTTTCGCTCAACCACATCGCGCCACGTATCGCAATCCTCCTTCGAGGGAACTAGCCGCGCGACTTCAGAAGTCTCGTTCAGCAGTGCCCGGGAAGGTGGCGGCGGTAGCACGCGAGGGAGTGTCAAAGGCGGGTACGGCAAAGGGGGCTGGGCAGCGGCAGCAGCGAGCGCCAATGGAGGCAGGTCCGGGGCAACATCGCCGATCATGTATCTTCCGGAAAAAGGCACGGGGTGGGAAGACTTCCAACCTCCCATGCCTGTTTTGGCACCTCCGGCGGCCGTACCGCCTCCAAGGCAGTCCAAGTTCACTCCTCTTCCTCCTGCTTCGACGCCGTCGTTTGACAGAATCCTTGTCGATACGTCGAACGTCAGCAATTCTGTCACCGCGCCTTCCAACGACTCAAACCCCTTCAGAGAACACAGTGTTGGCCTACAGGTTCCCAGTAGGAGTAGCCCGGACTCGTTGTCGTCGCCAAGCGAGTACTCACAAGCTTCTTATGGCTCGAGCGGGCTGCCTATTCCTAGCCGATCATATGTGCAGCAGGCAAATACTGCACGGACCGGCCAGAGCAGCAGAAGCTTGGAGCCCGAGATGCCTGCTTCATTCCCTATCCGCACCCAATCTCCTCTTCCTTCTTTGCCCGGACGACTCCCCTCTTCACCTTCAATACGTCCTGTATCGCCCTTACCCTCTGAGACATCCCAGGCCTTCGCTTCGCGCCCCACTTCGCCTTATCCCAGTATGCTTCGCCCCACGACTCCCCGAGCTGGCTTCCAGCCTCCTTCGTCTCTGGACCCGGACATCCTCACCATATTACCCGAAATGACACCCCAGGATTCCGAGAGGTTATATCAGCCTACGGAAAATCTCAACGGAGCCCAGCGAAGCCGGTCCAGGTTGTCTCTGCATGAAGGCGCGCTTGCAAGAAGGTCCAGCATGTTCAAAGCGAAGAGCGAACTCGGACATTCCAGGCCAGGCAGTGCTGCGACAAATAACGAAGCTGGAGAAGAAGAGGATGCTCTGGGTGACCTTCCCACGCCAGGAGTCATCAGACGTTCAAAAAGCGTCATCGGTGGCAAGTTGGGTGGCAGTTCACAGAAATGGGAGGGCAGCTCGTATGGTGATGGGGGTGTATTGATGGAATCGCATGGAAGAGATCAGGACGGCACAGGTGGCTACACGTGAGTTGCAGAGTTGTCAAGAGGGTCATAGTGCTGATCAGTGGTTCTAGTAATTTGGTTCTCCCTTCGGGAGCGTATCGCCCTTCACACCCATCCAAGAATGCTCCGAGCCTTGACTCTCGCATCCTAGGTTTACCCCACTCTACCATGGCTTCCATAAGTCTCACGACGACCAGAGATCACTACCAAGCGACCCCTCTGCATCTTCGTGCTCAACTACCGCCTCTTGTGGACTTTACATCTCACATGAAGCCTCCTGTAAGCTCGAAAGTGGGCAAAGGCCAAGTAATGGTCCAGGTCTATGCTGTGGCTGTGGATGAGTTTGATCTTAGGACTTTGGATGAGAAAGGGAAATGTGACGTTGGGAAGTGGGTTCCAGGAAGGAGCTATGTTGGTAGAGCGTTGGTCGTTGGTGCGGATGAGAAAGAGATCGTCCGGGGCGATATCGTCATGGGGATCCAGGACATCCGAAAGGTAAGTGCTCGTCGCGTAGTGGACGCTTTGAGACATGCTCATTGCTTTCCACAGAGCGGTTCTCTGGCCGAGTACATCACTGTCGACCGTCGTCACATCTCCCGCGCACCCTTCCCTACCCAGTTGACTTTGGAGCAACTGGCGGTCCTTCCTTTACAAGGCATTGCCGCAGCACGTTCTGTCATGGGATCCCTCTCGCGTACCTCACGTGCTATCATCCTCAATGCACATACGGGGATCGCGGCTCTCGTGTGTCAAGAAATGTCTCGAGCTGGTGTGCACGTCACTGTGATTATTCCTGGTGGAGAGGACGCACAAGAAAACCATCAGAGGTGCTACGACAACGGGGCGAAGGGCGTTTTGACAGGTTCACCAGCTGCAGTGTTGATCAACTTGGAGGAAGGCGGGTATGACTTTGTGTTCGATACGCAAGGAGGGGCGAGAATCTACGAAACGGCGAGAAGGGTATTAAAGGACGGCGGCAAGTAAGTCCATATTCCGAAGGATTGAAGAGATCAGACGCTTACGAATCTTAGACTCGTGACCACCAAGCAGCCGGAGCAAACACTCAGACATGTCCCTCCTCATTTGACGACGCGACCGTCCGGGCTCAAAACGCTTCGCATGGCCTTCTCAAGTAAAAGGAAAGATTCCAAGTTCATCGATCTCTCCTACATCCCTCCCACGGCTTGTGGCGAGCCGGAGGTCGATAGTTCCGGATTGGATTTGAGAGACGTGATGGAGGAGCCTTGCATGGCGATTTTCAAGCCGTTTCTAGATAACGGGGGTGGGGATGGGGGACCCGCTATTCTTCCGTTCGAAAAAGGCAGAGAAGCCTTCAGATATGGAGGCTGGGGCGAATGTGGCGTTAGAGTCGTGAGACTCATCAATTGAATGTCAGACCTGAATTTGTTTGTGCTACTGTACTCTTGCCCTGGTCGTCTCTTTGTATCTGCAAAAGACTCAATATAATTGCTAGTGAACCAATATATAATGATACACGCACAAGTCATGATTATGCATTCAATTATACAAGTTGCTGGAATGAAAATACAGAGGCATTCCGAAGCATTGTCATCATGGTCCAAAGGTACCGTATCCATTTGTTCCTCGGCCCTGACCAGAATCGATCTCTCCTTGCCCTACCGCACATGCTTCGGAAGCACCAGTCCCGGTGCTTCTACCACTGCCCCAGCTCCTCCCAAGAAATCCGCTCCGTTTGCGCACAAACGGGCCGGCATTAGGGGAGGACACGGATCGTCCTATACTCCCTTCGCCAGCAGCAGCGCCCCACCTGTAACCACCACCAAGACTTGGAGGTAGTATGGGCAGAGCCAGAGTGAGAGCAGACGGCGATCGTGCGGGAGGAAGGTCGATGATGGAAGAAGATGAAATGGAAGAAGCAGAATCATCCGCATCTTCCTCATCATCTTCACCAGCGCCTGAGTCTGTTTGAGAACTTGACGAGCGGTGACGACAATGCGTATATGTCGAGCGAGAGGGATGACGTTCGCCAGAGAGCCCCGGGAAGTAGTCTTCATTCTGTAGACTGCTCTCTTCTTCATCACTATCGTCGTTGTACACCCCACCAAAGACATCGTCTTCTTCTTGGCCACCGCCGCCACCCTCGCTAGTCCATTCGCTGATACCACTCTCGCCTCTGACATGGCCGCGCACCCTGTCTCGAAAAGAACCCGGCGTGACTGTAGCTCGCTCGCTTGCAAAGCCAAAAGGCATGGGTGATTGGGTATGCGTCTGTGGCAGGCGAAGAGCGAGAGGGTTTGTCTTATAAGGTGGCGGCGATATACGAAGCAACAGCAAGAAGAGCAGCTACAGATCACTCATTAGCCGTCTGTATGATTCTCGAAGGAGAGGATCCCGGACTGACATATTCACAGACTGCGAACCCCCCAAACTAAACTGGCATCAGTCTTCATCCCATTGTCGCCCTGTAGTCCGCACTCACGATGCCCAGAAAGCACGTCAAATCTCCGTCTACAGTCGTTTCATCCCCATGTCCGTTATCTCCCCGGACGAGCACTCTCCTGCATTCTTCCCAGGTCGCCACGGTCAGGCTAATTCCGCTACTTGCACCAATCCAGCCACCTCGAGTACGCCATTTGCGAGTGAAAGCTACCGCCGAGCAAAGGGCAGCCCGTGCAAAGGCCGCGGTAGTAATATAGGCTGGAAGAGAGGCGTGATGTTTGGCCGAAGTTCCCAGTAGATACTGCGCGATGTGCAGACAGTCGAGAAGGGCGATCAACACGAGCGGATAGGCATAACGCAGTGAGGGCCGACGGGACGAGTTCTGTGAGGGGAGAGGCGGAGTGGGAGTGGGCAGTGGGTTGATGAGGATTGGGGCGTAGGTGGAGGTGGAGTTTATGGAGGCAGAGCGGGGACGGGCCATGCTTGGGCAAGAGGCATTGTCCGTTGGACGACGAAACGAGCGACAAGTCTAGAGGGAAAGCCAGTGCATCCCGAGGCCATACGCGACGCGCTCTTCACCAGGCACATATCGACGGGGAGATGGTCTTCATGCGATGGTATTCGACTGTCTATTCTCCACAAATCTACAATTACAATGCTGAATGCCTAGATACTACATCGTGTCTTCGTACAGTAATGGCCGTACGCCATATGGATAGAATTGTCCATGAAATCTCGCCCCGCATGCTCATCGCTCCGTCGTCTTGCAATCATCTCCATGCTGGCCGCCCAGTCGCGTCTCCCACAGCTACGCCCGCATTCAGCCTAGCCAATGAAGGTCTAGAGCTCAGGCTTGGTCTTGGGATAGCCCCGATTGCAGAGGTGTCACCCGCGTTGAGTCTGCTGACAGATGCTCTTGAGGAGAGCCCGCGGGATGCTGAGAGGATGCCACTGGTATCCCCTGGCGAGGAAGCTGCAGCTTTGAGATTGCTGATAGAAGGCCTAGAGCCAAGAGCTGGCCCCCGCACGGGAGGCGATCCTGTCGACGTAGAATGACCAACTGAGATTCGCATCAGCCTCCGCATCCGGACGATCTGCGTCTATAAGTAAAGAACAAGATAGACTCACCTTGGGCAGACATTCGCCTTTTGCCATCACTCCCTAGCCTCTTGGCACCTCCTGATAATGCAGACATACCACTCGGCAAACCCTTTCCTAGATGAGAGAAACCAGAGAACGATGTCTCGCCATGGTTCGGGATCATGCTCAACCTTTGCCTCGGCCGGTCATGCCTTGCTGGACCGATCATAGACTCTCGGCGATGAACCGGTACTGGGGGAGGGGGCATGGTATCATTACTAGATGGCATGCTAATCTTGATGTTTGCGAACGCTGACGAGCCTCCGGCCTTGCCGGCCGATGTTATCGAGGATTTGTGGAGGTTGGTCACAGAAGAAGTTGATGGGGGAGAAGGGTGGGCAGGGATCTGGAAAGAAAGCTCGCCAAGAGGGCCAGGTCTGTGGAGCTTGGTGGAGAGCCCCTTGGTGCCGGCTTTACTAGCGCCCAGAGGAGAACTGGACGAGACACTGAGATCCCCCGAATTGTCGGCTTGTGAACCAAGGCCCCGTTCCAATCTCATTTGCTTCCAAGCTGGTACGTCCTCTGTGCCCTTGACTGTTGCCAGTGAGGAGAGCAAGGAAGTATTCGCAAAAGCTGCTGTAGGAGCAGGATCTGGTCGTAAAGCCGAGGGCACCAATTCTGACCTGTCCTCATCCTTTATCGCGATGTCTACGCTCCTATCCGCCGCAGAGCCCATCCCATCTATACTGACACTAGGGCTTGTGAACACTGGGCAGTCGAGAGCGATAGACCTATCATCGATCTTGCCCTCTCCTGTCTGGTCCGGCCAGCGCAGTTGCTTCTTCGTCTCCTTTGGTGCATCTGGGGCAGGGAAGAGAGTTTTGCGCAGACCGCTCTTGGGCGACGGGGGACGTGAAAGGTGTCTTCCAAGTGAAGCGCGGCGAGGAGACGGAGCCGGAATTGACACGGGCAGAAGATTATGAGGAAGTGGAAGAGGGTGGGGAGTGTCGGTACCAAACACGGCAGCCACGCTATGGTCGACCTGTCGGCCCATAGAGTGCATACGCCCCCTGAAAGCTGCGAGATCGTCCAGTGACTGCAAAGAGTCTACAGCTGCAACTTCAGAACGAATAGTCGTTGAGAACCTTGATAAAGTAGAAGCCGCCTTGGTCAGGGCCTCGGCCTGCTGCGAGATATAGTCACGCAAACCTCGCTCTCTGGCGGCTGCCACACTCCTGGCGATATGGGCCCTGTGCTCAGCCACCTTGAGCTGATGCTTGTACATGGCTTCGCTCATATCATCCCCAAATTGCCGCTCCTCGGCCTTCTTCAGCAAGTTGGCGAGAGTGATGTGCTTGAGGCTTTTGCTTTGAATACCGGCTTGAATCTCATTGTTGAAACGGAAGGAATCATCCTGCTGCTGTATGAGAGCTCGCAGGTGACCTTTCTCCCTCTTCGCGTCCTCCTCTGGTCTCCCACCCTTCACCTCTACACCGATATCCTCCATTCTTGCGTCAAGAGCTTCCACCTGAAGGACTGATGCGTTCCAGAGTGCGTCCATCTCGGAGCCCTCCACGATCACCGGCAGAAGAGCATCGAGTTCAGACTGCACTCGGCCAAGTTCCTCTTCCGATTCTGCGGTGGCTTTGTCCAGGCGCTTCTGCTGTAGACCAGACTTGGTACTTTGTTGATTGTTCAATTGGCCTCGAAGAGTCTTGATCGTCTCTTCAAGAGTCACAATCTTCTGCAGCCATTGGGCAGTGCGGAGCTCGACCCCAGCTGTATTGCGAGACACCTTGGTTGAAACCTTTTTCGCTTTATCGGCCCAGAGAAGTGTGTTGTTGGTCTCCTCGATATCCCTAGAGCTCGGTGAAATACAATTGATCATGACAGTTCGACAATTGCCTCCCAAAGAAAACTTCAGCAGCCGTGTGAGTTTGCTGTCTCTGTAGGGCACATGAACCCGAGCCCCTCGTACAGGACGCTGACACAAAGCAGATATACAGCTGCTCAAGGCAAGAAGGGATTTGTTGATGTTGGCACCCTCCTTCATCCGTTGCCCTCTGTTGACAGACGCTTTCTCACTGCCCGCCAAGTCGATAATGGACAGTGTAGCAGAGGTGGAGCATTGTCGAACCACAGAGTTTGCCACGTCAATATCGGTACCTCTCTCGTTCCTACCGACGTTGATCTGGAGTACAAGGTGGGAGCGCGAAGACTCAGAGTTTCTCTCGGTGAAAGAGGTGCTTCGCCTCTCATTGCCCAGCAAAACCAGCTCCATCACTTCCTCGACGGAGGTGGGACGGCGAAGGGTCACTTTGTCGATGGTCACTCTCTCCTTCTCATTTTCCAGCAGTTTGAGGCCGCCGTGGGGACAGCTCGGGTAGTCGTCATGGAGAAGATCTCTGATGGTCTCGTTGTAGATTTCCACCATGGACATCTCAAAATAGGTGTCGAATTTGTCCTTGGTCTCTTCCACAAGGTCAAAGAGTTCGCGCATAGTCCGAATGATGATACCCGGCTGCTCTTCTGTACCGGAAATGGTATGCGTCTTACCGCATCCGGTGGCCTTTTGCGCGTCAGACAGTTGGCATCACGCGCAGAGGAGGACTCACGCCATAGGCAAAGACAGTGGCATTATACCCATCGACTACGCCTGGCAGCAGACTCTTCGCGGTCTTGGCAAACACCTCCTCCTGACTTGCTTCCATTCCAAACACTTGATCGAAGACATATCTAAACACGATGAGCCCGCTGTGACAGTGGTAGAAGCTAAAACTCACTTTCTGTTCTTGTACCTTCTGCCCATGATAGGTCCTGTTCTCCTTCCGGCACTCATATCCACTTGAGGTTTGTCAAAGTCTAGCATCCTGTGATCGACGACCTCTACAAAGAGCCCATCATGAGCACTGGCTGGCTTTGAGGGCATTCACGTCACTTACCGACAACTTCACGGAGAGACCCTTGAGTCGCGACTTTCGCAGGTGATTGCCCGAAATTTCCATCTCCCTGGAAGAACGGCTGTGGTGTTGCTTTCTGAACGAAAGGGAGCTCCTTTTCAGGGTGCCATGGTCGCACGCGAACTAAGCAACATCAGTGAGCTTATGACAGGGGCGTGCGCGGCTTGACGAACCAGCTATCTGAATGGCGTTGCTGTCCATGATGTTGTGTTGGCTTCTCCAGCGACTGACTCAACCCTGGGGCTCTCCCCAGGGGGATCAAACGGATGTGATGAACGGGATGGCGCCGTAGGCCGGGGCGGAAATGATGTTGATCGTTCGTGGTGTCTGCGTCAGGGAGTGATCGAGGTGACGACCTGAGGGGATCAGAGGGTGAGAGGCAGCAGAGGCGTATCTGACGTCGTGAGCGCAGGACTGAGCTAGGGCGGAGGGTAAAAATGAAGATCTGTTAGACGGAAGAGTGTTGTTTACGCTTGTGATTTTGCCGCAAAGGTCTAAAGGCAATCGCGTCTAATTTATCTTGCACATTTTCATGATTTTCTCCCCGCGCGGGCTTCTATCGTGCCCATCGTGACGCATCGGTCAGTCGCGCTGACGTCTGGCGACGTTCACCATTCTGTCACCTTTCATCAATCTTATAGAATTGTACATGAATTCTCAGAAGATTTGGCCAGCGCTCTTCATGGGAATCCCGAAATCCCGTTTCACCGCTGGCCGCTGGCCCCGCTGGCTAACCGGGGATGCTCATGCTATAATTGTACTCTGCAGGTGCTCATGACGCGGGCGGACCTCGGATGCAGCAGATTTCTTCGCGGGTAGTGATTAGTGGCAAGTGCTGATATTATCATGTTCTTCTGCGACGTTGAGCCTCCCGCCTCGTCCGCCTCACATGGCCGTGAAAATGAATGCGTAGAAAGGAGCTGAGGAGGCCAGGGCAACGAGGGCCGGGTGGGGCAAGATGCGTGTGACCAACTTGGGAAGCCAGGGGGAAGGGAGCGTGGTATGTACGTATTTGCATCTTCAGGACAACCAGCATCAGCGGGTGACGAGCGAAGCAAGTGACTATGGCCTGTCTGGCGCTGCTGTGTGTCGCTGCCCGAGACAAAGAAGGAGGATGGGGAGCGTTTGTCGAGCGATGAGCTCGATGTCCAAATGTCCACTGGGGCAGGCCCTCGAGTGTTTTTGCGAATCATGACCTGCTACATCCCTCCTACCACATTGCATCACGGGCGACTGCAAGCCCACCATCGGTGCTATATACGTATCTGGTAAATGTCATGGTTGTGTTAGTGGCTTTGTCTCCGTCATGCAGCCCCGGCACGAGCAGCATATGCGTATGTACAGTTGTGCCTCATTCTGCACTTACGGTACATACATATGACTGCAAGACTGAGGTTGAGATAGTCCGTTATGCTTCTCACCCTGAGTAAGACGTATCGGGCCGCGTTAGCTTCGGTCATGGAATTCTCGGGACGTCGAACTTGTCCTTAGCGTCCTGCAGATGTCTCATCTGCGTCTTATTTTTCTTCTCCTTCATTCATTCTTTCATCAGTACCAACCTTCCCCTCCCATCCTCTTCCATCTTCACCCGCTTCAAAGGGACCAGCTGCGCTGTTCAGTCCCTCTCCTTCCGCCCGTTTCTACGCCCTGCATTGTTCTCGTCGATTGTGTCATCACTGTCTCTGAGCGGCTTCTGCGTTGACCGCATCATCGCCGTTCTCATCACCCGAGATCTCTATATAAGGAGCCTCTTCCAATACATCTACCTTCTCCTCATCCACCACCCTTTTTCAGTTTGTGGTTAGTAGCTCTAGGGTTGATCCCACCGATATCTCTTTTTATACCCCTTCCATCAACGTCAGCCGCTCTTTGTAAGAGCAGCCACCCATAGCCCTCAGCCTCCAGGTCCTCGACGCTCCTCTGGCTCTTTGTGTATACCATTTGCTCCCTTCAGGTCATCTTTGAATCTGCTACCATGTTCTCTTCTGCCAAGCTCAGTCTGGCTCTCCTGGCCGTCGCTGGTTCGGCTTCGGCTCACATCGGTAAGTATCCCTCCTTGTTACTTTTCATGACTATGTGACCATGTTCTGACCCTGCTTCTCACAGCCTTGTGGCACAACGCGTCATATGGGTAGGTTTCACTTCAGCAATGCTAGGACAAGAATTCGTACTGACGTCAGCATAGTTATGATGACAGCCAACCCAACCAAAGCGATCTAGTTCAACCTCTTCAAAACCTCACGTTCGGTAAGCCTGCCCATGCTAACTTGAGACTTAGCCGAGTCTGACCAACACCATTCAGATGAGTGGTGGTTCCATGGCAAAATCGACAGCGTGAGTGCACTCTCGGTATCCCTGGCAGTGACTGATCAAGATATAGCCTCCCGACGATGGCGCTGTCATGAACCTCCCTTCCGGCGGTACCTTCCACGGTGAAGTGGCCTGCAACAAGGCACTCACCACTTGGGGTGGTGTTCCCTCCAAGCAGACTGAGTATGCTTGTGACGCAGTCGGCGTTTTGCACACCACGTGAGTAATTGGGAGCGAACCTTAGTGTATATGCTGAGATGTGTACAGTGACGAGTTTGGGGATGAACCTCAAGATGTCAAGGGCTGTGGCATTGGCATCGCATACAAGAGCGATGTCAAAGACATCGCGCCCGAAGATTTCACCATCATCTCCGTCAATTACACCTGCCCTTGGAAGAGGAATGTTGATTTTCAGATTCCTTCGGACCTTCCTCCTTGTCCCACCGGTGGCTGTCACTGCATGTGGGGCTGGATCCATAATTCGGATGCTGGTACTGAGCAGAATTACTGTAAGTCCACCTAAGATACTCTCAAAAGTTTTCCACCACCGACTGACATTGTAATAGTCGTCGGCTACCGATGCGACGTCGTAGGTGCGACAGGTTTGATTCCTCTTCCCCAAGGTATGCCCAGTCCCACTTCTTATCGTTACAAGCTGACGAGCGTCGCAGCCCAAGTAGCCAACAAGTGCCCCACCGACACTTCAAACTGTACCGTCGGCGCCAAGCAGCCACACTACTGGCTCCAAGCGGAGAAGAACAACAACTTCCAGGGCAATTTCGACCCCCCATTCTGTAAGCATTGGCTCGACATCATACGTCAGCAGTCCTGAAGGCTGACATGTTTCGCTCAGACAATGGCGACTACGGATTCTCTGACGGAGCTCAGACAGACTTGTTCGAGGGGTATTTCAGCAAGAGATCTGACGTTGAATCTCAAAAGTTGAGGGATGACACGAGAAGGAGCAGGGTACTCCGTCGGTCTGTTGGTGGGGCGAAGGCTTGAGGCCGAGGGCTATATTCCAGACTTTTGTGAAGTTCTTTCCTGGATTGTGACATTTGAGGCCGTGCCATTGTCTTGTCCGTCCGAATCATATAATAATGACTTGATGCGTCTGATACACAAAGTAAAGTATAAAGTGAAGTAATATTTGAAATAATTTGAAGAAGTATGTAGAGTAAAGATAGTCAGGCTATATGCCCATAACGAATGTCTATGAATACACGTCCACAGAAGGTATCAACAGTCTCAGCACAATCATGCCTCGCCCCCAGTCCCAACAAGTCCTCTTGCAAGTGCTGGTCTCGCAAGAGGGTAGCATGGTGCATGGAAGGAAACTGGATCACTTGAGTATATGCATTCACAGCGTCCTCAAAAAGGCGAATTTGGATGTGATAGATGCGGATCGTTGGATAGTTGGGTATGCTTGGTCCCGCTCGAAGGCAGGGATCGAATCAAATAAAGAGGGTCATGGCGAATGATTACGTCAGCATGGTCCTTTCTTACCACGAAACCCCCCCCCCCCACGAACCCAGCGCGAAATCGAGTGAGCTGTTTTAGCCACTGTTACCAGGAGACAAGGAGAGCGGAAGCAGGTCATGATGGTGACTGTTGTTGTTGAGACGGGCCGGGCTGCTGAGGTGTGACTTGTCCAGAACGCGACGCGCGAGACGCTCACATGAACTTGTGGTACCTGTGCCTCCAGACTGACAGACCACCAGCAGGCATGCGCCAGAGCCCGAAGCCATCGCTGCTCGCTGTCCCGTCAACGTTGCTTACCGGTTATTATGGTAAAGTTGTTCCGTAAGCTTCTGCCCTGCGCCGACCCTGATCGAGACGCGTCGCGTCGCGGTAGTTTTCGGGTGCGAAAGTTCGGGAGGGGTGAGGACGTCGATCCCTCAGCTCCTTATTAGCGCATGCAGCAGTTTTCTGTTTCTTGTGCATCCCAACCTCCCAACTCTTTCATTCCGCCGGCCACAAAGGAGCAGCTGGCTGTCCCGTTCCTCTCCCCTGACCCTGTTTGCGTTCGTTCATCGTTTCAGCATTGTCTCTGTGCGGCCTGTGCGTTGATCGTGCCTCCGTCCATCCCTATTGTCATTTGATGCGTACACACCGTGTCTATATATACGTCTCTTCATCTCCCCCGCCCCTTCCTCTTACCTGTTCTCTTTACTAACTATAGCTATAGGGTTGATCCCGCAAATACCTATTATATACCCTCCATACCCTGCCCACCTCAGTCGCTCTTTACAATAGTAGCCGTCCCTAAGTCTCAACCCTCAAAGCCCCAAACACCTTACGTCTCTCCTCACTCTCTGTGACCTCTATCTTCGGTCCCAATCTCGTCACCTCGCGATTCGCCACCATGGTCTCCTCCACCTTCGTCAAGCTGAGCTTGTCACTTCTCTTCCTGACCACTTCGGTCTCGGCTCATATTGGCAAGTCTTCTTGAGATGAATCGCTTCTAAAAGCTAATCCCAAATGCAGCTCTCTGGCATAACTCCTCCTATGGGTCAGTCAAGCTCCATACGTGCAGCTGAGAGGATCAATCAGGCTGACAATTCTTTGCGAGTAGATATGACGCGAACGATCCTAATCAGAGCGATCTCGTTCAGCCCCTCATGGACCTATCTTTCGGTGAGTCTCATTGCCATTATCTATCTATGACCCTTTCTGATTAACCACACATAGATGATTGGTGGTTCCATGGTAAGATCAACAGCGTAAGTACTTGTGCTTTTGGCATCGAGACATTGACTCACCGGAGCGCAGCCTCCTGCGGATGGTGTATTCATGGATCTCCCTGCGGGCGGTACCTTTCACGGCGAAGTGGCCTGCAACAAAGCTTTGACGTCCTTTGGTGAAGTACCCTCCAAGCAGACTGGCGAGTGGGCTTGCGAAGGAGATGGCTCTACAGGTGGTATTGGTGCCATGCACACCGCGTGAGTCGTCATCGTTGGATCGGCTGTGGCGGCGGTTACTGATCTCTATTCAGCGATGAGTGGGAAAGCAGCGACCCCCAAGATGTCAAGGGTTGTGGTATTGCTATCGCGTAGGTTCAACAGCTTCGCAGTTTCTAGAGCAAGGACTGACTGTCGCGTCCGAACAATCAGATACAAGAGCAATGTCTACGATATTCAACCCAAGGATTTCACTGTCATCACCGTCAATTACACCTGTCCATGGAAAAAGCACGTCGATTTCCAGATTCCATCGGATCTTCCTGCTTGCCCGGAAGGCGGCTGTCACTGTATGTGGGGCTGGGTACATGCTGCAGATTCTGGTAGTGAGCAAAACTACTGTAAGTTTGGCCTTGTCAGAGCCCAATCTGTTGCTCACTCAAGCCTAGTTGTTGGGTACCGATGCAATGTCACGGGCGCTACTGGTACCACTGCACTCCCTCAACGTTGGTCTCCAAAGCTCTCTCTTTAAGGTATCGCTGACTTGATCGTAGCCAACACTGCCAACAAGTGCGACTACCCCACAGATACCTCCAACTGTACGGTTGGTGCCAAGCAGCCTCACTACTGGTTTCAAAAGGAGAGGAACAACAATTATCAAGGCACCTATGACCCTCCATTCTGTGAGCAATGCCCCCGTCTTCAAAGAGGTTATATGGCTCATATGCTACAGATAATGGGGCGTATGGCTTCATGAATGGTGCCCAGACAGACTTGTTCGCCGCTGTCGGTAATACCTCCACGACTTCCAGTAACTTGACGACTTCTGCAGGATCAACAACCATTCTCGCTTCAGAGGTCTCTTCTGCAGGCGTCTCATCTTCAGCCGTCTCAACTTCAGCTGTCTCCTCGACAGCGGCATCTTCCTCGGCGTCTTCGGTCTCCAACTCTTCGACCTCATCCGTCGCGTCCCCCATCACCCTTACCCGCACGATCACAACGCACCACTACACTGCCACTGCCATGTCAACTGCCTCGACCTTCTCCTACTCAGCCTCCAGCTCTGCGTCTTTGTCGATCCAAGTCGCTCCCTCTTCCAGCGTCACCGGCGTCTTCGCTGCTGCTGGCAGCAGCAATAGCACCGTTAGCTATGTTGCTACAGGTAACCAAACGACTATCGCGGGCCACTGTATGAGCAAAAGATCGGGCAATAGGCTGCATCGGATTCGGGACGGTAGGAGAAGGAGCAGAGTCCTCCGTCGGGCTGTTGGCGGGGCCAAGGTCTGACGACGAGCGTCTTTCTCGTAGCTTCATGCCACTTGTGGCTCAGAGGCTTCTAAATTTGTAAATAAGAGCATTCCATGGCTGTGCCAGTGTTGCGTCTTGAATCTGTGTCTATTGCTGCTCCTTTGCGATCCATTTCTTGTGTGTACAGGTAGGCCTGGTGCCGCACGGTGAAAACAAACATATGCACGTCTATACTACCCCACAACGTTGCATCTCTGACGTGTGAAAGTATTGGTTGGGCTTGCCCGAAAGCTGAGTAGACGCTACATACATAGGCAGAAGTGATGGATCTGGAGTACGCGACGACGATGGCCTTCAGCCTTGAGCTTGGTGGCCCTTGATTACGTCAGCTAGTTTCATTCCTTCTGAACTTCTCTCGACGTTTTTGCTGCTGTGACTGAATCTTTCGTCTGCTTCAAGCCTGCTTGTGACCGTGGCACCCCCGCCGTTGTCATTGTTCCCATCCATCGATCGCCATGTCCTCGAAGCATGCTTCCGGTTCCGCCACGTCAAGCAGAGACCAGTCCCCAGCTGCCCCTGCGCCTGGTGGACAACAAATAGATCCGTACCGGGTCCTCTCAACTCATGTCAAAAAACCCTTGGCACCCCTTCTTCCAGGCTCAGAGCCTCTCCTTCCCACCCTTCTATCTCTCGACTCCACCACGTACTCTTCCAGGCTTTCAGGCAAGACCCTTCAGACGACGCCCGATCAACTATCGACTGTCTCTTCGCCTCTAGTCACGGGGCGAAAGAGGAACAGGGGGAATGCATTGGAGAAATCAAAAGCCAGAGCAGAATGCCAGGCTGCGAGAAAGGAAAGGGAATCGCTAGGTCATGAGGGTTTACGGAAGGTCAAGAGACGACTGGGGAGCGTAATCGGGAAGGGTCAGTGCATATCGTGAGTGGGTTGGCATAACCAGAGATCATGATTAATGTCATAAGGTATACCGCCCTGGTACCATTGTACCACCTGCATACGATCTACATCTGTCAACTGCTAGCGTTGCCTCCCCTACCCGCCTTGATCCCACCATCCCTACCGCCATCCAACCCGGAACCCCTACAGACCAAGATATCGAAAGCCGACTTCACAGGCATCTTTCTTTCTGTCATTGCGGCGCGCTGTGAAAGCCTGATTGGAATCAAAGGCATTGTCATCGAAGAAACTGCCGAGACGTTCAGAATAGTCGTCGAAGACGACAAGGTGAGAGTGGTCCCGAAACAGGGATCTCTTTTCCGACTGTCGTTCCCTGCATTTTCCCCTCCGCCCCAGAAGCCTCTTGCAGCAGGGATAGTCCCATCGCCCTACCCACAAGATCTCACGCATCATTTGGCAACATGTCCCCGCATCGAAATGGATCTGCTGGGATCGGCATTTGCCTATCGTTCAATAGACCGAGCGGGTCGAAAGTTCAGACCTGCTCAGGGAGGCGGAGGTGGTAGTGGGTGGGCAGATGGCTGGGTAGCAAAGGCGGGTGAGATGGGCCAGATGCTGGATGGGGTAGATGGTTGTGACCGCTTGAATAAGTCCGAGAAATCCGAAGCGAAGCAGGGCCCGAGCAAGCGAAAGAGAAACAAGTCGAGGAGGAAGGATTTGCCAGCCTGGGGCAATCTTTAGCCATACTCAAGTAGGCGGACACTACGTACAATGCATATGTTATAGTTGTGTCGGCGGTTTGAACATACAAGACGGGGTGACGAACGATGGATGCTCAGGAATGCAAAAAGCCAAGAGGCCCAAAAATACAATACATTCCTACAGAGTCTATCCTACAACGCCTGGAAGTTGATGGCATGCAATGCCCTCTGCCTCTCTACTTCATCCTCTTTCTTCTCTTTTTCGTTCAATCCCAGAACGACTGTTCCGAGGACAAGGACTGTCCCCAGTACGGCAGCACCTACCCAAGGCACCCAATCTCCAGGCTTGAGATACAACTGTGATTTCCACTCCGTTGATCGCGCCTTGACTGGAGACTGGAGCTCGAGAGTCTTGCGCTCACCGCTTTCTTCTTCAGATGCTGATGGATATGGCGGGTTGATCAGGACTTGTGAATTGGGGATGAGAGAATCGAGGTAGGTGAGATGGTTGGGAGGGAGAAGGGATGCACCAATGAACAATTTCTACAGAACGTATGAGCGCCAAATCTTATCAACCTGAATTCAGTGCTCACTTCAATGTAGTTATTGGTACGGCCGAGACCAAAGAAGGCATATGGAGTTTGTAAGGCTTGGTATCCTGTTTGAGGCAATTGAGCGACTGGAGCAACTATCAGCATTGCCGAAAGCCTCCTGATACCCTACGCACCTTGTTGGGCAACTCTATTTCCGACGGTGTCTAGAACAGCCAATTTGTAGGTGGCACCCGAATAGCTGACACCGAGGGGCTGTAGCACAACCGCAATCAGTCATGAAACACACCATCAAAAGGTCAGACTCACACTGTAGGACTTGCCGCCGGCACTTGGTTCACACTTCCCGCTACACACGCCATTCAGGACTAGACAGTGGTCAGTAAGAAGACAAATCAAAGACAGAGGACGAGGTGCACCTTCAGTCTTGAGGAAGAAGGCATCGTGGTAGAAATTGTTTTGAACGAATGTAACCTTCTCCTTGTCCTGTTTCCCTGATCGCTGCACCATGACATCCAAAGACCCCTGAGAGAGTGTCAGCCGAAACTTCAGAAACAAATGATTCACTTGCATCCTCATCCAAGTCCAGCCAGCTTGCCCCGATGGCGTCTTCGATCTCTTCTAGATCCTCCCAATCCTTCCCACCCCCGAGCCTCCAGCCTCTCGTGATGCCTTTCCCGCACCCCGCCACGTTTTTTCCGCATGTAATACTCTCCAGTATCTGCACTTGCGTGCCTTTGTCGGTGGACATGACGAATAGGAGATCGGGAAACCCATCGACATTGTAGTCGCCTGGTCGCAAGGGGGATGGAAGGGAGGGCTTGCCAGGAGCATGCAGGAGAAGCCCCAGCTTGGAGGTGCTTTGGGAGAGGGAGGCGATAGGTACAGAAATGAAATCCTTGAATGTGGTCAGGATCATAATCACAAGGAGGCAACCGTACTCACAGGATCATGATCGTCGAAAGCAAATTCAAACTTTTCATCAGAGATGCACATATCGCCCCAACCTCGACATTTCAAAACCCCTTCCTGGATCCATTGAGACGCTTCTGTGGAGCATAGCGGGACCTGCTTATTATAGGCGATGTTGATCTGGCAGTCAGATCCGAGGCCAGTGGATGAACTAGTCTGCGAACAGGTAGGGAACACGATATCTATTGATCCATCGCGATCTGACACGTGAGTGTAAGCATTGTAAATCATCGGTTGTAGAGTGACTCACTCATGTCGGCAAATGTGATGGGGCCGCTTCCGGGAGGTAGGTTGTAGTTGCGAGATAGGACATAGCCGGCGTCCGCTCGGTTTAGCCATATTTGAAGAGAATCCCCGGTGGTCCGGGTGCAGTGGAGAACCAGATCCGGTAAGCAGTCGCCGTCAATATCGATGAAGGCGCTGCTATGAGGGTTGGCCAGTGAGAAGACTTGGTCAATTGGTCTAAGAGGGGGCGTCTCTCTATGATCTTCTGTAAGCTTGTACCCGAGAAGGCAAAAGCTTGCTCACAATGAGAACCCGGTTCCGTTGTTCTTCCATGTTACTATGCCATCTGTGGATTCTGTGGGGTGGTAGCCTAATAGCGAGGGCCTCAAAGACCCATCAGCATCAAACACGATGGGCTGAGCTGGGGTAGAGATGGGCAACGACCATGGTTCTGGTTCTGGATATCCCAATCAGCACTGTCACTGATTAGGACGAGGGTCACCCACGGAAACCACCATTTGGTCCACCTCCAAGATAAACATCCATCCCCAACCGCTCCGTTTTCCCGCCCCACCAGCCCCCATCGGCAGACTTATCGTACATCAGTAGCAGATCCAGATGCCCATCGTGATTGAAGTCGCCCGGCACTATGTTGGAGATTGTAGAGGAAAGCGCGAGAGTGTGCGATAATTTGTACTTGAACTTGTCTGCGCAATCGTTGTCAGCTCTGCCCAACGACGCTATGAAAACCCGGCCGACCTTTATCCCACAGATATACTTGAACCGTCTTGCCGTCGTTCAAAAGCGTGAAGAGATCCAACCTTGCCGACTTGTCAGCGTCTCCAGTCAGACAGCACTCTACCACCTTACTTGGAGTCTGCGTTCCAGTCTCCAACAGCGGCGACTCTTCCGTCGAGCTTGCCGAGGCCTAATGAGCCTGCATCGATGAAAGCTTCGTCTTTGAACCGCTTCTCTTTGAAGGGCCAGATGGCTTGGGAGGGGGCTGAGAAGAGGAGGAAGGAGAGGAAAAGAGCGAGCTTTGAGGCGGGCATCTGCCGTGGTCTGGTCGAGGAATAGCTGCCGAGTGCGATCTACCACAGACGATGAAATTGTCAACACATCTGCGACAACAACGCGCGGATCTCGCTGACGTAATCACCGGCAATCGTCTGTGGAAGGCCGAAGGCCAAGCCGTCATCATATCAGATCTTTTCAACGAGTTTCTTCCTCTATCTCGTCTTGAAATTCCCAGAGAGGCAGCAGCAAGATGAGAGAAGTGTACCAAGGGGAAGCCCCTTCAGAATCGTCGACAGCACCCAGAGTCAGCCAGCTTGATTCTGATGAGCTCGATGAAGCTCTCGTTTCCATGCTCGGCGAGAGAGTATCGAGGTCTTTGGACAACTTTCGGGTGGGTCAGAAGTGGTCGTTGTAGAGGCAGAAGCTGATTCCGGTCATAGTCGAGTATGTCCTGGGACCTAAAGCCGGAACTAGAGCTCGTGATCAAGCTCGTCGTGTTTAGATTCGGGGTATGGGATCCACTATCGCGAAGCTCTCCGGGGGCAAAGCTGCAGAACTTGAAATTGGTATTGGACCCTAGATCAAGGCTCAAATGTAAGGTCTCGAGCTTATAGTGCTTGCTGCAACTGACATTGAACAGCCACACGGAACGCTTTACTACTCTACTTGATACTTCATCCTCCATTATTTCTTTCCTATATATTGAAGCGAATCCGCCAACACGCACTCTCACAACAATGGCCAGATCTTCCCCAGCATGACTGGCGGCTTAAGTGCTGGAAGGCTATAGGAAGAGTAGAATCAGTCGCCAACATGTGGGCGGCCGTTAGCTGGGCCATGTTTCTTTGGGATGGAAAGTAAGTACTTCCCAGACTCTCTTGCAGCTCTGCTGATGGCTTTGTAGATATCCATCTCTCCTGCTGCGCCTTCTCGGCCTACGCCTTACTCCCTCCCAGCCCCATTTATCCAAACTAGTCTCCTACGAGTTCATGAACCGCCAACTCGTATGGAACGCCTTTACCGAGTTCCTCATGTTTGCGGTGCCCCTCATGCCGCCCATGGTTTCATCTTCGGCGGTCTCGCCGCAAGAGTGGCTAAAGCCCATACGAGGACTTTTCTCACAGCGCACGGACATCGACTATCAATCGCTACCGATCATTCCTCCCGCTGAGCTTGCTGCCGAGAAACGAAATGAAGTCAAAGTGCACAAGGGGCCTCTGGCTCACCTACCAAAGACAACCTGCCCCATCTGCTATCTTCGCCACACCTCTGCCCCTGTGCCCCTATCATCCTCCTCCCAAGGCACATCCATCAGCCTGCCTCCGCTGCCTACTGGGGCAGCAGATTCAGCGGCCGCCACGGAGGATAATGAAGATAGAATCTTTGTACCAGCCCGGACAGACTGCGAGGGAGAGTGCGTCTGGTGCTATTATTGCATAGGGGAAGAGCTATACAGAAACCAAGAGGAGGTGGCACTCAAGCCAGTATCCAAAAACGGGCCAGAGGAAAGCGATACAGAGGAAGGCAAGTGGAGTTGCCTGAGGTGCGGTGGAAAAGTCGGCAGGGCATGGCGAGTTGGTGTGGACGAAGACGACTAGGATCTTTTCGAATTGTTGTATGATACATGAGGCTTTATAGAGTGTTAAACGCGATATGTGACGACCATTCACGATGCCGCTATCAAGCCCCCGCATTACCCATAGCCTTCTTTAATCGCTGCCTCAGGACTTCATCCCTCGAAATATTAGCCGTCGAGCTCGTACCCCCGTTGTCGACGTGTGACTTTGATGAAGTAACCCCTGCATCTTCGGCCTTAGGCGCTTCTGATACAGCGACAACAGGTTTGGATTTGAGGGGAGACAGGGGGACAGGTGTGTGGGCTGTAGGAGTGGCTACTTCAGACTCGGGCCCAGGAGAAGGGATGACGATGGCGGGTTCATCGGTAGGTTTCAATCTGCGGATAGTCTCGATGCAGACTGCTCGTCGTTGCCATCTCCGTCTTCTGGTAAACTATGCCCAATATCAGTGGCGATCTGGCCTTTCAGTAAACCCAACGTACCTTGCCCAAGCCACCCTTGGGACCCACGTTCTCCCACTTGTTGTCGCCATATACCCAACCGTCATTGTCCGTCGCCGTATCCGTTTCCGGTACAGTCTCTGTTGGCAGGTTCCCTGCACCACCCGCCACGGTTGGCGCCGTTATTGACGCCGCATCGTCTTGAATCACAGTATCATGACTCCCCTTTCGATCCCTCAACAATTCCCCACTCTTCCTCGGTGAACTATTGACAGCAGCACCAGGCGTCCCCGAACTGACTGCTCTGCCCTTGAGCTTCTCGAGGCCCTTGGCGAAGGCTTGCTCAGCCATGGATTGGGCCCGAGTAGGAGAGAAGGGAGCATCGTCGGACTGGGCCGTCGGCGAGGTGCCAAAGCCACTGATGAATGATGAAGGGTGGGCATTCTGGGCTGTCGGCTGAGCGGCCGCATCGTCTGTTTCGGTATCCAGGTCACGAGGTATGGGAGCAGAAGGAGCTTTGTTTTCAACATTAGAAAGCCCCGGGCCAGCTCGCACGATGGACCAGTCGTCATCCAGCCACTTCCACTCTGCCGATCGTCTGATACGGGCATACCTGTTCGTCATGGTGGCTGTATTGATGACGATGGAAACCGGCGCAGGGAGGGTGAATGAGGAAGGCGGCGATACTGGGAGGACATGCGAGTCACACCAGCTGGGACGCTCTTGAGGAAGAAGAGCCGACGTCCAGTCGAGGCCCATCCACCATCGCTGATTCTCGTGAATCTCGAAGCGAAAATAGATGGGGTCTTCCACCTTGACACTATCATCCTCTTGTTCTTCCTTCTTGTCAACGTGAATGCTGCTTTTCTCGGCCGGCTTTCGGAAAGAAAAGGTGGATGATGGCCGACGTGAAGCGGTCCACTTGGACTTGAGCCAGCCCCAAAGCGAAAAGTTGAGTTTGAAGCGGTACGACGTCTCGGGAGGTGACCCGAACGTAAAGAGGAACGCCAATGCCAGCAGCTGCCTAAAGAACAGCGAGTTTGACAACAGCGTGATGAGGTGGGCCAAAGGAGGCGAAGGCAAGAGAAGAGCGATGCTACCGAGCAGCGCCAAGAGCGTCCTGTAACCAAAGACAAACTGGCCTAGCACGAGCCACGTCCCCCAGATGACAACCAGACCTCTAACGAGACGCACGACACCGAGCTGCCTAAAACGGGCGTAGATGTCTGATGTCGCTGGCAGAGGCGATGCGGGCATCAGAGCGTAGACCGCGTTGATGTCAGCCAATGTGAGGAGAAGAGTGTCGGGTGTGGAAGGGGAAGAGGGGGTGTTGTCCGGAAGCTTCTTTCCTCCCTGCTTTAGGCGCAGAGTGGTCAAGGGTATCAGCGGCAGGAAGAGAAGAGGCGGCAACAGATACCTGCAGCAGCGTGAGCAAGGGATGACGGTACTTTCTGGAAAGGACGGACCGGAAGGCGGGCTGCGAGCCTAGACAGAGTGCCCACCATGCGGCGACGACCATCCAGCTCTCGACTCTCCTGCCGGGTGTCCAGAGGAGTACCTCGAGGGCATGCCTTGCTGCTTTGATTGGGCGGGCGAAGAGGACTAGGAGCCTGAGGTATGGGGCGGGGAGGGATGCGACGAGGTCGTGGGACTGGAGCTGGGTGGTGGGGGACGGGAGTGGCGGTGGGGGCATGTCCTCGCTGTGGTGGCAGGCTGTAAAGTAGCTCGTCGAGAATTCCTCACAAAGGCCAATGACCGACCCAAGCCCCGGACATCCGTCATGGCAGGCGGACATGCCCGCGCGTTCAAGATTTTACGGCCACCTGCCATTCTTGTCAACAAATCGCAACTTCATCTCGCATATCCCACCAGCTACCTGCAACACCCGACATGGCCGGCAGCACAAAGCAAGCACAGAACAAGGGCAGAAGAAGCTCTCCCAAGCCAGCTTCAGATGAGCTCGTACTCGACCAGAAGGAAATCATGAGGGCCATGCTGGCCATGCAGAAGGGGAAGCAGAGGGAGGACTCTGGCAGCGATGATGAGTCGGGAAGGGACGAGTCGGAAGGGGAAGCGTCGGAAGAGGAAGGGGAAGGGTCAGCAAGCGAGGCAGAATCTTCGACGTTTGCCCAACAAAATCTCAAGCGACGCCGCTCATTGTCGCTGTCCCTCGGAGAAGAGTCTGAGCCAGAGGTGGCGCAGCCGCCGAAACAGACTCAGGGCAGGGTGGAAGTATCTCGTACCGCCACTTCTACAAAGACTCCTGTCAAGGCTCAGCCAAAACCGACTGGTCTTCAATCTGCCCCCAAACCCGCCGCTGGGACATCTTTTGAAGATCTCGGGCTATCCCAGCCCATCATTAGAGCGCTGGCCTCTATCAGCATTACAAAACCTACAGAGATTCAATCCGCTTGTATTGGCCCGATCATGGCTGGAAGAGACTGCATTGGAGGCGCCAAGACGGGTAGTGGTAAAACGATGGCATTTGCCCTTCCGATACTAGAGAGGATCGCTAGAGATCCGTTCGGTGTCTGGGCGGTTGTGCTCACACCTACTCGGTGAGTCTATAATAACATTGCGAAGAGCCGATTAATGATCAATTAGAGAACTCGCCTATCAACTCACTGAACAATTCCTCGCCATTGGCAAGCCCCTTGGCCTCACTACGTCCACCATTGTCGGCGGTATGGACTCTATGAAACAAGCCAAAGAGCTCGAGGGCAGACCGCACATCATTGTCGCTACCCCTGGTCGTCTGTGCGACTTGCTGAGAAGTGGTGGTGTTGGGCCAGGCAAGCTGAGTCGAGTCAAGATGCTGGTGTTGGATGAGGCGGACAGGATGCTCACGCCGACGTTTGCCCCTGATCTTGCGTATCTGTTCTCACAGGTACCTGCAAAGAGGCAGACATGTCTGTTCACGGCTACTGTGAGCGAGGCCATCATGGACCTGGCCAACAAGCCGCCGCCTCCCGGCAAGGAGGCGCCCTATGTATACCGAGTAGCATCCGAGTGAGTCGTTGCAACTTTGTCGGCTTTGCTAACTCTACAATAGCACGTTGACCGTTGCCAACTTGAAGCAAAAGTACCTCTTTATCCCCAGTCAAATCCGTGACCCCTACCTCCTCTACATCCTGCAGAACCCTCTCGAGGATATCGACATTGCCCTCCGTATTGACCCCAAAAAGGCCAAGGCCCAAGAACGCGAAGCCACCATGGGCAACAAGAGAGGGAAAAAGTCTAGGTCCGACCCGGAACCTGCGGAAGAATCACAGTCTATCCCATCCATAGTCATCTTTACCCAACGCTGTGCCACCGCCCATCTCTTGCACCTCCTTCTCAACTCTCTCGACATCCCCTCCGTGCCCCTCCACTCTCACCTGACCCAGCCCCAAAGGCTTCTCTCCCTTGCCCGGTTCCGAGCTCATGAAGTGCCTGTACTTGTCACCACAGACGTTGGTTCGCGTGGTCTCGATATCCCCGAAGTCGCGATGGTGATCAACTGGGATTGTCCCCGCAGGGCAGACGACTATGTCCACCGAGTGGGTCGTACCGCCCGAGCGGGCAGGGGAGGTGTAGCGGTGACCATAGTGACCGAGAGGGATGTAGAACTGGTCAAGGTGATTGAGGATGAGGTGAATGTCAAGCTGGAAGAGTTAAAGTTGAACGAGGATACTGTGTTGGAAGGGTTGAACAAGGTGTCTATGGCGAGGAGATTAGCGACTATGGTGAGTGCAATGTCGCAATCGCTTGCTGCCGCTAACTGGTCTGTAGGAAATGCACGACTCGGGCTTTGGGGAACGACAGGCTCTGAATAAGGCCAAGCAGATCAAGAGGCAGAAAAGGGATGCCACAAAGTAGAATAGATAGTTATCGTCCATGCATATGCAGCATTATCCTTCTTCCTTCGGTACGACCGCTCTTGGGGTCCTGGAACACGTTCTGCATCCCAGTTGACTGCCCTTGATTCACCATGAGACGCCCAATATTATGGCCGGCGGGCTCGAGAAACGTGCAAGCCCGAGGCAATCACGACATTCTTCAAGCGCGCCGTTTTTTCCAGCGTCCAAAATTTGATGTCTCTATCGTCTCGTCTTCCACGACTCGTATCCCATTCGCCCTCTCGCTCGGTTCTTCTCAATCCCCAGCCTCTCAAGACATATACAAGAATGGAAGACGGCCAGAAAGGTGCGTCGGATGCGTTGAAAATCAGGGACAGAGCTGATGCGCGCATTCTCTCGTTCTTGTCTTTTCTGTGACACCTGTACAACAGTTCTCGTCGGTTGCATCGGTGGCTCTGGGTTGTACAACCTCGACAACCTGACTCCTGTGTAAGATTCTCCCCTCATGCATACCTGCGCCAGCTCACAGTCGCCCCAGCAAGACCCTCGATATCACCACCCCCTGGGGCAAGCCTTCTTCTCCCATCACCATCTCCTCTCTCCCCACCGGCGAGCTCATCGCCTTTATCTCTCGTCATGGAACTGCACACACCATTACCCCCACCGAGGTCCCCGCGCGCGCCAACATTGCCGCTCTCAAGCACATTGGTGTCGAGGCCATCATTGCCTTCTCTGCCGTCGGCTCTCTGAGGGAGGAGATTGCCCCGGGAGACTTTGTCATTCCCAACCAGATCATTGACAGAACCAAGGGTATCAGGGAGGACACCTTCTTCAGGGGTGAGGGGCTCGTCGTTCACTCTATGTTTGGGGAGCCATTCAGTGAGAAGCTCAATGCGTTCGTGGCGCCCCGAGTGGAGAAGATCTTGAAGGCGCAGGGCGAGATCAAGTTGCACACTGAAAAGACTGTTGTGTGTATGGAGGGTGAGCTATATCTTTTAGATGTGTTGAGCTCGGAGCTGACTTCTCCAGGCCCTGCGTTCTCTACCCGAGCCGAGTCCCTCATGTACCGTCAATGGGGCGGCGACATCATCAACATGTCTGTCATCCCCGAGGCCAAGCTCGCCCGTGAATGTGAACTCGAGTAGGCCATGCGTATAATTGAGTGATCTGCTTTGCTGATAGCCCACAGCTACACCCTTATTTGCACTTCCACCGACTTTGACGCCTGGCGAACCGGTCACGACCCCGTCACTGTTGAAGAGGTCGTCAAGACGCTTCACACCAACGCCGGCAACTCGCGAGCTGTCGCTGCTGGCATCCTCCAGGAGGTACACGCGCTTGTCAGCGAGCGCAAGGTCCTGACTGATATCAAGGGGAGCATGAAGTTTGCTTGTGTTACCAGGGCTGATGTGAGTCTTTCTCGGATCGTCAGATGAGTTTGTTTGCTGATAGTTTGGCTAGGTGCAACCTGTTGAGTCCAGGAAGAAACTGTCTTACATCTTGCCTTACTTTTCCGACTAGACGACCGCAGGCCGCAGGAACATCCAAGGAACATAGATAAGATGCAAAAATGAGAAAGGGCGATTTTCGTGGCAACTGTAAATTATGTCTGGGACCTGTTCAACGATCGTGTTCCACGTTTGCTAGATGCTACACCTTTTTCTTTACCATGAATGAGATGCTCCTATGTAGATCATATAGACGAAATGGAGTCGGCCGGCTGGCATGGAGAATGGATGGTAGCTTCAAGCCCAGGTGCACCGCGCAGGGCGGACGTGTGGCAGAAGGTTGAACGATAACGTCTCGCTTGGTATGGTCTCCGTCCAACATGTTCGCGCTCCAAGCTCCAAGACGCCGTATGTACCTCTGCGCGGGCACGATCATTCAGACATGACCCTTTTTTGACACTCGAACGACTCGACACACCTTGACAAGCTCAGTGATGGGTGACAATGAAGCAAGGCTGGTCGGTGGTATGTCAGACTTGCCCTATGCCCCTCAGAGATAAGCTTCGGCGGTGACCGCCCGTCCGATTGATGGGGCTGGACCTGGTGCTGGGAGGGAGGCAAAAGTTTCCGGCGCGCTTACCGAAATTACGGCAGGCTGTCGCGCACCCTGAGCTTTTCCCTGTAACGACGTCACACCTTCCCACGGCTGCGCCCCATTTCCTCTATCATCGACTGTCATGTGCGCGTCGTACTTGTACATACGGGCGAGAGGGCGCAGCACAGATCCCAAAGGTGGGCTATGTGACATATATGTGCACCATGTGTAGCCTGTATGTAGTCTGGATGTCCCTCGGGCGGAGCCTCATCTGCACCCCCATCTGCATATTCCAACATCCGCGAGCCCCAAATAAGCAGGGCTGCGACTTTCGGCAAGATCACGTACAGTCACTGCCAAATTGACTTGGCTTTTCTCCTCGCAGCTTTGCCTTTCCTGCTGCAGATCGCCCTGGGCATCAGTACATAGCGCTGGGCTGTGAGAGATGCATGGCAGCTTGCATACGTACCCAAGTGCTGGGCATTGTGGCAGAGGTCGTTCAACGTGGCGGGTGCAAGCGAATGAATGCCGCGTCATAAATCTAAGGTGCCTGTTTCTGATCCCTATTTTCTTCCCCTGTCTTCTCGCCATCGCGCCAGGACGGGCTAACCAAATTCTTATGCGAGCTGCTAACTGCTAATAGCTGCTAGTGTGCCCCCGTGTTTACTCGTTCATATATTCACATCCCATCTCTTCTTTCCCCATATACTAACCCCGTCTCGCAGGCAAAACCGGTCGCCACACCCTATAGACCGTTCCCATCGCCCCATTCCGCCATGTTCCAGTCCAGCGCCCTCTTGGGCTTCGCCGCCGCCTCCTACCTTTTTGCCGGGGTCAACGCGTTCGGTGTGCAGAGTTATCCCAACATGTTCTTCGGGCCTTCCAATGTCGTCAAGAACGACTGGTTTCAGGGCATTGACTCTCGATGGGCTAGAGAGATGAGCGAATACTGGGCAGATCAATTAATAGAGACCGGTCCTTGGTGTAAGTTTTTTTTCTCCTCTGCGAGCGGGAAAGCTCAAGTGGCATATGCTGATTCGGATGCCCTGCAGCTGTGACGAACAAATCCTACACGGCAAAGTCTGGCGACAAGAAGTGAGGAGGCTCGCCATCAAATCGAGGCGTGTTTGCTAATATTCACCATCAGGGACTATCTCTCCTGGGCTGTCTACCACTGGCCTGACTGCTCGGATGTCGGCAACACGACTGAACTCACGGACGAAGAGAGTGAGTCATCTGGCGAACTGGGTCAAGGGTCATGCTGACCCTATACTAGTCTATGATGAGTGCACATACGTCACGAAGGATGGTCAAATCAACCCCGACACTCAGCTTGGTATGTCGAATGTGGCTCAATCTGGGATTAATCGCTGACGCGCGGAACAGTGCACGACAATGACGCTCTGCAGAACATGAGTAACAGCATCTACCTTTCCGCGCTGGCCTACCTCCACACTGGCGATTCCAAATATGCCACTCACATCAACCACGCTCTCGACACTTTCTTCGTCAACAACGCGACGAGCATGAACCCCAACTTGAACTATGCTCAGGTCATCCGTGGCCCCGGCGACCAGCTGGGAAAGCACACTGGTGTTCTTGATTTGGCCTGTATGGCCAAGATTGCTAGCGGAGTGTCGGTGATGAGGGAACTCCAGCCTACGGAGTGGGACCAGGCCACAGATGACGGTGTCACGTCTTGGGCTTCAGACCAGCTTGAGTGGCTTACGACCAATGAGCTGGGTATCGGAGAGAAGAACTCTACAAAGTAAGCATCATTATGCCAATTCCATCCGTATCGACCCTGACGCGCTGGCAGCAATCACGGTACTTTTTATGTCAACCAAGAGTAAGTTGCGCCTTTTTCCCACCCCCCATCTCTTGAGTGGCCCGCTAATCAATCCACAGATGCGCTCTCCACATCATTCTAAACGACACGCAATCTTGCGCCGACGCGTTGAACGAGTTCTACACGACCGGACCCTTCCAAAACCAGATTGACGCCAACGGTGACCAATCTCTCGAGTCTGCCCGTACTCGTCCCTACCATTACCGAGCTTACAACCTCATGGCTCTGATCACCAACGCCCAGATGGGTGACTTTGTTGGTCTTTCGCCTTCTGCTTGGGAGAGAACCACCGCGTCAAACGCAACTCTGATGGACGCCCTCACCTACGCCATGGCTCAGAACTATACCGACACAGACGAAGATAGTCAAATCAAGATGCTTAACCCTGTGGTCGCTGCCGTTGCCTCCAAGTACGGCGACGACGACGGCACCTACGCCGCCTTCTTGAAGCAGACAGACCCCTACTTCCCCGGTCAGCCGTACTTTGCCCTCAACGAGGGCCTGAGCGACGCAGGCATCAAGCAGGGTCTGTTGGAGACCACCTACGGGTCTGTGCCAGCGCAGCCTACGGTCGGCTCTGGTGACCCTGATGATCTCATCCACAGGAGAAAGAGAGAGTGGAAGCCCAGAGGTTCTGGGTGGCCCAGCGCTGCGCCCACACCCGCTCCATAAATGGAGATGGTGAGGTTTTTTGTGAGGTTTGGACAAGAATCAGAGCATTCTTTGCGAGAGAGTGTAGACATGACGTCGGGCTGCGTGCTTGGGTTTGCCGTTGCTCTATTGCCATTGTGCTCTCGAGGCGTGCTGGCTTAAAGACTGAAAGACGTCTATTAGATTTCGATTTCCCACGGTGTCGTAGGACGGACACTTACCTTTGACCTTTTTCTTTTTACCAACCTTGGACTTTCTTTAGGGCGTCCACATTTAATCATACAAGGCCGGGCATTTACCACCTTTTGTTGTATACCAATCTTGGCGTCGTAGGAGGATAACACACGATGCACTTCTGTAGCATATCATCAACGATAGCGCGAGGATAGTGCTGCGGTAGAAGAACAAAGCTTTACGCTGACGAAAGCAGACTGATCGCTCACAGCTTTGTGGATTTTCCTTTGCAGGCTGGGGGGCAATTTGGGAGTAGTATTTGACCGAGAGGTTGATTGCTGGGTGCTATCACACTGGTAAGCATATGCCGTCATGCACCTGCGCTCCACATACTTGGTTTGGCTACACTTCATGGTGATATTACAATCCTGCGTGGCTTGGGACACTGCTAGGAGTTGGGCTAGCCAATTTGTCCTTGTCTCTGCGACGGATGTAGGGTTGAATGATGGAAAGACATTCGAGCGGTCGCGGTAGGCCTCAAAAATGCGCAAGCCACAGGATTGAGCCTCAGTCGTTATTTATGAGGCCATAGGGTATGGTCTGGACTGGTCGGGGGCGATATCGAACCTCGGTACGAGACTGCGGTGGCCGTAGTTGACAGGGTAATGGAGAAGAAGAGAGCAGTACATGTAAGAAGAAGGATGACATGCGTGGGAACCAGATGGGCTGTGAGTCATGTACGGAATAGTACATGAGGCATGCATGGTGTTTTTTCTCGAGATCCCTCCCCGACGCACCGCTCATCGGTTGGCGCCGAAGGGATGCCCGCTCGCGGCAACATCGCGTACACGCAAAGCGGTGACCCTTTACATATACTAGCCCACGGTCGTCGTCGCAAGGCATAACATATGCGTCTCGACATCCCATTGTATGCATATGATAGAGCAACTGCGTCAGCCATCGTGGGCGGACTTCGTAGCAAGAGGAATGAAGGAGGCAGACCTCCATCGGCGTTCGCATTGGACGATCAGGCTAGACCATGAATGGCCTCGTGTCTGGCCAAGCACCGGTAGGCATGCATCCTGCGCATGATACTCTGGACCGGCCATTCCAGATGTCAAGCATGATCATACCTCGTCATTCGAGACTCGTCTTGCCCTTCATCAACAAAGGGGAGTGGCGGACATGTCCGGTACTCGTACCGAGTATGGTGGTGGAGGGCCTGAACGCGTTTACCAAAACAAAGCGCGCCTGATGAACGTCTCTCTATGCAAAGTCTATCCTCGACAATCCAAGAGCCATCCAGTACTGGCCACGTTCGAGCTGCCTCTGATCCGGCCCGTTTCCCTCCCACAGACCCTCACCCCTGCTGGACCAGACTGTCATTGGCGCAGACCACGCCGACGGTCACCATGCTCCCGGACCAGCCATCACCGACCGTCATCAGCTCCCGCAACCTTCAATCAACACTCTCTCATCCATCGCAACATACTGTCTCTTGGAATGATGATGGACAGTGCCTTGTGTTGACCACAAAGAGGATATACGTATCTGTAAGCGCTCAGAATGATATGCGTTCAAACTGACTGACCTGTTTTTGCAAGACCCCTTATCTTGCCACCAGACGTCCGAAGCCAATCCGTCCCCTGGATGACCGGTCAATCAAGTCGATACTGAAACTGCAAAAGAAGAACCCCGTCAAAGTAGAAGACCATAGTGACGCGCCATCACAGACAAAGCGGGCCAGACGCTCTAAGCGCCCTGCAGGAGGAGAGATCGAATGGTGGACAGTCGAGGCCCAGGTGAATGACTTCAACAGGAAGGAAGCTTTTGACAGTGACGGTACGTGCTCGTCGCTGTACGCGGCGGCCCCCAGACTGACACCAGTGCAGTGCCGTCGCTGTGTGCTACTATCGGCGGAGAGGGCGATCCTCTACGACAGGCTCTATGGTCGCCTTCCGGCATAGCACCTTCAGGAGGGTAAGTATCACAAAGAGGGCTTTTCCCTTCCGTATTGGCTGACAGTAGTGGGATAGATGCCTTATGTGTATCCTCACGGGCTCTGGCCGAGCTTTGATATTTGCGCCTGATGGTGATCCTCAAGCTGAACCTTGGCTGGAGGTGAGTTGCATCATACCCGGCAGCTGGATCTGATGTTTTCCCAGATCGAAGAACTTGCCCTATCGTCCCGAAATTCAGCATCACCGTCTTCATCCCCGCCAGAAGAGAAGATGGATCCACAGGAAGATGATGTTTTGGAGTCGCGGTCGACTTGTGCGTTTACTGTCGCACTTCCGCTATCAAGTTCTGAAAACAATTTGCAGGTATCGCTTGGTCCAAGCACATCCCTTCTACAGATATGATGGGAGTCGATGGTAGTGTCATTGCCGTTGCCAACCGATCCGGCAGTATTGCCCTATGGACGTACGTTACCCAGCATCGGCTTTGTACCCCGCTGAACTTGACAACTAGATATGCCGCACAAAAGACATCAACACAGCTGGACTATTTACGGATGTGCCCAGTGGGATCTTGGTCAACACAGATGGCATGGTCGGAATGGACGCCTCTTGACGAGGACACATGTCAGTGAATACGCTTAATCCTAGGCTGTCCCCTCTCTAATCTGCCATTTGCCCATAGATAAGTCACGCCTGGCTTTCTGTGTGTCTGACGGATCTATCAAAGCCATTGACGTGACGAGAACCGCCAAGACTGGAGGGAGCAAAAGGAAAAGCTGGGAATTTCAGAGGGACGATATAACGACTCTTGATCACGGAGATGGGCGAGTGATCACCTCGCTGAAATGGATCAACGTGAGCACTTCCGATCAAGTTGCATGACTACTAATACACTCGAAAGAACGTCCTCGTATGGACGAAGGCAGGCACAGTGCATATGCTGGCAGATGACGAGAGCCGGAATATCTCCTGGCGGGGCTTTCGTTCATTTGAGCTCGCCAGAGTTGGTCACTGGGCTGGCGCAAGCCCTTACAGCCAAGTCATTAGTGAGTGCGAGGCAAGTCTTACGCCCTGTCACTGACGACCAACAAGGTATCGAGCTGTTGAACCCTACCACGCTCCTTGTTGTTCAATCATCTCTTTCGACACACCTTATACAGAGCTTCGACTCCTCGCCGGCTCTGGTCCCTATCACCGAGTCATTGCAGGTGGCGCTTGACGCACGAAGAATATCGCTGGAGAATCTGGATACCGTACCGGCTCCTCAGCTAGACGGCTGCGATGGGCTGGAGGAAGATGGGTGGACCACGCATACGTCGGGATGGGCGCGGGTGGGCGATTGGGGTAGGAGCATAATTTGGGCGACTGAGTGAGATATTTGTCTCTAATCATGGTTGGCATACACTGACAATCCAAAGGTTGACGAGTTTCCAGACACTCCATATAGAGAGCGAAGCGCACCGCTATGTGCACCTCATCATGGCCGAAATATGTGCTTCGACGGTTTCGGACGAGGCCTTCACACAGGCACTCACGAAGACCTTGCGGAGTCCCCGTGTCTGTGAGTATCTTCGAGGCCAAAAGAATCAGCGCAATCACTGACCAATCATTGGCCAGTGGTTCACATCTCTCCGCAATATGTCCTCATGCCATTCATGCTACACATGCTCACATTGTCGCCTTCTGACACCCTCGCGGCCGATGTGCAAGAACTCGTACTGCTGTGCCTACAGAGGACGGCCGAGTATGACTCTGCACTGGCGTCTCAAAACCTTGTCGTCGGCCTATGGAATGATTCGTCGCTCAATTCGCTCCGCCTTTGCCTGATTCTAGCCATCTGGTGTACCGTGAGTCTCGTCGTCAAAGATTTCCGCGCTAAGAGATAAGCCTAACAACCTTCGCAGTCGATTTTCGATCAGTCAACAACCGAATCCCAGCTTTTGGTCTCGAAGCTATCGAAGAAAATCCGCTCGTATCTTATCACCCTGAAGCTAGCGTGGTTGAGCATCACAATCGATACACATACGTCACTCGGGCCCTTCGACCGACGATTCATCGCTCGCCTTATCAAACTCGTTCAAGAACCATCGGACCCGAGTGGCATCTCCGCGCCGGCCGACACTATCCAATCCAGTGCTCGGAATTTGTCAACTTTGTTGGGCTTGGACCAAGATAGCGAGGCATCGGCCGATGAGCGTTGCCCCATTTGCATGGCCGAAGGCGAAGATGGCGGCGTGTGCAAGAACGGACATTCCATGCGTGAGTTGTTTCGGCTTCTAGCGAAGATAAGGAAATGGCGCGTGCGTCATTACAATTCTCGTTGGACAATTACAAATGGGCGCCTTTTGAAAGTTGAACCAATGGGAGGCGCCGCATTTCCCTCGACACCCCATGTTCTTCTGCATTTCTTCACATCACATACAAAATGCATGGACCAAGCTGACTTTTTTCATAGCTGAGCGCTGCTCTCTGACGGATCTCCCTATCACGTCCGAAGCGCCCCGTGTCTGTTCAATCTGTCTGGCGCCTGCTTTCCCAAACTACAGCAGCGGTGACCCCATGACTCAACATGGCGTCAATCGGCCGACACATCAAGATACGGTGGTGCAAATGGTGTTGGATAGTGCCATCGGATGCGCCATTTGCGGTGGCCGATGGATCACGAAAAGCAAAAGACGCGCGTTGGAGTAGAGGTCAGAAACCGGAGACCGAAGTGTTGCGAAGCGCGAAGAGAGATACCTTATCTCTAGTGCGTTGGTTTGCCGAGGCAAAGCCCGTGGCCCGTGGTCGATCGCCTTGAATGAGACTGACCAGCCAATGGCGAGCCACGTATATGCATTGATCGTCTGTCCTGATTATAGACGAGCCAATCCCGGCCGTTGTGAATGTCAGCCTCGTTTCAATTAAGATTATCAGCGAGGTTCGCTCAGGGCACAGGAACAACGATAAGAATTGGTTCATCATGCGTGCTCTAAGTTCAGTTGTAAGAGTCGGCGTTATATCTCGAATGTCCAAGCGAGAAAGCTCGATTTAGTCATTCGGGTGCTCGCACACTCGGAAAGTAGATTGGTGGCCTCGGTGAACGTGGAGGGGCCAATGAGAGTGTCCCAAGTCGAAACAGCGATGTACATACGCGAATCGGTGTCTGCTGGGTTATCAAGCATCGCAGCTATGGCCTAATGCCTCAATTATATGCCTCACAACTTCATGTTGAACTCATCGGAGAGAGACGTCATTTCATATCAGACGAGTCTCATCGGCCGTAGTGTCCTGCGGCTCCTGCCCTTGGTGTGCCGTCTGCCCGTCTGCGCAATTGAGACTGAATGACAAGCGCATGGTATAGATGTGGTCAGCATGTCTGTTGTCCGATTCATGCGAAGGTCAAGGCTGCTAGACCGGCTTTTCGACTGTCACAGATACTTTGAGCCTCGGCCAGTCGAGGGAATGCCGTGCGGTGTGCTGACTCCAATCTGATATGTGCATTTGACATCCGCAGGCCGCATCTCATCATACGAAGCACATTTTAAATTAGCAACACGTAGCGACCCAGCTTCTCCATAATCGTGCTCCAACGCTGCTTGCCTTTCCCTGTATCAATACACCTCCACTGCTCCTCCAGTAACTCACGCTGCATGGGGCACATTATCAGCCAGCTTTCATCGGAGGGATCGTGTTCACAACTCACAGCTACTTGAAGGTCTTCACAGTAATCAGATTGAAACGCATCAAAAAGTTCACCGACTTTTTGCCGGACGTCCTTTCCACAAAAGACGCCGGCGATGAGTAACGGCCAGACTAGCATGACAGCCATCCTCATGGCAGAAGCTTCCGATAGCAGCTCCAATATGTAATTGATTGAATTGACTATCCGTGGAGTGGTAGGTGGTTTCTCCAAAACCTGATACATCAGATTTTGCGAGACTTCATCTGGATGAACTCACATCGGCCAACAAAAAGACTACACCAGCATACTTGTAAATGTAGTCTCCACACTACGACTTTTATTCAGCAAGCAGCTCTCAGACCGGAATTGTACTAACAGTGACCCTGGCATTCTGCGGCAAAGCGTTGAGACTGTTTCCCCAGATATCAAGCTCCAACAGAAGACAGTGCGCTTCCCTCTCAAAGTGCTGTGTCACCTCCCACATCTCTCGCGTTTGGTGCGAGAGTGAGACGCCCAACCGTCGTTTTTGAGAGTCGACAGAGACAATCTATGTACCCAGTCTCAGTCAAACACACACTTGTATATGACCAAACTTACTCTTGCCATGAGATCAACCATGGCTCTGGAGATACCGAACGACCGCTCGACCGATTCCCATTCCCAGCGTGTCTGAGAAGTTTCTACGCTGTCGAACCACCATGAATCAGAGTTGCCCAACAGAGATGGCTCCTTTCCAGTCACGAAAGATGCTACAATGGCTTTAGCTTTTCATCGTAGGGTTAAGGGCGTGACCGGGCGTACAAAAGACATCGTGCGTTGCAAGGTTCTCCAAAAGGTAGCGCCGGGTGAAGGAATATCCAGGACCCTGAAGCATTGCCTGTGGTCCCCCTTTTTTGCTGATCAGGCTGAGGGCAAACTCCAGATTGTCTCGCCATGATGAGTCTGCACTGATTACCTGTGATGTGTCAGCAGCGTGCGCCGACACAGGAAACGACGACTAACATCTCGGATGCAAACCAAAGTGCACGCTGCGAGGATACTATCCACTGATGATGGTTAGTTGACCAATGGCGTATAATATCCATTTTCTAGCTCACATTGTTCATCTCCAGTCTCCACTTTCGCAGCGAGAGTTATGTTTGCCAGCGCCGCTCTCTTGAATTTGTTGCCCAATTCTTTCAACTTTTTGCGCTGTCCTTCCCACCCAACGCCCAGCTCCGCTGGCCCAACTGCATCAGAAGTCTCGTGCGTAAAGTGCGCTACTCCCGTACTAAGCATGCTCATCCGCACCGCTGCACTCGCTGCCGAGTTCGTGTCCAGTAGTCGGTCTGGCGTGCAGAACGCGAGCAGGGGATTTGGCCCAATATTTCCCATGGTGACAAGAATTCGCGAGGCGATATTGCAGTAGTGGTGAAAAAGCATGCGGGAAGTGGGAGAGGGGAAGGCGTTGGACAGAACGTCGACGATGCCGAAAGTCAAGGAGTTGTTGGAGAGGTTGTGATCGCGATGGGAGGGGCCGAATTCGAAAAGGGTCTCGTCCGTATCATAGGCGCTGTGTCACCTCATCAGACGAGCGCATCGCTAAAGCATCCCGGTAACTCACAACAGTATTGATTCGACCAACTGCAATCTCGGGTGAGGAGGAGGTGGCGGAGCACTAGGAGTGCGTTCTTTCGACTGCTCTTGAGAGTTGTGCGCATGCTTGAGCAAGCGCCGATTTATCAACAGAGACTTGTTCAGGTCTCCAATATGTGGCTGATATGGCTGAGACATAGAGGAAGCGCGATGGACACCGGTAGATGAGGATGGTTTCGATGTCGGACCCACAAAGGGGATGAATTCGTCAAGAAATGAGAAATCTGTCGTCGCAATCTGCCACAGCTGTTTAGTTTTATTACACTTTCAGCCAATGGTCTTACATGTTGCACCGCTGACCCCATGTCAGGTGATACACCTAGCCCAGTCATATCAGTCTGAGGAGATATTGAGGCATCTCCCAAAGCGATGCGAGAGGACTGGCTGCTCGCGAACCTGTCTTTTCTTCTCACCTCACCCTCAGCTATATCCAGACGGCTTGCACTTCTTGGAGTCACCAACATCGCAGAGTCGACCGGCCCAGCGGTCGTTCGCCGCAGATCATCCTCAAGTCGAAGACGAGTCGTCCCCGCGGGCTCTCCATTCAGTTCAGCTGGCACAGATTCACGGCCGCCAACACTCTTTCGCTTGGTTCCTCGGGTCCCCGCAGCTTTTGGTAACGGATAAACGCATACTGTTTGTGAAGCCACACACCGAAGGCAAGCTGGGATGGTTTCGTCGCATTTGACCTTCTTTGAGCGGCATGGGGTGCAGCCAGTGGTCGTGCGGGTATACTTGATCTTGCCTTGCCCTGTACTAGTACTTGCCTGCGGCGAGGTCAGATACGTATTGGCGCGGCAAAGATGGTCCTCTTCACAGTATGTTCGAGAATACTTTGCGCTCTATTCGCGTCAACAATACGCCCTGGACACGGTCTCGGAGTCAGTACAGGTCTTGGCTGACGTGGCACCCGTTCACTCACTTGCCTGGCGCGAGACCTCTGCGAAATCGAGATGGTGGGACATAGAGGCTTGGATACAGTTTGTATCTTTCATAGCTGTGGTAACGACATTCCCATTCGTCGCGACAAGATCCCCGGCGGTCTTCCGTCCAAGGCAGCTTACGTATTGAGTCGGAGATGGCGGAGATGAGCGCCTCGCCAGCGCCCACCACCGGCAACGATGCACCCGGTGATCCACTTATCGTTGATGCGTGCAGAATATTTCCTGGCTTGTTCACTCGCACATCTCTTTGAATTACACCGATCTACTCCATCTATGAGCAACATCGCTGCAGAGATCATCCTTCACCCCAAGGTCAACCAGACCCTCGCCGTTCTCGCTACAACAGTCGGCAGAGACAAGGTGTGCCCCAATCACTCATCTGCACAATATTACATGACTTACTCCGCTCGATACTCAGGTCACAAGGCTTCTGCAGTACCTTGCTAGGCTCTTAGCATGGTCTCTCTTGCAACGTGGGAACGTTGGAGAGGCTGCTCGTTGGAACGGACTCAAGGGTGGCCTCGCCAATGGTAGAAAAGGTGGATTAGCACTGCGATGCCATTCGCAATACATTGCGTACGAGTTTGACTGACAAACATGACCTAGTTATGCGCCTGTTCCGTCCTGCCGAGTTCCTGCAATCAGCTATAAATCTCGCCCAGAGGCCTGTGTGAGCGAACGCCCTTCGGGGACCCTGTCGGCTTGCTGATTCGAATGGCACAGCACCACCTTGAAGGGTCCTGCCCAGGTCGCCCACATTGCGCAGATTGGACGCCAGATTGGCTACGCAGGCTTCCATACAACGGACATGATCACATGGCTGTCCTCCATCCGATTCCTCAAGTATGACAAGCTGTACGTCGCATCCCTACTCTCTCCCGATACCTGCTGGCTGATTATGATACCCTACAGCAAGACAGACCGTATACAGCGACTCATGTATAAGTTCTGGTTCGCCGGCGTTCTCAGCTCCTTGGTTTCATCTATTGCCTCACTGCTTCGGCTTCGCGCAGACTCTAGAAGGTTTGCGCTTTCGACCGAAGTCGCGAAGAGGGAAGAGAAGGAGGGCAAGGACTTGGAAGCCGCCTCGAAGGACGCATCGGACAGAAGAGAGCGTGGCAGGGCCTTACTCGCGTGGGTCGTCTCGATGGTGGATGTTGGGAGATGTACTAATACAATGGCCCATAGTCAACGTGAAACGATCATCTCGCAGATCCTCAGCGACTCCTTGGACATCTGGATTCCTGCCACCGGCCTTGGACTTGTAAACCTGAGCGACGGAACCTTGGGTCTCTTTGGGTGAGTCAAACCGACCAATGCTCTGCGCAATAGCTCACGCGAGCACCAGCGTCATCACGTCATGCATGGGCGTCCAGGCGCAATGGAACAAACACTCAGCTGCGGGTGTGAGAAAGACCAAGTAGGATGGTATTGATGCGCATATATGTCGGTAGGGTCGTTTCTGTGTTGAGGGGTGACAGGTGTCTTGTCGCGACTTCGTTGTCGTGTGATGTCCGCGTACTGTACGAGTACATGCGAGATCGCAACCTTGTATGAAGTGTATATGTATGTGAGGTCACAGATAGACCGTACATAGAGGTACAGCTTGTGAAATTGAACGCTGCATAGATATATCGCTCTCTATCCCCTCCGATATCCGTTGCCACAAGCGCTCAACCATTCGGCGACACCGGCGGCCATTCCGCGCGTGTTTCTGGTTTCTCTGTTGCGTCTCGTCATTGAATGGCCTCCTCGCCTTGCATTCCACCTTGAAATCCACCGTTTCAACCTCTACATCTTCCACCCACAAGCGGCTGCCCTCCACGGCGCCCTCACATTCCCACCAATTCCCCACGCCACCTCAACCCCGCGAAAAATAATACAGGAAGATGTTCGGATTCGGTCGTCTAGGACACATCGCCTTTGATCTGGTGATCATCTCCGCCTTGCTTGCCGGTGTCAAGAAGTCCACTGGATATACGTAAGCCTCGCTTGATTTCGTGCTTCGCACTGTCACAGGCTGATCCAAAGCATTTTTGTCGTCTTGGATAACGTTCCTACCACCATCGATATCAACAGCCTCAAAATGACCCTCTTCACCGACTCTGCCCTGCGCTCATTCATGGACTCGTATCTCGCCATGGGTGAAACCATCTTTGGCATGTTCAGCGGGTATGCTGTCAACTCGAGATACTTTAAGAGGGAGATTGAGTAATGGGTGGGGTGAAGAGGAAGATGGGGGCCGCTGTTATCCCTAGTGATGATAAGACGAAGGGACGATGCTGGATGCTTGCTTTGCTTTCTTGACTCTTGTGACTTGTTGTTGTAGGTACTTGCCATATATGTGACTGGGGTGTCCCATCTGACCCAGCAATGACCCATCGTGTAATATCTGGCATTGTGCTATGTGGTACTAATCATACTTCACTCTCCCCTTCAGTCACTGTTCGGCTTGAGCTATCATCTCGGACTTCATCATCTGATGGGGTCAGATCAGTGACCGTCGCTGTCTCCGTCTCTGATGCCACGAAAGACGAGGAAGTGACACTCTCTGTGCCCGTTGCCGTCTCTGGCTCATCAAGCAGCTCCCTTCGTTCGAGCTCATCCCATTGCCTCCTCTCCGCCTCGCCCTGCTTCTTCTTTTCCTTTCCGTCCTCCACAAGCCTTTGAATATCTCGCTCGCTCTGGGAACCCTTTTCTTCCAGTGGTCTCCGACTGGGCTTTGCGCGGGTCTTGACATGGCGTTTGGGCCGACGGAAGAAGGAAATGATTACACATGCGCCCAAGGAAGACGTCAAAGTCAGGGCCAGAGAGATAGGAGGCAGAAGAATCAGTGGAGGTAGGGGATAGGTCGTGATCAACCATCTGTACACTGTCAGTCTTGCCGGACGGTGCACTTGTTGCCAATTTACCTGATACCAGCAGGGCGAGGTATCAGCCGCACGATGATCCACCCCGTCGTCTTGATCTCTCTTCCCCGAAGACTACCCGTACCATCTGCAAAAGCATCCTCCCGACCAATACTAACAAAAGCCGATCCTACTCCAGGTCCGTAAGGTCCATTTGGTTTCACGACGACACCTTCCATCAAATCCTTCTTGAGCGAAACGACATCGCGAGCTCGGGCAGAGCCGACGAAGCCAGCCTTGAGTCTTCTCTGTCGGGTCTTTTTATCGACAGTGTCGCCGTAGCCAATTAGACGGGACGGGCAGAACGAGCGGAAGGGCCAGGGTATGACACATGGTGGGACGAGATGCGTAGGGAACGCTGGGAAAGGGAGGAGCGAGGTAGCGAGAGGGCCAGGTGCTAGAGACTGTTATTCATATGAGTATGGCTCCTTGCTGTTATGACACAATCGGCTTACAGGCTGGGCTGCGCTGAACAGGACGAGGCTTGGGTCTGTAGCACTTCGTAGCTCCAAGGAGAGCATAAAGTTGTCTGGGATCGCGGTGGGCAATGGTTCAAGGAGCATGAGTCGGTCTGCCTACCTATTTCATCTGTCCCACTCGTGGGTCTGACAAGCTCCATTTCCACTTGCACATCATATCTCAAGTCTTCTACTAGGCGCTTCGGAGGGATGGGGATCGTGACATGAGGTAGTCTGTGGCTCTTGGAGCTGTACTCGCCCTTGTCAGCTTCGTCTACCGTGGGCCTCATACTGCCGCTTACCCGTAAAACAGCCAGCCCTCGACCTCGATGGGTCCGCCGGCCGACCATGACCAGAAGAACGCTCCGACTACTAATACCGAGAATATAGCAGACGCAAAGGCAAGAAACAAGGCAAGAACGACCTTGATGATAAGTGACACCGTGACTGGAGAAGTGACTGCCTGCCTGATGATTCGGATGGGAAATGTTATACTGCTGGAAGTGAGCTGACATCTCGCGAGCAGGAGAGCACGTACGGAGTGACAGAGAGTCGTATGAGAGCTATGAGAAAGTCGAGGAAGTCTGTGCCGAGGGACCTGCGATAGTACCGCTTGTCGAGGTCTGCCTGTGAGAGGTGGTGGTCTCTGGACGGGGGCATAGTGGCGGCGGACTCACGAGTTGGAGAACGAGAAGACCACAGCTTACATCGTTCCCGTCGCGTCCGTCGGCCTCGGTGACGTAATGGCCTACATTGTTGTTGATTGCCGGCAACTGCGAGCAATCATCTACATCTCCACGATGCCCTCCCCACTGGTCACAAAGATCCCCCCCAGCAACTCCGTCCCCAGAGACCACCACGGCCCACAGCAGAAGTCCTCCGCCAATATCCCCGGGGGCATCAAGCCCAGATACTTCAAGAACCCGTGGCCCTCATACCGGACTGCATCTCTCAAGGATGCCTATCAAGCTTACCAGAGAGGTGCCGCAATCGCTCTCCACCCATCACGGCTCAGGGGAGCCGCCATGCTCGAAGGCGGACAAGACTCGGACGTCGATGACAGCGAGTACGGGCTGGAACCAGCTTGGACCGAGTCCGATTCCATCATGCCCAAAAAGATATATGTCAGGCCCGAGTTCGCCCGGGTAGGATCCGGAGATGAGCGAGAGGACTGGAGAGATCCCCCAGTCAAAGTGGTAGAGCCGACCTGGGGCGATGGGTCTGATGGACGAGAAAAGGTCACTTGGCTCGGTCATGCGGGCGTTTTGATTCAGATACCGTGGAAGACGTCAGAGAACCCGGATAATAAGAGGAACGGCTCTTGTGGTATACTATTTGACCCAATATTCTCGTACCGGTAAGCTCAAATCCTGCTGTCTGCGTGCGCGTATGCTCATCCCGATCTAGATGCTCTCCAACGCAATACGCGGGGCCAGCGAGGTACATTGAATCTCCCTGTACAGTTTCCATGCTGCCCGAGATTCACGCCTGCTGTATCTCCCACGACCACTGTACGTTTCGGAGACAGAGCGCGTATTGCTGCTGATTGATGTAGATGATCACCTGGATTACTACACAATCATGGATCTTTGGAAGTACCACCAATCCACTATCCACTTCTTTGTGCCCATGGGTATGTGCATTTGGGACGGATAAGAGCACTGGCTGATGCCTCTGAAGGCCTGAAGCAGTGGTTCACTTCTTCCGGCATTCCTGCTTTCCGCGTCACCGAACTCGACTGGTGGCATGAAACTGTCCTCACCTTCTCAGAAACTCCAGACTTTGATTATGACCCCCACTATCCGCCTGTAGAGCCTAAAGATGCTCTCAACAAGCCGCCAAACTTGCACACCCCGTCTGCTCTTGCGCTCAAAATTGCCTTCACTCCTGCTCAGCATCGCTCAGGGCGAGGTGTTCTGGATCATATGACGACTCTCTGGGGAAGTTGGTGTGTTGGGGTGGTGGAAGACGCAGACAGAGAGTATGCTCTGGAGCCTGGTATGAATGATTGGAAGGGTTTCAAAGCCTATTTCGGAGGGTATGTTGCCGGTAATCTCCATCCATAGTACAGAATCTCACGGGACTACAGGGACACTGGCTATAGATATGCCACAGCGCCTGAAGAAGACGATAGCGCAATATGTCCAGCGTTTCAACGTGAGACAAGCCTCTACAACATCGGTGACAGATACTGACACCAGCGGTAGATATCGGTGATCTCTACGGCCCCTTCACTTTCGCCATGCTCCCTCTCTCGACTGGATCGTCTCTTCCATTCCTCCGCACTGTCCTCTCACTGTCTCTGGACCAGTACCTCCTCACATCGTCGCTCCACTGTTCGCCCGCAGACTCACTAGAGATTCACCGTGTCATACAAAGTCAGCGGACTTTGGGAATTCATTGGGGTACATTCTGCGATGCCGACGAAGCGCGGGGCACAAGGGTGGAGTTTGGCAGGTCGAGGAGAGCGGTAGGGGTGAGCTGGGATTGGGAGGCTGAGGAGGCTAGAAATGGGCGATTCGTCATAGCTGACATTGGCGAGACTCTCACAATGCCTGCTCGATGAGGAGCACCATTTCCAAGGAGTTTGTTGAGCTTTGTTATCAACTTGTAAGACCCATTATCATCGATCTCTGTACAAAACGAAATGCATGACGCCGGCGCTCCGGCTTACGACGACAAGGGGTGACAACAAGTTTCAAATGCAAAGGTCCATCGTCTCTCTCACGCTCTTCCTCCCTTCATTCTCTGCTTTTTCAGAGCCTCCTTCCTTGCCCTATGCTCTCTCTCCTCTCTTTCTGCAGCCTGATCCTCCAGTCTGGCTGCCCGAGCTGCCCTTCTCTCCTCACTCTCCACATCATCCATGCCTGCCTCCATATCACTCGAGGCGTCGCTGAAATCATCATCATATCGCCTCTGTGGTGCGGCACCAGGTCGACGGAAGAGCGCCTGGATCTCAGCAGAGATCGTGGAACGGGGAGGTTCTTCGAAGGATCCTGGTCGGCGTTTGAGAGGAGGCGACACGATGGAATCGTCCGAGTCGGTGGACTCTGAGCTCGTGGATCGCCGGCGACGTTTAGGAGAACGAATCCCCGGGTTTCTCGCGCCAAGAGGCCTGGCAGTGGATTTGACGGGTACCATCTCCGCCTTTGACCGTTTGGCCTTGAGATCCCTGGCGACCTCGTCGACGCTCCTCCTATCTCTCGTATCTCTATCTGGGCACAGCTTCCTGAGCTCGTCGGGCTCTGCACCTGTCCGCGTCTTGAGACTCCCGCCGGGCACTCTGCCCTTCCCTGAAACTCTGCCCTGTGCCTTTGGTGGCTTCGACGCCCCGGTTTTTGGTATGGGGGGTAGATGTACGGGTTCCCGCGATTCCACAAGTGCACGGATATTGAACAGACTGTCCCCTGCAGACTTTCTTGCATTTTGAGCAAACAGGCGGGCAGCTCGTTCCTTTCGGGTTTCGGTGGCAAAAGAGGGGCTGGAAGATTTGGAGGATTTGCCAGAGGCACCAGACTTTGAGGGACCAGCTTTGGATGGCGTGTTCCGGCTAGGGGCAGAGGCACTCCCGGGCTTGACAGACGCTGCCTTGGCGGCGGCTGTCTTGACAGTTGGCTATGCCAGGTAAGCCAACTTTATGCAATGCAAAGATAACTCACCTTGTACGCAGGGGTAGATACTGGCCTCTTAACGTCTTCGGCAAATGGGTCGTACTCCACATGCGCTGCCTTGCTATCAGGCTTCTTGGTGAGCGACTCATTCATACGCATCAGCTCCTTCCGCCGAGCTTCTTTCGACGCTGCCTCTTGCTGTTTACGCCTCTGCACAGAAGAATCAGTATATAAGCATCTCTGTGTTGCCACTGCGACACACCTCTTCTTGCTCCCTGGCAATCTCCTTCTCTCTCCTTTGCTTGATCTCCATCTCGCGCTTGATAGTCGCCTCTTTCTCTTGTTGCAGCTGCAAGGCGCGTGCCTTCATTGCCTGGTACTACATGGCCGTGATAAGTTGATTTATATCGTGACTGAATAAGAGCACTTACGTCGGACATGATGACAGTAGTGCGTACCGAGAAAGAGAAGTCGAGAGGTTGTTATTGGTCCTGGTCCGGTTTCGTTCTTATCGGAGTTGAAGTTTGCTATGGTCTGGGGGCAGACAGCATGGTCCCACAGACAGCTCCGAGCGTTGACCTTTCAGAGGGTTGTTTTGAGAAACGATTAGTGAAGGCGGCAAGTTGAAAGAACAATGCAACTGCAACGCGGCGACGGCGGCCACCGAGCGGCAGAGCGTGGATTTCCCATCTTATGACGTGACACCTTTCGGCCTGTTATTGGGATGCATGCACGTACGTAAACATTGCTTGGCACTTGATGACCACAGCTCCAAAGCAAAGGTATCCACAAAACGTGGAGGTCTGGGCGAGAGGCGGAATCGCAAAAGAACTGCAAGAGACGGCAACGCCAAAAAAAATAAACGTGCCACGGCTGTGAGTCGAACACAGGACCCTTTCATCATGCAGAGAACACTACAAGTGAAAAATTATAACCACTAAACTACCGAGGCACAAGTGATGGTTGCATTTAATTGGTAAAGCTATGTCCTGTAGAACAATCATATGACGCTCGCGTGTCGCCCCTTGCTTGCTCTTCTTGTCGCGCTGACTTTCAGCTTGCTTCTTCTATTTCAGCTCCTCGATCCACCCTTTCGTCAACTTCATCCATTCGTCCTTCAATCCACTGCCGGACGGTAATCTCTTTGAACAACAACACAAGGGACAAAACACACATCGATCAATATGGAACAGCTCCAACGAATGCTCGCGGGTGGCCGTGGTATGGGTGGTGGTGCCCCCGCTGCCCAGACGATGGTGGCCGACAAGTTAGTATATCTTTCTCATAAGCTGGCTTTTGCTAAACTCTACTCAGCGGTGAAACTGTTCACATCTCTGCTCTTGCTTTGTTGAAGGTGAGTTCAGACTATCCAGCGCAGAGACAGAGGCTTATACGGATTTGGATAGATGCTCAAGCATGGACGAGCCGGTGTTCCCATGGAAGTCATGGGTCTGATGCTTGGAGAGTTTGTGGACGACTATACCGTAGGTGTCCTCTCAAGCATACGTTGATGAAGCTGACAGCTGGTCACTAGATCTCTTGTGTCGATGTCTTCGCCATGCCTCAGAGTGGTACCACCGTCACTGTTGAGTCCGTTGACCATGTGTTCCAGACCAAGATGCTGGACATGCTGAAGCAGACTGGCCGGTACGTCACAATCCTCAAAGAAAAACCAGTCATTGTGCTAACATCCACCCAAGGCCCGAGATGGTTGTGGGATGGTATCACTCGCACCCTGGTTTCGGATGCTGGCTTTCCAGTGTTGATGTCAACACTCAACAAGTATGTCACCTTCCTTTACAGCAGTCTTTGCGGTAGCTAACCCTATCAGTCTTTCGAACAACTTCACCCCCGAGCAGTCGCTGTCGTCATCGACCCTATCCAATCCGTACGAGGCAAGGTCGTCATTGACGCCTTCCGATCTATCAATCCTGCCACCATAGCCACTGGCCAGGAATCCAGACAAACTACCAGCAACATCGGTCACTTGAACAAGCCGAGTATTCAGGCTCTGATTCACGGTCTCAACAGGCATTACTACAGTCAGTACTGATACGTGCTTTTGGTGACAATGCTGATGATTCGTAGGTTTGGCCATCGACTACAAAAAGACCGAAGCGGAACAAGGGATGTTGTTGAACCTTCACAAGAGAGGGTGGACTGAGGGGCTCAAGCTGCGGGACTTTGAGGAGATGAAGGAAGGAAATGAAAAGGCTGTCCAGGTGCGTGTGATCGACAAGTGCAGTAGAGCCGGAACTAACGATTCTTGCAGGACATGCTCAACCTCGCTGTCGCATACACCAAGTCTGTTCAAGAAGAAGCCACCATGACCGAGGAAGAGCTCAAGACACGGCACGTCGGCAAGCTTGACCCCAAGCGACACTTGACGGAGGCGGCAGAGAAGGCTATGGGTGACCAGGTGACCCAGAGTCTGGCCATGGGTGTTTTGGCCGAGCTGTAGAGTTGATAGTATGGCAGCATGTATCTACAAGGTGGACAAAGAATTCATACAACAGAGTGAGGCATAAGGGATAGAGGTGATCAGCTGCGACAGTGGCTCAAGGAGATTCCGCAGAATTGCGCGATGAGCAGATACAATATCAACTAGAATCACATCAGCAAACACATCCATCTCGAGAGGTTTGACGCGCGACTCACGAAACCAACGACACCCGTCAAAACCATGATCCTGATATTCTTCCACCACTGCTGTCTCCTCACCGCCCTCGCTCCTCTCCTGAAAGCATACGCTTGTCCAGCCAACGTATCTGTCTTGTCTACCAGCAAATCCAAACGTTCTCCGCGTTGAAGTATGGAATCAATGTTCTGGACCATGATGTCCTTACTGTTATACCATTAGTGAATAGTGCCAAGCTTTGGGACTGAACATACACGTTGTTAAGATCGGACTGGGCTTGACGGAGAGGATCAGCGGGCGGAGCAGTAGTGTACTGATGCATGAGCTAGACAATTGAATTAGATTTGTCACAAACTTCCATCAGGCAGCATACCTTGCTCAATTCAGACTCAAAGTCCTCGGCGGAGTGGGCCCCAGCTGAAACGATGTCGTCGCTGTCGTATTGAGCTGTGAACTAGGGGTGTTCTCTGTCAGTACTGACTTCTCGCCCGCATTCAAGCATGTATCACTCACCCTTCTCTCGAGGTCTGCAAGGAAAGCGAAAGGCATCCTCCTCCCTACAGAGTCGTCGGCCATGACAAGGTAGACTACGCCGTTAGACGAAACATAGTGGATCAAGCGGTCTTGCCAGACATCTACGGATCATTGGTCAATTAAGGGGCAGATAACTGATGATATCAGGTACTTGCATGTAAGCTTGGAGTTGTTTGGGGGAATCTTTGAGAGGATAGTGATCTGGGCGGCTGAGGGGAGTGAGCCGGGTTAAAGGAAGAGATGGAAGGCTGGCTGACCTGGCTTGAGCTCTGCTGAGCTGGTGGCGTGTTCTACGAGGACGGTGGTGCCCCTTGCTATGAGTGCGTGGGTGAGAGACATGGCCGTGCTTGGAGATGTATTTGGGAACCACAACATGCAGAGAGCGGCGACCATGCCATCATATCGGCGGGCGGACACTCGGACATCCCCGCCCGGACACCGAATGCTCCCGCTAGGACGCGCCTGACATCCCAGCTCGCCGTTTCGTTGTTTTGCTCTTCCCACAAGCAGCAATTCACAGCAACGCCGCGAGGGGCAGCCATGGAGACACCAGCCACCAACGCACGCAAACGGCCGTCCACCGTCTCCCTCGCCCCCCTCCAAGCATCCCCACAGGAACCCCTCATTTGCTGGACACATGACCAGGTATTCAGAACGGCCGTCATGCAGGCGACTGAGAATGGCAAGTCACCTTCTTCCTCTACTCGACGCCCCATGCTGATATTCGCCCCAATGCAGAGTCTGTCGCCTTGCCATCACCAACGCAGGCCCCTCGACCTATATCATCCGCATTCTCCTCCTCAGCCCTGTCCTCTGACGACGACAGCGCTTCTCGACCTCGCAAACGAGCTTGCCGCAATAAACGATCCCTACCTCCTTGTTTGCGCACCAATATGGCATCATCTTCGTCGTCACACTCCCTGACAGATAGCTCCTCTGGCACAGCGGGCAGCTCGTCCAGCGGCCCGCTCCCTGGTACCAAGACGCAACTCGATCTGCTGCTCGAGCAATTCAAGCTACAGTCATCGCCACTGAAGCCCCAAACGGATCAGAAGATCAAGTCAAGAAGAAGCAGGGGGAAGGAAAAGGAGAACGTGATTGGGAAAGAAAAGGAAGGCGTAGCATCTACCCTTGCGAGACGTTCGCGTCTGGGGGCCTCGTCGGAGAGCTTGGCCAGTGACTCTTCTCGATCGAGGTCCAGTGGGTCGTTTGCGAAATCAGCTCTTCAGCGCGATACTTCGTCCTCGCCTATTCTGTCGGTCACTACCAACACTACTATGGCAGACGCTTCTTCGGGCCCTAGCGAAAAATCCTGTCATCCCCGTCCATCCCTCCCCCGCCTTCCTCTATCCCCTGCGAAACGAGGCCCTGTTCCACGCATAGGTTTGGGGTCCCAAGGCAAGCTGTCTAAGCCTCATGGAACTCCTTCCCGAGTGTCGAGCAGCAAGCCCTTCAAGACTCCTTTTCTCGAGCCCAGAGAGGGTCTGAGATCGAGCCCTCGCCGCACGACCGCAGCCCCGATCCCTAGGCCCGCTTCCAAAGCGCCCATCTCCTCTGTACGGGCCCCTTCTCCCCGATCCGCTCCCTCCAAACGATCGGCCCAAAGCCTGCAGTCTCTACCCACCTCTGTAGACAGCAGCTCTCGTGATCTGGCTCCTGCTGAAGGCAAGGGAAGGTTCACAAATTTTGATGTGGGAGAGAATGATCCGGAGGGCGATAAGAGTTTCGATTCTATGGACGGATTTTTCGATGAGATGGGGCCAGAGGTCGAGATGCTTTTGAAGCAGTGTTGATGTCTTTCGCATGATTAGTCATTCGCGGCTTGGTCCGTTTTGCATAGCATACCATTTTTTGTGATAATTCTTGTTGTTGAGTTCTTATGCATGTACTGTACAACCCTACTTTCTACGGAACTCAACTACAACATCTATAACCATTGCAGCCGATGCTCGCATCACCTGTCCATCCATGACATGGCATCGCTGTACTGCCATTCGCCGTCCCAAAATCTATTCCACGATCAGTTCTACTCGTCATTTAATGAGCGAAAGCTTACCCGGCTCCGATGAATCCACCAGCGCCTTGCCATCTGGACCGGGGTCCAGTTATAACCCAGTCAGGTATCTTTCGGGAATCAGCGCTTGTGGCTTGGTATGCTGCTCATGTCACTCACAGGAACACCGGTCCGTAAAGGGAACAATCTTGCGGCAAGTTCCAGCCCCAGTTCATCATTTCCGGCCAGTAGAACCGAAAGTGACTTGGGGTGCGTTGGATGAGGGTGTAGCGCAACAATACCTTGATTTTCCGGTCGAATCAGCACATTTCTTTCGGATCCCAGATTGCTCACCGGCCCCTCGGTCGTAGACAACCCTATCTTTATCGATCAACATAACCCCTCTTGTCGGGAATTCCACTAGCTCAAGAATCAGCTGCGAATCTACAAGGGCGTTCGAAGCACTCACATGGTATAGACTTTTGCGCTATCATCCATTCAGTGTATCGATTTTCCTCGGGTCTCCCAATGACCACCACGTTTCCTGGACCTATCTCCTGCTTGGCAGCTCTCTCGAGCCCTCTCTGGTGGTCGAGGATCTCGCAATCTACCCTGTGATAGACGTACAGATCATGAGCAATCCTCTTGGCCACAGACAAGTGCCTTGGGTGTTCGCCAGACAGTGAAGGAACTATGATGCTGAATCGGGCTTGGGAAGACAACAGTCGGATCATCGGTCCGTTCGCTCGAGGAGGCGTAAGAGGGCTAATAAGGGAAGGTAGAGGGGCGAACTGTCCAGTGATGGTCTTGATATAGGTCTCGGTAGTGGCTGACGATCGAATCTCGATACGCTTGATGTTCATACCACGAATATCCAATGGCATCGAAGGTCCGTCTGACTTCCATTGCCGAGCGTTAACGTCCAGTCTGGCTAGTCTGGTGGCAGTAGGTCAGTCTATCGTCCGGCTAGACAGCCACGCTCCGAGCCGACGTCACTTACCTCCCGGGAACATCAAGTTCTACAATCCTTATTCCTGCTCTGCCACCAGTCTCTTCAGGGTTGGCAGTCGTCAATGTATAGCCCCCTTTGCGCTGCTCGTCCCAAGTGGCCTTTGAAGGCAGCCCTCTGATAAAGTCGACCACTTTAGCATTGCGGAGCACATCGTCCCACCAATGTTTCTCTCGAGGTACCTCTACCACCGAAACCGAGCTTGTCGGCTTGCCAGCCCAGGATGAGATCAGAGCAACATGAGCTCGAGAGTGGCGAGGCGGGACATTGTCATCCTCAGTGCCATGAACGACCAAGATAGGTATGTCGGCCAGGTTAGAGGCGTACAAGTTGTTGTTGTAAGGCGTAAGAGAAGATGAGAGGATCCCCATAAGCGACGGGTCCGCATAATGAGTTGAAGTACTAGACGTCCGTAAGCATATGACTCTGTGAGATTGAAAATGCGTACTAGTCCGTATAGGGAACGTAATGTTGGATCGTAAGCCATCCAGAAGCCACAACAACTAGAGATCCATGTCAATGTGCTGCCCGAGAATGACAGAGGATGGGCTTCACCTCCAGTGACTCGGTCTGGATACCGAGCGGCAAGGTGCCATGCTCCCTGTCCACCATTGGAATGCCCCATCAAGCTGTACAACGATGTCAGTCAGCAAGAGCGGAGCCCCTCAGGCAAGTATACTCACACGGTCTCATCAGACAACGCCACGCCAGCCTTCCTCAACGTCGCCCCGGCAGCCTCTCGCGCCGACCAAGCATCTGCCATACTACTTCCGTGCCAGTCCTCGCCCCACTCATTCTTCCCTGTCGGCAAGGCAGACCATAACCCTGGGATCTGAGGCATCGCCTTCGCGAACACTTCCTCACCGGCGCTATCCTTGAGGTCGACACCGGCACCGTGGAGGGCCAACAAGACCGGTGACGCTTTGTCGCCCTGCTTGGCGAGGGGAGGCACCACTACCAAGGCCTCAGAGACGCTGGCAGGGACCACATTGGGCCCAAAGCTGGGGTCGACAGAAGGGGTTGCAAAGGTGATCCATATCTGTGAGCCCGGAGTTGCCTGGCCGTCCTCGCCAATTTCGGGTTGGCTGAAGGTGACGGTCGAGCTGACGGACTGGACCTTTTTGCCCGCAGTCTTGACCTTCAGATCAATGGTAATACCAATGGCGTCGGCTGGCAAAGGAGCGCGTTGGGTTATCTTTAGGGCCACATCCCGGGTCTGGCCTGGAAGGATAGTGGCGGTTTGAGGCAGCTCCACAACGAGTGTGGTGACAGGAGGCCTGGGTTGTCCAGACTGTTTGCTAAAAACAACACTACTTTCAACGCTCAGAACCTCGACATGACCTGTACCCTCTGCTACTTTGATCCCCAAAGACGCCCACTCGCCCAATAGCCATCCAGCAAAGACACCGGGGAATTTGATCTGGGAATGCCTGACCCGGAAGGCCGTCGTATGCTGGGGAAGCTTGCAGGCGAGCTGGAGGTTGACCTTGAACTTGATCGTTGGTACGCCATCCGAGCCCGGATCACCGAATTGCCTGATATCGTACACTGCCCGAGCAACGACGATATACTTGCCAGGCGCAAGCAGAATCTGCCTCGCAAACCTTGACAGCTTTCCGGGCTTTGCACCTCCCGAGGAGGTGGAAGCAAAGTCGTAGCTGTCGCCTTGGTACCAAGTGACAGGCCCGGGATGGGTCGATTCGCCGGGGTTGGGAACGGAGATGAAGGCGTACTCGGCCAGCTGTATGGCGTCGATCTCGACGACCGTCTCTTGGCTCTCGTAGGCGGGTACCTCTAATGAGGATCTGAGGATTGTGTGATACTGCAAAGAAGACCAGCCGTGGTCGGCACGGAGTTGTACCCAGCTGCATTTATGATCAGTTTTCTTGCTCGTGAACCCCGAGCCTTAGGACTTACTTGACGTCTGGGTACTTTACATCGACCCACCCATCTGCTCCTTCTTTGAATTGTGACCAAGATGTGGTGCCTCCAGTGCATAGCTCGCTCGGCCACCTGTCGGCTGCATTTGCCGGCCGCAGGGCGAACTCGATGTCAGGGTCCACAGCAAGAGATTCGGTGAACGCTGCAAGAGGCGACCCTATCAGAGGATACTCCCTAGTACCTCTACGGTGTAGGTCAGCCCACTGGTGGATCTAGGGTCTCTGTGATTGACTCACATGGGGAACGGGCCGATGCCTTCCCATGATTGTATGGTGACTTTCTCAGGCGCCATCGTGTCGCCTCGGGTGATTGTGGGGTGAAGTGTTGATTTCAAGATTCGGACTGCTCCGTATGTCTGCTACCAAGTAGCAGAGGTGGTACAAGATTGACGTGGGATGGAAGAGCACCTGACAATACGGTGATTGATAAGCCTGCCGCGGCGCTGGACACCGCAAGCGTCGGTGGACCGACCCGACTCTGATGATTGCTCATGCGTGATGATTGCTCATCATGCCTAATCATTCTCAATGTACAGTCAATGCATCGACGAATTCATACAGTACTCGTACAATCGGTTTCACCCGACGGTGACTTGAACATGCGTAGATCCATGTACGTTGCCACGCCATCCGTCATAGTCTACAGAACAAGGTCCTGAACAAAAGAAACATGCGACCAACCTTTGCATCGTCCTGACCGGCTTGCGACTTGATACTCGAAAGACTTGTGAGCTTTTGCGTCTTGCGTGTTGTCTCGCTTGATCTCAATCCTGAATAGACTTGCAGGCATCTTGCATTGCTTGATAGGACACAGATACGGAACGCGGACTTGATGGAGTGAATTTGACTTTTTGTACAGATACTTTTGAGACGCTCGATATGGTTGAAGAAACGGGCCATCCTAGTATCTGGGGACCTCGGGAGGGGGAGGGGCAGAAGCATCGTAGTCTCGAGAGCCGCCGCTGGTGCGAGGGGGAGGAGGGGCGTCATAGTCCCAGCCGCTGCTGCTACGGGGAGCAGGAGCGTCATAGTCGCGGGACGCACCCCCACCGCCGTTGCGAGGAGGAGAAGCCGAGTACCTGCTACGGCGAGCACTACAGAGGGTCAGCCGAGATCACGACAGCATGTGGACACTCACCTCCTTCGGTCGTCATAGTCGTAAGACTTCTCGCCGGCATACTTGTCCTTGGGGTAGTCGTATTCGTCACGTCTGCTTCGACCCTCATAGGGGTCTCTGTCTCGACGGTTATCGCGATAGCTGTCCCGCGAGCCGCTAGCATAGGTCAGCCGAGTTGATGATCAGGAAGATTGGTGAGCACCCACGAGTAGTAGTCGTCCCTCCTGCCATAGTCACGTCGGTCATCGTACCTGCCGCCGCCCCGACGGTCATCACGTTGATAGCTGTCGCCGCCATAGCCACCCCTCTTGACACCCATGTACTGTCCGGGAGTCGAGTGGTGAGGCTTTTGAGTGGCCGAGTAGTCAACTCGAATGTTCCGTCCGTGCAGGCTGAGACCATTGAGCTTGTCGATGCACCTGGTAGCGTCCTCAACGGTCCTCATAGTAATGAACCCGAACCCCCGAGATCTGTCGCTCTGCTGCCGATATCAGCGAGAGAAACAGGGCACGTCAAACACACGCACGCGTTGGTCGTACACAATGACGACCTTTTCGACATCGCCGTACCTCATGAACTCATCTTCGAGGTCACGTTCACGGGTGCGGATGGAGAGACCAAATACACCAAGGACATTGTTGGCTTCGACCTTGGGAGCCTCGGGGGGGCGAAAGGGAGCGGCAGCGCCGGATCCACCGCTGCTATGGTCAGCCATGTACATTTGATGATTGACAGGGGCTCACTAGGGTCGGTCGTAGCCACCTCCTGTAGGTCTTCCAGCAGGAGCATCTTGGGGAGGGTACCTGTCTGCGGCTCCGTCTCTGGGGGGCTCGTCGTAGTCGTACCTGGCGGGAGGCGGCCGAGAGGCGTACCGGTCCTCAGAGACGCTGGACCGCCTGGGAGGTGAGGCAGCTCGAGAGTCATAGGGGTCTCGGGCGGGAACGGGGGCGGCCAAGTCGGGGGGAGCGTTTTCGTAGGAGCCGGACTGGGACTGCAGGCGGTCAGCGGTATCTCTGGAGAACAAGACAGACATACCATGGTTGCGCGTTGAGTAACAGTGCGAGATGGGAGGGAGTTGACTGGACCAGAACAGTGGAGGGCGCACCCACCGCGACAATTTGATTTGTCCCAGCGCGGGCGACGCCTACTTTGTGAGGCGCGCGGGGACTGGCAGTGCTGATGTTACCACTCACTTGGTTACCGCTGCACACAGCAACCACCTGATACACAACGACAGCACTTCACCTCCCACTCCAATGCACAGGTTTCTCTTTCACCAGTCTTTCACCCAGCTTTCACCCAGTCTTCCCTCTGCTTCACTTCTACCCACGCCCAGCGTCCACACCTCATCAACCATGCCTGAGCTAATCCCTAACTGCACCTCTCGGGCCTGTTCACCCCGTCGCTGAGTGCGCTCGATACCACCATCCACCGACCACAGCTACGTATATTGTAATCAGTGCCGAGCCTTGGCCGCCGACCGTCAAAGAACGCAGCGTGGTAACAAGCCGGTACGCCCTGCACCCTTTACACGATTCTGTTCTGTTTGAGAACTGACTCTGAGCGCGTAGCCGATACCCTCTTACGAGAGCTAGCCCGATCTTCGCAACACTTTCAACGAATCTATCTGTCACCATGCGATGAATCCCGACCAGTCCGCACCACTGCAGTTTCGAGGTTCATGTGTCCTTGACTCTGACCACAGTCCGCCCCAAGCGAGGCGGCTGACGTGAAAGACGCAGGTGATGAGGGAAATCTTCGAAAGAATATCAAAGCGCTAGGAGCCTCGCCTTCGGCCTCACGGGAGTAGACTTCGGAAGCCGTACAGGTTCTTGTGAGTGACACTCTTTTTCTACCCGAAGCATATGCACTGACTTTGATTCAGTTGCCACACATATACCCTATCCAAAGGTTCAGATACAGTCACTGTCTACTTTCGCTGCTGCCAAGACGTGAATGTACCGACAAACATCTCGCGCCTCCTTCATCCGACAGTCCTCCCTCGGTACCCAAGAAACGACGCCTTGGGCGGCAGGGGACGGATAGGTCCGATTGACAATCCTCGCTTGCTCCCCACACAAAGGCGCCTCAGCGAGTCCATGATCCCTGCGACCTTCATCTTCATTTCTCCTCCTTGTCTATACCCGACTCCAATTACATACCCTATTAGGGGTCAAAGATGCCACCGAAGTCAACCAAACAGGTGCGAGCAATCGCAAATAACAAGCCTGTGAGTTCCCGCTCGGGCACGGCGTCCACAATCGCCCTTTGCCCGCCGCACAACGCTCGAAAGGTCGTTCTCGCTGATGATGACAATCTTATAGATCGATGCCTTCTTCACAGTGAAGAAACCCGTCATTGTACGCCTCTCTTGTATTGTATCTATAGCGCAGCGGCTGACGTGTTGCACAGGCGGCGTCGGCTTCGTCCTTCTCGGTCAATCCGACACAGGCAGGACTTTCAGACATGAAGAAACCCGTTATTCATGGCAAGCTTGATAGGGTCTGCCAGCCTTGGTCCAATCCCACAGGATGAAACCCCCGCAAATGGGATTTCTGCTATCGGTGCCGATATATGCAGGTCCATCGTCCCAGAAGGGGAGCGCCGCGGACATGGTCTTACTGGCATAATGGTCACCACATCCCGAGTCCAGAAGAACAAACAAGACGGCTTCAGCGACAACGGAAAGAAGTATCAAGGCGTTCTTGAGGTCGTTGTTTAGACTCATGTCGGCGTCCACGGGGACGAACATGTTGGTCGCCCACTCAACGTCGTAGTGTTGAATGTTCGCGCGAACTTCCTCGTTCCAGGGACTGCGAATTCGATGAGCCTGTGGGCACATCGTGAAGCCTTTGGGGGACGTACTGGTGATACTGGCTCGCACCTTCGACATTGAGGGAACGCACATGTTCTCTGCGACGCGGCTTTAGGCTAGTTGAGCCAGGAGAGAACTTCGCCGTTCGTCCGGTATAGATTTGTGTCTTCACCTCAGGAGGGGCAGACGACTTGGGCATAGCGTATTTCCCGCACGTTCCTATCCCATCTTCCTCGCAGAAAGACACGGTCGCCAGCCCTATGGCTTGCGGTCTGGCGTCTCGTACGACAAGGTCCTTGAGCTCGTCGGCGATGAATGCGAACAACAAGGGGATGATGGTTGCCTTGCATTTGCCGAGTGGTGAACGGCGGAAAAAGGAATTGGCATTCTCGACCTTGTCCAGAAGGTCGATACAAGCCGATATCCTCTGGTAAAAGGTCGAGTCTACCGGCTCTTCGATCTTGATGCCGATTGATGCGCAGTACTCTTGAAGAGGTTGGGTCATGCGAACGAACAGCTCAATGGTGTTGATGCTGAGCGTGTCCGTGGAGCAGAGGTTTGCGTAGCCATCTTGGATCAGGGGCAGTTCGGCGACCTGCTTGTGATCTATCACAGACGCCCCGAGTGTTGTCGTGAGTCTTCCGAAATGAGCTCTTCCTGTTGCTGATGCTTCACCCAGCCTGGTAAGAGACCAAAGACATCGGAAGGATACGGCGATAGCGACGACGAGGTTGATTCCGTATGTGTACGGACCGGACACTCGTGGCGTCTGCTGATGAATCACAAACAGCTCGCCGAACTGCCCCCGATCGAAGATGGCTATGCGAATCTCTGCGCCACAGACACGCTCGACATCAACAACAATGAGCTGTTCGTTCGCATGATTAAACCCCTGCAAGCGTACTCCGCATCGATTGGCATCAAGATCGACGAGCCGGTATCCTCGACCTTTTACCAGAGGATATCGGCTTGTATCGACCTTCTGGACAAGGTCGAGAATGCCAACATTCTTTTCCGCCGTTCACCAATCGGTAACTGCAAGGCAACCATCATCCCCTTGTTGTTTGCATTCATCACCGACGAACTCAAGGACCTTGTCGCACAAGTGGCCAGACCTCAAGCCATAGGGCTGGCGACTGTGCCGTTCTGCGAGGAAGATGGTATAGGGACCTACGGAAAATACGCTATCCCCAAGTCGTCTGCCCCTCCTGAGGTGAAGGCACAAGTCTATACCGGACGAACGGCGAGGTTCTCTCCAGGCTCGACTAGCCTAAAGCCGCGTCGTAGGGAACATGTGCGTTCCCTCAATGTCGAAGGTGCGAGCCAGTATCACCAGTACGTCCCCGAAGGCTTCATGATGTACCCACAATCTCATGAAATTTGCAGTCCCTGGAACGAGGCAGTTCGCGCCAACGCTGGACACTACGACCTTGAGTGGACGACCAACATGTTTGTCCCCGTGGACCGCAACTTGTGTCCAACGAACGACCTCAAGAACGCCTTGATCCTCTTTTCCGTTGTCGCCGAAGCCGTCTTGTTTGTTCTGCTGGACTCGGGATGTGGTGACGGATCTGCCAAGAAGTCCATGTCCGCGGCGCTCCCCTTCTGGGACGATGGACCTGCATATATCGGCACCGATAGCAGAAATCCCATTTGCGGGGGTTTCATCCTGTGGGATTGGACCAAGGCTGGCAGACCCTATACAGCTTGCCATTTCTGCGGCCGAGAGTTCGATCACCCGTCAAATCTCAAGAACCATGTGAGTCCATTTCTTGACCAGTAGTGTTACCTGTAATGACATGATATAGGTGGCGTATCGCCATAGCTCACATCGCCCCCCCCACTGCCTGCATCCCGGATGCGCAAGCTCCTTTAAAACAATCAGTGATCTCAAAGACCATGTATGTCACTTTCAGATCCCAAACCCGAGCTGACACTTCCGGATAGATGTGTTATCACGATACATTTCGCGCCTATGCTTGCCAGGAACCGCAGTGCTACAAGTCCTTCAAGACCCAAGCGGGATCTTCGAGCACATGTAGGCATTCTCACAGGAGTGTCTTTCGTGCCGCTGACATGGTTGTAGCGACTTGTACACCAGGATCAACGGCCTTACCATTGCTCGCACGAAGGCTGTCCAGTGGCATTCAAGGTCAAAGGAGCCCTCAAGCAACATGTGCGTCATCCTTGTCTCCCTATGTGCGCCTTGATTGATTTAGTGATAGGCTGTTGCTCACTCGAGAAGTCGAGAATTTGCTTGTGACCAACCTGGCTGCTCTCAGAAATTTGTCACCAACGGGGAGCTCATGAGACATGTCAGTTGATCAACTATGTTACGCCTCGTGACTTGTTCTGTGACAGCCTTTGACATTCACACAGACGGCTGTTCACTCGAATGAACGCCCATTCCCGTGTCCCACATCCGAATGTGAGGCCAAGTTCAAAACCAAAGATGACGCCCGACAGCACGCAAGTCTTTACTCTCACCCTCTCTTCCCTCATCAATCGCTGATATATGCCCAGATGGCCGCGCATATAGAAGTGAAATTGTTTCACTGCGACATCCCGTGCTGCACTCGTCCTCCTTTCCCTTCAGAGAGGGCAATGCGGGCCCTTGTAAGATACCACTCCCTGCACGATCGATCACAACAGCTGACTTGGTGAATAGAAAACAGATTACCATTCGGATACGCAACATTGTTGCCCTACCTGCAACAAGCTGTTATCCAGCAAGAGCAATCTTATGCGCCATGTAGGACACTCTCTCTTCTTCCTGGGGAGAGTGAGCTCAACAGCTGACTTGGTGAATAGATAAAATATAACCATTCCGATACGCAGCATTGTTGCCCTACCTGTAACAAGATGTTATCCAGCAAGAGCAATTTGATGTGCCATGTAGGACACTCTCTCTTCTTTCTGGTCAGAGTGAGCTGATTTTTTGCAAGATAAAGGCTCTTGTGCATCAGAAGGGGATGGGGAAGCATCATGGCGGGTAAAAGATCATTGCCGGCTGTGGCTGGCATTTTTGGTTTGTTTATGGGTTGGGTCCCGAATGTCTGATTGTTCCATAACATGTCATCATCAATCATACATCTGCAATATGTACGGTATTAGTACATTCTGTGCAATTCAATCGATCAATAATCCACCACGACTCTTCAGTGCTTTCTTGTAGATCATCCAGTGCGAGATGGGAGCGCTTGTGGGAGCGGCGAGTTGACTGAACCAGAACACTAGAACAGTGGAGGGACGGAATCAAATGTATCTCTTTTCTCGAGTATCTCCCAGCGGGGGGTGCCGCTGGCGGGGTCCGATCCCGGGATGCACGAGTCTCCCATTCGAAATTCCCGTAGGTAAGTAAGCGTGTTAATAACATGTAACTATGGCTGGGTTTTGGGGGCGAGGGTCAATTTTCGTTTTAGCGTTGGTATTGGCTGGAAGCTGTGCGCAGTGTGTGGCTGCGTGTCCCGCCAACGCGTCGAGATCTGACGCGTCCGCACCAGCCCTCTTCTTTTTCGAGGCCTCCCTGCTAGTGCAGCGTCCATGCGTGCTATGATGCTGCCCCCCAGATGCACATATATATACCCTGCCTTCTGCATCCCCCCGATCCCCTCCCTCCACTTCTGCATCTCTCTCTTCCAGCAGCCAGCAGCCAAAGCCCCCCCGCCCCCGCACAAGGCGCGACAAACAACGGACGCCCCTTAACAAATTGTCTCGTCCTCGTCACCAATCAGGGCAATTTCCCATTTCCCCAGATTTCCAAGTGGAATTGCGGCATCAAAGCGTTGGCGCCAGAGCGCCGTAGCCCGCCCTCGTGCCAGATGAAATGAAAACTATATAACACACGGCGATTGCTTTTCAATTCTCTTCATCCCTTCCATCCCACGTCGTTCTTTACCACCTTATAACCCTATCACCCCTCTAATACCTGCAAAATGTTCGCCCGATCTGCCATCCTCCTCGCCACCCTTGCTGCCGTTGTCAACGCAGACCTCACGGTTAATACACCATTAAGTCCTCTTTCCAAGCTGCTCAGACTGCCTGCTAATACTCAAACAGGCCTCTCTCATCGAGTGCCAGCCCGCCCTCCTCTCTTGGTCCGGTGGTTCTTGTGAGTGTCGTTTCTTTCGCAATTCGGTCGCCTCTTGGCAGCGAGTGTTTGCTGACTTGGCATCTGCAGCCCCTTACTACCTCTCCATCATTCCCGGTGGTCAGTCTAGCGCTGCCGCCCTCAAGGACTTTGGAGAGCAGTCCGGTACCTCCCTCACCTGGACCGTCGACATTGCCTCTGGCACTTCTGTCACTGTCAAGGTAGGCCACTTTTTTCGAACTAAACACGGGATTCGCACGCTAAGACATGTCGCAAGGTTACCGACTCTACTGGTGCTATCAACTACGACGATGTTGTCTCCATCCAGTCTGGCTCCAGCACCTCTTGTTTGAGCTCCAGCACCTCTGCTTCTGGTATCACCGGCTCTTCTTCTGCGTACGTCGCCTTCTTTTGTCCTCCTTTGTCCTCTGTTGTTTACCTCGGGCTCACCTGTCCTTCAGCACCTCTGGCGCCGCTGCCGCCTCTGGCTCTTCTTCCGCCGCTGGCTCTTCTTCTGCCGCCAGCTCCGGCTCTTCTTCTGCCGCCGCCAGCTCCGGCTCCTCCGCCGCTGCCGACAGCTCTTCCACCGCTGCCAGCTCCGCCTCCGCCTCCTCCTCTTCTTCCTCCTCTTCCGGCGCCATGGGCTTTGCTTCCGCCTCCGTCGCCGGCATTGCCCTCTCTGCCGTCGCTGCCGGTGTTGTCGCCTTCTTCTAAGCGCGATGACGAGCCTATGGCCAGCCCTGCCTTTTTCCCCACGGGATATCTAGATCGCTGCGATGTTTTTCCTTTTTGAATTGCAGGTATTTTTCACGCATTGACGTCCCTGTCACGAACATTTTACCATTTTGAGCTGTTTGACGCTCTCCCGAGCGCTGTTGATACACGTCTCCTTTATGCAATCCTCTATCCGATAATGCAAACCCTCAGCCTCTCCACTATCAATCTTACAATCACTGAGCTTGTAGCCAGATTGAGTGATCCGCGGTGCGCAATGCTGATATGCTTGCCATCCCCAGCAGTCCCCAGCACTTTGCCCCGGATGGCAGCGGACGGCGCAGTCGAATTTCGACATCAACGACATTTATCATCCGCTGCAACCGTATCTATCCGCAAGCATCTCTGGGGTTTCCCATTGATAGGGTTGGTAACCTCCGCAGTGGTTTGACATATACGGGGGCGGGGGTGGCGTCGGAAAGACAGAATGTGGACTGATGTTTCTTCCTCTCCTGCCACTGCGCACGGTCTGTACCTGCGGTTGCGCCAAACATCTTGGCATTTGTAACCCAAACACTACTATCAATGCATAGCCGTCTTCCTTGTCTCACGTGTAGTCTTTATATACTGTATGCACATGTCAAACCGCCAGAGTATCGTATCTACACCCCGAACGATCAAAACCACCGCTTTCAACCTTTCTTCGAGTTCATCTGGACTTCTCCGTCAGCCATCTGTCCGAGTGCTGTACTCGACCGCCTTGATGACCACTTACGAGTTGTCGGCCAAGCTCGCGCCCCCTATCCCTTCATCACTCTTCCAGCTTAGCGAAAGACAAAGCCAGGGAAAGTAGGATCAGCAGAGTCAATGTAGAATCTACTCTGGCTCATCAAGTTGGCCGAACCCCGTACCATCGGGATCACCGCTGGGTACGGAGAGAAAGGATTGACCTTTTCCGTAGAAACGATAGAGCCGTCAAAGACAGTGTTGATGATCGAGTGATGATGGAGCACTTGGCCTTCTGTCAATTGACCTTGAGCGTAGAGCAGGGCCACCCGGGCAGCAGAACCGGAGCCACAAGGCGAGCGGTCGATTTGACCGTCGGCAAAGACGACGCAGTTGCGCTGAGTGAGACTGCTTTCATCACTGGCGAGCTTGTCGTAGAAGCATACCCCATAGAGCTCGAGATCCCTATGACGAGCCTTGTCTCCCAGTACCGCTTTGATCTCACGCCCCAGAGACACAAAAGCGTCGTGATTCGTCTCGATTACCTTTAGACCTATGAACTCTGTAGAGTCGACAAAGGCATAGAGAGCGCCTCCCCAAGAGAGGTCGAGGGAAATGTCTTTACCCAGAGAGGGAAGATGCACAGAGAGCTGATCAACGACTTGATAGCTGGGGACATTGATAAAGTCGGCGTGAACTGGCTTGCCTCCTTGCGTGGTAACTCGGGCAGTCACACGGCCCGAAGGAACATCAATGACCACGTCTGTGACCCCATCAGACGGGGCCTTGACAAGACCTGATTCAATACTCCAGAAGCCAAGGGCTAGGGTGCCATGCCCACAGGCAGTGGAGAAGCCATCCTTGTGCCAGAAGAGAACGCCGAGGTGCGCTCCGTCATCATCCGGAGGTACGATAAACCCGCCATACATGTCTGCGTGCCCCCGGGGCTCTTGGCAGAGGACACGGCGGAGGAGGTCCAGGGGGTGGTCGGGGCCGCTGAGGATGTTGCGGCGGCGGTCTTTGACAGTAGGACCCAGGGTGTGGCAGTGAGCGGGGAGGGTGGGGACGATGCGGAATGGTTCGCCGGCGGTATGCCAGTCGTCGGTGGAGACCCAGTAGGGGGCTGGGGAGGACATGATGAAGGGGTGCAGGTATGTGATGGAAGAGAGATGGATATATATGTGTCGGCTTGTAAAGAGGCCCGGCGCCCGGACTACAGCTCGGCGTCGCCGAGAGTCAGACTCCAGTGGGCTGTCCTGTCGACTGTGTCGCCCGGCCTGCGCAAGTCTTCTTCAAGCGTCGGGATCAAGTACAACATCAAATATATCAACACCTCTACCCTAGAAACAACCTATGCAGTCTGACTCGCCATTATATCCCTATACCACCGCACCCCACCATCACCTTGTCCAGCTTGATCATCCCTCGCCAGCCCGCCCTCCGACTCCATCAACTCTACAAACTCCTGCGCTAGCCCTATAGGCAAGGACTCTTGAGAAGCAAACTCGATGAGGGAAAAGGACTTTTCTTCGGACCCGGCGCCCTCAGCATCTTCGGGTGCGGGGTTCAGGCGTTCCAAAGTGCGTAAGAGGATGGAGGAGGTGGAGAAGGAAGGGGTGTGGAGAACATGAAGGGTTGAAGGAAGGGAGAGCGATGTAATTGAGGGATTGGTGTTACTTGGCAGATGGGGTAGAACATCAACTAGCGTTTGCGGTGGCAGTAGAGCTTCAGAGCATCAGCTAGAGTCAAGAATGGTGAGTTGATAAAGACTCACCGACACCCCTCGCCCGCATCCATAAACCCCAAACTTCATCCAGCCCAATGACTCCTCTTCCCTTCTCCCCGACCATTAACCCAGACTCTCCTCTCCCCGTCAAAAGTCCTCCAAGCTCCCTGGCAAGGCCCTCGTGATAATCCAGCTTTGTCTTGGCCATCTCCTTTGTCAAAGCCGGTGCTTCCAACCCCAATTGCACGAGCGTCGTCCTGATCATCGTGGCTTCTTCTTCCGTTGCCCCACTGCCATTACCGGATTGTTGAGCCGACAGCTTTTGATTGAGGGACTGGGCGAGCTTGACCATCTCCCCTGCCCGGAGCATGAGTGCTTCGAGGTCTGCAAAGGCGTGTTGCATGTGAGAGTCTTGAGCTTTGGCGTTCAGGTCGATGGACTGTAGAATACCGTCTACGCAGTTGTCAGTCATGTGCAACACGCGAAACAGTGAGGCTTACATATACCAGCACCAGAGCGCTCTCCATCTGGACCCAGAGGAGTTCCTACATTCCCAGCTCCCGAGGCTCGCTCCCAGGCCTTATCGCCCAGAATACTCTTCAGCTTGTTGTACGCATCTTTATCACCACCTTTTCGGAAACTGAACCGTATAATCTGGTCCTTCTCTACATTTTTAGCCCTAGGCGTAGACGAAGGTAGGGCGCGTGGGAGAGGGGTCGTACATATCTCGCAGTTGGGCAGCAGGGACGAGTTGAGAAAGGTGCAAGCCGGACATGCGACAGTGTCCTTGTCCTCTTTGATATGAGGCTCTGTCGGAAGCGGACCTGAAGACGAGGGTGATCCCGCTCTAGAGGGCTCGGTTGAAGCAATCGCTTGAGCATAGGGTACGCCACATAACCCACACTTGCTGACTTTTGCGATCCCATTACTCTCGTTTGCAAAGCCACAGACACGGCATGACCAGCTATTGGCATCGTTCTCATCTGTAGAGGTCGCAGGATTCTGCGCAGGTATACCCAGAGTCAGAGTGATCTTTGCCGAGGAGCGCATGAATCCAGCGTAATACTCTGTCTGCCGGACATGGGACAGATGTGTTTGTAGAGAGGGCGGTAGGACTGAAGCAGCATTGTCGTAGGATGGAATGGTGATTATGCGTTGATTTGTAAGGTGCAAGGTCAGGAGCTGATGGCTTGGAACCTTGTTGTTGCTGTAAGACTGTCAGTTACTGTGGACTAAACTGTAAGGCATAATCACCCTTCATAAAGCCCGACGTTGTCCCAGCTGCCGATCCATTCTTCGCCCTGATCGCGGTGGACAGACTCGAGGACAGAGGCACCGGGACGGACTGGGGTCCATGCTGACCAGTAGACAGGCGATAGGTCGGGGGGCAGCGGCATGCGGTCAGTGGGGAATGATGCAAAAGGAGAAGATGGACGCTCGTGGTGGAGGCAAGTTGTAGTCCCCTGTCACCGTGTGAGAGTAACTCGGCAGACTGCAAGAGGCGTGGTGGTGTATCTGGGTGTCGAGTGCGGGGGGTGTTTGTATGTCGTGCATAGCGTACTCGAGAGATGCAAGGGGTCATGAGCGCATCTCGACAGCGGCCGAGCGCGGCGAGTTCTCGTCTCGGGCACTCTCGGGGCCGTGGCTGCCTGGATACAGGGCCGGGCCATGCATGCATGAGGTACAGAACGGGGGAAGGCCATGCATGGAGGATGTCGACAGTGCAGGGACTCTTGGCAAAGTGGGCTCTCTATTTTCGCTTGCTCCCGCCGTCTCCTCGTTCCTCCCCGCGTGCTTTTCGTCACTCCTCTCCGAAGTGCCATCCGCCACCGCCCCATCACACACCATGGGCGACCAACCCCCAGCCCTCCCTCCCTCCTCCGCCTCCGGCCAGACCACCTTCGACACCCGCCTCGCCTACATACAGTCCTCCTCCTCCCAGGTCCCCACAAGGCAGAACTCCTACAACTATCCCACACATCTCGACCCATCGCATGCCCGCACCCAGGGCCCCTCCCAGGGCCCCTCGAGACGGTCATCCCATGAAGAAAGGCCCCGTCACGCAACCCATCCTTCCATGTCCAATGCCCCTCTACTCAATGGGAACGCCCCCTCGGCACTTGCTCACCCCGGCTGCGTCCTCTGTGGGCTGGTCAGGTCGTGTGGAAGCAACCCTCCGTCACCTATTCTCTCCCCGCAACACGACACATCGTTGATGGCGTCCTCCTCCCAGACGCCTATCACAGCAGGCAGCTTCTCGCAATCTCCATACCCACTTCCATTCGACAGAGGAGGTGCATCTAGCCCTTCACCTGACGGTAGGCGTACGGGGAACAGAGTAGGAGGAAGAGACATTGTCTATGGCGACAAGGACATCACCATCTACAAGGCCGAGGGAAAAGAGCGTCTGTGTCAAGATGGAAGGCATCTCATTATTGTGGTCAACGAGCATTTGCAAAGCGTGTATGAATTTGTGAGTCACTCCAGCCCAAGGGGCAACATCTGCTGACCACGGAACCGTAGGGGGCTTCCGATATTCCCCTGCTAAGCCATATCATCGATACCGCTGTCCAGATCCTGAATTCTGCTGCTTCCGCGTCCCTTGACGACGAAGAACGGGGCAAGGAGAAGGACAAAGTTCAGGTCGGGTTCGTGGGGTCTCTCATGAGTAAGTTGACAGTGTCATCTCCCAGGACCTCTACTCATTCCACCTTCAGAGGATCCTCAGTCACCCCATGCGCATCTCCATGCCCACGCCTATCTTCCGCCAATCGACACGAAACTCGCTGGTGCGACTCTCTGGCGCCGAAATGTTGTATTTGGATCGTTGAATTGGTGGAGCGTTGAGGATCTGCGAGCAGAGATCAGGTATGCGATTTTTATAACATACCAACAGTGCTAATGCTCTACTTTGCAGAGAGGCTACCTCCAACAACAGAGTCAAAACTGGGTATCAACACCGGGAAGCTCCGATCAATCAGGTGCCAGATGCTGGCTCAACTGTACGCTCTTTGTCTATCTTGTATAATGGGACAGTGCTCACTACCAAACAGGCTCCAGTCTATTCCAATGAGAGCGACTATCATGATACCCCTTCGCCCTTGCTTGCCCCAGGGCCGCTTCACCGTCCCCCCTCCCGCTCACAATCACGCTCACCAGGAGCTTCGAGCTCAAAATCTCCTCCCCCTCGCCCCTCTAGCCACCCCATGACCAACTTGGCAGGAGGCTCAGATGTATCTATCTGCACCGTCACGCCCTCGTCGGCAAGGGGCTCGGGAGATGTACGCCGGCATGGAAAGGGTAAGGCGAGTGAAGATTTTGAGAATGTCGAGATGGAAGACAGCCGGAGGTCGCGAGAGGGTTTCGTGTAGGGATGTGAAGAGGGTGCTGGAGGATTTGACGGGTCACGAACAAACGAGGGGGAACGCTCAGCATAAATGCTCTCATCAAGCAATCTTGTCACAGAATTCTTATTGTCTCACCACACACGCACGCACATAGATGTATATCCTTGAGATAAGGTCTCCTTCCTTACTCTTCATTCCGACATTTGTCTCATACTTGTCTGATCTTTCTACTGTCATATACTACGTACTGGTTTTCGGGTCTGTCTCGGATGATGCGACATGATATTCACGCTCAATGTCTTGCTGTATCCGACCTTGCTCGTTTTAGAAAGCACAGTATCATTGTAGACCCAGGTCAACTGAGAGTCCATTGATGACTGTTGTTGATCCCGGGTCTCGGATGTCCGCGCGCGTCTCAGGTCGAATTTCTGATTGTGTCGTTCTTTTCTACTTCTTCCACCTTTCTTCGTCCAGCTATCGCCCAATCTTCCACCCCGCTCTGTGGTACTTCATCCCGATCCAGTGCTCGAGTAGATATCACCGCATCAGTCGCCTTCTAACCACCCTACTGTCACAAAACCGACTGCATCGACTCACGCAGCTCACAGCGCCCATGAACCCCTACGCCGGCCCTTCCTCGAATGCCTTTGCTCCCCAAGGCCTGCAAGAATATGGCGGCAACCTGCCGCCTCTGGATACCAACTCTGGTATTGTCAACGGCAACCCCGAATGGAGGTGAGTTTTCCGCCTCCCGAGTTTATGGCCAGTCGGGATGGAATAGGGGCTGATGGGCACGTCTTTTAAAGGTATGAGATGCGTCGGGAAGCGCAGCTGATAATACCCAATCTATACCTGGGGCCATTTCAGGCGTCGCTGAACGCGGCCAAGATGAAAGCAATGGGCATCACTCATGTGTAAGCTCTAAACTGTGGTCCACACCGGTCCTGTCTTTGACGGTGACGCTGACCATCGTCCAGCCTGTGTATCAGAGATCGGAGAGAAGAGAAATTGATATACCCGAGGTTCCCACAAGAGTTTCAGTACATGACGCTGGACATTAGCGATAACCCTGTGAGTTTCCCGCTTCTTTTGTGCTTGGCGCAAAGCTCATGCGAATCCTGGTAACAGGACCAAAACCTCATCACACTCTTCCCTCGCTGTAGAGACTTTATCGAAACAGCTTTGCTCTCGGGCGGGACAGTCTTGGCACACTGTAACGGTAAGCCTCTCCTGGTCGTCCTCTTTCTCTGGACTGACAGACATGAACAGGCGGCATCGCCCTTTCGCCCGCTATCGTTATTGGCTATTTGATGTGGAAGTACAACTGGACTGCCGAGGTTGCTCTGGCACACGTACAAAACAAACGATACTGCGTCAGCACCATGAGCGTAAGTTGCACCGTGGTCAAGTGAGCAGATCGCTGACATATATGCGGCAGTTTCAGAATCAGTTCAAAGAGTACGAGCCGATCTTCATGGCGCAAAAGATGGTACAGCTCGCGGCAAAGAGGGAAAACGGCAGTAGCAAGAGACAGGTTGAGGAATTGTGCGTCTTCTTTCTGTGCCTCTTGAGCTTGTATGACTAACGTGCGGATACAGGGACGATGAAGAAGATGGTTACCGGAGAAAGCATAGAGCGGCACCAGAGGAAGGACTGGACGTGTCAATGGATGACTAGGGGCTTGATTGGGGGCTCTGAGATATTATATCATATGCGTAACGAGAAGACATGTCTACAGTTGGCAGCAAGTGTAAAGGCAAGTTGACTATCCTATGGGAATGGACTTGCGCATCTCGGGCATATTGTAAGCTCCTTGTTGACCTGGCCACTGAAAGGCAAGCCTACCGATCTAGACCACTCATACTTTTCATTATGACTGCCGAGTACTCAGGCATGAACTTGATCATATACAAAACAAAGCTCGCGTTGAGAGCCGGCGAGCCGCCAGCCTTCTGCCGCCTTCCGTCGACTGCCCGCTGATAGTGACTTGTAGTATACAACTTCTGTCCAGCCGAATATGAACGGTGATTGAGGAGCATGCAATGGATGTGCCCACGACCCACGAGGCCCACAACTGATGAGGTTGAATGAGAGACCGAGAGACTGTAGTCCGGATTGGGGTGAAAGGCGCATTCAGGGCTTGCTTCTCAAATTCTAAATTCCTAATAAAGCCCGAATTTCTTACCGTTGGCTTTTTAGTTACCGCAAAGGGCAATTATGAGCTCCGCTTGCTCGGAATTGATTCCGACGTTCCTGGCAGGTTTTGGGATGATAAGCAGATCAAGGAGATAAGAACAAGGTTGAGCCGGATGTGGCTATTTCTTCCACCCCGGTTGTTCTCTTGTCTTTCGGATATTTCCACCCTTGCTCACTGTTCGACAGAGGAGAAGAAGGTTGGAAGGCTTTATCCGAAAGACAGCCGGATCGACGCAAGTGGTCATAACGGCTCTTTCCAAGCCTTCGGCAATGAAATCGGCCACGATGAGTGTCCTTTTGTCGACGCCTCTTGAAATCTAATGCTAGATTACCACTTGGCATCTGGACGGAAGAGGTCTTTTCAAATGGATCCGGCCATAGGCCGCCCGCATTCTCAGCAGTATAAGGGAGATGATACTGCATCATAAGTCTTTCCCCACTAATCATTGTACCTTTGCTTCCTGTTGCTTATCCCTCACATTCTTCCTTCTCCGTCTCACGCTTTGACAGCATATCCATTCTGCGCCGGACGACCTTCCTTTACCATCTTGCCGTCGAACACCATTCTTTAACATGTTTTCCAATTCCATTACCCTCTACGCCCTTCTCTCGACTGCTCTACTGCCATATGTGGCAGCTTCTCCGGCTCCTGATATGATCTTTGTAAGTCACGCGTGTACTCCAGTACATCTCAGCTCACGATGACCTCAGCTTCTGAAAGAATCATCCTTCACTCCCCTCGGTTGCTCCACCACCTTCCGCCCCACCTCCATCCTTCACCAAGTCCCATCTCCCCAAGCTTGCTTCTCTCGCTGTTCCTCGTCCCAATTCGCCGCCTATACATCTCCCTCGTCCTCTTACATGTCACAGTCTGTACTTTGCGCGTGTGGGTCGGAAGAGATGATGGAGGGCATTGGGCGAATGGACATGTGCAAGGGGAACAACTGGTACTTGTACAGTAACGAGGAGGTCGATGAGCTTGTCATCGTGGAGGACGACGAGCGGATGGACAAGCTTTCAGTGTTCTCAAGGAAGGGAGAGAAGAGCTCGAGTAAGGGGCCTATGCCGTTGGCGATCTTGAAGAAGTTGACAGCGGCGTCCAAGAACAAGATGTAAGTGTATACTTATTGTTCAGTGATGCTACTTCAGATGACTGACAGTCGGCATAGATTCAAGTGGTGATCTTTCCCTCATCTGTGCTGGCCACGATATTCCCCTCTTCTGGTATTTTCCGTATATAGATGATTTTATAATCATACTACAGATGGACACAACTTGTAATCAACAATCTGACAACAATCATATGACGGAAGCAAGAAGCAGGATCCACACTCTCCTCTACGAATCCCAAGTAGCCAAGCACCAATGTTGCAAATTCCCTGCACATCAGAGAACGGAATGCTTCGAGAGACCGAAGGTGACATGTGAAGGTACCGTCAGCAGTAGTTGGTGCGCATGCATTCAGCCAGGCGTCGGTCAATGTTGCGTTTCACCTGTCGACGAACGTATGGTGTCAGTCTATCACCACCCACCCTCATAACGAGTAGCTCATTTGCTATTGCAATGCATGACACGGTCTCTGAATGATGATTACATTTACCATAGCGATACTGAATGCGACTTCGATGCTTCTTCCTCTTATCGTCTCATTGAAGGCGGGGTCAAGCTCAATTCCACTGCTCTTCTACAACCACCCCAGCTTCTTCCAATGAGCTCAAGACTCCCTCCCAGACGTCCCTGTCATAAGGTCCTTGCACCCCCCGAGAATCGACTTGTCCATCAGCCACCCTCAGCGCCGCAAACGCCAACGTCTTCCCCACAGTAATACTCATAGACGACTGATTAGCCGTGCCAATGTGCCTCAAAGAAGCCGTCACTACCTCTTCCCTTCCTCCGGGAGTAAATGGATGGAGAGTGAAAGAATGGTGCAAAAGGCATGTATCGCGCTCTCCGGGTTGATATGCGAGTTTATGGGAGAGGAGGTGAGCAAAGAGGTCGATGGGGGTGCTGAGCTTGGGGATGGGAAGAGACGAATCGCCGAGGAGACCGAGCCACTCTAGAGCTTTCATAGTCTTCTCGCCCTCCTCTTTTCCCACGAGGTCCGTGATAGCACTGTGCTGGTCTTGGTCCTTCAAGCCGTTGACTCCGAGCTGTCTGCCGGCAGACTGGCGGAGCAGCTCAGACCAAGAAGCAGGGGGCGATGACAAGACATCCGAGCTCAAGAGCCCGAGGCGACGGAAATCATTCAAAAGAGTGGAGAAGCCAGGGTATCTGAGCAAAGGAGTCAGTCGGCGTGCGTCGTTTCTGATACATGACTTACCTCAAAGTTCCTCGGAAAAGATCTGTCAGTCCCTCTGCGGGGCCCAAGCCATACTTTTCGGCGTACGGGATGGAGTCACGGTTTGCAAGACCCTCGAGCTGGAGCCCATCCCAGAGCCTGACATCTGAGAAATGACGCTCAAGTAGGCGATCACCTGGGATCGTAACGTTCTGCCCTTTCGTCAGCCAACGTTCCCAAAAGGCGGAAGAGAACTGACCTTTCCATCCAGTTTGAACATTGCATCGTTCTGCGCCGCCGTCAAGACGGCCTTCGGGCTCCAGCTAAACTTGTACCCCAGCGGTCCCTTGCTGGCACTCCTCTCCGGGAGGCCCCCGCACCAAGAGACAAAACTCTTCACCTTTTTCCCCTCTCTCTTGACCCGCTCCATGATTCGCATGGCTGCCATCGAGTCGATCCCTGGGTCGAGCCCGCATTCGTTCAGCAGCAAGACGTCTGCATCGACGGCAGCGGAATGGAGGGCTTTGATGTCGGGGGAGATGTAGGAGGCGGTGACTAGATGTCGAGAGTGGCTGATGCAGTGTTTGGCCACGTGGGGGTGTAGAGGCGCGGGGAGCAAGCTTGGGGGAGTAAGTACTGGGACCATGTGTTGGATGACAGGCTTACCTGACGACAACGTCTGCAGCAGCAACTGCTTCACTCAACTTGGCGTCATCAGTAATGTCGAGCGAGATAGCTTGGACGTTGGTTCGGCCCTTGATGTGGCTTTCCGCCTCTGCAATGTTGTTGCTGGCTATGTCTCGTGTAAGACTTTGTTTTTAAGAGCAGTAGATTGCGACCTACCGACAGCAAGCAGTACGTCTGACCGCGCGGCAAAGACTTCCACCGCTGGACCAGCCACAAGCCCACTCCCCAACAACAACACCTTCTTCTGAACTCCTCCTCTTCTCGCAATCGTGGCCTCACTTCGCTCATCAAAGAATGAAGGACTCCCAGAAGCTTTCCAGGCGTCTACTTTGTCGGCTAGCCATTGGTGTTTCGGCTGGATAGTGCCAGAGCGGACGATAGCAGCACGGTCCAGTGTCTCTTGTTCCGCAGTAGCGGAGGGACTGGGGAGAAGGAGCTGACAGATGTAGGGGTAGAGGGCGGCGGAGAAGTGGTCGGAAGCATCCGTGGCTGACGAGAGCGATCAGCCTGAGCTGCACCAGACATATAGCACACTTACCCAGCTCGGTGGGGAGAATGTCGATGGAACTGATCAGGATACCACCAGGGCCCTCGTAGTGGGGGTTGTCGATAGTCGTAAACTGGTCCACAAATTCCAGACCTCCCTATGCCACTGTCAGTCAAGCTACCATATCGTCGACGAAAGATTCACTTTTTGGTCACAAGAGATATCCTGCACAGCCACCAGCTTTTGCTGGCCCTTTGCCTTCCTCAAAAGCGTAGCAAGGTCGGAGCTGGAGATGGCTCGAGGGTACTGCTTACTCCAGCTGACGCCATTGATGATTGTAGTGAGATGCGGCGCAATCTTTACATCTTGTTAGTCTTGTCCGTCCAGAGCGGCGAAGAAACCCACCTTTCTGGCAAAAGTGCTGGTGTAGTCCTCTGGTGAACTGTAGTAGTGACTTTTGTTGAATGATTTGCCGCCGCGGTGCTCCAGGTAAGATTCGGGGGTAACTTGACAAGCGTAGACCTATGAAAGAGTCAGGTGGTGGCTGAACGAAGGCAACGTTGTATCATACCCTGTTCGAGTCTATATAAAGAGTCAGCATGATCGAATGGTGCTAGCTGACTGACCTACCTTTGCTCTTGATCCCCGGCAGGTCCTCTGCGTTGACCCATTCGACTCCAAGCTCCTCTAGTATCTGTCTTGCTCCGGACGATACATTACCCGCTCTGTGACTGTATAAGAATGGTACCAGAACATAGCAGTACTACCTACCCAGTAAGACCTATCACTATCGGTGCCAACCCAGCAGCGGGCTCGTTGGATCTGAATTGCTCTCCCGTCTTTCGCAGAGCATCTTTGAACGTCGAGAGCGTACCATAAGTGTATGGTCTTGCAAGGTGCTAAGTCTGTGCGTGAGAAGGGCCACAAATCTCGATAACATGGCGTACGAGTAGAGGAGTAGCGATGCCTCTCTTCAAAAGGGCCAGTCCGGTAAGAGAAAGCGCCTCGCCCGCGCCAACAGCTCCAGCATACCAGCCGAAAGCAGCCACTCTTTTGAGTTGTGTTTTGCCGTCCTTTCCTGGCTGCTCGCTTGTGAGCAGCTCGTGGTCAATAAGGGTTTGCGTTGGGTGCAGAAACGCTGATAGCAGCGGGACATTGTATTCCTGCATACAGATCAGCAAAGGCTAGAAAAAATTGATAACCATGCTCACTTGTCCTTTGTGAGTATGCGAAAACATCATCCATGTGCGTTCCTTGCCTTCTGCCTTTGACGCGTCCAGCAGGGACTGAACGCTCGACAAAGGAGGCTCTTTGATGCCTAGCACCACGTCTACATTGTTCGACAGAGATGATACTACACTGGCCCCCGCCTGGGAGAGATGTCAGCATGACAGAAGTAAGTAGGATGCCACTCACATGGGCGTACTGCTCGTCTGTAAAGCAGCGCCTTCTGCAGCTCTCGACATGGATGGTCAGCTGATCTTTGCCGTCTGTCAAGAGGCGCTGGACGGTGTGGGGTGTGAGGGGAGCGCGCCTCTCCCATATCCTCGCTGGGTCCTCGCGCCTGAGGCCGAGGGTTGTGAGGGGGCGGTGGAGGGGGCGGGGGATGCTACTGGGGACACGGCGGGTGAGCATGGCAAGCATGGTGTGCATGGGGGCGCTGTGGACGGTCATGGTACTTATAGCAGCGAGATGAAGGGAAGAGCATCTACCAGCGCGCTTATAGCTCGGCTTCCCGCTGCTTACGTACACCGGGACCAATCCCACGTGCACCCCGCCCATCATCTCTTGCACAAGCCATCCGCGTGTGGAGTGCACCCCGTACGCTATACCTCCCCGATGTCCCTCTCGTCCCAGACCACCCTCATCTCCCCGACGACAAAGCCTGCACACCCCCATCTCCACCGCAGAGGCTCCGCCCACCATGCCCACCCTCGACGGAGACCGTCCCACGGCCACGCCCGCAGAGGATCAGAGGGCGACGGCGGCAGGAGGGCATTGGCCGCTGGGCTCGCCATGCACACTCTAGACACGGGCAAGAAGAAGAAGCCTGCCGAGGTGAGTCTCCATTGAGCGGCAGAGACAGCACTGACTCGGCACAGCAACGACCCCAGAACCAGCATACATCGCGCTCAGATACAAATCTTCCACACCTCTCCCGCACCAACTCGATGATGTCCAACACTTCTCACGCGTCACAGACAAGCAACACCTCTACTGTCAGCCGGCCGGGTGCCAAGCCTCGGAGGAGCAGGGAGCAGGTCCAGATATTGGATGAACAGGGCCGAGAGATCGATCCCAATGAGGAAGAGTGGGAGAGCGGGGAGGAGGCCAAACGGGGCAAAAAGCCAAGCAAAAAGAAGGACCGGACAAACGCTTCGGCTCTTGCTACCAGCGCAGCGATGCGCCGCACGGTCAGCGATTCCACTGCCAACAAGCAGGAGCAGGTGGGCGACGAAGGCGGGGACCATCGGCCGCCCCTCACTCAACGAACGACAGGCTTTGCTGGCGCCGTTCAACCTCTGGACCCTCAGATTGCTGCCGAGATGCCTTCAGTGGAGCCGCCCGTTATCCAAAATCCTATCAAGCGTGTCGCGAGCTCTAAATCGCTCGTCGGGCCCATCTCTGCCATGACCTCGGTGGAGAATACGCCCGACAGCGGAATCATCACCGAAGCACCAAAGAGCGAGCAGGAGCGACTGCGAAAAGCCCAGGAGAATAGCTTCTTGTCTTCGGGACTTCCTCGAGACCATCCAGAGCCCAAGGACGAGTCACCATCATACCCTTTCCCCAAGATGCCTTCCCCCGAGGAGCC